CTCGACGCGTCGTAGCCGGAATCACACTATCTCGTCTATGGATGACGATGACGATGACTTCGGCAATTCTACCGCTCCTCTGGACCCTGAAATGGACCTGCTAAGCGCAACAGAGGCGGGATCACTAGCTGATGTTCCAACAACGGCAAATGACATGGACGTCTTGCACAAAGATAGGAAACACGATACCGAGCTGTTGCGTTCGATGGAAGGAATGTCTTTGGACGAAAAGTCGTCCAACGTTGTTGAGTTTGAAACGTAAAACCAGAAGGCTTTTGATCTGCATATAAAGTAAAATAAAGGTGATACACTTATCGTGAAAAAAAGCTGTTGACTTGTAAGCACTTTTTGATATTGGAAAGAAACTTTTCACGAGCTTCTTAGCTTGTCTTAATAATCTTTTGAACAAACCTCCTCTTCTTATTCTTCCCTATGCCTTCACGACCTTCCAAATAACTTCTTCAGCTTGCCAAACCGTTTCTTCTTTTCCTCGGGTGCTGCTTGTGCAGGCTCAGCAGCCTCACTAAAGAACCTCGGTTGGTTAGTCTTTACAGCTGTCTGGCGCATATCACTGGCACTTCTCTGGCCATTCAAAGTTCGAGTCATGTTTCCGTTGCTGGACTTCGACAGAGAAGGAATATGAACATCTTCATCATCAGAGTCAACGAACCTAGACTTGAAACCACGGTTATAGTTGCCATTATGGCCAGTACTGACTGGAGTAGGCTGCTGCTCATATGTTGAAGCAATCGCTGGCTCCAACTCGTCGCGCATTGTCATCTTGCGGAAACCAGCATCAGGAGCTGGTGCAGTCTTTTCATAACTCGAGGAGCGCTTCAGCTCGGAATCGAAAGGAACGTATCCGCCTTTAGTGGCATTTGCAACCTTGTAGAGCTCTGCAGCCCGCAATTGTGCATCAGATTTTGCATACGGCTTTTGAAGGCCTTGTCTGGAAATAGGCCTGACAGGCTGGTTCTGTTGGTTCTGTTGGTTCTGCTGGTTCTGCTGGTTTTGATGGTGGTTGTGCAGAGCAGCTGCAGCTGCAAATCCGTTAACAGCAGGGGTTTGTTGGGGTTGTTGGACAGATTTGCGAGTAGACTGAGGTCCTCTCAAACTAGTACGAAGTGTTCCTGGGCCTTCTGACTGAGGTCTAAGGGATCTTCTGAGAGAAGCGTTGCGCATGGGAGAAGGTTGTTGCTGTTTCTGCTGCTGTGGAGGTGCAGGTGGAGGGGTAGCGTAATGTTGTGATTGAGGAGCAGCATATGACTGCGGTTTCTCTGGCGAGTGCTGAGAAACGTTCAAAGATGTTTGAGACATCTGGGCATTCAGTCTCGTGTTCTCTGCAGTCGTGAGAGAAAGATACGCCTGGGCAGCAGGGGATGGCTTTGAAGCAGATGAAAGCGATGTCCTGGACGATTGCTTCAATGCAGACCTTCTTCTCTGGAGAGAAGGATCCTGAATCCCCTGCGCAGAAACGGGCCTCTTTGCTGATCTCTCTGGGATATCATGAGCTCCATTGGAAAGACCAGGCATTGCTGAACGAAGTTGCTGGGCCATACTAATTGGTCCCCCGAACGCTTTTTGTGGCTCTTCGGTGCTATACTCGCTCGTTGCACTGGTAGAAGGAGAAATGGCCTCTGACTTCGAAGAAGTGAGATAATCTGAAGTTCCAGTCTGAGGAGCAGAATCTTGCTCGCTATAGAGATTGATCATCTCCTTAGAGTCTGAATAGTGAGACACAAAATTGAGTTCTGTGCTGGATGCATCATGGTCTTCGTCCAAAGTTTCTGTTTGCTTGACAATGAGGGTTGGGACTTGTGGAGCGGTTTCAGTCGGAACATCAGACTTGTCAACTACCGGAGTCTCAGCGGCAACGTCGGGCTTATCAGTGACAAGAATTCCAGCTGCTTCAGACTTAGCTGACACTGAATCATCAACCGGAACTTCCGTTTCAGAAATGATTGGTACTTCAGCTGGGATATCCTTTGGTTCTTCCAAAGTTGGTGTTTTTGCCACCTCGGTCGCCTCAACTGGCAAAGTCTCAAATTCTACCTTAGAAGCATCCTCTCTCCCCTTTTCAGAAAACGCAGAATACACGGACTCGGCCTCTCCCAGATCAGACTTGATCTGCTCGAGAATCTCCCGCTCTTTCTCAGCCACAAGAAGGGCAAACTGCTCGTCGGTAATCCTCTGAACCTCAGCCTCATCGTGGAGTTGCTGGTTTCTCTCTACATCCGCATGGGACAACTCCTCGTCCTCTTTGATAATTGGCTCTGGCCTGTAGAAGGAAGCAGAACTGGCTTTCTTCACTGGCTGTCTAGCAGAAGTGAGCGAGTTCGTCCTCGAGTTGACCGCACGCTTGTTTGCGAGCGACAAACTTCCCATGGAACTTGATCTAGGAACTTTTGAACGCGGTAAAGGGGGGTCATAAGCTGGAACCTCTATTGCAACCAGCCCATTACGCGAGGGAACATACTTCTTCACCATCTTCGGTTTTGGCGGTTCCGAGGAGAACGACACCTTGTGCCTCACGGTGTTTCCGGGGCGCACAGAGGGCCTTGCCGGGGTCTCATTGAAGGACTCTCGGGCATCTTCGAAGTTATCGACCGAGGCTTGTCTGCTAGGAGAGTATACAAATGAACTGGTCCTTGATGGTGGTCTGTGAGTGAAACTGGACGAGCGAGCGAATCCATTTGAACGGCTCTGGAGACTGTTGGTGTGGCCAGGGACAGACATGTTGACTACCGATCCGTTTGCATTCTTGAGAGCTTTCCCAATGGCGGTAGCTGCTGCAACGGCTCCAGAACTTGGTCTGACATCCGAGGTTGGCTTGGAAATGGGAATTAGTACCAGAATGGGGTTGGCTGCCATTGAAAACGGCTGGAATTGGACAAAAAAGGAATCAAAAGGGGCTGAATTTATCCAAAATCAGAAAACCAAATAACATACCGTTGAACTGACACCTGTATAGGAGTCCCTAAAGTTGCTTCTGGACCTTCTTCTAGAGAACATGGCTGCGGGTTGAACGAAAACTCGCTACTTTGGTTGAGAGGCCAGATCAAACTTATGGCGTAGCAGCAACAGGCGGCTGTAAATGAATTGAGCAGACGGACCAATCAGAGCGCCACTGTAACAATAGAATGCAATTCCGATGATGATCAATGAGAAAATCTGGATGCGATGGCGTGAATTTCTTGGAAGACAAGAAGATGTCAACAGCTATGTTCCTCGTTTCATCCTTGAAGCCAGGCTGGTTTGCCGATGATAAGGTGTGGGCACGTGATGTATGGTGAAGGCACGCCTTTCGTGGGGTTGACCAAAACGACGCCGCACAGTTTATTCAGTGGTGTTGGGGATTTCAGAATGGGTTGAATATACGCTGTATATACGGAATCACAGTTGCACCTAAAGGTATATCCAAGTAGATGATTCCAAAACATACAGATATTAGTTTATTGGGTTTGTAAAGAGGACTGTTATGATGAAGTGGTGTGGTTTATCTGGACACGGTAACTTTCAGAGTTAGACCAAAAGAGCGCAGATAGACTTAATTAGTCTATCTCTCTTTCTACACTTACAATTCTTCAGCTTCATTTCTAACTCTAGTGAATATTCCGTATACCTCCTTACAAATTCTGGTCGCTTTAGATCTTCTTAGTCAACATCGAGGACCTGGCAGGTCCGGTTCCAACCCACTCGATGGGCACATTGACGAAGTCCTCAATGAATTTGAGATACTTCTTCGCGTTCTCGGGCAAATCTTCGTAGGAAGTAATGGATGTGATATCCTCGTCCCAACCTGGAAGAGTGACATACTCTACCTCAACCTTGGCAAGAGCATTGAGGTCTTCTGGGAAAGACGACAACTTCTTACCGTGAAGGGAGTACGAAATACCAACCTTGATCTCCTTGAAGGTGTCCAAAACATCCAACTTGGTGATGTTAAGACTGGTGTAGCCGTTGATCAGAGTAGAGTACTTGAGCACCACGAGATCCAACCATCCACAACGTCTCTTTCTGCCGGTAGTGACACCATACTCGGCTCCAATTGTTTGCAACTTGTCACCATCATCGTTAAGCTGCTCAGTGGGGAAGGGGCCCTCGCCCACTCTAGTGGTGTATGCTTTGACGACACCGTAAATGTTGCGAATTGCCTTTGGAGGAACACCAAGACCAGTCAGAACACCTCCAATACCAGTGTTTGAAGACGTCACATAAGGGTACGTACCGAAATCAATGTCAAGCATGAGAGCATTCGCTCCCTCGACCAGAATCTTCTTATTCTTGGCAATTGCGTCGTGCATGAAGTCGACAGAGTCAACAACAAACGGCTTGAGCAAAGAGCGGTACTCCTTGTAACGAGCCAACTCATCTTCAAAATCATATTCAAACTCGCCATATCTCTTCATTCTGGTGTCCACAAGTCTTCTCAAGCGAGCCTCAAATTCAGCCCACGATTCAGGCTCATCGCTCACCAAATGGTGAACACGGATTCCCGAACGAGAGGCCTTAGTAGAATACGTTGGACCAATACCTTTTCCGGTGGTTCCAATCGACTTCTTGTTCTCGCTAAGCTCTGCCTCCTTGAGCTTATCAGTTCTCTGATGAAAATCAAACACAAGATGAGCTCTGGAAGAGACGAACAGACGCGAACGACAGTCCAAGCCCTTCTTCTCGAGATTCTCGAGCTCCTCAAAAAAAGATGGAACATGAATAACCACACCGGATCCAACCAGATTCAAACAGTTGGGGTTAACCAGACCAGAAGGCAGCATGTGGAAGTCGTACTTGACTTTTCCAACGACAATAGTATGACCAGCATTGTTTCCACCCTGGCAACGTGCACAAACTTCAACATCGTCACAAAGCACATCAACCAGCTTTCCCTTTCCCTCGTCTCCCCACTGGGAGCCTAAAACAACATCCATTTTAGCAGTTTAATAGAGTGAACGCAACGAAACGTTATCCAACCGAGGAAAGAGTCATGGGCGAAGAGGGCCGGTCACTGCCAAAGCTTATGTCTGCGGGTCGTGCAAACTGATCAAATTGGATTGACTCTGTTGGGTGTGTGGGACACGACACGGAGATGACCGCAAATTGAGAATTATTACGGTGAGCACTGGTCAGTAATGAAGTGTTCTCTGTAGGGGGAGATATGGTTTCAGTGTGTATAAGAGAATGGTGCGGCAAGATTTTGGTTTGAGCCGGAAAGTGCTGGTTACCGGGGTATAGGCTGGGACGAGGTGACAGCGATATCCACTAGTGTGTAGACATAACAGAGGACTGGGGGCTCAAACTGGGACTCAAAACGAGACAACATTTCTGACCGAACTGACTGTGGAGCCATCAGATCAAGGTCTTAATGGCTTCCGGGTCACTTTCCTTAATCCTCGAAATCAAGAATGTCATGAAGTGTATTTATCATTATATTGCCGCACTGTATCTTGGAAACGGCGCTGCGATCTGTAGAGAATATCTGATCCGGGGATAGGCGTAATCACGAAAAGTCTTAAAGGAAGCCGATTCATTAATCCAAAAGCTCATAGATGATGGCGCATTGGCTAGATTTCCATTTTTCCCGATAATCAACGTGAAATGTGCCAAATACAGACCCCTCAGCGGTTTTAGAACATGCGGCAATGGGCCACTATCAGATCGGGATGAGCCACGGCGCAAAAGTAATAAGTCTGTGTCGAAGTTGTCAGGATGGACAATCACATATACTAACGTACCAGGGCTTTTCAAAACATTCGAGTCTATTAGCATACAAATTGGAATTCAAATGGCGTAGATCACCAGTCTTATATGCTTTGAATAGCTTTTTGACATCCTCTGTTTCCAAATCCGCCTTGACTGAAGCGCTTATGCGCAATACGCCAACGATCTCAAATGCCGTATCTGTATATCCTTATTTTTCCCTAAATTTGACAAGCCTTTACCACCTGAGTAAGCAATTGCCCAAATTATCTCGGGATATATTCTCCACCGGTTCCAGCCGCCAACAGCCGTCCCGTCGATAGCCGTGTAGTGCCTTTCCTAATCCCGAGTTGATTGAGTCATTTCAGCACGGACGATATCTCACTCCTCCGACCATCACTTCTTCTTCATATCAACCCACAAATGACAAAGGCTTTAGATTTCTCCAAGTTCCTCTCGGAGGAAGCCAAGCGCCGTGAGCCTTCGCCTCTCAAGTCCGCATTCAAGTACTTTTCGGACCCAAACATTGTCTTTCTTGGTGGTGGACTGCCCCTACCAGACTACTTTCCTTTCGAGAAGGTTGTCGCTTACTCGCCAGCGCCACCTTTCTCAAATGGAATTGATGCTAAACCTACCGATGACTCCAACACTACTGTTGTAGATGTGTTGAAGAACAATGCTGCCGCTGGAGATGTCTCCCTCGCCAAATCTCTGCAATACGGTTTCACCGAAGGTCACACTGAGCTGCTTGCATTCCTCAAGGGACATACCGAGCTGGTCCACAGTATTCCATACGATGATTGGGGACTTATCACAACCGTGGGTAATACCCAGAGTTGGGATGCTACCCTCAGAACCTTCTGCAACCCCGGTGACCACATTATTGTAGAGGAGTACACATTCTCTTCTGCCCTTGAGACTGCCAGATCGCAGGCCCTCAAGTTTGTTGGTGCACCCATGGATGACGACGGAATAATCCCCGCCAAGTTGGACGAAATTCTGACCAATTGGGACCCAGCTAAAGGAAAGAAGCCCGTTCTTCTGTACACCATCCCCACTGGCCAGAACCCCACCGGGTCTAGTATTCCAACTGAAAGAAGGAAGGAGCTCTACAAAGTTGCGCAGAAGCATGACTTCCTCATTGTTGAGGATGAGCCATACTATTTCTTGCAGATGGATCCTTATGTTGCTGCTGATGGTGCTGATAAAGAGAAGCCCGTCGCACAAACTCACGAAGAGTTTCTCAAGGCACTGGTGACTTCGTTCATCTCTATCGATACCGATGGCAGAGTCATTCGCCTTGACTCGTTCTCCAAGGTGCTTGCCCCAGGTGTGAGACTCGGTTGGATCGTTGCCCAGGACAATCTGCTTGAGCGTTACGTTAGATTGCATGAAGTTTCGATCCAGACCGCATCTGGCTTCTCCCAGTCTTTGGTCCAAGGTCTCTTGAACCGCTGGGGTCAAAAGGGCTATCTTGATTGGTTGATTGGCTTGCGTCACGAATACACCGAGAAGAGAGACTTTGCCATAAACTCCATTGTCAAGAATGTGCCTTCGTCAATTTCGCACTATGTTCCTCCCGTTGCTGGTATGTTCTTCACCGTTTTCTTTGATGTGACTAAGCATCCAAAGTACGTTGAATTTGGAAAAGATCCACTCAAAGTGGAGAATGCAATTTACGAAAGGGCACTCGAGTGCGGTTCATTGATGATTCCAGGTTCCTGGTTCAAGACCCCCGCCGAGGACGCACCTCCTTTTGGCGACCACATCTTTTTCAGAGGAACTTATGCTGCTGTTCCATTGGATCAGCTCGAGCTTGGAATTCAACGTTTTGGTGACGCCGTTAAGCTTGAGTATGGCCTGTAGATAGAGAGATAGAAGCAGGGATAGATACTGTCTAATACAAAATTCTGAAACTCAAAATGTAGTGTCTGGTCTATGTTAGTACAACTCACTCGATGTCGCATTTTTTAGTATTCTCGCACGACCATAGACTTGTTTCTCCACGTACATTTGTACTTCGTAACAAGCCAACAACTCGCTTTGTTTAAAGCTTCACACAATGCACATTCTAAAATTGCCGTGGCTTTGCCACCAGGGTAAGTAGTATCACCTTTATTGCGTTGAATTGTCTAATATGCGATTGAGTATTGTCTGCTGTGCCGTTTGAATGATCACTAACCCCCACAAGAGGAACACAGGAAGTTCGAGGTTTACTCTGTGAGCATCAGTTCAGACGGAAAACGGCTTGCCACCGGTGGATTGGATGGAAAGATCAAAATATGGTCTGTGGCTTCAATTTTAAGGTATACAAACTTCCAGCAAGGAGTTGAATTGGCAGAAACTGCTGACCCGCGTTCTTCTCTCACGCGGCCGCTCTGCTCTATGAGTCGTCATACTGGTGCCGTAACTACGGTGCGATTTTCGCCGAGTGGCCGATTTCTTGCTTCTGGTTCGGATGATAAGATAGTGCTGATTTGGGAAAAAGATGAAGAGGCATCGCGTGCCATGGGAGCTACTATAGAGCACAGACTGAACGCGTCGTTTGGTGACCAGGCCGCAGATCTGGAGCATTGGACGGTGCGAAAGAGGCTGGTTGCTCACGACAATGACATCCAGGATATGGCGTGGGCCCCTGATTCGAGCATTCTAGTGACTGTTGGTTTGGATAGATCAATCATCGTGTGGAACGGTACCACCTTCGAGAAGATCAAGCGGTTTGATATTCACCAATCACATGTTAAGGGAGTGGTGTTCGATCCCGCAAACAAGTACTTTGCCACAGCGAGTGACGACAGAACAATGCGTATTTTTCGGTACCACCGGACCTCCCCTACAGATCTCACTTTCTCGCTGGAACACGTAGTGGTGGATCCATTCAAGAAGTCGCCCCTAAGCACATATTTTCGTCGTTGTTCGTGGTCACCTGATGGTCAGCATATTGCCGCCCCTAATGCAGCCAACGGTCCTGTTACTTCTGTGGCCATTGTTAACAGAGGCAACTGGGCTTCAGATATTAGTCTGATTGGCCATGATGCCCCTTGCGAAGTGGTGGCGTTTTCACCACGACTGTTTGAAGTTGAAGACGCAAAGAAGGACGATGACGTAGCCAGTGTTCTGGCAACTGCTGGACAGGATAAGTCTCTCGTAATCTGGAAGACTGATATGGCACGTCCGTTGCTCATTGCGAGCGAGGTCTGCTACAAAGCTATCACAGATATGGTGTGGACGCCAGACGGGTCTGGTCTATTTTTGTCTTCCTTAGATGGTACCATTACCGCCATTCAATTTGAAGAGAATGAACTTGGAAAGGTCATCCCACTTGAGAGGAACGATGCTCAGTTGCATCGCTATGGTGTCGATAGGGAAAGTATGGTGTTCCCAGAGAGTGTTGAGCAATTGCTTCTCGAAGAGAAAGCAGAACTGCTGGATCCAGAAAAGGGGTCCGATCATCTCAAAAGACTTATGGGCCAGGATTCTGCTGTCCTAGTAAGTCCTCGGCATCCACGTCTCTCGCCCAAACCCGATGCCTCTCCCAAAAAGCAGCAACCAGCAGTGAATTTGACGCTATCCTCGCAAAAAGTGACAATAACTAAAGGAGGAAAGAAGAGGGTAGCGCCACTTCTTTTATCGGCATCCAGTGCAGCTCAGAAACCCAAGATTGAGTTCAAGAAAACGACCAAGGCCATGAACAGTTTGCTATCACAGCCTTCGTATCGTCTCCCTCGTTTCGGTCTTCAAACAGCTGTGAGCGCTCTTCGAGATGAGCTTGTGATTGAGCCCGAGAACGTTGGCCATGATGATAATGCCATAGACACAATCGAACAAATAAGCCAGACCAAAATACAGCCGGCCAAGGGTCAGGTCTCGTCGAAGAAACGCAAAGAAGTGGAGTACCCACAATATCTCAGGAATGCCACGCTTTGCCCTACAACAGTCTTTGCGGACCACAAGAACCAGCCATCAATTTTGCTCAAAGTTGCCGTCAACGGTACCAACTTGTTGGAAATCCGCAACTCAGAAGATGATGAGAATGAGTACACGCGTGTTTTGGGTCATGACAGCGTTCGCGGTCGCACTTTTGAACTTTTTACTCCGAACAAGATCATTGCGTGTGTGGGTCACGCTGATGAGTACTGGGTGCTCGCAAGTGAGACCGGCTCTATCATGGTGATCTCGAGCAACGGTCGCCAGTTACTACCCACAATCGAGGTGGGCAGTCCCGTGCCGATACTCAAGTGTAACGGATCGAAACTACTAGCGGTGACTTCCCTAGGTGAGATTTTCACCTGGGATCTTGTCAAGCAACAGGCGATAGCGCTCGGTGTTTCCCTTTCTCCCATTCTGAATCACTTGACCCCGCTAGACAGGGTATCATCTGTTCCAAACGTCGAACGAATCGAATTAACACCAACAGGATTACCTCTGGTGATGCTTGAAACCGGCGATGCATACTCGTGGTCTCCAGATTTGCTATCGTGGATCGAGGTGGCTGGCCGATACTACATCTCCCAGCTGGAAGGTGTTGACAGGCTAAAGTCGTCGCGGTATGACATGATTGTGCGGCAGATCTACAGAGACGTGAAGCGTGATCCAGCTGGGTCTTCGGACAAGTTTTGGGAGATATATGAGAGATCCAAGGAACTGATAGGTGAAAATTAGACAATGTTTAGGGAAAATGACATGTACATCACACACTAACTACGAAGCATAGATTACGGGATATTATGTGCGGAATCTAGGTAGTCCCTATGATTAATATTTGTTAGCGATCATCAGCAGATTAAGTTTCTTGAGTCAAAGCAACTTCGATCTCCAATTCTAGTGTACAATTCGAAGATACGCGACCTTTATTACCACTTCTTATTCTTTTTCATCACCTCCTCCCAATCACGTCTCTTGGGCTTGACCTTCGTAAACTCGTCACGAATATGCAAGAACTTACATGTGTCACCGAAACCACAATATCCAGTCTGCTTGAAGTCCTTGCAAACATCCGGCTGATAATCGAGAATCACGTTGGCAGCCACGTTGGCAGCACGTTTCATCACCGAGTCCTTCTTTCGCTTGGCATCTTTCTCAAGCAACATGGACTCCTCCGAAACAAGCCGGTCTGTACGTGTGGCGGAATCGCTTTTGGAGAGAAGAGTGCTTGCATCTGAGGATGTGGTGTCCTTATTGACAGGCTTCTCTGTCTTCTCTGTCTTCTCTGTCACAACTGGCTTCTCATCCTTGAGTTTCCTCTTTTTAACCACACCACGATCTATGTCCTCTTCTGTGCCGGAACTGGCGTCCGAACCATCACCAGCGTTATTTTCCCTACCCCCTGTAGGCTTTTCCTGTGACCGCTGTCGCCTCGTGCCCTGAACGACTCTCTTCTTGAACATGACCTGAGTCAACTTCTCCACCTATAAAACGCCACACGCCAGTGATGATGAAGTAAGACAAGGCGTGGGAAACTCATATGGTTGTATTTGAGAATACACGACAAGATCTTAATCACCTGACATGGATTAGGGCAAACGACCCTCCTTTGGAAAGAAGGGCGGCTCGATGGCATCTTCGGTGGCACACGCCCACCAGCGTCCGAAACTTTTGTAACCACCCTGGAAAATTGGTGCTCAAAGCGTTTGGAAAGATCTCTCTTTCGAATCACCATCTACTCCCCAATACAGCAACAATGGCCGTATGTACTCCATTACATGTCTTAGGTACTGTCACATCTGGTTTTGCGGCATTTATGGTTTACGGGAACGTGAACATGAATGGGGAAACCATGACAGGTCCATGAAAAGTCCCTGGACAACGTACTAACACCCATGCAGAAAGAAATCAAAGACATCAAGAAGTTCGTTGAACTGTCCAGAAGAGGCGACGTTAAGACTGCCACTATCAAGGTCAACAAGAAGGTGAACTCTGTCGGTAAGCCATTCAAGCAGACCAAGTTCAAGATCAGAGGAACCAAGAGTCTGTACACCTTGACCGTTGACGACGAGGAGAAGGCCAAGAAGCTGTCCCAGTCTCTCCCACCAACCTTGGAGATCACCAAGATCGAATAATTCTATAGTATAGGCTGAAAAATACGACAAAAACGGAAATGGAGATGTAGTTGAAGAAGAGGTAGGGTTTACTGGTAACCACGAGGGCATGCTGTTAATATTGGCAGCTTCGATATCTGGTTTCCAGATTTTGCATAAAGTTCCCAGTTAATGAGACTCTTGATTTGAGAGTATCGTAGTCCCTTTCTTTATTAATATTGGAATGTAGATGATCATTGATGATGCCGTTAAGACGGGAAGCTTATAGATCAACACCGTTCTTCCACCAACACAAGCTTCGTTACCAGGTTCCATCATATGAATCGATCTAAATCACCTTCAATTCCTGGAAAGGCATGGCAAAAGTGGGCACTCTTCTGATTCTCAGGATGGCCTTTCCGATTCTCAAATTACACTTTCTCTACACCTATCGTTTCAAAATATCAATTTAAACTAGCTTATTAACCCAAACCAAAACCAAGTGCTGAAGGAAGCATTCGTGATATTGCCAGGATCAGTCGCTCGGAAGAGCGCCACATATCACACAATACACACGCAAAGCACCCATTCAGCCGTACTCTATGCACCCTACTCGAAAAGAACAAAGTCGTCAAAGTCAAACTCCGACGCGATCAATGGTGCTGCTGACCACGTCTTGCCTATGCGTACAGTTCAAAAATCCACGGATGTATCGGAGGTTCCCACTAAGGGAGAGCCATCTCGGTCTGTCCAGAGCTTGGCACGAGAAGCCTCACTACGCCGTTCAGAAGGCAAGCCTAGGCATTAGCCTTGCTCTCTGAACGGTGTTAGAGTTTCTTCGTGTCGCCAAACTTGTACCAGGTCCGCTGTCTCAATCCCTCTGTGAAAACGACCATTGCCGTAAATTTCCTTGTGTACGATCATCACTGCTGGATGATGCAACCGATTGGAATCCGTCTTCGTTAAACCTGACAACAGTTGTTCTTCCGAATCTTCGTTCTCGGCCATCTCGGGATGGCTCGAGTGTTTTAGCTCCAAGTTCGAAGGGACAATCAAGTCCTCCTCATCGAAGAGTGGGAGTGGGCTCTTGTAGTAGTTCGACGTGATATCGTCTTCACCTTCTAGCTTCAACACAAAGTTAGAAGGCGATGTAGAGTCCAGATTTGACAGTGGAGGCGAGAGATAGTAGTCCTCGGGCTTCCTCTTGATAGGCACTGTGAACTGGGGCTCTTTTGGTTGAAGTTTTGCCGATTTGACTTCTTTTGCGGGTCTAGTATCGTCGTCTAGATCAGACTCATCATCTTCATCCATCTCAAGTCTGCCAACACGATCCACCACAATTACAGGTGTCAGCGTGAGGTCCAGATCCGAAACGTCTCCCCCAAGTTTGGAAAGACGGGAGATCAACTCCGTCTGGATCTCCTTGAGACGATCCTCGTTGGAACGGTACACCGAAATGGAGTCTTCCAAACGGTTCACGTGCTCCTCCAGAAACTCGACGTGTTTCCGCTTCTTCTCGCGCGATGCGTGAGCCGCTCTGCGGTTACGCAGGATTCGCTCAACTCGGCGCTGCTCCTTCTCCTCTTGTGTGCGAGCACGTTTGCGAGGCGGTAAAGCGGCACCGGGCTTGAGATCGGCAGCGGTACTCATAAGTGGGTATTAGGACGAGTAAAGGCTTGCGATTGGTTGCGGAAATCTGTCAAAAGGCAGAGGACCGACAAAAACAAGAGATGATGAAACAAGGGGGCGATGAACAAGGGCAATCGGGCTTGTTTAAATACACGCCCATCATGATCTGAGGCTGAGGCTGAGGCTGAGGCTGGTGAGGGGGTGTATGGGGTGGCATGTGAAGTGCACGTCTTTCCAGGCGGTTCTATATATAGAGGTCTAAATTCGGGCAACCTAGAAATATATATGCGTGATTGGATAATTTTGGAAATATATTCTGTCCATGTCTATGTGTTTTGGTAGTTTAGTTTCCTGAAGATTCAAAACGGAAATCGTTGTCTCCCAAGCCGTGCATCCGTATTCCTCCAGTTGTGGATCCGCATGTTGAAAGGTACATATACCGTCTTCCACAACACGGAATAATATATATAGACATAAGCGTTTGGGGGGCAGACGGGTGTTTAGGCTGAAACGAGATCTACACTTTACAGTGAATCACCGTTAGAGAAGGTGGACTGCACACTATCTACGAACCATAGGCGTAGCAGAGGTTTACGAGATACGAGCTTTACAATATTTAGTGTAGATTGGATCGTCAAACCCTGAAGAGTGGTGGTAGATCACCGCACAATCGGTTACAGAGGGGCCAGACCGAACCAATATTTTTCTCTATCGCATCGCCGAGTCTTCGAAATATTGACATTCCCTGCTAACATCTCCGCGTATTCCTTCCATACCTCCTTCACACAGCTCTACAATTAGGCTTTCACCCCCTTCGGATCACGCCTGAGGTGCTTGAAAAGTTATTGACTCTTCACTCTCAGCAATTGTGAGTTCCTTTTTCATCCTCTTCTTATAACATGTTGAACACTGTCAATTCTCGTCGTGTCTAAATCACTTTTTGAACCAGGCTCTGCACGTCTTTCTGCAGTGACAGAGTTTCAGCCCTACTCCTTCCCAGAAATCAGTGTATAGTATGTATAAAACTTACAGAGTTATAAAACAAACGGCACTATTGCCGTGCAGTATATCACGTGTGTATAGGGGAAATGCAGCTTCGTCTCATTTGCGGCCCTCCTTGAGGTCCAGGTATCGGTAGTAGTCAAAGTTGCGAAGTCCCGGGTTCAGATCCAAGGAAAGATCCACAAACTTCCGGGCATTCTCTGTAATGGAGCCCTGAACCAGCTTCTCGCGATCATTTACCGGAGTCAGGTTTGTGTACTGACGAGCAGTTGGATCCGGGTACACCTTCGAGAATGGGAACCACGTCTGGAGCAGTTCGTAGGACGCAAGAGTGAATCCGAACTGGGGCGATGAACGGAAGATCCTGGCAAGCCCACCTTTGAATAAGGCACGGAATCCTTCCTCACGAACGATCCTTGCAGCAGAAGCTCTGATTCCTTTGTACTGCCTCTCGCCGGGTCTCGTTTCGACCTGGAGTCTTGTCTTGATCACATCACATGGTGTGGTCAAATACGCAGCTGGCATGCCTGCAAGTGCACCACTGATGAGCAATTGCCATGACTCAAGATGGTCACGCTTTGTAGGGTCCTTGGGGTCCAGTTTAAAAAGGTGCTTCTTGATATTGGCGTATGTAGGGAAGTAGATTGCAGAGAAAGGAACGTCTCTCAACAGACATGCAGAAGCTCCCTTGTACAATCCACGAATTCCGAGTTCCTTGACAATACTGAAAGCAGTCTTGGGGACCAAAGGAGGCAATTCCGGCTTCCCAGCGGCTTTGGCAGCGGCAGAGTCCATGGCATGGTGCCTCAGAGTCTCTCCTTGGACTTGTAAACGAATCTTGGTGATTTCCAGAGGATTGGTGAAGACAACTTGACAAGCACCAGCTGAGCAACCTGCCAAAACCTCCCATGCCATGGTGATGTCACCTCCTGGAGACATCTTGGCACCGATGGATCTCACGAGATCGTTCACAGTGAGCTTGATGGCCTTTTCAGGCGCAACTCCGACCAATTGGGGCAAAAGACCCGAGTAAAACCCACGCGCACCCTCGTGCTTGAATACTTTGCGAAAACAGTCCCAGTAAGACGAATACTTTGAAAAATTGACCTGGTTTTGCATTCTAGTCTTGACGAGATCAATTGGATACACCATGGTTGCGCCAAACGCACCAGCAAGCGATCCAAGCAAGAATGAGTATGCCGAGTTGAAAAGAGGGTAAAACGAAAATGGATTGGGTACAACCATGTCGTCGGTAAGAACAGCTATCATATCGTCAGCGCGGATGGATGTAGGGTCCTGCTTATTGGCAAGAAAAGAAGTCCAGAAGTAGAAAAGCGAAACGTCACCAGCAGTAATCTTTGGATTAGAGGCCTTGGCTGCCTTCAAAAACTCGTCTTGGGTCACGGGCTTCGACGTGTCTGCCAGAAGATGGTTGTAGACAGAGTAATTATAGCTGGGCAGATTGGTCAACAAGTCCAGAATTGAAAAGGCTTGATCATGGGTCAAAGTATCGTTTTTGTAGTACAACGATGACACTTTTGAAACTTGATCAAGGACAGTTTGCGGAAGACGGTTGTCAAAGACAGAAGCAAGGTCCTTCACAAAAGCATCCACCTTGATCTTCCCATCCTTGAATTCAGCTGACTTTTCCAATTTCGCGCGTGGCAGTTCTTGCAAAAAGCTCTGAAACTCAGGAAAAGAAACCTCCTTCTTGGAGAATTTCCACGCTCCAGGGTCACCGCCAAGTTTCCCCAGCACAGAGACAAAGCTGTCATAGTGCAAGGTGTCAGATGAGTCACCAGCGTCAAGGTCACGCTCGAAGAGCTTGAAAAGCTTGAATAAAAGTCTGAACTCCGAGCCTTCGAGAGCATGAGACTCCACAAGCTCGCGATTGAACCGAATCCAGTCTTTCTGCGTCAAATAACCCTTCGAATCCTGATCTGCAACCAGATACAGCAAGCCAACACAGTCAACAGGACCAAAGTTTGTACTTAAAGGAGCCAAAACCTTGGAGAAATCCTCATAGCGCAGGACCTTATCGTTTGCAGTAGCATCAAACCGTGCAAAATTGTCGAAAAGAGCAGAAACTGGGCCATCGAACGGTGTTTGGCTCGAAACAAACCTCACGGCCTTGGCCGAAGAAGATAGAGAGCCCTTGAAATCTTGAGAACCACTCATGGTGTATAGCCAACAGGAAAATTAAAATGGCTTGTCTGGGAATTTCTAGACGATCATAGGTATTCTACAAAAGAACCCACGAGTACAAGATGTAATTGAGCAGGAAACAAGAAGGGTCTTCAAGCGCCCTCATACTGTGGGGATAGCCGAAGAAAAGTTGGTGGAGGCTAAAAGTAGTGGATCCATCGATCCGACCCGATTTTCTCCTTACCCCTCCCGGACTTTGGAACCCAATCTGGGGTCGTGTTTGAAATAGTTAAAGCGGGAGGTTTCTTGTTGTGAGGTGAGATTATGTCTTTGGCGGGATATTTGGCTGAGAGGTATGGGAATCAGGTGAAAGATAAAAAGAAGAAGGAGAAGAAAAAGGAGAAGAAGGCGAAGAGAGGTCGTGATGGTGGTGGTGATGATGACAATGGTGCGCATGCTCTTGTTCCTGCTGGTTTCGAACTGGCCGAGGAAGACGACGAAGAAGCCAGCGTTTCAGTCTCAAATAAAGTCCTATCAGCTACAAAAGGCTGGAAGCGAGTTGGCGACGATGCTATTGTCGAAAGGGAAGTTGAGTCAGTTTCTGTGGAACCCATAAACGAGCACCAGACGGTATACCGTGATTCTTCCGGAAAAATCATCCAAGACTACGCCCAGGAACTACAGCGACGGGCCATTGAGCAGAATGAACAAGAACTTGCGAAAAAATCCGCTGTCAAACGCGAAAATGCTGGTTTAGTTCAACAAATCGAGGCCAGCCAGCAGCGTTCCAAGCTGGAGTCTTTGAAGGACCAGCCGTTGCACGTGACTGCTGAAGACTCGGGTCTCAATGCGGAACAGCGACAAGAGATTCACCGGGCTGATCCAGCATTGATGTTTGATAAGAGCACGAGTGAGCGTTTTGGTAGTGGTTCGAGGACTGTCTCGCGAACTGGAAGGAAGCTTTATTCCGGGAGCTTTGCAGAAAATCGGTTTGGAATACGGCCCGGGTATAGGTGGGACGGTGTTGATCGGTCCACTGGGTTTGAAAAATTATGGTTTGAGGCACAGGCGGTAGAGAGAGAGAGGCGGGTACTAGAGTATACCATGCAGGAGGAATATTGAGAGCAATTGAGGCCTGAAAGGCTGCTATGATGCTCAATTTGAGCGGCTTTTATGGGGATTGAGATGACGGTTGGTGGTTACTAGCTAGTGTGAGATGCTTTGAAACTTCTTGAGAACTGGCGACGACTCGGTACGAGTACTTTTGTCTTTCAACACTCTTCCCACTCTACATCATCAACTAAAATGAACTTTCTTAACTTTTCTAACTGAACTAACATTTCAAACGTGAACACACGGCTCCATCTTACCTCAAACTGTTGTTGGCTTGCCTCTGCCTCTTCCTCCTCTGCCTCCTCTTCCCCTTCCCCTGTTGCTGGTCCTCGTACCTTCAGATGATGGCGTGGTCGCGGGGACGACATTGTTGAGTGACAAAGTGTTGATTGGTGGCAGAGCAACTGGTTGGTTCGACTGGCCCATGACCTGGCCCATGACAGCACCAAATATATTCTGGGCAGCGTGTGGAGTAGTAACTGGCTGTTCGCTAGATACGTCTGTGGTTTCCTTATTGCCCTTGATCAACGACAACAGTTCTCCCTTTTTCTTGGACTCCACCTTCTTCTTGGCATCGGCAACAGCCTTCTCTTTCTGTTCCTTCAGCTGCTGTCTCTTTGCCTCTCTCACAGCCTTCTGTTCAGGAGTCAACTTGACCTGGGTCTGCGACTTGGCCGCAGAAGCCTTGGAATGATACACAAAGTTGGCGTGCGTTAGATTCAATAGAGCAGACGAGTCAACGGACATACCACGACGAGTCTTTAAACGGCCGTCAAACGTGTTACCTGTCATGATTGGCTCGTCGAAAAGAACCTGGATGGTCACTTTGGTTGCGATGGAACGATATCCAAGAACAGTTCCCTTACTAAATACAGGAACGTTTCCAGTGTCGAGTACGTACACCACACGGTCTCCAAGCTCGAACCTCTGTCTTGCAAGCAGTTGGAAAGATGTCTTTGCATCGAGCACGGCCTGTCTTGGAATACCTCTGACCGCCTTTGTTGACACCTCGTGAGGTTGTGCAACATAGTCGATGATCTGTCTTTCGATCTCACCCATGCTGAGTCTCGTCAAAGACTCGGTGTCCAAGGAAACAATGTTTAGGCCTGCCTTCTTCTCTTTAAGGTACGAAGTAACCTCTTGGACTCTGGCCTTCAAGGCATCAGGGTCAGTGAGACGGAACGCGTCTTTGGCGTCTGGCATCTTATTGCCCTGGATGTTTTTGAGGTTGTTGAAAAGTTCTGGGAATTTGCTCATGTATTCCTTCAAGAAGTTAAAGGCAAAGGCACTGTACTCCCAGCCTCTTTCTCTCTTGCGGGTAAAGCCAAGTGCCTTCTCCATTCTAGAGTCGAACTTCAGTCCAAGACCAACGTTGATTTTCTTGGAGCCTAGCTGGATCATGTACGAGGACGTAATCTTGCTCAGAAACAATCCTGAAATTTTGAGCATGCGTGCCACCTCATAGGAGGGAAAGTATTGGACTGTCTTCTTCTCCAATTGGGCCTTCTGAAGCCCATAGTTGGGTTCTTTGTCGGTGGAAATTTTTGAGACTTTCAAAGTCAGCTTGTCGTTGTTCTCGTGGCCAATCACGGTCGCCAAAGTACCGTAAGCAAACGCACCCAAAAACACAACCTTCGAACCCTTTGGATATTCTTCTTCAATAGGAACAGCATCTTTCTCCTCGTATCTTTCGTCTTTGTTGACAACGTTGTCCACGATCAATGGGATCGGATAGTATTCAACCACGTCCTTGAAGGTTTTCTTGAACGAGCCGTTTGGCTGTCTGATCAATCCGTTGACTGGTCTCACCGCAACAACACCTTGGATCTTCTCGTAAACCATTTTGCCCGGGAGTTCAACACCCTTGGAGATCTGGTACGTCTCAATCAGCTTCTTGCGGTTTCTGTCATATTCTGTAGCTTCAAAGTTCTCAAGAGGGCTTGTCAAAAGCCTTCCTTTGGTGTCTTTGGTGTACTTGAATCCTTCATCTTGAACATACAAAACTTGGGATTCACGCAAGTATGGCCAGTTAGAGTACACGATGGATCCCACGTATTCTTGAGCAAACTGGCTCACTGTCAGACCTTGGTGGCAGTTCTCGATTGCCAAGATCATAGAAGCAGACCGCGATGGCTGGTTGAAAACCAGTACATTAGCAAGCTTCAGATTGAATCTGAAGGCCACGGTGCTCAAAGTGGGGAATCCGGCAAGGGCTTCCTTTCCCACGACGGCACCAGGACATAGACCGTGGACATAGGTCAAGCCTTCCATTGAAGGCAAAGTGAAGACGGACTCGACACAGAGGTCCTTCTCAATGTCTGCAAATGCAGACGGAAGAGGCGAGGCATAATACTTCTTCAACTGAGGATTGAAGCCAAACAATATGTTGTTTCCCCTGGAGTTTCTCACCTTCTCTTCAGGGCTCAGCTTGTCGAGATAAGGTTTCATGGCTTCAATCAATCTGTCTGGATCGACGAAGGAAATCTTGATAACAGCTTCCCAAGATGCGTTCTTTCCGTTCATGTCGACGTCCACCTTGTCGGGGTAGAAATCGTGGATTGGTGAAGTTTCCTCGGTCATTAATGGTCTTAAACAGGCAGGAATCAAGAAACGGGATCTTGCCGGCAAAACAGCCATCAACTGTTGGAAAGGAGTAAAAGGCTCTCCTTTATTAAACTCGATCTTCTTTTCTAAACCAATGGCAACATCCGAGATTCTTGGAGCATAGTGGTACTTGAAGTACCATGGCCAGGATTGGACACCCTCATAATAATACGACAAAACCCACTGCAAACCTTCAACGTAGTTTCCAGTGAACTCGGCCATTTCTACCTCATCCTTGAGAGTAAAACCGAGCTTCTCCTTGTAATACTTGTTTCTCCAGGCAACGAACTTGTCGTTGTAAAAGTCATGTTCTTCTTCGAGAGTCTCCTCGTCTTCTACAAGAACAGAAGTCTCGTAACGTTTGATCGTCTTTCTTAGATCGGTAATGGCATCCTCGTCAAGATCCTCAGCAATTCCGTCGATGTCAAGACGAGCAACGTACTGACCTGCAGACTTACTGTGGATGATGAGAATGCCAACATCAAGAGCAAACTGTCTAACAAACTCCATGTTGAGCTCAGAACCAAAAAATTTTGAGGGAAGAGGAAGTGTGGGGACCTTGGAAGGGTCTTCTTTTAAGGCCGCAACATCCAAATCGTTGGCATAGACAGAAAGAATCCAAGGCTTGATCAGTCCCACAAACTTTCTCTGCTGCTTCACCAGCAAAAGTTTGCCCATTCTCTCTCTCTTCTTGTTTCCTTCGAGAGAAATGTTTTCTAGCTTCATATTGAACCAGTCAACGTCAACATCCACCTTTTCAAAGTTCTCTTGCTCGAACTTAGACAGGATTTTGAGCCAGACTCCCAGCCTCTTCATATTGATCTTTCCAAACTCGTTGAGGTAACCATCCGTCTGTCTCAAAGCATTCTTGAAGTTCTCGATCAACAAGGGGAAGGCACCTTTGTTCAGATGCAAATCGGGCAAATGCGGCAAGAAATCGTTTCCAACCACAAACATGATGAGAATAAAGTCATCCAGCATCCGCTCAAAATCATATTCAAAGCTGATTTGTTCCTCCATGTCCTGAAACTCGAGCTGGAGATACTCCCTGACGAGAGAAAGGTGCAACAGATAGAAATTTTGCTTTGTCAAGTCACTGGAAGCCACGGTTTTTCTTGGACCAAATACAACCTCTTCTCTCAGCAACGCAAAATGGGGCTCGTGTGTCACAAGACCAAGCATTATGAGATCAGCATCCAGTCCGTAAACACAATGACGCACATTCGCCTCATAACCGGGTTGCGATTTCAAAGTACGGATATATTCCATGATTTTGTGTTCTCCTTCACCTGGAACTTCGTGGCCTGACAAAATCACTTCAATTCCCTGCCAATTCGCATCAGATGAAACCTTCTGGTGAATGTAGAACTTCAGGTTTGTTGTGAGCTTGGCCATGAACTCTGTGCCTGGAGTGATGGCGTTGGAGTCAAAAGGCTCTTCCTTGGGCAACTCTAGTCCTTCTTTAACAGCTTTTTGCATGGCTTCTTCGGCCTCGAGAGCAGTTCTAAAACGTCTGGCTCTCTGCTGGTTCATCTTTGCACGCGGGGCTACACCATCAATGGCCATGTAAAACACCTTCCTGGGCTGTATCGTGTTGAACAGATGGTCGATATAAGCGAAAATTGAAGAGTACATCTGCTCGTCGCTCATGCTGGACAGATGGTCATCGTTGCTATGAGTACACGTGTGCAAAATGGAGTTCATATCGAGATACAGATTGTCGAACTCAGGGATCTCATTCTCCTCGATAAGCTGCGATATCATGGGCCATCTCTCGGAGATGAGTCTGAAAAACTTGGGGATACCTTACAGAGTTAGTAATAAAATTCATGGCTATCAAACATTGAAAACTCGCACGAAACTTACCCATTTTTGCAGTTAATTTCCTTTGAGGATTGGTAAGAAATAGTAATACCAACAAGAAGGACTTGCTCTCTTAATGGACCTCTTCAAAGACAAGAGGTCGACGAGAGCCATTATTAGTATCAGTACACTACCTTTTTGTGAGTCTCTCTTTTCTGCCGTTTTGCGTCTGTTGTTTATCATACATCTTTACAGGATCAGTATTCACCACAATGTTTGGATCGGGATTCAGTTTTGGTGGAGGAAATAATTCCACAGGTGCTGGTACTGCATCTACTGGTGGCACCACAGGTGGTGGTGTTTTTGGCGCGGCGAAGCCAGCTGCCTCTAGCTTTTCGTTTGGATCAGGCGGTTCGTCTGGGACTGGAACCACTGGATTTGGTCAGAATCCCACGGGTACATCTAGTGTGTTTGGTCAGCAACAGCAGCAGATGACTCAACCAGTGCAGCAGAGTTCTGGCTTCAGTTTTGGGGCTCCGAAGCCTGCTACTGGCAACTTGTTTGGTAATAACAGCTCTGGCAACTCAGCTTCTGGCAACTTGTTTGGCAATAACAGCAGCGGAAACACGCCTACAAGCAACTTGTTTGCTAATAACAATTCAGCGTCCACTTCGGGAAACATTTTTGGTGGAGGTAACGCAATTAATGCGAACTCTGCTCCCAACACAGCCTCGAACGCACCATCTGGTGGCCTCTTTGGAAACAATTCCACAGGCTTTGGAGCTAATACCAATACCGGCAGCTCTGTTTTTGGCAACAACAATTCGAATACCGGATCTGCGAGTCTTTTTGGAAACAGTGGCGCCAAAACCGGGATGTTTGGTGCTTCCAGTCAGACAAATAATGCGTTCTCACAACCAAACGGACTGGGTTTCGGGACAAATGTGCAGCAGCAACAACAGCAACAACAACAGCAACAGCAACAGCAGCAATTGCCTGAAATCACGCTCACCTCAATGACCAAAGTAAGCGATTTGCCGGAGATGTTCCAGAAGGAAATCGAGGAGATGGACAAGTACATCCAGAGCCAGGTTAACATCTCGGAATTATTGAAGAGTGATCAGGATACACACAGAGAACTTGTGGATAGTGTTCCACGTGATATCCAGTTTCTGGTTTCGAAATACGTTTCGGTGAACCAGGCATTGAACAACGACTCCAAGTTCGTGACCAACTTCAAGGCTAAGGTGCTCGAGGAGTTCAACGATTGGGTGGAAAAGCTCGTAAAGCTGTATTGGCAGCTAACCAATCCTGTTTTGCTGAATAATGCCAACGGAAATATCCGCAATCCGAGCGTCACACAGGCCAATAGTGCTGCGCCGTTGAACGCTCCTACCATCTTGAATCAATACTACGTGACCAAGATCGAGGAAATGAAGGGATCCATTGAGAAATACCAAGGGATACTACAAGAAATTGAAAATTCGGTCAATGACATGGACAAAGTGGCCACCGGTGCTGGCTACGCCTATGACGGTCATGGTTTTGGTCAAACCCACAACCTGGAGTTAGTTGCACAAGCTTTGAAGGAAGAGTTTAAGTTATATGTGGGATTGGCCAACAGTCTCGCAGAAACGCATCATGATGTTAAAAGTTTGGCGGGGGTATTCTAAGAGATTCTGAAAACATTCTCAGTGAGCATTATGTAGGTTAGCATCTTCTCTAGTGCATTCCCCAATTTCAAGGAAGCCCTGGCTTGAGGGGTAGTGTACTCTTCTCAATAAATATCCCTTATCTACGATCTGCTTAAAGGCGCCACCCTCAAACCGCATTACGCATACCAGGAAAGTTATTTTTTGGCTTTAGCAAACTGAAAGTGGCTGAAAGATTAATTAACCAATCGCCTTTTTCAATTATTGCACATTCGAGTGAGTTCTCCTCTTTTCCTAGGCTTTTTACGGGTTCCGGCCTGAGCCGCCATGATTCCCCGCGTTCACCCCTAACCTGTTTCGTTTTCAGCCGTTTCCGATCAATTTGTTAACCACAGACTTACTATAAAGCACCCATTTAATCATTACAATGCTGTATCAGGCCAGGCCTGCCGCCGGCTCTCTTTCAGCTTCTTCATCGGCGGTATCGTTATCGGACCGTGCGCTAAGCACCTCTTCTGACTCCTCGAGGCCTTCTACACCACGCACTTCCGCCAGTGATGATGATTCCTGGTCCATTGTGTCATCCAGCCTAGATTTTGCCGAATCTGCTTCTTCGGGGGGTGTTGTTTCGTCCTCAGATGAGGAAGAAGAACCTGTAGAAGCGCTGTTGCCGCACCCAGCCGACTTCGGCAGAACTGCAGATGCCGATAATGCCAGCAACTTCACTCTGGATGGTTCTGAGAGCCAAGAGAGGTCTTTTAGCCTGCCAAAAATTGATTTCAGGAGATATGACAGGCATGTCGTGCAGCGGATTGAGCCCAATCACCTTAAAAGGCTTCTTTGGTCGCTTGGGTTACTTGGATTCCTGTTCCTGGAGCCAATTATCACACAGAAACTTTTTATCAGGAACACCGCATTGGTTCCGGTGGCCCAACCAGCTGCTCTTGCTACCAGAGACCCGGGAATTGTAATTGTGACTGAGTCAAACAGACATCCACAACTCACAGTAGGGCCTGGGGCGGGGAGTTCGTTGGATTCTACTCGCTGTGCAAGCTTTGGTGAGATCTGTGATTGTTTGTCGGGTTATCTTGAACATAAATTTCGCTTGGCAATAGGTGCGACCAATCATTATGTTGAGGAGTCGAAAGTGCATGCTTTTGAAGCTAAAGAAGCCGCTCAATTGTACTACGAATCATTTGCGGCCTATTCTTCTGAAACCATGGGAAAGCACGGCCCAAAACCAGGCTCTCGTGTTTATGTTATTGGCCAGTTTTGCACCGCTGGTGCTGACTCTGTGAGGCGGTATGCTGCACCAAAGGTTAACAGTGCTCTGGCTACTGCTTCGCCATATGTGGATGTTTTCGGCAAAAAGGCAGTCGATGTCATCACAGCCGTGGCTCAGGTTGCTGCTGCCGATCTGAGAACTGCTGCCTGGAAAAGCAGAGACCTGTGGGCTGTAGCAAATGAGTATGGCTCAGCTGCAATTGCTTCGGGTAAGCATAAGGTAGCTGCCGCCAAGACAACGACTCATGGGTCCCTCTCCAAGAGTGCTGCCTCTTTGAAGACTACTCTTGAACTTTCCAAGGCTAAGGTGAGGGAACACTGGCCCGTTGTCCGTTCCAAAACCGAGGCTTCTGTTTCTAGATTATCTTTGAAGTTGTCCGATAATTTGGACAAGACTCTCAAGAGCTCGGAGGCAAAGATCCAGCAATTGAGAACACGTTCAGAGCCTGTTTTCATGCATATTTGGACCAAGGCTTTGCTGGGAGCTGATTCGACCTGGACTAAGGCTTCTTCTAAAGCCGCTGGCGTCTGGGAATTGATATCTAGAATGGAGTCAAAGGACCATGAAGCTGCTGTTTCTAGCTGGTTTAATGGCCTTTGGGCTGGTGAGGAGAAGAAGGAGGAGGTGGAAAAGTGGTGGAAGCCGCACTGGGTTTTAAACTGGTGAGGTCACTTTGGAATGGGTTTGGTATTGGGGATGGTTTATACGGTTAGTTCTTGAGATGGTTCTGGATGGTTCTCAAAACCGGTTGCAGGTGTGCTTTGGTTGTTTTCAGTTGTTTAGTTCATGATTTTCTTTCCTACTTTTTATTCAGTTTTTCTTTCTGGCAGTTCTGGTGGCCTCATTCTTTTTGGGTTACGGCTCTGCTGAACGCCAAAGGGTATCTTTTTATACATTAGGCTGGCAATCGAATTTGTATTTGTTCATGACATCATTAAAACTAAGGGGTCTGTGCTATTTTTCATTGGTAGCGTTCTTATCAACCTTAGCATCATCGGGCAAACCAAGCTCAGACCACTTAACCCGGTCCATGAGTTCGTTTTGCATCCGACATTCGAGGTAACCTTTAGCTAGCAACCGGCAGTTCGGCGCATTTTCGTTGCGGACGATCTTAAGACACGCTAGATACTTTTTCATCTGCTCTGTACAGTCACCAAAGTGATCCAATGGGAACGAGCCTCTATCTGGAGGCGTAGGCTTCCACGCATTCAATTTGTTTCCTAAGAAGAGCTGTTAGTTCTGGCTCACTCTGAGCATGTTTGTGGCTGCATATACATACCTGGATTCGCCGACATTGGAGTGCAAATCGTGTTAAGTGGTGGTCAGTTGGAGTGAAAAGTTGAATCCGGAGGAGTTGAAGATGAGAGATCTGGAAGTGGTCACGTGATCTCTGCTCTCTAGACCAGATATCAGATATCAGATATGAGGCCAGATTGCCGATACCAGATTCCAATCAGCCTTTTTCCTGATATTTCCTCCAAATGGGCAAATTATTGGTGGTTACAACAGGTGCTACGGCGACCTTTCGGCCTCTTATAGCTGCAACTTTGGATGCCAAGTTTTTGCGGGGAATTGTGAAGCTTGGTTATAATAGAATGGTTGTTCAATATGGAACAGAAGTGCCAATATCAAGACAATTTTACGAGAACTGTGTTGCACAATTGGCTGAATTAAAGTATATTGGAGTGGATGTTGGAAGTTCAAGACTTGAACATTATAAGCTGGTAGTTGAAGGAATCCCCTACGATCCGCAATTTGTGGAGAGATTCGTCAAGCTAGCAGACCTGGTTGTTTCCCACGGCGGAACGGGCTCGATTCTGGATGCTTTGAGACTGGAAAAGAAGTTGGTTGTGGTTATAAATGAGAGTTTGATGGATAATCACCAATTGGAGATTGCAGAGGCTTTTTCAAATATAGGAGTGTTGGTGTATGCTTCTGATGTCAATGAGTTACTGGAAAAGGTTCACGAGGTTGAGAATACTACCATGGCCAAACTGGGGCCCAGTGTAGGTGGAATGGTTGAGAAAGTAATATTACAGGAGTTGTGAGGGTGGTGCAGACAGTGGGCTAGGCTAAACCTGGGCTTTCTTTACACCAACAGCGAGCCTGTGTCGATTACCTTCGCAAGCTTTTTGATGCTCTTTGACTTGGCCACGTGGTCCAGCAAGTCTTCGCGACTCTTATAAAAGTCGTTGATGGTCAGAATCCCGCTCGCGCTTAGCGCCAGCAGCAATTTGTCGATTTTGAAAGCATGGAACCTCGATTTTGAGTCTTGAGAATACGCCTTTGTGCTGGAAACGAGCGTCAAACGAAGCACATATAGCCAGACTGAGCGATATGTTGTTCCTGCATTGTTTGCAAAAAGTGCAGCTGAACATCCCGTCAAAAAGCCTATCAATTGGAGTCTGGCGCTGGTGGACAGACGCGAAAACGCGTTGTTCTTGGTGAGATATAATGACGAAGATCCCAGTCCTACTAAGAACACCACCATTTTGGCACTTCTGAGAAATGAAGCTTTGATAAGCTCCTTGGGTTTCATGTTATCACGAAGAGACAGCCCCACCATGGCTGGAAAAGCGTATTTCAGCAATCCGAAGACCTTTTGTGGAAAGTACGCCAAACACAAGGACCCAGAATCTCCGTCCTCATACAACCCTGTGCTAAGGTTTTCCAGCAGTTTGGTGCAATAACGAGGACAACTATCGCGATCCAAAACGAAATTTCGGTATATCTGGGAAAAACATAGTGGAAAGAGGTACCACGATCTGAAGAAAACGTTTCCTGAAGACCATTTTGCCAACTCGCGCTTGAACTTTTCTGGTCTTATTTGCTCTAGCAGTTTGTATCCAAGTTCCAGGAAAAGGACCGAAAAGTAGACAGACAAATAGTGTTTCTGGTACAGGGCATGGTTTGGATAAAGAGCCACGGCCCCGCCAATAGTTGCCAGATTTGCTAGAAAGGACTCAGGAAGTTTTCCTAGATTCAGACGAGCTATCATACGCAAGATGACAGGTTTGATCGACAAAAGCACCGAAATGGATGCTGTTAGTCTTGCCAAATTGCGCCTGCTATAGTAGAAGCGATCAGTGGTGTGGAGTCTGTGCCCATTTCTGGCCAGAATGGGTGCAAAAACGCCGTTTAGTATTATTCCCAATAACACAGAACATCTTGTCAAGTTTCGAACCATTCGTATCAAAACTGGGCGAAAAGAGCGCGAGTCCTTTGAGTTCAACTCCGTCTCTAAACTCTCAAGCAGCACCGCGTATCGTTCCAGCAACAGAGCCATGGAACCACCGCCAATCCACTCCAAACTCCTGAGCTCATCAGAGCTCACTACCAATGCCAATAAAGTCTTTTTCAAATGTTTCATAGCCTGAGTATTGACCGTGTGCGCTAGTTGAACCCCCATGATATGCCCTTTCAGCCGTCCTGAGCGCTTATCGCAATTTGGTCGTGTGTGCTCTAAAACAGAGTCACTTTTTCAATTTCGCGATTAGGGGCTCTTAGATACAGCATTTTAAAATATTCTTGGACTCTTTCTTCTGCCTTTTCCCAGCTGAAATCTTCAAATTCACGCAATGTCGATCACATCAACAGAACTCGACGGAATCCTGCCACTGCTGGCCAAAGGAAAAGTCCGTGACATCTACTCGGTGGACGCTGAGACGCTTCTGTTCGTGGCTACCGATCGTATCTCTGCGTACGATGTGATCATGGAAAATGGAGTCACCGACAAGGGAAAGCTGCTTACACAGTTGTCTGTGTTCTGGTTTAAGTTCCTTGCTCCTTTTGTCAAGACCCATATTGTTGCTAGTGATGATGCCGATGTGTTTGCGAGATTGCCCTCTGCTCTTAGTGCAGAGCCATACCGCTCGCAGCTTGCCGGCCGCTCTCTGATTGTGCAAAAATATCAGCTGATCCCTCTTGAGGTGATCGTGCGTGGATATATCACCGGATCTGCTTGGAAAGAGTACGTTGCTCATGGAACTGTTCATGGATTGGCAATGCCTGCTGGACTCCTGGAGAGCTCTGCTTTCCCGGAACCAATTTTCACGCCCTCAACTAAAGCAGATCTAGGTGCCCACGACGAGAACATTTCTCCTGAGGCTGCCGCTGAACTTGTGGGTAAGGATATTTGTGACCGTGTTGCTGCCAAGGCAATTGAGCTCTACTCCAAGGCACGTGCCTATGCTGAGACCAAGGGAATCGTCATTGCAGACACCAAGTTCGAGTTCGGTGTGACTCCTACTGGAGAGCTCGTGCTAGTGGATGAGGTTTTGACTCCAGACAGCTCGCGGTTCTGGAGCAAAGCCACATATGCGGTTGGTCGGGGTCAGGACTCGTACGACAAACAGTTTCTTCGTGACTGGCTGACTGCTAACAAGTTGAATGGAAAAGAAGGTGTCGCCATGACTGCAGAGATCGAGAAGAGAACGGCGGAAAAGTACATCGAGGCGTATGAGGCTTTGACAGGTGAGAAGTGGTGAATGCACAGAGTGAAGAGATGGGTATTAAAATTAATAAGACGAGATAACATGAGAAAAAATGACAAAACTTGAAAAACTATCAGGTGTGACGATAGAATTCATATATAGTATGGAGGGATCATTGGCACGTGGTTTACTATACAATCTGAATGTTATAGTAGGATCCATGGTTGGACTTGAGATAACATCTTGTACTATGCCATACCTTACCAGCCAACCACGGGCCCTACAGTAGAAGATAAGCCGCATAATAGACAACCGTCAGCGCAGCATTATGCAGGCTTGTCTTATGAGCATATGTGCGAATTTGGACTAAAAAGACTAAATGGGAACAAAAAAAGGCTAAAATTACCAGCTCAAGCCACAAAGAGGGTGAAGGCTACAAATGGAAAATAAGAAACTTCATTGCTCCACAAACCACAGACTAAAGCATTGTCAGCGATGAAGATCATAAACGTTGTCTCCAATTACCTTCAAATAACCGAATAATGCAGCTATCACCAGAATTTCGAGGTCCATACCGAAAACGGACTACGTGCCCCTGCCAATTCTGCGGGTCCTAAAACGTGAAACTAGCTTCAAGGTTTAAGTGTTACCCGCCCGTTAGCCCCTGATTGCTGTCCCAAAACGTTAAAGCCTTGCAGTCCTTGCTTTGGCGAGAAGACATCCCCAAGGAGTTGGAAAACAACTCCAGTAATCCTAGCACAACCTACCAAACTCTAGGACCACGCTAAAGCAGTTTCCGGAATGTGAATCGTTTTCAGATTTCCAATTTCCGATTGTCGCGGTTTGGCCAAGCTGCCAAAGGGGCAAACAGCCACACTAGAGCCCCAAGTCCGTTTGTATTTAGAACGACCTTTTTTTAGTCCCGTCAAAAGAGTTGCCAATTTCTTTTAGACGGTTTGGCGAAATGTACAATCCAATGAGGATTCACCAGAATAGGGCATAAAAAGGAAAGCATTGTGATTGTTCGGTGAAGGTCATGCAATCACTGTAATCAACTTCAACATAATTTCACCCAAAAACATCGCCACCACCATCATTACGCATTCTGACCGCTATCACTAAAGCCCCAATTAACCGAGTTTGAATCGTGTGAGCCGGCCAGTCGCGTGCCTGTTTCCGACCATGCAGCATCAGTTTGGGCACTACGTGCTGATCTTTTCTGATTCTAGCTCGTGTTTCCCTAAATAAAAATCCTTTGATTTTTTTTTCTTTTCTTTCTTACTATCCTTTCCCTAAACCATTAACTGATATCCAATCAGGTCTATTCGTAGACACTTGCCTGGAGTTGCCTTTATACATAAGACTCCCTACCGCCGCACCTACAACACGCGGGCAGTTGTAGCGCAGATCCAATTTTTGGTCGCCGCAACAAGCTTTGTTCTCTGCGACAAGTCTACCTGCTTTTCTGACCCCTTTTCTTCTTGCTCTGTCAACACCTTGCTTCTTTTCTATTTTTACTCAATTTCTGTCCATTTTTTATCATTGCCAAATTTTTACGATGCCTAGGCTGTTCCGAAAGATGACACGGAAAGGCTATGTCGTTTGCGCGGTGCTGCTGGCGGTCCACGTTCTCACCATCAACCTGGTGATTTTCAGATACACCAAAAACGACAAGGGGTTGCTGGATACGATACATGCCTCGCTACAGATATTGGGTGGATCTGGAGATTTGACGGGCGCACTTTCAAAGTCAGGAGCCTCTTCCACGACTTCTGCTGAGGACGCCGTGACCACCGAGCTACTAGACGATATCGACACGCTCCCATGGAACGAGCTGACGCTTGAACAGAAGCTCAAGCGCAAGGTTCGCGAAGTTGACACGACCAAAGCTGAATCTTGGATGGTCAACACCACTCTCAAGTTCACGGACGTGGAGATCGACCTGGATGACTTTCTGCCGCCTCTTGAGGAGGATGTGGCCCAGGCGAAAAAGGGTAAGTCCCAACGTGTGAACTCCAAGAGAGCTGACAGCATTGAAAATTCTGAATTTTTCAAAGGCAACGAGAACTCTAAGAGCTCCGATTCCTCTTCTGAAGACTCCGATGCTGAACCCGTTCTCAGTGACGAAGTGGTGCTCAAAGATGATGATGAAGGCTATGTGGAACCAAAGCAAAATTTCCTTCATAATTCTACGTTGTGGTATGATCTCCGCTTCACATTGGCGATGTATATCGATTACATCAAGACGCAGCATTTGGAGCGCAACCCACAGAACATCGAATCCAAGGAGCCAACGATGCAGATCACTGTGCCCTTCCACTGGTCCGATTGGGTCGACATGGACATTCTTAATAAGGAGATTGCCAAACCCGAAAAGGACCAAATGACTTGCCAGAAGCTAATAGAAACCTCTGAAGGAAAACAAGCCTCTTCTGGCTACTGTATCAACTCCAAGGATGTGACTTCGAAGATGCTGGAAGAGATGGGACTCCATTCTACCAATCAATTGCCTGGTTTTGTGGTGAAATCTCCTCCGAACAACGTGAATACACCACGAGCAAAATTGCTGGAGGCAAAGGCCCATTTGTTGACATACGGGCAATTGCCATTGAGTATTGTGTTTTTGTCTCATGACGGGTTTTACGATGTGAAAGTGGGAAGGAGGCAGCGGATTGTGGACTCGTCGCTTATTACATCGTACTTGCGCACTCATGGGATTGATGCCAGCATCAAGGAGAACCGTCATATTACTGTCAACGCTGTGAAAGAGTTCAGAAGTTTGACGGAATCTGTTCCGGCGCGTGTTTCAGAATCAACCAAAGACGGGCTAGTAATCAACTACGATGAGGCGTTGTCGAAGAATCATTACAAGATGGTTTTGAACGAGGAGCTGTTTCATTGGGATCAAAAGGAAGTGGACAAAGAAATGGAAGGTTACGCCGCGCGCTTGAAAGAAATCGACGACATGACCAAAGAGACCCAATCTTTCGACGAAGAACGTTACTACAAGCTCGCTTTGAATGATCACGAGCAAAACCATTACAATTTCTTGAAGTACTCGTCAACTTTCACTCCGGATACTCAAGAAATTTACTTCAAATTGGCGCGTATGACTGGCATCAACGGAAACATGGAGGACGGATGGCACCTTGAATGGCGTTTCTTCAACGGACGCCTGTCATATGAGGAAGACAGAAGAGGCCGTTGGACCCATGCGGAAGTTGAAGAAAGACACAAAATCATCGTTCATAGACTTCTGCGCAACTGGAGTCAGTTCTCTTACCAATTAGGAATTATCCAATGGGTGAACCACGGTGCTTTGCTGGCCTGGTACTGGAATGGGGTGTCGTTTCCTTATGACGATGATGTGGATGTTCAGCTCCCTGCCAAGGTGTTAGACAACTTCGCTCGTCGTTTCAACCAGTCTTTGATCATTGAAGACATCAACAGTGGATACGGCCGGTACTTTGTGGATTGCAACGCGTTTATGACCCACCGTACCCATGGTAATGGTCTCAATAACATTGATGCACGGTTCATTGATGTTGATTCTGGTGCCTATATTGACATCACAGGATTAACGCTGACCAACCAGCACAAGCCTGGAAAGTACGAGAAACTTAAAGGCAAGAACCGCAACGAGGTTTACAACTGCAAAAACAGCCATTTCTACCATATTGATGAGCTTTCGCCAGCCAAGTACACGAGGTTGGAGGGCGCGCCTTTGTTAATACCACGCAATTTCACCTCGATTCTGGCTGAGGAGTATCTCTACGGTTTTTCGAATGTGGAATACGCCGGATGGTACTTTGTTGAGCCATTGAGGATTTGGCTTACTGGAGGTACCATTAAGAAAGTGCTTTCGATTCCTCCAAATCTGGAGAACGAGCGTGAGCACATTCTCACGCGACTGGCTTCGCTTAAGCCACGCCATGTCCTCAAATTTTTGGACGATAAAGAAGTGATGCATGAGTATTATCTGACCCAGCAGTTCACAGAGGTCCACGAGAAAGAGAAGGCAATTTTGTTCGACAACGCGGAGAAGATGACTCCTGAGAATGTGGAGAGCTACATCGACCTTGCATCCTCGTTTAAGATGGGTAGTCCGTTGCGTAAACCGTACTTCGAGTACGAGTATATCGAACGCAGCTACTTCCGCGACCAGATCCGCAAGTCCAAGGAAATGGCCGACGAGGCCGACGAGGAGGAGGATGTGGCCGAGCACATCAACGCGCTCGAACAGGGGGAGACATAAGCTGATATTTAATCGTATTCACAGACTTTTAACGAACATATGAAGTGCACCCACCATACACGGTTCGAAAACTGTAGATAGCAATGCTCTTGAGAGAGTATCAACAGGCGAAGATAGAAATGACAGCAGGTCCTGTTGGCCAACTGGGAAGTTTTGGATTTGGCAAAACAATCCCGCCATATCGATATTACTCAATCGCTCTCTCCTTTCAGCTGCTGAGTAATTGACAATAATTAACGGCTTTCGAGTCCATGAGTTGGTGATTCACACAGGGCTTGCGGATTTGGATTGTTTTTTGCACTACTTTGTCCCCACCACGACTCCTCCGCCCGCTTGAAGAAAAATCCCAACACGCCTTGTCTTCGTTTATTCTTCCATCTTTATATCATTTACTCACTTTTTTGGCTTTCTTTTCGGGTTTGAGCAGATTCTGTAGTGAATCTGAATTGGGTCTTTTGATTTTTTCTGCTTCTGTGAGCTTTTTGCCTACCAAACGCTTTCTTGACCGTGTGCTTGCGGCTTTGGCCCGTTTGAATGGCATCGAACGAAGGCGTCGTTTCGTCTTCGCGAAGCTCGTCGTATGACTCGCGGATGCTGACTGAAGATGCTCTTAAGAAGCTGTCTAGCTCAAATGCGGTTTCGTCTCACAAAGACAAATCTGTTGATTCGAAGCTTTCGGAGGGTCTCATGCTGAGACCGATGAACAGTGATAACTACACTGCGGCGCAAAATGGTGTTCAGAGTGTGGTGAGTCGTCTAACCACGTTGTCACAACAGGATAGGATACTGTCCAAGTCTTTGGCTACAACAATAGAGGAGAACAAGGAGCTGAAAGTGGAAACCTTTGGGGTACCCGAAGATGGTGGTGATGAAGATAATAATGGTAGGAATGATGAAATTCCGTTGGAAATTGCGCAAAAACCTAGTCAAATTGATGAAATCGATCATGTTTCAAAACAAAATCCGAATGAGATTTCAAGACTCCCGCAACGTCTTTTGGCGTCCGATGATTCTCGCAATCTTTCGCAAAGCCATATTCCTCAGACCTTCGAGGATCCCCATGATGTCTCATGTGATGGCCAACAGAATACCTCACACTCTCCACAGCCGAGCGAGTTCCGTTCCACGTCTCGTGCGGCATCACGGGTAGATCCCCCAACCAATGGGCGCCCTAAAATCGAGGCTCTGCCGAGTTCCATTACCAGTCCTTCTCACGACGTGACTCGCAACAAGTCGCCCATGAGGGACCCGTTCGAATACCATCCAAAACAGATCAAAGACCAGCGCAGGCCTCTCTACACCCCAGCAGTATTGCGAACCAATGAGATGGCGCTGTATCCGTCTGATAGAGCGCAGTCAGATTCGTCTTTGGCTGACGACGAGTCCGATTCACGTGGAATATTACGGAAACTATACCGACCTAAGCTGAACCACTCGCAGTCGTCTGTGTGGTCCTCTGCTCCAAAACTTGATCAAAGCGAGTATATTCCCATCAGAAAGCACTGGAAGGCGGACAGTTCGCGGTTCTCATGCTCGGGATGCGGCAAACTATTCCATTTTCTCACGGCAAAGGCCCGCAAACACCACTGTCGCCATTGTGGTGAGATCTTCTGCAGCAACTGTCTGCGCAACGTGGTCTATCTGAATGCAGAAGCAAAGTTTGTCGACTTTGTTGGTGATGAGGCCGGGTCTGATGGCACGAAGGACCATGCCCAGAAGCCCAAAATACACCGCATGATGAAACGCGGATCTTCTGCAAGTTCCAGCAGTGACGTTGATGTTGGTGGTGGCAGGTTTCTCAGCAAAGTGTGCGACTCGTGCTATTCGAAGTATGAGGCGTTCTTGAACGAAATGCAGCACTCGACTCATCTAGGTGAAGACTTGGATCCCCAGCTGCTCGGTGCAAACGGCGCTCTTCAGAAGCCGAAAATTGATGCCAGTGTAAATTCTGTCGGGAGTATTCCTGCGGATTGGAACTGGAGTTCTTTCTGAGTTTGGTTATGATGTTGGTGTGTGATGTAGCGATTACCAGTGGTGTACCGCCGTTGCAACATCTGGCAATTTTGCTCATTTCCTGCTACCATCACCACCACTGCTACGTTTTCTGTTTGCTTAATATCTCATTAGCTATGCATGTTCCTATAACGACGGTTTTTCTATTTTTTTACCTCGTATTCTCCCCTGCTTCCTCCCGCATCTGCTTCAAAGTCCTCCACTTTTCCTTATCGTACTGCCCAACGGCTATCGATGGAACCGTGCTGGTCTCACTGGTCTCAGACCAGTTACTCTTGGGGCTGCCCTCCACTTCGTCGCGCAGTCTCGTCAGTCTTTCGGCAGCCTTAGCCTTGATGGGGCTCTTCATTGAGGTCGAGACTGAACATACCGATCTGGTTGGTCCGTGTGACTTGGTGGGCGATTTTGTAGGCGATTTCGTAGGCGAATTCTGGATCGAATGCAAGTAGCAAAAATTACAGGATGAGTTTTGATGAGTGTGTCCTCCGCGTAATTTTTCCCGACTCGGTGAAGATTTCATCGAGTTTTTCAGCTCGCCGGTGATATCCCGAAGCCTCTTGAAGGGCGATGTGGAGCGAGACCTTGGCTGTGCATGAGCCGCACCTGTTCCTGATCTGGATCTCTTCTCGGTGGAAGCCAGACTCGGCACCGACACCGCGGTGATCTGGGTGTCGTACATTGAGGTTGCAGACAATTTGCGCATGGACATGGTTCTGCGCATTGTATTTTCCACGAACTCTTCGATCTCGTCTTTTCCGGAAATGGCTGTTGCCGAACTAGAGGCCTGGCCTCTGCTGCTGGAAGACATGAGAGACGGCGCACTAATGGACCTCTCGTATTTTGGTCTCGCAACCACTTTCACGGGTGGCTGGAGTTCTGGAATACTTGACAACTTGTTTTGACCTGCCATCAAAAGCAGTGCAGAAGGTGTTCCGAGCCTCTCTCTGTTAGCCAGCCAGGCATCCGAGTTGTTGTTCCATGCCTCCAGTGAAATATGGTTCTGTTTCTCGGGAACTGAGGACTTTGATGGTGAAAGATAAGTATTAAAATCATTCCAGGGGATTTCCTCGGCGGGTTTGGGTATTTCTGAAAGATCCGCGTCTAAATGGTATTCTGATTGTGATGTGGTTTGAGACGCAGTCTCCACCTCTTGGATCGTATGGCCAGGCTGTAAGAATGGCGGTAATAAAACTTCTGTGTATCTCTCTGAATGGCGTCGTATATCTACCGAGTTCTCGTCTGATTCGCTTTCAAAATTCTGGTACTTCAAGACATCTCTGTCAACGCTATCCACATGCCATGGTTTGGACGACATCCAGTTCTCGTCATACTGATTTGCACGATTGTCCACCAGCGTGTATGCCGAGGGCTTGAAACTAATTTTTGTTCTTGAATTGACCGAACTCTCGGTGTTTTGATCGTCAGAATGGGATTCGGGTTTGGCAGTGAGACTGTTCCAGCAGCTCAACAGAGCGGCGCCCTTTAGCATTTGCGAGTTCAACATGATTGCCAAGAGTGTGTAGAACAAATATTGGACTTTGGGTGTGCTGATATGGTATTTTGCAATCACCAGTTTGTGCAGCAAAATTAGTATGCCTGCGGTGGATACTAGGGCTGCAACGATTGATGAAAGAGCAGAAATAGCATCAATTGCATGCAAAAAATTTCGCCTTAGACTTCTCACAATCTGAGCTATTCCAAAAACCATTTCTCCTACAATTAGGAGCAACAATCCTGCTCTTCCGAGTGAAGGCTCCTTGACCAGTATCCAGATACCGATGGCTGCATTGGCCAGAAACAGCAGGTTGAGCACACAGAATGCTGAAGATTTGGCGTTGAAACCAGCCGAATCTGGCTCGTTTCTAGAGCCAAAATCCTGGTCTGGACTGCTCTTTTGTCTCATTGTGTAATGTGATACCTCAGGTTATTTAGATCAAGGACATCAGGGGTGCTGAGGATGTGACGGGTAGCACTGCTGCGGGAATAGAACTGAGGAAATGATTAAAAATGCGCAAACTGGACGATAAAATCAAACACAAAACAACAAAACAGGGAAATTCAAATAAAGGGTTGGTGAAGATCGGCCTGGATTGAACGAGTTCCAGTATCGCTTGAAACTGGCGATTGTCTACCAAAACAGTATAGGGACCATGCGTGTTTACATCTTTCCGAATTAGGAAATTACCAGGCGCCGCACCTAAAATTTTGGCGTTTGTTTTCGCGAAGCGGCGTGTTAAAATTGGCGATAATGCGTTGGGCGGTTTGATTTTTGGGGGGCAGATTAGGTGTTTGGGCTGGTTAGAACTGATTCGAGTCGATTCAGACTTGTAAGTGAGTGCTTTAGCGATCTGCATAGCATTGTAAGGTGAAATAGCCGAATAACTGAGATTTTACAAAATTGTCCCCAATATAATAAGACTCTTTCTAGAATTTAAGAAGTAAAAACAAAAAAAATAACAACAACATAGATCAAACTGCTTAGGAAATTCAACAACCCTCCGGTCAAATAGATCCTGCAGTATAGGCAACATAAATAGCAACGCGCTGAATCAAAATTTGATATTATGGCTTACGATTCAAACCCTACACGAAAAATAACAATGCTCAGCTCTGATATAGCAAAATAAATCGGTATTAAATAAACAAAATTGCTTGAATTGAATGATGGTTCATGACGGTTTGTGAGGGCTGTCAAGGCGGTCGCTGCACGAGCTGCATACTGGAGCATGCGCCTGCAGGCCTTGGAGTTCAGGACCAGATTTCAGTCATGAAAACTAACACTCCCGTCCTTTGCTTTCTTCAGGATCTGTTCAAAGTTCTGCTCACAGCTTACAGCTCACAGATTCTTCTCCCTATTCTCAAAAATCTGATCCCGAATCAAATTCCCCAGCTTCGGCTCATCAGCCTCAGCCTCACTCGTCTCTGCAGTTGAAGGCTCGGCCTCACTAGCACTGGTAATGCCCACGGAAGAAGTGCCGATATCACCATTGTCATTACTGAAGATCGGCACTGATCCCAGCTCCAACAAAGAAGGCGCTCCCATCAAAGCCTGAGCCTTGGCCTTTCTTGAGGCCCTTCTATTGCGCAACTCTTGAGTCTTGAATTCTTCTTCCTCATCAGAAGTATCCAGAGTGGTGGTAGTGTCACGCTTCCTCTCTCTGCGTCTTCTGCGAGACTCGCGGGCTTTACGCTTCGCCTCCTGCTTCTCCTGATAGTCCAAAAGGCTAAAGTCTGGGAACAGCTCTGGTCCGAAATCGTTCACGGCCTGAGTGATTTCCCTGCTAAGTTCTTCTCGGGTTTCACGAAGTTTCAGAATGCCCTTTTTGTCAATCAAAGCCAGCCACAATGGCCTCAAACTTTTGAAGTTGTCCATTCCCTTGTCCCCAAAGACAAGCGCAGAGTAGGTGATCACTACTGACACCAAATATAACCCGAAGAAGGTGTAAATCACAGAAGTCTCGAACTGGTACCGTGTCTTGAGGATATACGTTCCTAGGACCGAATAGAAGGTGTAAAGGATGGGAGCAAATCCGAGAGAAACGAGGATTTTCCATGTGGCTAAGACATCAATGCCCTTGATCTTCACAGTAGAGCCAGCAAGGGCTTCTCTCCGCTTCTTATCGCTGATCTTCTTCGTTGCTACGAACACAGGTGAGAACAAAAGGAAGCCTGGAAGAGCCAAAATTCCGAGAATACTCACCTGAAATGCATTTGCGACAAGTCTGAGAAACGTTACTATGGCAAGAGTGGGTTGGGCCTCCTCGATAAGATGGTCTGGGATCCGCATCAGCTTGAGCATCTCGTTGTAACTGAGGATCTTCTCTTTTAGCTGCTGAACTTCGGGTTTGTGCTTGAAGTGCTGGTAGCCCAAAACCAGTCTTCTGTTCATCTCCACTATGGATTCGAGCGAGAGCCTTGACGACAAGTTGTTGGAGTACAATCTTCTGGCCATTTGAACAACTATTAGGGTCTCATAGTCAGGGCAAGTCACGGTGACACTCTTCAAAGCCTTGGTGATCACATCGAGAAGCTCTCTGACTGCATCCTTAGAGGTTTCTGGACTGTTGTAGCGGTTCACGAGCTCTTCAGGAACTTCTATTGGATGCCCAAACTCCACAATTGCGCGCGAACGAAACTTATGGGGATGAAAATAGTTCATTCCACAAGGAACTATCTTCACTTTTGTTCCTGGATGGCTGGCCATGGTTCCAAGAGCCATTATGGCAACACCAGCCTTCAGAGGAAGCAGGTCCGTGCGGTCGTGAGACCCGCCTTCAGGAAAGATTCCCAGGGATTGGCCGTGGGAAAGGTGTTCAAAAACCCTGGAATAAACCTTGGCCTGGTCAACACGGGGAGCAGTCTTAAATGGAGAACCACTAGACAACAGTGCATCTGCCTTTTCAGCAACCTGGTCATTAGAATAGCGGAAAGGTTTCTTGAGGTACATCACTGTATCGGACTCGATATCGGCAATTTCGGCCGAACCGAGGGAGTTTGGAAGTCCCACTAACCCACGAGACTCACAGTCAGTAGTAAAGCGGGTATTCTCGCCCAACACCTTCAAATTGTTGGTGGGATCAAGTCGTATCACTCCGGAAACCGACTTGAGACTGTCCTGGGCCCGGGCAACCGGAATGGCCATTTGTGACCGGGAAATGAGCCCAATGAACTTCCGTTTATGCGATTTTTCCGCTATCAAAAAAGAGATCCGCAAATTTGTCTCGTTCTTAACCTGTCCCATTAATATTATCGGGTCAACGAACTGGTTGGCGTGGGGAGCGGCCACGAAAATGATCGGACCCGATCTCGGAAGTCGGAAGGCCCCTCTAGGCCGAATTTCTCGAAAAAAACAATCAAAGACAACTGAAAATTGTTAGTAGGCGTTTTAACTTCAATATCTGCAAAAGTACTCACCTGTGAATATCCATAGCACAAGGTCATACAGGAACTTGCGGAGCAGTGAGGGCTCCTCATAGACCACCTCAGAGGGAGCGACCCCTGCATCAATGGTCGTATCGGACACAGCTGCCTTCAAATCGGTGGCCATTTGTATCCTTCACGGGATTTAATAGCTGATATTTGCTTGCTGGGGGGGACAATTGTCGGCAGAGGTGGTTTAAGGTTATTATTTCTTCACCCGTGAATACGTCTGCCATTTGGACAAGGGCAAATTGGTCTGTCATTATTAGAAGTGTCAGTTATTTATGTACTGCCATTTTTCGCACGGGCATCTCAAAAAAATTTAGCAGAGGAGAACTGGCCCTAAGTAACTTTACGTGGCTCTTGCTAAAGCTCCACACTCCTGTTCTCTTACCAAATTAAAAATGGACGACCTCTTCGACGTCTTCAATGAGACTCCACAGGAGCCGGTTGAAGTCGGGTCTGTGGCCGTGCCGATAGCCGAACCTGACTCCAAGAAAAGACCGGTGACTGACCTAAGCGATGAGGAGACATCAGTTTCAGAGAAACCCAAGCTCAAGCAGAAAAAGGCCATTGTCAAGGACAAGAAAACTGTCAATCCCGTAGTGGCTGACAGTCTTGAGATTGAAGCTTCTAGAGAGGTTAAAGCGTCCAGTGGACTACTGGGCGGAGATACTACCGAAGATGGTAAAGGACCAGTCAAGCTTAGCCATCAAGTGCGGCATCAAGTGGCGGTTCCACCAGATTATCCATACATTCCAATTTCCGAGCACAAGAGAGTGAATGAGGCAAGAACGTATCCTTTCACATTGGATCCGTTCCAGGACACTGCCATCTCGTGTATTGATAGAAACGAGTCAGTGCTGGTATCTGCCCATACCTCTGCAGGAAAGACTGTTGTTGCCGAATATGCGATTGCTCAATCACTCAGAGAGAAGCAGAGAGTTATATACACGTCTCCAATCAAAGCCCTGAGTAACCAGAAATACAGAGAGCTGTTGGCGGAGTTTGGCGATGTGGGTCTGATGACTGGTGATGTCACCATCAACCCCGATGCTGGGTGTTTGGTGATGACTACTGAGATTCTGCGGAGTATGCTGTACAGGGGCTCAGAAATCATGAGAGAGATCTCCTGGGTCATCTTTGACGAAGTTCATTACATGAGAGATAAGTCCAGAGGTGTTGTTTGGGAAGAGACCATCATACTTCTACCCGATAAGGTTCACCACGTCTTTCTTTCGGCCACTATTCCTAACGCAATGGAATTTGCGGAGTGGATATGTCAGATCCATGCCCAGCCATGCCACGTTGTGTACACAGACTTCCGTCCTACGCCGTTGCAGCATTACCTATTCCCGGCAGATGGAGATGGAATTCACTTGGTGGTTGACGAAAAGGGAACTTTTCGCGAGGAAAACTTTCAGAAAGCAATGGCATCCATCTCCAACAAGATGGGCGACGACTCTGGTGCTGTGGAGAAAGGAAAAGGCAAGAAAGGTCAATCGTACAAGGGTGGTCAGAAAGGTGGTAACTCAGACATCTATAAGATTGTCAAGATGATTTGGATGAAGAAATACAACCCAGTGATTGTCTTCTCTTTCAGCAAAAGAGACTGCGAGTCTTTGGCCTTGAAAATGTCCAAATTAGATTTCAACACTGACGAAGAGAGATCTGCTCTGGAGACTATTTTCAACAATGCTATTGAATTGCTGAACGAATCCGACAGAGCGTTGCCCCAAATCAAACATATTCTTCCTCTTTTGAAGCGTGGAATTGGTATCCATCATTCTGGCCTGCTGCCTATTCTGAAGGAAATCATTGAGATTTTGTTCCAGGAAGGTTTCCTCAAGGTGCTATTCGCAACAGAGACGTTTTCCATTGGTCTGAACATGCCTGCTAAAACTGTTGTTTTCACTTCGGTTAGAAAATGGGATGGAAAAGGATTCCGGTGGGTTTCTGGAGGTGAGTATATTCAGATGTCTGGTCGTGCTGGTCGTCGTGGTCTTGACGACAGAGGTATTGTGATCATGATGATTGACGAGAAGATGGAACCCCAGGTTGCCAAGGGAATGGTCAAAGGTGTTGCTGATAGACTCGACTCAGCATTTCATTTGGGTTACAACATGATTTTGAACCTCATGAGAGTCGAAGGTATCTCGCCCGAGTTTATGTTGGAGCACTCGTTCTTCCAGTTCCAGAGCTGTGCATCTGTGCCGTTACTGGAGAAAAAGGTTTCAGAGTTAGAGGAGAAGAAGAATTCGATTGCAATTGAGGATGAGGGAATGGTTAAGGAATACTACGATCTGAAGAAACAGCTGGGTGTATATCAAAACGATATACGCCACATCGTGACACATCCAAGCAACATCTTGCCGTTCTTGCAAGGCGGAAGGATGATCAAAGTCAAGGTCAAGGATGCTGATTATGGCTGGGGTGTTATAATCGATTACTCGAAAAGAAACGCCAAAAGAAACTCCTCTGCCTTCACGGATCATCAGCAGTACCTGGTGTATGTGTTTGTGACAACGATGTTTGCTGATTCTCCTGTGAACTTGATCAAGCAGATCAGTCCAGACATCCCAGAGGGAATCAGACCAGCCAAGGAGGGCGAAAAAACCACATCTGAAGTCATCCCAATCACCCTCGAGTCCATTACGGAGGTGAGCAATATCAGACTTTTCTTGCCCGAAGAGGCCAAGAAGAAGCCCACTGATATTAGGTCTTTTGGAAAGGTTCTTACCAAAACGATCAAGGAGGTTGGAAGAAGATATCCAGATGGGGTTCCATTGCTGGATCCTATCAAGAACATGAAGATCGAAGACCAGGACTTTAACAACTTGCTGAAGAAGTCTGAGGTGATTGAGTCCAGGCTGAACTCAAACGGTTTGGCACAGTCAGAACATCTGAAGACTTCCTACGAGAAATACAGCGAAAAGGTCTCCACAAATGATGAAATTCAAGCCACAAAGGCCAAGATCGTGGAAGTCAAGTCTGCCATCCAATTGGATGACCTCAGACACCGCAAGAGAGTTCTTAGAAGACTGGGATTCTCCAGTCAATCAGATATCATCGAGCTCAAGGGAAGAGTTGCTTGTGAGATCAGTTCTGGTGATGAGTTGCTATTGACCGAGTTGATCTTCAGTGGTGCCTTCAACGAGCTCACCTCCGAGCAATGTGCTGCTCTTCTTTCGTGTTTTGTGTTCGAAGAGAGAACCAAGGAGGTTCCGCGGTTGAGACCAGAACTTGCTGAGCCCCTCAAAGTTATGAGAGAAATGGCCAGTAAGATAGCCAAGATCTCGAAGGAGGCCAAGATCGAGATCGTCGAGAAGGAATATGTTGAAGGCTTCAGATCGGAGTTGATGGAGGTTGTTTATTCGTGGGCCAAAGGCTCAACCTTTACGCAGATCTGCCAGATGACAGACGTCTACGAGGGCTCTTTGATCAGGATGTTCAAGAGACTCGAGGAAATGTTGAGGCAGCTGACGGATGCTGCCAAGGTCATTGGAAACACTGCCCTCTACGACAAGATGGAGAAGGCGAGAGAATTAATCCATAGAGACATTGTTTCTGCGGGATCTCTATATCTATGATGTATAGTACAAGAGGTGTTTGGTCGATCTGTGGTTTGCATAATACAAAAGACGTTGAATTGGTAATGCCAAAGTGATAACTTATAGGTTTATCAACATAATCACGGGTTTGAATTTTCATCCGATGCTCATTACACTATCTTGAGCAATCATAAATTGTACGTTTCGTGTTTTCAGTACCTGTGAATTGTACTTGCTGTATCTTAATAGCTGTATCTGCATGCTTACAACTGTTCCATGCAGCTGTTCCATGCATCCGTGCTTGCTTCTCCATATTATAAAAAGTTTACATATTCTACCCACTTGGGACTTCGCACAAAAAAATCGTATTCAAGTTCATTATACACACCCCGTACTGCTTACAATAAATTCTCAGAAACCGCATACCCGGATTTCTCAACCAAAGCCTTCCAAAAACTCAGCTAATATTCCCTACATTGCCTCCATGAGCTTCGACTCTTCCTATACAAAACGCCCAGAGAGCATCGTCTCCTTCAAATTCAGAGGCTGATCAAATAGACTCTCCCAGATACCTTGGATATCCGCAACCTCGAGATCGTTGCCAGGTGCTGCCTCCTTGCGGTACTCCACAGGAACCATTCCAGGAGAGGCAAACTCTGACGAGACACCATCTGGAGCCGGTCCGGCCATTCGGAAAAACTCAGGACGTGGTTGTTGGAATGAGCCGGAAACAGGGGGAGCCATTTGCATTTGCATCTGGTGCGGAGGATATAGTGGAGGTTGCATTCCAACTGGATTCTGGTAATCTGTGCCGATGACGTACGGACCAGTTGGGGTAGAGCGGCCCATAAAAGGAGCCCCGACCATTGGAATATTATCCTGCAAAGGCGAAAAATCCGAGTCCTGAGGCGAAAAAACAGGTGGTTGGATACGGCTGTGCAAATTGACACTCAGTCCGTTGTCCGCATCACTCATTAGTTCTCTGAAAAACTCACCTATTTGCTGGTTTTGTTCACGTCCTTGATCGCTGCCATCATTACTGGGAGAACTCTGGATCCCGCTGTTGTTCAAAGCAGATGCTGTAACCAGCGGGTGTTTCACTGCAGAGCCAGCCTTCATCATATTTTCGTTGCTGTATCTTTTCGAGGAACCTCTTTTCTCGGGAATTGGAACTGCTTTGGTCTCAATGAAGAGTTTGAACTCTTGTGGGTCCAGATCAACACCAAAATTGATGGTAGAGGGATCGTTTGCATCGTAATTTTCGGGAATGGAGTCATAGTACGAAGCTGAGGCAGCTGTCTCACTCGGCGATAAAAGTTCCGATATCAACATTCCGGATGGCTTCCTCTGCTTCTGGGACACCGAGCCGGGCGACTGCCTCTTCCTGGCAGCTGCCTGGCGCTTGCTCACGAGCTCCTTGGTAGAGTTGAACATACTAACCAGGATCTTGGCCACGTTCTCGGCTGGAGGACAGGACTCCTTTAGATAGTCCACCATCTTGAGAACCTTATCTATAAAGGCCTGGCTCTTTTCAATGGCATCCTCCTTGAGACACAGCACTGGCGAGTTGATCAGGGCATAGAAAAGACCAATTCCAGCCTGGTGGATCGAGTGCACAGAAAGGTACTTGTAGTTGATCTTCTTGCTCTCAAACAGCCGTTCGTAGATATCCGCCAATTGGTACGAAATCTCGAACAAAAGTCCCAACATTTCCACAGAAAGGTGTTTCCGCTGAACACCTGGCTTATACAGCGTCTGAATCAGCTGGAAATAGTTGATCAGTAGGAAATCCTTCGAAAACCGATAGGTCTCCAGCAACGAGAGGTTGCTACAAGTCTCCAGCTTCAAACAATCCAACAGCCACGCGTTCAACTGCGTGTGCATCGCCAAAGTCCACTTGTTCAACGAGCCATATTCCATTATGGGATTCCCCATCTCAGGATTTCGGTGGACAACCTGTAGCTGCGACTGCAGCTTGCGCAATCGCACGAAGAACGAGGGGATCGTCAGGTCATATTCGGACCCTTTGAGATTGTACTCGTAACTCGGGTCCTTGACCTGAGTGCTGATCTCATAATCCCCGAGACTGAACGGCTTGTTCACATAACTACAGATCTGTCTGTCCAGACAGTATGCCGACCAGAACAGTCTGCGGTGGAACGACTTGTAGCCGGGATCGTTATCATGGGTCAGTTCCAGACGCTGGATAGTGGACTCCTGGTGAAGATCCAGATCCACACACAATTTGACGGCAGAAGAGATGATATACCAAATACCGGGAGTCACCGGCTTGAGCAAACCAAAAGTGCAAAGTAACAACAGGCTCTGTGTCGCATGTACCTCCAGACTCTGGCGGATATACAGATTTCTGGAGGAAATGTTTCCGTTTCCGGCCGTCACGGCTGGTGAAGTTTCCAACTCCGTGAGGATGGTCGGAATGGATTCAAAGAATTTGCTAAGAAAATACGTTGATGTCAGATAGTAGCCCTCTGGAGACGCCATTGCAGCCCCAACACCACCACTTTTTAGGTGGATTTGCTCCACTATCGGGCCCAAATCCGACTCTGCCGTGATCGCCGAGCCGATGGCGAGCGACACATACAACAGGAACATGTCACGTGAAGCGATATTGCTTTCGAGCAACTGTAGCCGGTGCTCTGACAGAAACGGCTGGGAATCGGTTCTGGAGGGCTCCAGACCGTATACACGGTTGACTATGGAGCCCAGGAACTCGCGGGACTCGATGAGCGGGTGTTGAGTCCATGCGAAGCGGAAGTAGTTGGAGATGAGCAGTTCTGTGACTTCTCGGCTCGGCAGAGGAGCCAAATCGGCCTGCTGCTTAAGAGGATCAGTATCACCAGCTTGGCTTCTGAGAGTGTTTCCGTATACCGTGGCGTCTGCGATTTCACGCTCCATCACAGGATGTGCGACTCTAAACGGGATCATAGAGAGCATGGTGATCTGGTTCATTGGTAGCGCGAGGTTTCTTCTGGACGGGGCGTGAGCAGAGACAGAGGCACTGGCAGCTGGACGGCCAGCTATGGGACCAGCCCTGGGGCCCACCGTGGGGCCCACCACAGGCTCAGACAGAGCTCCAGATGTCGACCTACTGGTCTCCCCACCGGTTTCTCCACCAGGCAAAAGTCCCGCATTCCCAAGCAAAGTCTCATAGTAAGCCACCTTGGACATCAAGGCTGCCACCATGTCCACCTTGGCTCCGGACATGTCTCCGGTCGGCGCCGAACTCGTCCGGTTTTCTTCCATAGGAGTCTCGAAATTGTAATCACGTGGTTTCTGATACACAGAATAGTCCTGTCGTAAAATCACATCTTTGGTAAGTGGGTCCTGGATCAAACACCGCACCTTGGCTCTAGCACATCGCGAGCAGCTTGGATAATTAAAGTCACACTTGTGTTTTAGCGAACGACATTTCTGACATGCCATTCGCGACCGCCTGAAGCGGGTGGCCTCTTTGGCCATTGGTATATGATTTGCAAGCAACTTGAGGTCACTGAAAGACTGTCCTAGACGGTAGCAAGGCAGCCAAATGAGAGCAACGCCTCGTAACAGCAGCGAGCCTGAATTTCCAGCTCAAAAGACAACTCAACACTAACGCAGTATACCAATCCAAAGGCTAACGACAAAAATTCTGATCTAACGAGAAGAAGGAGTTACCGAAAACATACAACCGCTCTTGCTTCGGGTTTGGCAGATGAGCTTTGGTTGGGGCGGACCTTAGTGTGTTTGAACAGATGCAGGCGCACAGCGTGTTAAGCGGCTTTATGATCCGGTGACACGGATGACCTGTACGGTCTGAACAATACCGCTTGACAAAGACAAGCCAACAAAGGAAGTGCTGTCCAAGAGTAATCTCGACTCGTCACGAATGCTGCAAAGACTGCTTGTCTATCCGGGCTGATAACGCAGCTAGGCCCGTTTTCGGAGGGATGAAGTGCCTTTTCACGCGCTTCAAGCTTTCGCACGGCATTACGGCCCCCCGCGCCCACTTCCGAGGGAGCTCCGGGACTTTGACACAGGCAGTTCAGGGCTACAGTTTCCTGATCGGGTAATCAGGTGCAGGCCCACAGAGGTTTTTCCGGTCACGTGAAGCATGGGAAGGTGGAGGTTTTTGAGACCACAGGTAGTGGTGGTGCGGTGTGCTTGAAAGGGGAGTCTATGAGATTATTTGAATCATGCTGTTTGCGACAATTGATTAGACGGCCGCTATTTTATTTACTATACATTTAGCCATGTTGCTTGTACACGGGAAGTGGGTTGATTAAGCATAGAGAGATTGATCGTTTTTTTGTTGCTTTTTGCCTCTTTCAGACCTGGCTAGCTCTTCACGCCAAGATCGAGCATGTAAGTCTAGAGACAATAAAACCAAATACAATACCGGGTCAGATTAATACGTCAAGTTGCTAAACGGTTAAACCCCAAGACATCAATTGGTTGGAGCACTACAAGAAAGCTGGAAGGTACAAATTTACGCAATTTCGACCAAAAGGGATGGAAGAGTGAAATAAACGGTGTTTATTTTTGATCCAGCTGGAGGTGAAATGTTCCAAGACTATCCCACAAAGCCAGTTAGTGTGAAAACCCTCAGGATCAAGTTATCCTCCGAGTGATTGGCTGAAACACTAGTACAGAGCCATCTCAACCCCGCCCGGTCTATACCGCAAACTAACCATTGACAGAGTCTATTTACATAGCTTTGATATCCCTTATCTGTATGAGCTCATTCTTTATACGCAATTTCTACTCAGTCTTTACCTGCTTGGTACAAATCGGCTAACCTCAAAGGTCAGGAGTCGTGTACTTTCCCAATCCCACCTCCAGCTGAGCCCTCTTTAGGTCCTGACCTGTTCAATCACCTCTTTGTGACAGTACTTTACCTGCTACAAGAGGGTTCACGCGTGCAGTTTTTTTGATTCGAAAGCAATTTGGGCTTTTATAAGGCTCTTGGAAATTTTATCAATAAGCCCATTTCTAAAATTCGCGTGTTTATTCGCCAAGTTAGTGTTGCTGCACCTGCCACCTACCCCTTTCAACTAGGGCTCAGTTTTTTGCGCGCCACAAGCCTTTTTCAGGCTTTGTTTCCTGTCTGTGAATAGATTTGTCCTCATATAATCCATGCCGATAGATGGGAATCTTTACCGGCCTCTGGCGCTGGTTTGGGTGATATTTCAACTGATAGCCCATGTCTGTGCCACACCAATTGACATCGCTAGCGAGTTCCGGGTCAAGGACCTTCCCGGATTGTCGTTGCTTCCTCCGCTAGAACAGCCCGTGATGCACGCGGGCCATCTTGAGCTCTATGCGGAAAATTCTACCAACTACTTCTTCTGGAAGTTTGAAAGGCCGCCCGCAAATTCCACAATCAAGTCAGAGAAGCTCATATTCTGGCTAAATGGAGGCCCGGGCTGCTCATCCATGGACGGAGCTCTCATGGAAATTGGTCCATTGCGAATTGGGGCTGACGGAAACGTTTTGTTCAACAACGGCTCGTGGATGGAGGCTGCGGATCTCGTATTTGTGGACCAACCTGGTGGAACTGGGTTTTCGTACACGGATGCGTACGATCGCGAGCTAGACGAAGTGGCCGGCGACTTTGTCGTCTTTCTGGCAAAATATTTCCGCGTTTTTCCGCAAGACTTGGCCAAACAGGTATGGATTGCAGGCGAGAGTTATGCTGGCCAGTACATTCCATATATTTCACGGGCTGTTCTTGACGAGAACGCGAAACCAGAACCAGCTTTTGGAGGACCCGTGGCCCTTGAAGGTGCTTTGATTGGAAACGGTTGGATTTCGCCTGATCATCAAAGTCTTTCGTATATTCCGTTTGCCGTTCAAGAGAATATCTTGTCCAAGACGGACCCCAGTATGCCCAAACTGCTCAAACAGCATGAGCAGTGCCAGAAGGTAATAAACTCGCGGAATCCTGAAATAAGAAAGGTGGAATCACCCCAATGTGACAGTATTCTGGATGTGCTATTAGAAGTTACCAAAGACAACTCTGCCAGCCAGGACAAGCAGTGTATCAACATGTACGACTACCGGTTGCGGGACTCGTATCCGTCATGCGGAATGAACTGGCCTAGTGATCTAGAGTATGTGAATCCCTTCCTGAGACAGGAAAAGATCGGCGAATATTTGAACCTCAAGAAGATGCGGGTTTGGAACGAGTGCGATGGTCAGGTGAGTCGGTACTTGAGGGCAAGGCACTCGATTCCCGCCATTGATCTCATTCCTGATTTGCTTAAGGAAATGCCAATTCTGTTGTTCAATGGTGATAAAGACATCATCTGCAACTATATGGGCACGGAAGCTATGATTAGCGACATGAAATGGGATGGCAAGTATGGTTTTGAGGATTCTGAAGATACCACGTCGGCCGACTGGTTTTACCGGGATGATTCTGCTGGTTTCATCAAGATTCGTGGAAACCTGACATACACACGAGTGTATGGTACCAGTCATATGGTTCCTTTCGATAAGCCAGAGGTCTCTCGTGGGTTGTTTGATATCATGACCAGGAACTACAAACCAGTCACGGTGGATAACTCAACTGGTGTCGCTACTCCCGTTTACGGAGAAGACGGTTCTACCAGTTTTGACCAAGGTTCTGGATCTAAGGAGGCAGATTCCGATCAGACTTCGAGACCGTCGCCCTCGACTTCAAAAGGTTCCGGCTCTAAACTAGCGGCGGACAGGTCATGGACATTCTATGCGTTCGTTCTGACAGTTTTCATGATCGTTATGTATGGATTGAGGTATCTGTACAAGAACCTGACGTCCAGGCCTTCCTCCATTCTTTCCAAGTACTCCAAGATGAACCCAGACAGCCCCGGAAGGGACTTTTCAAGAGAGGTGAGTCCCTCAGGAGGTGCCAGCGTTGCTGGCGGATTACTCAAGTTCAACCATAGTAACCCAAAAAAGAAGTCGGTGAGGTGGTTGGACGAAATTCAAACCGATAACCAAGGGTTTTCTCCAGAAGACCCGGAAAACGGGATTTTTGGAAGAGTGCTTAACAAGTTTGGGTATGGCGATCAGGCGTACCAACCTGTTGATCGCACTGACGACATTGAGATGAATGGGATTGACCAATTTATTATTCAGGAGGAGGATGAAGAGTTTGATGGTTTGGGCAGGGATGCGGAAAGGTGAAGATTAGAGAGTTAGACTTTTGGTTGAACCATGAACGATATCATGACAGGAGAAACCCATAGACTATATCACCCAGCTAGGTGCGGTCAATTTCTTGGTGCACCATTGGGCAAATTTGAATACCATTTTAGTTTATTATAAAAGAGATATCTTTTCAGTATTACGGTAATACGGAGCGACTCATATCATTAACATATCATGAACATATTACGTTTTATAGTAAGAGTACATGGACACAATGAATATTAGATGTCTTAAAAACCCATATAACAGTATAAATGCTGGAACCGCAATCATATAATGGCAGAATCTGGCTCAATCCCTGACAGAATGTCAGTACTCCCAAACTTTCTAACTCTTTCCCTCTAAACCTTTTCTTCCAATGGTTCAATGTTCCAGATGTTCTCAGCGTATTCCTCAATGCACCTGTCCGAACTAAAGAACCCCATGTTCGCAACCGAAATGATACTCTTCCTGACCCAGTCTTCCTTCTTGCGGAACTCCTCGTCAACGAGTTTTTGAGCCTCTAAATAGCTTTCGAAGTCGTCCGAAACCAGATAGTGGTCGCCATGGAACCTAACGCCATCCAAAAGCGACTGAAACTCATCCGGAGTCCCAAATTGACCCGACGAAATCGCATCAAAGACCTGCACCAGCGAATCAGGTATATGAGACCGTCCCATGTGGTGCTCGTGACGTAGATCTTCAACATCCTCGGCCAAATTGCCAAACAGGAAGATGTTGTCTTCGCCAACCTCTCTGGTGATCTCCACATTGGCACCATCAACTGTTCCAATAATGAGTCCTCCGTTCAACACGAACTTCATGTTCGAGGTTCCGGAGGCCTCGGTTCCCGCAGTGGAGATGTGTTCCGAAAGGTCGGACCCGGGGCAAATGACCTCGGCCTTGGAAACATTATAGTCTGGAATAAACACTACTTTAAGCAAGTCGCCAATTTCCGGGTCAGAGTTCACCACCGAACCAACCGAGTTTACCAGCTTAATGATGGTTTTGGCGGTGTAATAGCCAGGCGCCGCCTTTCCTCCGAAAATGGACACTTTGGGTACAAACTTAGTAGTTCTTTCAGCTTTGGGGGTTGCCTTCAGCTGCAAATATCTCCAAATGACCCCGAAAATGTTCAGCTGCTGACGTTTGTACTCGTGAATGCGCTTGACCTGGACGTCAAACAGCGAGTTTGGGTTAACAGTCACACCAGTTGTCGAGGCAATCAAAGCAGCTAGCTTAGTCTTGTTTGCGGTCTTGATGGCAGCCCATTCGGCACGGAAACCGGGATCTTCCACGAATTGCTCCAAACCCTTCAGTTTGTTCAGATCGTTCAAATACCCGTATCCACCAAGTTTGGATGCGATCAAAGCCGCAAGACCGGGGTTGGCCTGGCGAAGCCATCTCCGTGGAGTTATTCCATTGGTTACATTGGTGAATTTGTCAGAGCCATAAACCTTGACGAAATCGCTGAAAATGGTCTGCTTGATGAGCTGAGAGTGCAATTCTGCCACACCGTTCACGCGGTGAGACCCGATGATCGCCAGATTGGCCATCCGAATATTCTTGGGTTGGCTCTCTTCAATAACAGAAACACTGCTGAGCAGACCTCTGTCATTTGGGAACTTTTTCTCAACCATTTGCAGGAAAGCCAGGTTGATGTCGTAGACAATCTCCAGATGGCGAGGCAACAGCGTCCCGAACAGATCAACAGGCCATTTCTCAAGTGCCTCAGCCATTACCGTGTGGTTGGTATAGCCAAAAGTACGCTGGACAATCGACCATGCCACGTCCCATTCCAGACCCTGCAAATCCGTGAGAATACGCTGGAGTTCCACAACTGCCAAAGTCGGATGAGTGTCGTTCAACTGAATAGCCACCTGGTCTGGAAACTGATCCCATGGCCGTTTTGTCTTGATGAACCGACGAACAATATCGTGAAGTGAGGCAGCTACCCAGAAATACTGCTGCTTCAAACGTAGTTCCTTGCCCTTGTAGAAGTTATCGTTTGGATACAACACTGCCGTGATGCTCTCAGCACGCTGTTGCTGGGCCAGCGAGTCCTGGTAGTCACCTTCGTTGAATTTCTGGAAGTCGAACTCGGTCGTTGGTTTCGAGGACCACATTCTCAAGTTGTTTACGTTGGAAGTGCCGTATCCTGGGATGGGGAAGTCGTAGGCCACAGCCAGAATTTGCTCACCACCGTTCCATTGCTTCTTTGATTTTCCCGTTTGCGGGTCTTTGACAGTCGTAGTATAACCGTAGAAATCAACTGGGATCTGAATCTCCAACCGGGGGAGCTCCCACGGGTTGCTGAACCGGAGCCAGTAGTCTGGGGCCTCGGCCTGGTATCCATCAACGATCTTCTGCGAAAAAATACCGTACTGATAGCGCAAACCGTACCCCCAGCCTGGATAGTTTCCTGTGGACAACGAGTCAATAAAGCAAGCCGCCAAACGACCTAAGCCTCCGTTTCCGAGCGCCGCATCCGGCTCCACCTCCAGAATGTCTTCAAGACGGAACCCAAGTTCGTCAACTGCAGTAGCAGCCAGGTCGCGAATTTCCAGGTTGATCAAGGCATTATCAAGAGCCCGACCCATCAAAAACTCCAGGGAAAGATAGTAGATCCGCTTCACGTCTTTGGCCGTGTGCAAGTGCTGGGTCTTGTTCCAGTGCACAATCAGCTTATCTCTGATGGAGTTAGAAGTGGCCTGGTATGCAGCCAAATTGTCGCAATTGTAAATCGAACGCGCCAAAGTCGTCTCCACATGTTTCACAAACTGACTCTCAAACCCATCCACGTCGGAAAACTCGTTAGCCCCATACCGTTTCCAAATCTCTCTGCACTTGAGGGGAATAGCGGCATCAATTGATAGGATCTCAGTTGGAGAGAAGCCCGTCAGTGTTCGTTTATGAATTCTTTGTATTGGTTCAGACATTGAGTTGCAATTGAGGTTTGGATAATTAACCTTACCAATCGTTAGAAGAAGAGTAGTTGTAGTAAAAAGGCCACGAGCAGCCGAACCCCCTAACACCTGCAGGCAAACCACCTGATACCATGGCAAATGCGATTACGTAATTTCTTGTCAAATAGACCGACCCGGACTTATGTGCGGGTTCGGAAAAAATTATTATCCGACAAATAAGAAAGTAAAGTGCTTAGCATATTATATAGTAGATTGCGGAAATTTTATAATAGACATTCGTGATTGTGTGCAGGTTGGTTGCCTCAGCTGTATGCAATGCGGTCCCGTACATGATCTCATCGAGAAGCTAGTGGTGATCCGGCGGAGGTCCACGGATTGGAATTTCCAGTTGAATCTCAATTGGGAAGATGGTATTTGGTCTTCCATCTCTGCAGTCTGTTGTCTATTCAGTTGATCCGAATCTCTTGATATAAGCCTTTTGGTAGCAGACATCAACCCAGAACTTTCGTTCGGATCAGTTGGTTCCCCGGATTACTCGCTGAGATTTCCAGATCGGGAGATGTTAGGTTCACTACCGTGATCTGGTAAAGCCTCTGACTCAATTGTTTCAATACGCTGATTCTGACACAAGCTGCGAGGCATAATCCTGATGATTTTGCGACCCTACACACAAGTGGGAAGTCCATTAGCTGGCAAGTAGACTTTGAGACTGTTTGACCCTCTAAAAATCACTGATTGGTGCACTTCCAAGTAGGCAGTTAAAGGCATGAGACTTGGACCAAACAAAACATTAATTTGTCAAAATTGGTACCATTCTATAGTTCTCTCATGCTAGAAAAGAGCAGACCTAATTATTTCCTCTGTTTTGCTGACTATTGGACACATAGCCTCGGTTTCTTGCCATACTGTTTAGTGTATCTAGAATTTGTATTTACACTACGACAAGTCACTCCCTGATCTGAGTCTTGATACGCGAAAGCCACTTGGCAAGCAATCTCACCCATTACTTGCCCCAAAACATCTCAGAAAAGACGAAAGAAATGGCAGAGAACGATTCAGGTGCGTCTCTTCAAGAACAGCTGCTAGAATCCGCCAGGCGAAACAATGCAGAGCTGTTGGAGTCCATCATTGCAAAGGCGGCCGATTCGGAGGCCCTCGGCAGGCTGATCAACGAGACAGTTGATCCTCTGTCTAATACCGCGCTCCACATTTGCGCAAAATACGGATCGTTTGAAGTCTTGGACATTTTACTCGATCAGGAAGGTGTTGAAGTTGATCCGGTGAATTTATTAGAAGGTGAGACGCCGCTGCATTTGGCAGTGAAATATTCCATCGAAGAACCAGAGCATGGTGCGTTCGTGGCGGAAACGCTGCTTGATGCCGGAGCAGATCCGCGCATTAAGAACAAAAGTGGACTGAAACCCGTGCAGTTGGTCCACAACAACGACCAGTTGCAGGCTGCGTTGGAAAATGCAGAATACACGTTGGCTGCTGAGCTAGAGGGAGAGGTGGATCAGGCAGAGTTGGTCGAAAAAGAAGGTGAAGAAGGTGAAGGCGAAAGTGCATCTGATTCGGATTAAAGCCACGCATTTTTTAGTCTTTAGGATAGTTTTGCCGATTTCTAGAATCTATAAAGCAAAGTCATCGTCATAGGTTTTGGTCCAGTGCCCCAGCGTTTTCTGGAGTTCCTCCTTGCGTAGTTTCCGCTCGCTGTTTTTGAACGTATTCACATAAGAACCCCTTGCATCAATCACTGGTTTCACTAGCTCGCTCAGCGAAGCTCGTGACACGAAACTTTGGTCCCTCTTTTCAACTGGTCGGCTGCCCTTCTTGGCTGTGCCGTCTTTGACTCCTTGAACGAGCACATCACAAAAATGACAACAATAAACAAGACTCAAATGAGAAGGGTCCTTGTCAATGACAATATCACCATCACGCCTCGAAAATGGGAAGTTCACGTCAGTTGAAACAATCTCAATTGGCCGAAACCATGTCGGCACTTCTCCAAACCTCGTATGGAAACACCTGTGTAGATCATCCGAATTTCTCCGGGCCTCCGCCCGCGGAACAACCAAATACTTGATGTGAAAGCCTTCTGGGAGCACTAGTAGTGAGCTGATGCAATTTAGTAGACCACCGTCAAACTGACGGACGGAAATCTTATCGGAACAGCTCTTGGATAAGCTGAGAGGTGAGTCTGGCCTTCCGGGCTTGGTTCTCACCATCCCAAGTTGTGAAAACCCTCCTCTTCCTCTGCTATCCGCACTATGTATACCTTCTGTATCATAGTTGGTCCATGGAGTGGTGTCTTCTCCTTTTTGCTCCATATCGTGGACTACATTCGACATAGAACAATCTCCACACGGTAGCTCGCTGACGTAAAGGGCAAACTTCCATTCTCGCCTCAGTGAAATCCCCTGATCTGTGCGCTCGAGCATTGGATTGTCCTCTGATAAATCCTTACATTCCTCGATCAACCAGCCATTAAAAGCCCTCAAAGCCAGAATTTCTGCATGACAATCGTGAACCATGCGACCATGGCTCTTCTCTTTTATCTTTGCGTCTGGCATCACTTTCATTCCAGTGCCAATTGAGAGGACCCTAAGATCAGCCGGAGTCTCCTCATTCACGGCCACGACTGCGGCGACTATGGTCCATTCCCCTTTCTTGGGGTGGGCGGACCGGAACTTCCTCCTCGTCCTATCGTCACCCGTACCCTTGAGAAACAATCCCGCCACCCTCGCAGCAATTTGATCGGCCAAGCTCGTCATATATATTGGCGGGGACTATATATGCTGATTCTAAGGGCTGGTACCAGTTTCGGCTCAATTTAATTTGTTTTGCGGCTTGTGGAAACATAGTAGGCAGGAAGACAAGGATCTGGTGAAAAGTTGTGATAAGCATCTGGTTGCTTATGTAATCTCAAGTTGATATCGTTATCTTTGTGCAGTAAGTGATCGCGCTAGTACGATATTTTGCTGGAAACGACATGTTCGTTGATTCAATTAGAAAGAATTTGCAGGCTATTTGGTTAAACAAGGTAAAAAGTGGTTAGAGTTACATGAATGATGGTTGACAAAGTTGGAAATTCAATGGTCGCGGCAGAAGGACATGTACTCAAATCTTCAGTTCCGGCAAGGATGGTTTTGGATTAGATAAAGCCTGTAAAATGTAGGCCGATACGGTCACCTTCGGTACAGACTTTTGATGTTTAAGGATTCCACATGTACACCCCAGGTACTAGCACTCTGCTGCAAGGAACCTGCAGCAGCAGCAGCGAGTTCTCTACGATGCCCCATGACATCCTCATAGTCTCGCAACTCGACCAAATGGCTGAAAATGCTTTTAGTCGTTTCATCCAGCGCCACTCCAAGCCTAATAGGATTAAGAAAGACCTTGTGTGGCTCGCTGATATGATAGAATATAATTGCCGTCAACCCAACTGACTTCCGATCCCTGGTCCTGCACACTTCCGTTTTGGTCTCTCTGACCTTCGAGTTGACTTCGACATGATGAACGCGGTCAGTAACAATATTTGTTTTAATTATACCGGCACCAGCACCACGGTATAATTTACCAAACCTCGTGATAAGCACAACGTTACCCTCTTTGACTTTTTTGAAAGGATTGGGTATGCAGAAACAACCCGGGATCATGCCGAAAATCCCAAAGAATTCACCTAATGCGTTTAAGAACGATCCGTAGGATCCTCCCTGAGGAACATCCCATTCGAACTCGTATGGCTTTTCTATGTCACTGGAGGCTGGCTGTTTGGTGATGACTCTTTCCACTTGTGGTGGTTGAGCTGTTATTTCGTCATAACTGGGTAGCATTGGTTCTTTTGGCGGTGTGGTTGAAGTGGATAATAAGCGTCGAAGTGGTATTGGTATTTTAATGTTGTACTGTTGATTCTTCTGATGCTCAATGGCCAATCCTTGCAGGACTGCCCTTCGTACTTATACTTATCGGAGATTTCAGACAATGACCTCATGCATGCATGCAGCTGGCATGTAAACACAGAAGGAAGAAACGCTTCCAGCAACAGAAATTTGATGCCCAAAAACTCTCTGCAAGAAATGACATATCTGTCGTAATTGGCAATTTTCTTCAATTAGAGTTATGCCCAACTTGCCCAGTTTTACGAAATCAATTTATTAAGGGTCCTCGTTGTTCAGTTCATCGAAAACGCCCGATGACGTAATAGGTATTTTCACCACCCTTGCAGCTGGTGGGCATATTTGGTCATGTCCACATCTCCACCAAAGAGGCTTCCAATTAGATAAGATACGACGAATACTCAATGCATAGGATTATCCAATCGGGTGATACGAATGAAACCATCAATGCACACCGCACGGTTGGTAACATGGTGCAGATGTGCCGAAGGGCCGAATTAAGTGAGCGCTGAACCCATTTGCTATTGTCCATTAATCAAAATTGATATTGTCTGCATGTGTATGTAGGGCGCGGCAGAAATCCTTTCGGTTTCGATTTTTCGGTTTTTCGATTTCTCGGTTTCGATTTCTCGGTTTCGATTTCGGTTTTTCGTTTTCGATTTCGATTTCTCGGTTTCGGTTTTCGGAAATTGGACTGAGCACGCCCTGTATATATACAGTAATAATACATAACAGATGTAGTCGTCATATGCTTCCGAGGACGCGTGCGGAGAGAGATTTAAGCACGTGATGATATTACCGAAAAACAATCCGAAATCCGAAATCCACCCTCGGTAAAAACTCGAAATCCGAAATCACGAAGCCCTATGTGTATGTTCAATCCCAAATTTGACATTGATTAGTAGCTATACCAAAGATACATGCGGACTATTAAGAATTTGGCGGGGTCTGCGATAAGCATGTGGTTACTCATGCAACTCTACTTTTTCGTTACGGTACCGGGTATTGAAAAACGATGCAATAATTAATTCATTAGATTAAAAGCCAGAAAATCGCATAAATTGGACCAAATGAGGCCAAATACAGTCAGAGACGTAAAAACAAAACGATGGCATGCACTGGCAAAGCTAAAGTCAAAGCTCAACCAATCAGCTCTACTGAGCACTGCTGGATTGTTGGAACATACGAGCATCACGGTCCTCAGGGTCGTTCGCTTCGTTGAAAGCCATTATCTCCAGAGCTGTGTTAGGATTCGCTATGTTGCCAGAAGCCACGTCGATCTCGCCCGAAGATGGCATGAAAATGACCTTGGAATGGGCGTTCTTGGCCATGCTTTGCATTGCATCCAAATAACGAATTTGCATAGCTGGTTTGGAGGCCAGGATATCAGCAGCCTTACGCATGAGTTTAGCACTTTCAACCTCAGCTCTGGCAGTGATGATTTTGGACTCTCCAATTCTTTTAGATTCAGCAGCCATCGACAAAGATTGCGAAACGGTAGTCGGTAGAATCAAGTCCTTAATAAGTATAGACTCAACACGAACACCCCAGGCAGTGGCAGTTTCCATAATAATCTCCTGAATGGATTCTGCAATTTCCTCACGACGCTCAATCACGTCCTGGAGATTACGCGATCCAACCACATGTCTCAGAGTAGTCATGGTTCTCTCAACCAAAGCCTTAGTGACATCATCAACCGCAAAAAAGGCCGTGTGTGGTGCAGTGATGTTATAGTACAGAACACTTGTCAGAGTGATGGAAACGTTATCTCTGGTCATACACTGTTGTTGGGGTATTTCGGTAAATCTCTGCTTGACATCAGCACGGTACAAGTGCTCGGACAAAATATTCACGCTCACCAGGCCGGGGTCAGCAGAACGATACAGTTGACCAAATTTGGTAATGAGCCCAACCTCACCCTGTTGAATTCTCTGGTATGGATTTGGGATACAGAAACAGCATGGGATCATACCAAAAATACCAAGACACGAACCAAATGCATCCAACATTGCTCCATACGTTCCTGTTTGAGGAGTTTCCCATTCGAACTCGAAGGGTTGTTGCATTTCACTTCTTGAAGTGGGCTGTTGGGTCACCACGCCCACAGATTTGACAAGCTTGGAAGGTTTTGGTGAGTGGTCTTCAAAAGATTCAGACATTGCGAAAAAAGGTCGACGAATTTGTAATCAAAAACAATTTCTAGGAAGATGTAGCCTTCCTGCGGTTTGAACAGAGAACTATTGATTGGTAGTGTTGACTGATATAGCTAGTACTGCTATGCTGATGATACTTTACTGACTAGAGTTATCACGGAATTAGCAACTCTACTTATACCTCAAAAAACGGTTTAATCTGTTATCTTTGTTTTTTTTCATGCTCGTTTTCATGCTCCTATTCACCTATCAGAGGCCCCCAACTCCAACTGCATGACCCGGAATACGAGATATCAGCGGTGCGGCTTGCACAGCCTCTCCTGATGACCTTGCAGATTGTTTGAGTTTCTCTCATCTTTTTGAAAGCCCATTTTTCTCACATAATTATATTCGTTGTAGTCATTGGCAGTATTTCCGTTTGAATGGTACTAAATTTACCCAATTCCACCAGGCATATCTCGAATATATCCTGATCAACTCTTTGCTCTGCTTACCCCCTCCTGCCCCCTCCCCCAGTTCTCTCGCAGTCGTATTAACTTGATGTGACGTCACGGCTAAGCCCACTCCACACGCACTTATTTATGTACGATGGGTCACTGCATAATTGCATAATTACAATAGATCTGATAGATAGAGGCGAAGTCGGATAATTGATTAAGTACGGGTTTAATGACGTTTGGCGTTTAACCAATAAAAGGAGCGATAGGAGTTATCGGCTAAAGCTTCCGGGGGAGGCGCAATTGTCATCAATCCAAATGATCATTGGTAGTTACTGCGGCTGAGCAAACCTGGTATCGGGTTTGTGTATGCGCATACTGGAAAGGATTCAAGGGAATGAACTCGGTTGATTACTATTAGATATCTCGAGGCTGAAGTCCGCCATTTAAACGTCATCAGAAGAAATGTGATTTCCAAGATTGAACAAGTAGTCGGTATTCGCTCTTCCGCCAAACTCATTGATGTTTCCGTCTCCATCAAAGTAATTCGCGTATTCCGAAGTGTTAGTTCTGATTGGAGGACCAGGTCTTGCAACATTAAAGTTGATTGGGTTTTGAACAAAAAACGGATCGTCCAGGTTGAATCCCAACAGCGGGTCGATTCCAAAAGGTGAGTCCTCCAAAGCAAAATCCCCGCAATCGGATCCTATAGAAAACCTAGCAGGACCTGGTGGCTGAACGTTTGGTTCCTCTCCATCTCCAAAAAAGCCATTTGGTGAATAAAGAGGATTTCTGGGTGAGGAATTATCTTCCTGGAACACGGCTGGTGCTCTCGACCCAAGGAATGACAAACTGGAGTCGCTTTTGCGCAAAAGAGCCATGTTTCTTGCAGAAGGTGACTTCAGAAGAAGTCCAGAATTGGATTTGTATAGTCCAGTATTTGACATACTGGCCATGCTGGGAACACGACTGGGGCCTTTAGCCTCCTCCTCGTGGATTTTGATCAGATTATCACACATCTCATTGATATACCGAACAATGCGGATAGTGCTTGGTCTCCAAAGCTCTTCGCCAACTTTTTCAAACAGATTCTGCAATTTTGACCTGATAAGCTTGATTTCGTCAAAGAAGTCGTATACCAGAGGTAAACCCATCATCAGGAACGTGTAAATGACAACAAAAGATTGGTAGGCAAAACAGTAAAAGAACGGGTAGATGGACTGGAAGTCCGTGGTATCCATCTTATCCTTCAATATTTCCACCAACGCAAGGAAATGATCCAAAACCTTGATCACAGAATCCAGGCACGATTTGGCTGAACTCTTGTGTTGTGACATGAAATGTTGGTGAAACTTGGCGCGATTTCCATAAACGAGGATAAGATCGCATATAGTCTCACAATCTGTTTCCAAAAGAGAGTATTTCTCCATTTTTCCCTCATATCGTTTTTGGATGGTAAAGGTGAGATCTGAAGGAAGTTCGTTCAGAGCAGTAACGCTGGCGCTGCGTCTTCGTTTTGTCTTTCTGTCTTTGGTGATACGAAGCGGAATCCTGATCAAACTTGCCTTAAAGGTATTAGACCCTGGTTCCAACCTCGCGGCTCTCCTATCAGACAAAATTTTCTCGTAGATGATAATTTCATTCTCAAACTCCTCATCAATTTCCAAAATCGTGGAGTAATCGATCTCTACCTTGTAAGACTCGATCAGTACTTGGGTAGACTTCTTGATCAGCTCCGAAATCCCAATTTTGTAGTTCAGCCTGATTTCACAGTTTCTCAGTAACGGCTGGAAGGTAAACGTTACAGGGTTTGGCCTGCCAAGAATGGAGCAAAGAACCGCACTCAGGAAGTTGATTGTCAACCAAAGGGATGTTCTCGGGTGCTTCCGGATCACCTCCAGACTCTTCTCACCGACCTCGTTCTTCAAGGTTTTCACAATATTCTTATCAAATACGTGTAAACCAAGAGAATACGCAGAGCTCACAATCCGAAACAGCAAGGTCCAGCTTTTCTCAGGCTGATCGTTGTAGAAGAGGTCTTCGCACTCTATGACGTAAGCCTGAAGGTTAGTGACAGTGTCTATCGAAACACCATTTCTCAAGTTCTTGAACTGCTTGTACAGCGTTCCACGCATCTTGGCATAGCTTAGGTTGTTCTCGACCAAAAGGGCATTATCTGGTTCCAGGCTTCGCAAGACCGTGATCAGAATGGCCAACACTAACAACATCTCATCATCATGCGACCATTCCTTCATTCTCGTGTAGTTATTCAAAAAATCAATCAAAGGCTTCTCGGAAACAAAGTTGATGTTATGGGTCTTGAACATGAAGAAGCGCTTCACAAGCTTGATTATCAGCTCAATGTTCTTCGGAGAAGTAGCCAACTGTCTTCTCACTTTGATTTTGCTCAAAGACTCTAGAGGAACATCTATCAAAATAGGCAAATCGCGCTTCTGGCTGATCTGCCTCCTCATCTTCATGAAATTGTCGTAATCAGAATCGTTAGTCCCGTTCTCCGTTTTCGTAGAGGTTTGGCTAATCATGTATTCTGTTGAGTTGGGGCCATAATACCTGCCTCTTTTGGCATTAGCCGTGTCCTCGTTATCAGAAAAGTCTCCACTGCGAAACGGTGGCTTCAACAACCCATTTTCCTCTGAGGCTTTGTCAGTTCCGTGCTGCCTCAGCTTTAATCGTAGCTCCTTCAGCTTTAGCTTCAACACCTCATTCTCCCTCTGAATAGCCTCAAGCTGGTCTTCCTCTACCTCACTGGGTGCTGTCTCTTCCTCGAATTTTACCTGAACCGTTCCTCCGGGACTGGCGGCTTTCTTCTCGTTGTTGGACTCAGAGCTGCCAGATTGGGACCTATATGAGGCATTTCTGTCTATCCCCGGCCTTCCAACCACTTTGGGCTTGTCCTCTAACAAAGTCTCTACCTCAATTGAACGAAACTTTCCAGGGTATTCACATGACGTATCCCTCTTGATACACTGATTGCAAACAGGGCCCACTTTATTGCACTTGATTTTCCTCCTCCGGCATTCCACACAAGAGATTGGATATACCTTCATCGTAGTTGTGCTAGCATTTGCTCTATCAACCATACGATTAAAATCAAACCAAGGATTGAAAGTGCTGAGTAGAGTGGAAATCGCTCAAAAACATCGCTGGCAAGGCGAAGAAGCCAACACTTCAGTCCGCACTTGTTCGGGGTCTGTGGGGTATGCACTTGGTGCACGACCTTTATGACATATTTCGTGTAAGCAACTGGATAGTTTCTTGTGTTGATTGGGTAGCTGAGTTGTTCCTGGATATGTTTTGGGGGAAAAGCGAGAGTGCAAGTGATCAGGAGTATGTGCTGAAAGTTTTGACAGCTGCTGGGTATACGGAAGGGTCTGGCTTCCGGAACGTGGATGTGAACTCGGAGACCCCGCTTGAGTTTGAGACAGAATGGGCAAAAGTTCAGTTGATTGTGAGAATTAGAGATTTTGAAGCCGATGATTCTGGTGAATCTGGAAATTCTGATAATCTAGACAAAGCTAAGGTTTCCGAGGATTCGGAGAATTCCAATTGCTACTTTGATGTTCACAAGACCTCTAAATTCTCCATTGAGATCCGCTTGCTATTCCTCAAAGACACCCCTGGTGACCTTCTTCTTTTTGGGAACGACTTCGATACTCCAATTCGGGATTTCTTACCCTACGGACTGACATCAATGGGGCTCAAAGTCTTGAAATGGGTCGATCCAAGCGTGGAAGGCGATCTATACGCAGACAGACCGTATCTGTATGGAAAGGCCTTGGGCAGCTTCAACCGAATCTGCGTTGCTGAATCCCCCGCAGAAGTTGCCGGAAATTGGGATGAGAATCTTTCTAATGCGAGCACAGATTCGCTGGATATTCCTGCAGATCCTGTCAAAAGGCAGTATTTTTTTGCAGCTAAGGAAAATCTGGAGAAATTCCAGTTCCAAAAGGGCAAGGTATACGCCTTTGACTTCACGAACGACTACATATCTCTGGGCCACGGAAAATTCAATCTGGCGCTTCCTGGAGGATTTGAGTTGAATCTGGCAAGTTATTTGCAATCTTTTGTAACTGCTCAGGGCGATAACGATGCTGCTGCTAATTGGACTCTTAAGCTGAAGGATCCAGACGGAAAAGAGGGAGCCGAATCAGGTGTCCCTCTTTTAATGATCAAGTTTAGACTGGAACCCAAAGCCGGTGATGAGCTAGACTGAGACTTTTAAATCTTTGTTTTTTACTATTTGCATGCCAAAAAAATTATGGTGAAGATCCAAAAAAAGAAGGATAGAAAGTGGTCCCTAGCAGGATCGAACTGCTGATCTCCGCGTTATTAGCACGGCGCCTTAACCAACTGGGCCAAGGGACCATCTTCGAAACTCAACAATTTTTTGGTGCACTACACCTTATTCGTTGTTTAGCACACTACGTTTGTGATTTTTGAATTTTGACAGCAGAAAAAGATGAATAGCGAGAATAAATATTACCTTTGCTATTCTATGTCTACATATCGTTATTACTAGTAAGCATTTTTTGAGTTCTGGGGTTGTGTGGAGGTTGGGTTTTGGGGGAGTTGAAGAACGTTAAGGCATACAATCTGCTCATTATCTGGGATAAAAATTTGAAAAAATTTGGAATTTTGAGTATTTTGCGGTTTATGAAAACCACTGTAGTTGCAGCAAGGTCAACCAGAACCATATAGATTCCTGTAGATCCCCCAAAATTGTGTTTTATCCAATACGCTCTTCTATCTATCTCTACAACCCTCTTCTTCATAAAACTTCTATTTACAAGTCTGCTAACTATTTGCTCAAATCACTAAACGATAATACTTTGTTGCTCAAAAAAGCATCAGCACTACCCTTGGAGGCATCATTACTCAAGGTGCTTTGCAGCTGGGATTCCAGAGCAGTTAGCACTGGGGCTCCCTTGGACTGATCTCCAGAACCATCCTTTTTCTGTGATCTTTTTCTGGTAATCTTTGGTGGCTCAACATCGCTCATGTATCCTCTCCTCGCCTCATCACTGTAAAACAAAATGTCTCTTCTGGCAATTGGCTTTGCCTGGATAGGCAAGTAGCCTCTTTCTCTAACGAACCACCTGGGTGCGTGATGGGCACGGTATCCTAACGAAGTGCTGAAGAACTTGGCCACAAATTTTCCGCCGGCCCTTTCAATGGCACGGATCGCAGCAAAACTTGCCTTGGAAGCCTCAATAGATATAGGCAAGTCATACTCGGCCTTTCCGTTTCCCAGAATGGCAACTCCATCCTTCATGGGACCAGATACCAGTCCACATTGTTTCATTTTGCGCATCGTCAACACCTCACCATCTTCCAGCTTCAACAGACCAGATCTATAGTATTCGGCTATCCTCAACAGCTTGACCTCGTTGTACTCCCTCTTATTGTGTCTGTAGAAACCTCTCTTGGGAAACAGTTTGTGTATTGGTGTCTGACCACCTTCAAACCAAGGCTTCACATTTCCACGAGCCTTCTGACCCTTTTGACCACGTGTCGAAGTTTTACCACGGCCACTGGCTGGACCTCTACCGACTCTGCGGTCGTTCTTGAAAGACCCAACTGAAGGATGCAGTTTCGCCAACAGCGATACCGAACGCACCGGTGTGTTTAGCACCACAAACGCGGGCCTTGAGCGAACACCCAAAGAAAGCCCAAGTCTCGCAAGCATGGCAAAAAATGTGTGATTCAAAACAAAGTTGTATCGAGCTCGTGTTGAAACGATTTGAACTCTTGTTCCAAATTGGACGTCGAGGAAATCTCGAAAATCTGACCTTATTGTTTACTACACTACCACCCATCTCCACCCTCGCCAGAACCGAGACTGGCCTGCCAGGGTGTTTCTGAGGACGATCGAATTGTGCTCTGTGGTTTGATTTTCATCTAAAAGGGAGAATCTGCGAATTTCACTTGTTGTATTTGCTCAATAATTTCGCATTGTGTTTGAGATTGATCACGTGGCTGTTTTGCGGACACGAATCTAGATAAACACCAGGTTGATCATAACACGTTAGACCAACCCCTACAAACGGCGTGTATTCTAGCCTGAGGACCTCGTTTTCGTTGGAACTTAAAAAAGAGGCGGTTTCAAGTGAAAATCTCGCGAAGATTCCGATTTTTGTCAAAAAAGTTTTGTTTTTATCGCTTTCGCTGATCCATTAATTACACGATGCCCCTCTGTGGTGGGACGAGTAAGCCAGGTGAGTTTCTTTGACAATAGACTATAGTTGCCAACCGCAACTTTTGCCAGCTATGCTACGGTGATAGTTGCCAGAACTGCTGGTTACAACCAGGTTGTAACTGTCAGAGGCAATTGCCAGTTCTGATCACCAGTTCTGATCACCAGCTTTCCAGCTTTCCGCCTACTAACCGCTTCTAGTTCAGCGCAAGATCGTCATCCTCGGAGACGGTGCCTGTGGAAAGACGTCTCTGTTGAATGTGTTCACCCGTGGATACTTCCCCCAGGTTTATGAACCAACAGTCTTCGAGAATTACATTCACGATATTTTCATCGATGGCCAACAGTTGCAATTGTCGCTTTGGGATACTGCTGGACAGGAAGAGTTTGACCGGTTGCGCTCGCTGAGTTACAGCGATACTCATACCATCATTCTGTGTTTCTCCATCGACTCTGCGGACTCTTTGGAAAACGTGGAGAACAAGTGGGTTGGAGAGATTCTTGAGCACTGTGATGGAGTCAAGCTGGTTTTGGTAGCTCTCAAGTGTGATTTGCGTAATGGTGAAGACAGTGCGAATGACATTGCCCAGGATTACAACCAGAGGCCCAAGAGGCTCGTTAGCTACGAGGAGGGCCTGGCCGTGGCCAAGAAGATTGGTGCGCTGAGGTATCTAGAATGTTCTGCCATGAAGAACAGAGGAGTCAACGAGGTGTTCACCGAGGCCGCAAGATGTGCGCTTTCGGCAAAGCCAAAAGGTGCGAGCTCTGCTGAAGAAGAGAGCGAGAGTCGTTGTACGATAGTTTGAGCCCAGTTCAGGACAGTCCCTCTTTAGTTATCACAAAAGGTTTAATCAGAAGCCTTAACAGAAAAAGAAGAAATGATCATTCGTAATGCTTATAAAAGACCCAAGACGTCATAAAAATATATTTTCCCACATTTCTCCTTCTCCTTCTTAGCATCAAAAGCCATGCAAATGCATATTAACCCTTTACAAATCATTCAACAGATTCTCGAGATTCACGCTAGGAAGTGTCCTATGTCCCCGCTCTCTGATTGGCGATTGTGAACTCGAAGCCCTTGGCGGAGACTCCAGTTCTTGTGAAGTCAAGCGTATCACCGACCTGCTTCTATCGTGACCAAACATCGGCACCTGGCCCAGGTTGAACACATCTGCCCTTGAAACTGGATCTGCCACAGAAAAGCGGTTCGTGTCGTAGATACTAGCATTGTTGAACCGGCCTTGCTCCGACCAAACGGGGTTGATCAACGGCTCACTCAGGGAGGAGGCCCGGTTTCCCATGAATGTAGGGTGATAAACCCTGGTCTTTTCATCCATCTCTTTAGCTGCCTTGCGCGACCGCCAAGCCTTCCAGCCCATGATGAAGGCGTAGAGCAGAAAAATGAGAGCTGCCAAAGCGCCGAGGCAGATGAAAACCGTTCCCGTTGGGGCCTGTGTCTGGTATATGAAGGGATTGGAGTCCATTGGTGGAACTGTCACTTCTGGTGTGGTCCAAGCCGTGGAATCAGTGGCGGATGATTGGCTGGTAGACTGGCTAGCACTGGATGCATCTGAAACCGTATCTGAGGAAGTTTCCGAGGATTTTGCTGTTTCTGTCACGGTGGCGGCCGTGGCTGTGGTGGTGAGTTTGGGCAACGCCATGTCAGATCAAACGTAAACAGCACAATTGGTGGAATTGTGACTTTCAAGGGCAGAAAAGAGTGAATATTATATCTGGAATTCGTTCTGAGACGAAAAAATTTATAAAACCTGACTTCAGCACCAAAAATCCACAACAGTTCAGGAAAAGAGTTGGTACAAAAATAGACGTCTGGAACATGTTTTTGACAGAATTTAGTTATTTCCCGATTTGGAGGAGATTATTTAGAAATGCACGACTTATGAGTGTACTGCCGAAGTTTTACAAACGAGCATTTGGGTTTCGCTATCAGACATACTACTGACCAACTGACCAACTGACTTGCCTCTGGAAAACCACACTATAATTTTTGTTGATGGAGAAATTTACAAATTGGAGAGATGCTGCGACTGGGATCTCGCCCTTTATGCCGATACCGAATTCCAATAGCGGCAAAGGAGCAGTGAAGTATTTGCTTGGCCCTGTGAGACTGCTGGCTTTCGCTGTTCGCGGGTTGTTCTTGGTGCTTCTGCTGGCACTTTATATCCTGAGTGTTCCGGTTGCACCATTACAGAAGCTTGTATTAGGTCTTTTGCTAGAACTGGTTTTTGGCGTAATCGAAACGGAGGTCCAGATTGACGGAATCAAGAGGTCGAACACCAAGCTGACCAAGGTCAATAGACCCAACAAGCGTGATCTGGTGATTGCCAATCTCTCTTCGCCGCTAGATCCACTTGCTCTGGCTTGTATCAGCAATAGCAGCATAAGCTCATGTCTATTTCTGATACCGGATGGAGCTGGAGATCTGAGATCATACTCTGTGTGGGGGGCCTTCAAGTTTGCACTATCTGATCCGGTCACAGCTCACCAGGGCGAAATCATTCACGATGTTGCAAAATTTAAAAACAAGACACTTTTCGTGTTCCCAGAATCGACAACTTCGAACAACAAGGCTATCTTGCCTTTTAACCCAAAATTGGGCAAGTTATCAGATCTAATGGGAGAAAACACCTTCAAGCTCAAGGCTATAAGCACCAAGTCGTATCCACCACAATTGACCACAACTCCTTTGCCGACCTCAGTCATTACCTTTCTGTGGACCAGCTTGTCACACTTGAAGTTTGAAACCAGGTTCAAGTCGAAGGTTTTTCTTTTGGAGTCGGAATCCACCTGGAAAGAGGCCAGGACTGCACTGACTAACTATGGCAAGTTGAATCTGGTGGGAAATTCGCTGAATTTGCAGGCGAAGATCGCGTTCATTGCTGCTTTCAAGAAGGGGAAGGGCATTTCCTAAGAATAATATAATTAAGCTAACGCTCAACAATAATTACTCCTTAGATTTATGCTGACAATCCGATTGTTCATTAGCCATTTTCATCCCATTTTGAGCCGCACCAAAATTCACTGACACACGACCATAAATATCCCACGTCCACGACCAACACCTGGCTGGCGATTTCATCGCCCGCGATCTTGAAAGGTGTCCATTCTAACCACAATAAACCTCAGTACACACATTGTCGAAATGGCAGAGGAATCGTTTATCAAAGAAGAAGCTGCGGCCAAGATCTCGGTCTACACGCCTATAATATACGTGGTGGTGATGATCACCGCGTTGGTGGTGTTCTCGGTGGTGTATAGAAGGAGGAACGTGAAACATCTTCAGGAAATGAAGCCTTTTTTCCCGGAAAACATCCCAAGAGAGATATATTTTCAACTGAAGTACCAGGAACCAAAGCCCAATGACAAGGTGTTGAAGGCAGCGTTGATTAGAAGGGGTTCTGAAGCAATTAGGCGGATGATGAAGTTGAGAGAGAACCAACAGCATGTGAAGTTGCTATATGAAAGGGGTTCTATCGGTGATGAGCTCTTTCTGAGACATCAGTTTGCCTCCAAGATCCAGGAATTGGAGTTGCAGGAGCTCGGTTTGGAGGCGGAGTCTTACAAACAGGGCTGGGCGCCCACGTTTTTTGCAGTTTGTCAGGAGGTGACTTTCAATGAGGCATTGAGAAGGCGTGTAAAGGCTGTTGATGAGAGAAAGCAGGTTTTGAGCGCGGAATGGGGTTTGGTGGTTGAGTCTGCTGAGAAGAAGGTGGAGAAGAAGGTGACAGAGGCTGCTACCTAAGGAAGAAATTGGTGATCAGGAAGGCCACAAAGAAAACTATAAGCACAGCGAGATACAGAGTCTTGGTAGTAGCAGTTTTGGGTTGAAAAGACGTCGTCTACTGCCAAATTCCGGCAGAGGGGGAAGGTCAAATGGCAACGCAGGAAGCCGCACGTCAGCCTACTTAAGACGATCCAGAAGCTACAACACCTTAAACACCTTCAACTACACATATTTGTTGTAACCAGCGCCGTTTGATCTTCGGGCATAGTCCCATTTTTCTATGTACATAATCTGATACTGTTTACTGTAGTTTTGCTGTGATCATCTTTCACTTGAAATTTCACTTGAAATTTCACCATTCTCAACTCCAACTGAAAATTTCACCATTTCTAAGTCCAGCTTCACTTTCACCAAATTCAGCTCCTCCTCTTGTTCTTCTTCGAGACAACCTTGGTGAAAGGAGAACTCCAATCATCGTCGTCATCATACTCAGCAGCCTTGGTGATGTCGGACCGGGCCTGGGCTTCCTGCCATGAAAAATCCATACCTTGACGTTTCACAATGGCTTCAACAGCTCTACGACGCTTCATGAACTCCTGTGCAAAACGACGTCCATCCATAACGGAAGAATTCGAGTACACTGTATCAGCAATGATCTCCTGGGTCTCAGCAGAGGATGAAGGCATCTGAAGCATGATTGAAAGCAACTCCTCACGCTTAACTCCACTGTTCAGACTGTTAAATTGAGTTCTGCACCAATCAAGGAACTCACGCGAAGGTGATGGAGCCGATGGAGCAGAAGGAGTTGAATATGTCGAGGAAGCAGCCGGACGGGACACCACTGGAGCCGACGAAACGGCCGAAGAAACAGCAGAAACGCTGCGCAAAAGAGCCGGCGTTGCAACAGCAGTGGGAGCCCTCTTAATCGGAGCATTTGGCTTGGCCACAGGTTTCTTCGAGCCGACCACGGTCCAGGCATCTGTTCCAGAAGAGCTGGCGATGGCAGCAAACGAAGTCTTAGCAGCCAAAGCAGCTGCGGCCTTGGATGCCTGGTTGGTCTTCTTAGCAGCCTCCTCTGCTTCAAGACGGTGAATTTCAGCTAGTGACTGTACCTTTTCTTTGGCTGGAGTGCTGGAATTGGCCCATCTAGCAGTCGAGGAGGAACGAATATCCGGCATCATGGTGTGAACTGCAGCAGCTTCTTCGTCAGCAAGACGCTGGGCCAATAGGAGCGAGCGATTCTTTTCCTCCAGCTCTTTCTGGCGAAGCCTGTCCTTTTTCTCTTGCTCTTGGATCTCAGCAAGCGAGAGACCTGGTGCTGATACCACTGGGGCAGCAACAGCAGCCGCGGCCCACGGAGCCGGCACCGGAGCAGCAGGCGTGATTGGACTAGCAGTCTTTGTAGTTGAAACCTGAACATGGACTGGTTTTTGTTTGGGTTCAGGGGGAATTTGGACAGATAATTTGGGCTGGGTTGGGGCCTGGGTGGTGGAGGGTTGTGGAGCTTGGGGGACGGCAGAAGCGTGGGAAGGCTCTGAAATTTGCTGAGGAGTTTGCTGATGAACGTGTTGAACAGTCTGAACGGTCTGAGCAGGTTTAGCAGGCTCAGCAGGCTCAACATGTTGTTGAACGGGCTGTTGGACGGGCTGTTGGACAGGCTCTTGGACAGTCTCACGACCAGTCTCACCAACATCGACAGAATGGGATTCCAACTGAGGGATCTCGTATGTTTCGACCTTCACTTCATGACTTTCTTCTTCGTCAAAAACATTGTTTAAGACCCGAGATTGAAGGTCTGCAAACATGTCACGGGACACGGCAGCAGGGCTCTGATAAGCCTGCGCAACCGGAGCTTGCTGCTGGAAGAACGAGGATTGCTGCTGGCTCAATTGCTGGCTCAATTGCTGGTTCTGCCAGTTTCCATTCTGCGGAACTGCCAGTCCCCAGGCGTCCTGAGGCTGTTGAAGGTGTTGGCCATAAGAAGATCTAAACGGCTGGTATGCGTTGAAGACGTTAGCCTGAGCTGGAGGAGCAGACAGGTCCGGAAGAGGCACCAAAAACGGCGTAACAAAGTCGTTGATGGAGTGTGCAAATTCGCCAAGCGACTGGTACGCGTTCGACTCTTTGCGACGGAGTCTCAAGTCTGGCTGGAGATATCCTGCTGAGTACCAGCCCTGCATCATGGTTCCGTCGAACGGACCCTGTTCGTTTCCAGAAGCATCCAAATACACCCAAAAGATTTGGGAAGGGTCCACGATCAACTTGGGTTGCTGCGGAATGTTGAAAGCCGGCGAATGTACCAGTTGTGGGGAGTTGAACGAGAAGCCTGGGTCACCTCTTGGATCACCACCTCTGGGATCAGCCCGATTCCACTGGTCTTTGGCACCACCGTTCAACGACAGCTGAGCCAGCGAATCAGATACCACATCCGGAGTGTCTCGAGCAGAATGCTTGTTTTTTCGTTGAGTTTTCACCGTTTCGCGGGCATGCAACGGAATGTTCAGCTGGAGACTTCTGTATGGCTGGTCCGACTCGCCGTCAATCAGCCGGTCTCTGGATTTTAAATTCTGGTATATATCCGTCATTTCCTCTATGGTATACACAATTTTGTTCCTTTGAGGTCCACCCAGGCCGTTTCCGGTGAGATGGGGCGTGCTGGGAGAAGCATGGTAGCTGGACGTGGAGTTGGTCTCGCTGGTGGTCAATCCCGGCGTGAGTCCAGGATTGCGCGCAGGGTCATGAGAACTGCCATTACGAGACCATTGGCTCGTTCTTGAGTCGCTTTGCAGTGGTTCATCGGAAGCAACGGGTGCTTTAGGACGCATCCTGAGGAAGAGCATTGTTAGTGAGGTCCATTTTCATTGGTGGGGGACTGAGAAGCACACTTACCATGTGGGGCCAAAAGATTGTGACATTTGTGAAGAATAGGGATCTGAAAGTTGCAATAGGGGATTTTTTGTACGATTTTCGAACAAAAGAACTGATATGGTGGGGACTTCTTGACGAGTCTTGTGGTATATGGCTGAAATTTTTTTACCCGGCTTCGAACTGGGAGTGCGTAACTCAAACTGGATGGACGTGGAGTCTGGAGCTGGGGTTGCTAGAGATGAAAGATGGAGAAAGGCGGAGAAAAAGGTTGAAGAGAATTGAAAAGAGTTGAAAAAGGCTGAAAAATAAGGGTAAATAATACTACTAATGACTAGAAACTACTGAAAGTCGCTTTTATTGTGTTTTTTTTTGAGTGTGATTGGTCGAACTGTATAGAGAGCAGGGTGTCAAGATGGCATGACAAAGATAACCGACTAATCCTAAATACGAAAAAATTGTAAGGCCAGCGATATTAGACAAAATATCTTTCTAAGCACAAACACCTCTTCGAATCGTGCTGATACCGCAAAGATGCTACAATCCAACTCTCCTTTCCACCTCTGTGTGCAAGTCTGGAGCACTGCTTGGATCGCCTAAAAGCGAGTTAGTATTATTTAACAAAAGGAGAAAAAAGCATCTGATTTCCTGTAAACTCACCCTTGTAAATATCTTCCCAATCAATCGAGGAGTCCTTGTTCTTCAGTATATCCAGATGCACGTTGGCGGGACCGCCCAAAACAGCCGGTTTGAAGTCAGTTTGGCTCACAATTTCCAAATCCATCGTCCTCCTTATTGGATCGGCCGCTCCAAAAAGTCTTCTATACTGCTCCAATCTGGCGTTTTGCTGTGTCTCCTCCCAGTTTTGTAGCCTGGTCTCCAGAGGATGTCTTCCGTTAACTTTGGAGGCCACTGACAGTAATCCGTCACCGGATCTAATGGTGTCATGCAACGACTCCATGGCTGGAGCCCCGCTTCCGTAACTTGTAGAGTCAACCTGCGACTTATAAGTGTTCTCTGGCACAATTCTCAATGACTGCGCGTCGGTATTAGTATCATCTCCATCACAACTACAGAATCGCACTACCACGTAGGATCCCTGATTGTATTGTCTGAACTCACCATTTCTGATTGACTTTGGGATAATAGTATGAAAAATTAACGCTACAGCTGTCTGTATCCATGTAACTTGCCACCTTTGTGAGGGCGAGTTCAAGGGAGATAGATATTGGCTGGTGCACGTCTCTCATTAAATTGAGTATTACACTATAGATTAGCCTTTCTTGAAACCTCTCTGTCCGATAGACATCTGTGATACCATTCTGAATTCAACACCAAATCGCCATGCCCGAATCGACAGATAGTTTAAGTTCGGAGGAGACGCCAGATGCCTCTGTGGCTGAAAGACAAACGCTCGAGATCTACAAGAATGCTCTGAACTTCAACGTGATTGCCAAGTACGATCCTTTGGTGAAGAACCTGATTTTTCAGTCGTCGCATTGTGTGGTGTATAGGTTCGAAAACGACGACTGGGTCAAGCTGGACTACCAGGGTCCAATAGTGCTTTATTCAAGAAGGTATAAGAATGAAATAGACGATGAGCAGAAAGCCAAAGAGCAGGAGCCACTCACATACGATACGGAGACCATACTTAGAGACGATACCTACTACGAGTATGGAATCATCGTGTATAACAGAAACAAGCCCCAAAACTTCTCGATTGGTATTATACCAACGAAACGGTTGAGAGCGAAGGAAGATGCCATGATATTCGAGAAGAATGACGAGCTGATCATAGTGAAGGATCTTGCAGGTGATGCATTTGGACTGTGGATTTTCGACGAAAAGGATCGGGATTATATTTGTCAGGTGTTGAATTATTGCATTGACAACTAAGTGTATAGTACAAAGTAATATGAAGGAGCATATGACTTCGGGAGCGCGGTTGGATGAGGCCCAGAGGATGTAGATGAGCTATCAATGAGCTGCAAAGTGGATTATCGTGAGCAATCTTTGGGGTATAAGCTCATCAAGAGGGCAGAGAGTCAGAGTTGAGCTGTTGGTGAATTCTGCTGAATTCTGGTGCACTTTGGGGAACTATGGGGAACGTTGGGCGAAGTCTATGAATGCCTTTAGAAACCCCAAGAGCCGTTGAAAAATACACTCCTAATCCACACCGGTCTCCTCGTATTGTGACAATTCCAAGCCCATATCAACTTTCAGAATCCTTCTTCTTCTTGTAAGCTGTCTTTTTCTTCTTTTCTGGAGGTCCACTGGGCGATCCGGGAGTGGATTTGCCAGCATATTGTCCGGGAACGGTCTTTCCAGCCACATTCTTCTTCACAGAAACTTTCCTCTGTCTTTTTGGAGTAACCTTCTTCAAGTTAGCAGGACTAGAAGAGGCCGGAGAGCCGGTACTCGAAGCCATTCCGTCCGCGCTTGGACTGTTCAAGGCTGGAGACGAGTTACCGTTGTTGATATTGCGAGGAAGCGCAACTGCAGCTGCCATCTGCTCCTTCTGGTGTCTCTCAAGCATTCTCTCATTATTCAGCAAAACTCTCTCTTGCATTGTCATATCACCAAACATGCCGTTGACTCCACTCTGAGGCATCACTCCACCATTGGCAGCAGCTGCCTGTTGCATGTTCCTGTGCTGAATACTGAGATCCACAGCTTGTTGCTTCATCAGCTCTCTTCTGCGACGCCAGGACTCCACGAATCTCAGTCTCAAGAATTGACCAGCCTCGTCGTTTTGGGCATCCTGAGATTGCGAGTTGTGATTGAAGCGGTCCTTCAATATCAACATAATCTGCTCGTACTTGGAGTTATGGTGAGGCAGGTCCTCGTGAAGAGACTTGTACTTGTATGCATCAATGCTCAGATCTTCGCCCCGCGAATCCTCTCTGTAATTGTGCACGAGAGAGTCGGCTTCTTCGTCGTAATAAGGATATTTGCTCTCTGTTCGAAGCATCTCGTCGCAATGGTACGGGTTCAGAGGAACGTGCAGATTCACATTCCTGTTGGTGATGGAGACGATTTCGCTCTCCAAGTTCAGGGACAGATTGTCAGTGAATCTCAACTGAAGAGAGTCTGTCTGGTAGAGTAGGTCCGCGTACAGCGACAGCTGCGTTAGTCGCAGGACGGTTTTGTAAGTCTTCGGTATCTTTTTGACTTGAACCACGGTTGCTGCTGGGGTGGAACCTTCTTTTTTGAGTTCAGTACCATTGGCAGAAGGGTTGGACTCAGACTGGCTATCTTTATCTTTGGTTTCGTCTGCCTTTGCTTCCGTCTGATCAGGTTTCACTGGGACCTCCACTTTCTCTTCAACCAGGTTCCGATGGTCGTACACCTTCAGTATCACATTTCCCTCATACAACTGTATACTTCCATCCTTGATCACCTCGACCAGCGAATGAGGGATCTCTTCTCTTGCAACATACTGTAGAAAGTGCTTTATCATGCTGGAAGATTTCGGTATCACCGTGTCCTGGTTACCAAACCTGTAGTGGTTCTCGTGAATGTGGAATTCCAGCGAGGCTGGAAACTTATCGTACTTCTTCAAAATCTCCTCGCTTGTCTCGGCGAACCTGTGATTCCGCACCTTTTCGCGAAGCGCTTGCTGAACAAGTGCCCTCTGCTGTTGTGGAGACAGATTCTGCATCTGCGCCTGTTTGGCGACCTGTGCAGTAATCCCGCTCTGAGCCATTGCATTTCGCAAATGCTGTTGCCGCAGCTGTTGCTGAAGCATCTGCTGCTGCTGTGGGGTGAGTTTGGCGAACTCTTCCTTCTTGGCCTGGGCTAGTGCTTTCATTTGCATCTGTGTCTGCTGGAGAATTTGGGCTTCTCGAGCCTCACCATTGGTGGATTGGGCCACCGATGAACCCACAGTTGGATCGTTCAATCGCTTGGACTGGGTCGACATTTTTCACGCGGTTGTGGCAGGTCCTTGCGAAATGTGTGGATCTCAAGTGGTTTGTCTGTATGGAAAATGGAGCGCCTGTGGAACAACGGGTATGGACGTGCGAAACTCGGTCAAAATCGCTGGATTCGGAAACTCAAGTCACTGAATGAGATTGATCAGCTGCAATTTCCGATTTCCTCGAGGTTTATAGTGGAACTGGCGGATGGATTGGTTCTGATACTGTCTGGTGCCTGAGCTTTGGCAGAGCACGGTTCTGTGCTCATCGGGCGTTCGCGACTCAGACTTTAGATGGGGCGTGCGGCGGCGCAAAAAGGGACTGGAAGGAGGACGGATGACACACGGAAATGGAGGAAACGAGTTGTTCAAGTGGTGGAAGTGAAGTTGATGAAGACTCAATGGGAAATTTCAACTTATTTCGAAAAAAGCAGTGCAGTGGAGTAGATTTAGGCAGCAGGTACACCTGGATTGCGCTAGTAGGACACTAACATCTCACTGACAGATAACCAAGAGAGCATGGAGAGGGCAAGTGAACAGGTACAATAATCAAGACGCACTTTGAAAAATTACAATTGAGAATTCTCAGGTCATTCTTTAGGATTATGTGAAGAGAATTTCACTAAAATTTCACTAGGATTCTGAGTATTTTTCCAATTTTTCACGAGGGTTTGGAATGACATTACCCAGTGCTCAGAGTGCTCGGCTCAGGCAGCATCCAAGAGTTCGAAATAAAACCAGAACACTCTCAAAATTCTTTCAAAGCTACTTGGATCATAAATAAATACAATTAAACATTTGGTCGCCGTATAGATAAGTCATAAAAACCACGTAAACACCATTCAAGGCACTATCTTCGTCAACCACTTCCCCAACCTAGTCCCCACTAAATAGCACCGAACAAAAATCAAAAGAAAAGTACCATTCATTAAAGTGAAAATCAAAACCTCAAACTCCCCTAACTTCAGTGTCTCAGACACCTCGGCACAAATAAACAATTACCACCTGGTCTCCCAACACTCAAAACAACGTCACAGAACTAACACTATCCGTGTCAACCAGCACCTCAAAAACAACTCTTCCAAATCCATATAGTCTTGTAGACCCCCAGTCTTTGCTCCGGTCCTTGGAGGTATACTTCTTCACAGCCGGTACATCGGTGACGGTGATGGAGCCAGCATCATCATCACTGGCACCATCACCAGCCGCCTGCACATGCGTCACATCCTCTTTAGAATTTTGACCAGAGCTCACGGAGTCCTCATTGTCATCGTAGTCAATCACCTCAAAGTTACCGCTGCTGAATGTCTTGGAGATGCCAGTACCTTGGATTTCGTTGAGAGCCTGGTTGATGGCGTACTGGCGGCGGTCCAGAAAAAGCGGCTGGTTAACAGACGAGTCCTCAGGCTTGAAATATGATGGAAAATCACCGTATATCATCGAAGAATGTATCAGGAGCCGGGTTGCCTCATCCCAGCGTTTGCTCCAGAGGTGCTCCGCCCGACTCGGGTGAGAATAGGGCTTTAGCGACAGAATCGACGGTGTGGCTTCTATGTCTTTCTTGCAATTATCAACATTCTCGGGGTCATAGCCCAGCATTACCCAGTTGAGTCTCTCATAGGCCATGAACTCCAACGAGTTCACCATGTTGTTGTGGATCACCAATTTCTTCACTGGAGGGCTCCCGTAGAAAGTGATGCTAGTATCGTAAATAACATCAAATCCGTACCTTAAGTACTTGTGCACCTTCTTGACACCCCTAGAATCACTTCCAGAGCCTGCAGTCGCTTTGAGACTGTGGATGTTAAGCTTTGAATCGAAAGTTCGATCTTGTACTTCACCAGGCAATCCAAATATTCCCACCATTTCCTGCATTGTGGTTTTTCCAAGTTGGAGAAGAAAGCTCTCAACGTCATCTGGATGCGACGAAAAAGAGAAACTGACAATCCCAATTGGAAGATTAATCTCGCAGCAGATCAACTTGAGCACTTTCGCGTGGGTGTTCCAGGTGATCATACTCTCAGCAGAAGAGCTTTCATGCTCATTGGCCTGACTCGACAAAAACTGCAGCCCCGTCATCCTCAAACAGGAAGCAATAAGCGCAGAGGCCTCCCTCCAAGAAGCACCCTTGAAAATCGAAAACCCTGTGCAATCGATGGAGGACCCAATCCCGTTAAGGGTCTGCACGAACTTCTCATCAGTACCGGTTCTCTTCTTCAAAGCAGCAGCCGTCAACTTAAACTTGAACACAATCCCCGGATACGAAAGTGCATAAATGTCTGAGTCCGGCTCCACATGTCCCGGGTATGCAGGCCCAAAGTGCTTGTTGTAGATGGTCTGGAAAGTGGGAGCCTCGTCACCACTGGTTGATCTGGTTAGCTGCTGTGCAACTGAAAAGTCGGAAAATGTACGATACTCACTTGATGCTGACTTTCTGATACAAAAATTCACAGCCAGACCAGTTGGTTGCCTCGATCAGAAAGAGTTTCTGGAAATAAGGGTCGAACGTGAAGCGCAATCCAACCGACGGTAGCGACAGGGTTATCGGTACTCTGTTGATTTCGCGTTCATCATACACAAATACCACGTTCGTGCCCCAGGACTGCATTTTGATGTACTTGATGACCTGATTAAGAGAATTGCCGAGTTCTGCGTAAAACACACACGTTTTAAGTTAGTAAAAAACACAAAGACGCGAACCCACTCTTGTGTAGGCTTGCGATCACAGATAAGCAGCAGCATGACTCACTGATAGCACCAATGCCCTCATGGGGTTCAATTGCCAGACGGCAGTACTTAAGGGATCTCATGAGAACACGTCGAGATCAGTTTTATGTTTGCAACTCGAAAAAGGGAAATTCCCAACCGCCGAAACGAGGACAAAACCCAGGACTAAACCATTCTGTAAACCCTCGCGAGTATGGAGCAGCCGGAACCGCGATGCCCTGCCCCGTTATCGGGTGGCTGGGGAGGCAGGTGGCTGGTGAGCCATATGGCTGTGTAGGGCTGAAGCAGGTGGCTGGAGATGCTAGATTTTATTGAGACTAGCCCACCATCAGTCAGGTCGCAGTGAAAGACGTGTTCTATTTTGTGCTATTTTTGAGATAAATGACGAGAAGTATCAGCCACCATGCATCAGTGGCCTCTTTGGCTTCGCCATCGCCGAATCCCGACAAGGTGGCCGATCTTAAGCTGGTGCTATTAGGTGAGTAGGGACTGGCTCTTAAATGCGTTTTGAGATCTTCTCTCCTTTTTCCTCAATTGCTAACGATATATATAGGAGAATCTGCTGTTGGAAAGAGCTCTTTGGTCCAGCGGTTTGCGACCGATTCTTTCGATGCAGCCAAAGAGTCTACCATTGGAGCTGCGTTCGTGACCAAGAAAGTGTACATCGAAGATTCCGAGGCACCGGAAATCATTAGATTGGTCAATTTTCAGATATGGGACACTGCGGGTCAGGAAAGGTATAAATCGTTGACCCCAATGTATTATCGCAACGCCAATGTTGCCGTGGTGGTGTTTGATATTACAGATGCGGGAAGCTTTGACCGTGCGGCACATTGGATTAATGAGCTCAAACTGTACATCCGTGACCATGGACTTGAGGACGAGAATGGCAAACATCAGGGACTTCAGATAGTGCTAGTAGGAAACAAAAAAGACCTCCTGGTGACAGAGGAGGGACCTGCCAAGCCATCGCCATTCGCACCGAAGATCCTCGAATTTCTGGAAACCACGCGGTACCAGTACTTTGAAGTGAGTGCCAAGACGGGCGAAGGAATTTCTGGGATCTTCCAACAGATTGTCAACGCAATCCCGGAGACGCAATACGTCGATGTGCTTGACGAGGATGGCGATCTACTGGATGGACAGAACACCCGAAAGAGGGGCATAATAGACCTGCGACTTGGGTTTTCTGGAGACAACTCTAACGATACGTGCTCATGCTGAGTTTATGATGGTTTATGTCTTTTTAGTGTATTTATAGCGCTACTTGATGAAATTTGGGGAATGCTGGTTAGTAGTTGGAGGAGTGTGGAACTCAAAACGTGGAGAGAACAGAGGTTTGAGCTCAAAGCTATGCATTTGATGAAAGATTGGTCAGAGATTGGTCAGAGATTGGTCAGAGATTGGTCCAGAATTACTCAGCAATGCTAGCAAGGGGCCTGAGACTGTTTATACCAGTCTCTAGATGCTCCTCAAGCTTCAGGCTTGCTTCTGGGACAGCAAAAAGTGCTGAATGTGAGTGCTTTTAGACTAGCATGGACAATCTGCATGTACTAACTTTTCAGCAAAACCTTCTGCATTGTCTCCCTCCCTTTTGAACCTGAAGGTGGGCCAGATTGTTGATATCAAACAACATGAGAATGCTGATTCATTGTATGTCTCAAAGATCCAAATAAACGAGGCCATACCACCCACCATTTTACAGGTCTGCAGTGGATTGGTCAACTACGTACCCATGGAAACGCTACGTGGAATGCGCGTTGCACTCGTCATGAACCTCAAACCTTCGAAAATGCGCGGCGAAGTATCTGAGGCCATGTTACTGGCTGCTGAGAAAATTGTCGATGGAAAAACGCTGGTTGAACCGGTCCTCGCTCCTTCGGTCGAGCTGGGATCAAGGCTTCGATTTGAAAGTGGAACTGCAGAAGAACCTCCCAGGATCAAACCCAAAAACTTACCTTTGATTTTCCAGAATGTTCGAACAGACTCGGAAGGAGTGGTGGTGTATGTTGATGAAAATGGCGTCACTCATTCATTGAAGACAGACTCCGGAGAGATGGCCAGGGTGAAAAGATTATTTGATGCCGGAGTCAGGTGAGGAAGAGAATAGAAGAAGACGAAAGTAATTGAGCAAAACCAGTGTTGGAAAATCTAAAGACTCAAGATTCTCAATACCAATCTGAATCATTCTGTCATGTCCATATTGATGATTGCATTGAAATTTAGACTCAATTCATAGCTTGTATATATCCAAATCTAAAACCAAATGGTTACCGGCTTTTCAACTAACTTCTTAACTAGTCTAAGATCTCATGAGCAGGTTATCAGGGCGAATTTTTCACTCTCATATATTTTCAACCTTATCTTCAAAAAGCCGCATTCCAGTTGGTTACTCAATTGTATTCTGTTCTTCTTCCATATTCACCGCATTTAACTGTGTCCCCATATCTACTAACAGATACAATAAGGAAAGTAGATCTTCACGGCCTTTATATCTCCCACCGTTTATTACTCAAGTCCCTCTTGGGGACTTCCCCAGGAGCTTGTCCACACATTGACGTCCTCGAAATAATTTCGTACGAGGACATTTGCGTAACTCCACGGATATACTAAGTGCTTTATCTTTCTTTATCTATATATATATATTCATTGATATATACACTCACCACCATTCCTAGATGTACATTCCACTGCCCTCTACCCTCACATAAACTAGGTCTCAACTGCCATACTATATCCTCCGGTCAATCCCCCTGTCTATCCTTCTTTCTTTCTTCTTACCCTCACCATCAGATTATAGTCATCTTTAGAATATTCCTGTTTTTCAAACACGCTTTCCATCCGCACTGCCTCCCCAATTTCCGTCTAATTTAACAGAACAGACCCCTCGTCTCTCTTAACCAATCAAATCGCCTCACCCGCCGCACGACGTCTGCGGCGGTGTGTGGCGCAAATTTTCCTCCTCGCACTTCCACCCTGCGGCTCTTCGTCCACTTCTTCTTCCCCCCTCCTGTTTCCTTATTCTTTCCCCTTGTTAGAATTCAAGCCTGCTGCTAACAAACTTTGCTGCAACAATCGTGAATCGGGCCTGGCTGCGTGTCAACACACAATTTTTGCCTGTTGCACTCTTAAAAACTCGAAATTTCCAAAAGGCTGTTCCTCGCCCAATTTGACGTTCTGTTGTTTTGAATTTTGCGAGCAACCCTTTTTCACTCGCCATCCATCCGCGCGTTTTAACCAGGATTTTGCTTTCGCTATTGCTACGACTTTAAGCTCAACGAAAAGCATCAACAAAACAAAAAAATATCTTCAAAACACAATCCACCATGTCTGCTAACGGTGAGGCTTCTTCTGTGAGGCTCAACGACGAGATCTCCGGTCAGGATAACCGCAAAACGTCGCTGGCCAACCTCGTTTCTGCTGCTCTTCAAAATGATTCTTCTGAAACCGAGGCCGGCTCTGGATCGCCGCCCAGGGGTTCTCAAGGATCGCAGTTCCCAACGTCAAACTCGCGGTCTTCGGATGCTTCCAAACAGGGCCTTCCTGCGCCGCCTCCGTTGGTGAGTTTCCCACCATCCCAATTGCCAGGAGGCTCCAAGGCTTCCACAGGGTTTCCTCCGCTTCTGCCTACTCCATACACGCGGGGAAGTGCTGGTTCTGCTGGTGCAACCACTGATTCGGAGGCCCAGCCCAACAAGTACCCTTACAACTTGTACTACAGCAGGCCTCGCAACGGTGACTCTGCTTCTTCTTCGGCAGTGAACTCGACCAACGAGGTGTCTTCAGACCCGATCTTTTCGCATTTGCGTGGCCATAAGGCCGACGGAAAGGATGTCGATTCTAGCTCTGAGTCCGACTCAGGCGAATCTGATGCCGAGACGTCCAAGCCGGAAGCTGACACTACCGCCGATGCTTCTTCTCAAAGAGGCTCAGCTGCTAAGAAACAGCGGGTTGGTCAGAAGCCACAGCCACCAAAGCCTTCAGAGGAGAGGCCCTACAGGTGTGTCAACGGATGCCCATGGTCATTCTCGAGACTCAGCGATCTGAGACGTCACATGAAGTCGCACGATACTCCACAGTTTCACTGTCCTTTCTGGGATAACGATAATTCGTGCCACCGGTCTGATGGTTCTTTCAACCGTCTTGATGTGCTCAAACGCCACTTGAGACTGGTACACTTCGTTCCTGAGGGCGGAATCAAATCTGCGAAACAGAACGGCAAAGGCTGGTGCAAGGGATGTCACGAGAAGTTTGCCACCAACAAGGAGTTTATTAACCACTGTCTTGAGTGCGGGAAGACGGCAAACAATGCCACCGACTGGAAGCCAGATGTGTCTAAGGGCGAACCCGTTCTCCCCGGATACGACTTTAAAGGTGCGCGAATTCCCAACCTCAAGCGGAAGCGTGACGACTACGCGGATGAAGCTCCAGATCCAGCTGAATATCTGAAGAGTGAGCCGGTTTCCAACACGGAGGGTGTTACAACGGCACCGCCTGCCGCGGCAGCCCCAGCCCCAACCGCCTCTGCCACGGCGGAAAAGGCCTAGACGCTGACCGAGGCCTGTTTCCATATCTTTGAATTGCTTTTGTCTTTTTTTCCGGTGGATATTACCCCTGATTTTGTTCTTTGTACGTTTTAAAACTGTTTACTTTGATTGGTGTAGTAAGAGTGGAGGGAAGATACACAAAGTGTATGAGGGAAGAGAAGTGAGACTGAGTCAGGTTGACCATAGCGAATCAAAGCAAAATTTGATGATATTAAACTGGAGTGATAGTCGAGTGAAATAAAATAGGTATATAACACTAAATCAGCTGAATTGGATTGGTCTGAATTTTGAAGCGTGTATGGCGTTTCGCTAATTGACTTCCAAATTGTCCTCATTCATTGTCTCATTGATATCAATCAAAGACGACTAACAGGTGGTCTGAACTTCGTTTTGCTTGCATAGCAAACCCACAATATCAATATCTGAACACATATCAAGAGTTTTACTAAAAAGTCTGCAAAGGACTTTGTTAGGTCTTCTTCATAATTCGGCAGGGAATTACACTACAGACTACTATAACCAAATTTTTTTTGAACAGTCTTTCTCTGGTTCCCACTCTCATTCGCAAATTTCCAGCTTTTTTCAGCCACTGCTGAAACACCCAAAATCATTAACTCAACTTTCAACTTAGTCCTGGAGGCCTGATCGCTGCAGGGTTCTTTTTGCCGCCGCACGCCGCACCCAAAATGGAAATCACCCAATACGGTAATGGCACGCATCGCGACGCGTGCCTGCCGTTTTTTCACTGGGGTATGAAGACTGGCTCTTTTCCCTGTAAGCTTACCGTTATCTTCTCCTTGTACATTCGCCCAAATGAGAGGTATGCAACTATTTTTAACTTTGTTTTGACCTAACTCTAACTTTTCAGATTACAAACTTGTGGTGCTCGGAGCAGGTGGAGTCGGCAAATCGTCCGTGACAGTGCAGTTCGTACAAGGCGTCTATGTGGAGAGCTACGATCCTACAATTGAGGACTCCTACAGCAAGGAGATCGAGGTTGATGGAAGAGCATGCCATTTGGAGATTCTCGACACCGCTGGGGTGGCCCAGTTCACAGCCATGCGCGAATTGTATATCAAGTCGGGAAAGGGTTTTTTGCTAGTGTACTCAGTAACGGACGAGAGCTCTCTCAAAGAATTGCTGGCGATCCGCGATCAGGTATTGCGGATTAAGGATACTGCCAATGTTCCTATGGTTTTAATAGGAAATAAGTGCGATTTGAACGAAGAGCGTAAGCTCACTCCAGAGGATGGAATTGCGGTTTCCAAAGAGTGGGGACGCGTCCCGTTTTACGAAACGAGTGCCATGTACAAAATAAACGTGGAGGATGCGTTTGTGGACGTTGTAAGGCAAATAATGAGAAAAGAGGCCTCGGCCTCGGCGGCAGGGAACAATGCTTCTTCACAAGAGCAAGTGGTTGAATCTAAAAAGACCAGTCAGCAGACGGAGACGAAGCCGCAGCGGAGAAACACGTTTGGCTCGTCTTCAGATAAGAAGGTCAAGAAGAAGAAGAAGAAGGGAGGACTTTGTACCATTTTATGATTATACCCCGGTTGTTTGTGTCACGGTGTCGATTTCTGTACCAATATTGATAGTTGAAGATTTTCACGTGGTGTAGTATTAATAGTGGGTCAGCATAGTGTGCGTACTCAGTCAATTGCCAATGTATAGGCAGATTCATGCGCCAAATTCAGGATTTATGAGGCAACGTAGGGATTATAACTAGGAGCTTCTATAAAGACATGTGAGTTTCCACCATATAAATAACATACATGTGTATAGCTATTTTTCATCCAATAACTCAGCAGAATGTAGCACATGCATAACTGATGCATGTCGGTGTAAAGTTAATGCTAGCCAATGCAGTCTTCATATATAACCAATGCCTGCCTGATAATGCCTGCCTCTATGTATACGCAATATATATTCAATATTTACCGCCTTGTGGCAACTTCAAGGAATAGCATATTCTTTCACATAATAATGGAATACTGCCTCACCGCCTATTATTCCGTGCATAATCAATAGCTGAACTGTGCTCCCATTGCCATTTTGTAGGTCTCAATTCTTCGGAGCTGGCAAAGATTTAACCGCATTGTTATACTCCTTCACTATAATACTGCAATCTGTCTCAAGGCACAACTGCCTCTTCTCGCTAGCAGGAACCCTCTGCAAGAACTCCAGTCCCGAAGACCTCTCTAACGCCTCAACTGGAACCTCAAACGATCTCAAAGGAGTGGTATTAGAAATCACATCATTAGGCAAAACAAAAGCTGCAACTGCAACTCCATTGCTCCCAGATTGAGGGCCCTTGAGAGGTGTCTCCGCGACGATCAGCTTGAAGAAGTGCGTAGGAACAGCAATGGAGGGTGGATTGCCAATAACCTCATACGTAACCTTGAACTTTCCATCAAGAGGATCCTGCTTCGGTAAGTAAAGAGGACCAGTAACAATTCTCACACTTCTATACCGCGAAGTGAGTCTCCTGCAGAAGTCCTCGAAGAAAGCCCAGTAATCTCTGTTGAAGCCGTCACCAACTTGGGGCGACATGTTGGTGAGATAGAATGTCTCATCCATGGCTTCTTGTGAGAACTTCGCGTCTGCAGCCGGAGCCTGGTGACCTCTATCGTAGCCAGACCGGAAGTAATCTCTCAGTCTAGCACGGAACTTCTCCGGCACCTGTTCGTCTTCTCTAAACACACTGTGTTTCCTGTTTCCGTTAGATTCATTTTTTTGCAAGGATTCGGGAGTAATGTGTTCAATGACGTAATATGGATTTCTCTTCTGACGATCGTAGCAAGAAACGAACTCACTGCGTTTTTCGAGATCGTGAACTGGCCCTGGAAACCCGTATTTAAAGAAGTCTGCGGGTTGAACCGTCTCGGGCCCGGTGATTTGTGTAGGAGTTTTTTTGGAAGAGATCCCCGTATTGCCTCTTTCCTTGTCTGGGGGAGGAAAGACGATACCCCCCGGCGAGGCATTCGCAGAACCTGATGGCGAGGATCTTCCCCAGAAGTAGCTGGCTATTCCCAGGCCCATAACTGAGACCGGCACGGTGTGTTTGAACATGTTGTGAAATGCACAGAACGCGTCACCAAAACACGACTCAAGTTGACCAAAACGTTGTCTTTGTGCAAATAAAGCGCTGAACTTTCAACTTTTGTGTTCACACAAAAATTATCTAGCCACAACAGCTCTAAAGTCGCGTACAAAACGTTTCAGATCAAGTGAAAAATCACTTGGAGTTATCGACCCGTATCCTGAATGGCAGAAGACCTATCCATCGAAAAAAATCCCAACCATTAAAGTAGAAAGGTATTGTTAATGGGCGGGCTTTCGATACACAAAAAGCGATTACTTCACTGTTTTTTTGGACAGCATTCCAAGTAAGAACATTGCATTATTGGTTCAGCCTTTTTACGTGAGATCTTCACTCGGAGGTTTGCATGAACTGCTCTGCTCATTGACATCGCGGAAGCACAAAACGACTTCGCAAGAGCTTTCGTTTTGGGCTCGGAATGACCATTTCACAGCTCTGGAAAAGGGCATTGGTGCCGAGATACCGAGGTGAAGGACTGTCGGTGATACGACATCCCTATGGGATGTCTTCGTTAAGATACTCGTCTCAGCTCCAGACATATACTCCTTCCCAGAACGCATTGCTTGAGCAATTGAGAGGACGCAGCACCAAAAAGCTGGTAGAAGCAATCAAATCAGGATCACGATTTCTGGATGAGCATTTGCCTCTGCTCAAGACAGATTTTGAGCTTGCCAGGAGGCTGTATGAGCAGGGAGAATTGCCGGAGGCATTCAAATTGATCAAATCACTTGCCTGCTTGTCGAATAAGAAACTGCCCAGTAGTCGAAACTACCGATTATCGCTACTAAAGAACTTATTTGGTCTGTCATTTGTGAAAAAGCAGCATGAAACGGGGTTCATATACGAATTCACTGACCAGCACAGAGACCTTTTTGCCTACGGTGTACGGAGCATGATGATACACAACAGCGATTTGTGGAAGATGACGAATAAATCCACTATGGCTCAGCTGGGAGACCAGAAGAAATATCCCGAGCTTTCCCAAAGGCAGGTTTTCCACTTTCTTGTACATACTTCGCTGATGATGGAAAATCCCAGATGGGCTGCTTACACTTACGAGAAGATGCTGATGAATGGCGACGGATGTTATGATGTTTCGCAAGACCTTTTAATTCTGAGGCCGATTATTTCACATCTTTTGGTGAAGGTCCCCGATAATGACATGGAGAACCTGAAATTGATTTCCAAACTGGTTAGATCACAGAACGAAGCTGTTCAAGCCAGAGGCGGCCATAAATACGAAATGAGTGTTTCTGAGCTAAATCAGTTACTTGAAAATGTTTCTATGATCCCCAAAACAACTCCTCAATCACTTCGTTTGAGGAGAGAGGTTTTCGAGCTGGTCACAAGGCAAATGCCAAGTAGCAATGAAGAAGGAATGGTGACCACTTGGCAGGACATGGACGATTTCAACCTCAGAGAATCCTATTTGAGTTTTGGATACGAGATTATTGAGCAAAGCATTGAGTTTACTAACGAGGCACCTGTTTTCAAGGTCTGGTACATCATCAAGTCTACTCTGCAGAACATTTATGAGGCCTCAGGAGATACCAGAAAAGACGTTATTTCTTCGATGAGACATCTCACGGTCTTAGCGAAGGTTGTTACCTTTTTTTCCAGAAGCGGAAAGTATATCGGAGTTGTTCCTGAGGTACTCAGAGATGTTCCCATGAAAGGGTGTCTTGAGTGTCCCCAGCTGGCGAGTGCTCTGATCATGTATGCGGCAAGAACAAAAAACTTTGAAGTTGCCTCCAACATCGTGGATCTTTTGGCAGAAGTCAAGAACGGATCTGAAGAAAAACGTTCTTTGACTCGAGGTGAATTGAACGCGCTGCTGCGGTTGCATTTGGAGATGAACGACAATGATGGGGTCCAGAGGATTCTCAAATCACTCTACGAGGAGCATGGCGGAGCTTCGCATGCTGACCTCAATATGGTGATCCACAAGATGCTGTATATTAACAATGATATTGTTACTGCTTCGAGAATGCTCGAACAATTGCCTCCTACGCTAGCAAAGTCCGGGATCATCACCATGCTGAATTACATGATCGACAACGACCAGATGGACTTTGCCAAGATCCAAAATATGTACTCACAAATGGAGGCCGGACTGTCTCCCGCAGATCCGGTTTGGCTGTACTGGACTTCTGCTTATTTCAAGTATCTCACTTGCAAGTTTGAGGTTGATGTTGCACAGAACGTGTACCTGATGTCGTTGAATGAACGAAAGAGCGAAGACTGCCCAATTATAAATGCATATGGGGTTCACAACAATCCTTTCCGAATGAGACATGAGAACGTGAGAATATACTTACCCAATAGACTCAGGTCTCTAGTTTTGCGGACGATTTCGCATTCATGCATTTCCAAGGCCAAGGCATGCGAAGAAGGGACGGAACTGACGAAAATCAAAGAGGTGTTCCGGTGGACTCTGGCCGAGCTAAAAAAGAGTGGCCTCGAGACTGTCGATCTGGTGGTTGATTTCAAGAGACATATCAAAGTGTTCCGAGAAGTTGGTTTAGAGTTTCCGGAGGATGAAATGGACGAGGCAGCGATCCTTTCACCAAATCAAAGACGCCAGAGATTTGATAACTATTGGACTGGCCGTGACACCAAGAGTATGAGGGGTCCTAAACCATCACAATTGTTGGGAAAACATAAAAGACACAGAGAGATTCCAAGATTAGACGAATAACGAATTATATAACTAATGACATTATACCAATGGTTGTGAGCTAGACGATGATGTATAGCAGCCAGTAGAGTTGACTACGTAGTAATCTTCCGTAAAAGAGTCACAGGCGATAATATTAAAATGATGAACTAAAAGTATCTACGTTTTAAGTTGGAAAAAAAAATCTAGCTGGTAACAGCTAGACATTTTTGTATGATGATAACCGTGAGATTCGAACTCACGCCTCCGAAGAGACCAGGACCTTAACCTGGCGCCTTAGACCAACTCGGCCAGGTTACCTTCAATACGTGTGATGCGTTTTTACGACTAATATAAGCAGCATAATTGTTGGGAACACGATTCTAGCAAACGTCTTTTGGGTCAAACTCGTATCCAAACTGGAATTTAATCAGATAGAAAAGAGCGAAAATCAACGCGAGCATGCTGTTATTGAAACGAAGTGGTCAACGGGGCCTGAATTAGCTTTGTTCGCTGCTGTTACCAGCGTTCAACGCATCACAGGATCACGCATGCGAACGGGACGAATGCGGAGCTCGCTCATTTCAAGGCAGCGTTCCGGCAGCGTTCCCTTGCTTGAATTTGCGGAGCTCTGAAAATAATATATCGTGTACAATAATAAACTTTATTCGTCAAGATGTACTGCGAAATTATCCCTGGGAACCCTGTAGAGGATACCGCATTGTGAGGCATGCAATTTCGGAGGGGGACATATCATTTAAGCATTTGGGTGTCAGCATATTAATGTGTAAGGCTGCCCGAGTGCTTATGCCAGGCACCCTGTAGGCAAGTGCATGTCGTGAGAATAAAGGGATAAGGAATCATTTTTTTGGATAGAAAAAAGATGGGAGGTAGTTTAAGTGGGTAATCTAATATTTATCGGCTTTTACCGGAATATTTTGGTGCTTTTGGATTTATAATTTTGAACAACGTATCGCATGAATATTCATGTAAGCAAGGTTAAGACCATGCTCACAGCATACAGACTGCACCAACAGCTTGTTGGCTTGCCCACAGCAGGTTCTACACATGTCGCGTACACCAAGCATGTTCACTTGCTTTGTATTTTATAACCCAAAGGGGGGGTCTTTGGAGCCTATTAGTTGGATATCACCATAGATAATGGTGGCAACAAATAAGTACCATTAATAACCACTAATAGTAACAGTAATTGGTGTGATTGCCGGTATAGTTATAGTTCGACTTCGTACAAGTGGGCGCACTGTTGGGGTCTCTAGTTACATATTGGGCCAATCACAATGCAGTACGCATACACATGCGCGCAAATCGGCTCTTGCACAAGTCCCGCAGGATGCGATGTTACATCTAGAAATTTAGTTTTTCTTGTTTTGTCAATGTAGTTCGGGGACATAACCACTGCACCTTATTGGCAAGCGTCTATTGTTTGAAGCAGTTAAAGATGCTTTGAAAACAACCTTTTCATCATTTATTCGTAGAACAATTTCACCATCCCGAATGCCGCCCGTAAGCCTCTGAGGGGCAAAAGGGGCTCCGCCTAAATTCCTCAACATCCTGCGCAATTGTGTGGGTTGGACCAATCAACGCCCGCCAAATGCACCCGGGTGCAGAATGACAGAAGACCCGTCCACAACTGCACCATCGAAGGGATATCAAAAGGAAAAAACATCCATATACCCATAACCTTCCTGTATTGTTCTTTTGTTCGATCATCAATTGTTTGTTTCGGTTTGAATAGCGATAATAGCAATCGGATTCTGCATTCAGAACACGTGTCTAAAATAGAATCGCTTTCAAAATCTTTCAAAGCTTTTGTTTGTTGTCCAAACGTTGAGGTACACATATAGCCGTTTTCACAACAATCAAATCGAAAATCGCCGTTCTCAGCACAACCACAAGACAGATTTGTTTCAAAGTTTGCCTGTGAATTGACCGTGGCCATTTCTACTAGAATCTTCAATTTTTTCCTCAAATTTGCAATTTGCGCGGATTTTTACCATGTCTGAACAAAGAGACAATGCTTCCCAGCCACAGCACTCCACCACCTCGTCAACAGCCAGCGGAGCTCAAAACCCGCAACATGATGCTCACCAGCTACGACAATCGCAGGTGTTGCCATATCCAGGGTTCCAACAGAGCGGATATGCGCATATTCTGGCCGGTTCCAACTCTTCCAGTAGACCATATGGCTACCCAGACTCCCAATACCAGGGCTACGTTCAACAACCTCAACAATCTGCAAGTGGTGCTAGTGCCTACGTGAATGGGTCTTCCAACCCAAGCGTTGGATCTGGATCCCCTCAGCAACAAGCGCAACAACAAGCGCAACACCAACCACCATTGCCGCAGCAACAACCTCAGCAACAGCCTGTGCAATCGCAGCAGCAGCAGATACAGCAGCAACAGCAGGTTCAACAGGTGCAAGCTCAACAAGCACAGCTTGGTTATGGAAACCCATACCAAAGTGCGTACTACATGTCGACCCAACCAGGTCAGGTTCAGCAACAACCCGACTACGCTAGTTACGCCAGCTATGCTAGAAACTACGGTTACGTCGCGCCAACAAACTACCCGGTAACGGCGTATTCCAACGCTGGCACCACTGCTGCTTCTGGAATCGGCTCAATGAACGGATCAATAATCTCCCAACAGGCACAGAGCCAGATCCAGAATCCGACTTCGGGCCAGTTCTCGTCACCTGCCCCCAGTTCCATGGCCACCATTGGCCAGGTCCAGCCAGCAGGTCTCCGCCCTCGTATCACTACCACTATGTGGGAGGACGAGAAAACTCTGTGTTACCAGGTGGATGCCAATGGGGTTTCTGTAGTGAGAAGAGCCGATAATAATATGATTAACGGCACTAAGCTCTTGAACGTTGCCCGCATGACGCGTGGAAGACGTGACGGTATTCTGAAGAGCGAAAAGATTAGACATGTGGTCAAGATTGGATCGATGCATCTGAAGGGTGTCTGGATTCCTTTTGAGCGTGCCCTGTCCATGGCTCAACGCGAGAAGATTGTGGACCTGTTGTATCCCCTTTTCGTGAAGGATATCAAACGGGTTATCCAGCAAGGAACTCCAACCAATGCGATTCCCAACGGATCGACTTCTTCTTCAAACACGGGACCTGCTGCTACATCTAACCAATTGAGCCTGAGCTCGGCTTCATCCCAGCCTACTCAGCCAGCTCCTTCTCAGCAACCTACTCCAGTGCAACAACAAGACCAGGCTGTACAGCCTTCTCAGTCGCAGCCTTCTCAACCAGTTCATAATCAGCATCAAGTTGGCCAACAACAGCAGATTCCACTGATCCAGTCTGGAGGTTACAAGCAAGAATCTCAGTCCAGCATACCTCAGCAGTCACAACCAGATTCTGCTAGTGCCCAGCAAGCCAACCCATACCTGCACTCATAGAACCAGCCTGCTCATTACTACTACGGTGGTAACTACGTCTACCAGCAATATCCCCAGACGTATGCATACAGTGCCAACACCGCTCCACAGCCAAGTTCTCAGCAGCCAAAGTATGGAAAATAGAGGAAACCGAGTAGTTGGAATGTGCTAAGTGCTTTTGAAATTTTCGCCATTAACTTCTTGATCTTCTTTTCCCTCAATTCATCTGTGTGCCTATTTTAGCGTGTTGCTTTGCCAAAGTTATTCTGTTCAAATTTGTCTATCTATTTTTATATTTATCTATTCAATTCTGTTATTCTTGTCTGAGCAAAAATGAGAAAATTACTTTTAAATGCCCGTCTTATTAAACGTGTATATGCGATCGATTACTCTGCACTTTGACCTGTCTTGATCTTGCATACAGGCACAGTTGAGTGCCTCAACAGGCGTACAGTATGCAAACTTTGCGTCAGCCAAAAGCTCAATGCCAGTTAGCCCCCTAAACCGTACACCACCAGGTCTAACTTCAAAAGCGTAACGATCTACAGAATTAAAAAAAAAGAATTAGCATTTATTTTATTGTCAATAAAAGAAGCAGCATAAAACATAGTGGTTGGCTCAAAGTTGCCAATGAGAATTTTTATAAGGCGATCATTTTGGTAGCGTGCGAAGATATTTAACCTTTCTGACATCCTTGACTGGCCTTGTCTCTGCATTTTCTTTTTCTGTGACACGCACGTCTTATTGCAGTTCATGTTTGAGTTTGCTTGCTTGCTTGCATGGACGCTCCAAACGTAAATCCCCAGTGTTGTTCTGAACAGATGACGCCGATTTGCTGTGAGTGTAGTATGCGTGCAGACTTAATTAAAGTACAGTTTTCGATCACTCGCAGATTAAATAAGACGCAATAAGATGCAATAGGATGATGCAAGCCTTAAAATTGGAAAACCTTGGGTTCGGCCGCTTCAGCTATGCTGGTGCTTAATACTGTTGAAGTAGTCTCTCCAATAACTGGTCGAAATTCTAGTGGGGATTACACATTTAAGCTTGTCACATAAGATGTATTTGTATACACCCCAATGCCTCAGCCAGGGATGAGCTGTCTGTACTATTAAGCACCAATAGCACTCTCTTCCCGACTGCTTACTTACGCATCGCCATATCTTCGTGCACCAACAAATCTTTGAAAAAATTCCAGCTGATATCATGCTCTAGACTGAACTCTATGGAGTTTCAATAGCCTAATTATTATCGCTCAGCATGTCCCTATTTGAAGTTGAAGGCTGGGATTTGGGAACCGCTAAGGTTAAGAAAGGTGGAATTCCCAAGCAGAAGAACAAAAACAAGGGGAAAAAAGAAGAGAAGCCATACCAGAGGGACGACAGATCCCATGGTGGAAGAGATGGAAAAGACAGAAAGTTTCAGGATAAAGGTGATAGAAAAGACAAGAGACATGATGGGAGAAGAGATGATAGAGATATGAACACTCGCAAAGGTCCAAGAGACTCTAAAGATTTTGGAAACAGAGACTCAAAGGACGGAAAGAGAAAACACGATAGCGATGAAAGAAGCACTAAGAAACCCAAAGTATCTGACCCAGAGTTGGAGAAGCCTTTTGATGCCGAAACTGAGAAGCCAGAACTTGTTTCTACCACTACAAAGCTCACTCCACTTCAACAGAAGATGATGCAAAAACTAAGTGGATCAAGGTTTAGATGGATAAACGAACAACTTTACACCTCAACATCTGTTGATGCTTTGGAATTGATCCAAAAGCAACCATCCTTATTTGACGAGTATCACCAGGGATTCAAGAATCAAGTCGAAGGCTGGCCCGAAAATCCAGTTGATATTTTTGTTAGAGATATCAAGGAGAAGACCCTCAAGAGAAGGGTGAACTCTCCTGGTGGGTTGCCCGGTATCAATCACACCAAAGAGGTTGTTATTGCTGATATGGGTTGCGGAGAGGCTAAATTAGCGCTGGAAGTATCCAAGTTCTTGAAGCAGAATAAAAGGAAGAATTTTGAAATCAAATTGCACAGTTTTGATCTCAAGAAGGTGAACGATAGAATAACGGTTGCTGATATAGCCAATGTTCCTTTGGCCGACGAATCATGTTCCGTTGCGATTTTCTGCCTGGCATTGATGGGTACCAACTTTCTGGATTTTATCAAAGAGGCCAACAGAATTTTGATTCCAAGAGGTGAATTGTGGATCTCTGAGATCAAATCGAGATTTTCGGATGGAAAGGGTGAGGAGTTCATCAATGCCATCAAGTTATGTGGATTCAGACACAGAACCACCGACGACTCAAATAAAATGTTCACGAGATTCGAGTTTTTCAAGCCCTTCGATGACAATTCAGCAAGGCCAAAAACGAAGTTTATTAACGCAGAGTCGGATCTGGAGAAGTTGGAGGCTAAGAGAGGGAAGGCTCCAGAGGGTCAATGGTTGTTGAAACCTTGTATCTACAAGCGCAGGTAAAAAATCTAATTCTTAATGCTCGCATATATTTATTGTAGAGACGACTTGATGATTAAATCAAAACTTTGTAAAGAATTACCCAGGAAACATAAAAACTATTAGCAGGAGAACACGGGAGGGCGGATCTGATCAGTTCGCCTGTCTTATCAAATTTCACCACTGGCACCTTCTACAGTTCGCAAACTGTTGCAGTTTCCAAAATGCAATACTATGGAATGGCTTCACAAAACCCTTGGCTACACATATTAGTGAGCTTCAAGTGGTAGTCTTAATATTATCAAACAGCACCAAAGGTCGTGCTTGAATTAGTTATTTAGTGTCACTGACCGAGTTTGTCTAATGTAGAAAAAATGAAACTTGAAAATGCCGTCCTAGTATAGTGGTGAGTACACTTCGTTGTGGCCGAAGAAACCCAAGTTCGATTCCTGGGGACGGCAGTTTTTTTTTTACTCCTGTACAGTTACACAGCCTAATGAGAGTCACTACGGCCTCTTACTTGTTTGCTGATAGAAATACAGATTCTGTTATTTTTTTTTGGCTTTGCTCATCTAATCACTTTCGCTGTCTCCGCCGTAGTCGCTCTCATCTTCTTCTCCTTCACCACCTTCACTGGCATCGTCATCAGTGTTGGAGTCACTCTCGGAGTAACCTTCACTAACAACGTCTTCGTCTTCTGGATTCTCGTCACTGACCTCAAATTCAGACTCCTCCGAGGATTCGTCTTCCCCACTATCAGAGTCGGCAGCCAAGAACTCCCAACCTCCATCTAGGAAGAACTGGTAGGGGTCTGCTTGGATAGTCTTCATGATGGTTGGCCAGTTCAAGTTGACAGTACCTTCACTCAAAGGAATGTCCACGTCAGTTAACCAGGCCTTGACATCCTCCAAAGTCTCCATCGGAATGGTGTTCACGTGGACAACCGGCTTGGTGAAGTCCTTAAACACGAAAACCAAATCAAAATTTTTCAATCCAAATTGAACTCTTTCCAGATGAGCGATCTCAATTTCCTCCAACGTCACCACCAAGAAAGGTGGGTCCATCAACTGAATCAAACAATCTCTCGTCGGCAAACACAGAACAGACGATCTGAAGGGAACACCATTGAAACCCAATTCTCTGAAAGGGACATCAAGATCAACGAGCCCGTTGGAAGCATCGCTGATCATCTCTGCAAAAGCCCTAAATTCCTTATCAAGAGCAGCCTTGCGTCTTCTTTCTTCCTGTTCTTGTTCCAGCTCGTCTTCGTCACCGTACCTGTATTTACGTCTTTTGTTTCCGGTCTCGTCGACTGAAATATCTGAGGCCTCACGGTAGAACTGAACATCCAGAGTCTTTTTCTTGCCGATGAAAATTGGCGACTTCAAATGGCAGTGGATCACAACGATGAGCTCATCTTTGCACGATTGAAAAAACAAGTGCTTGATGTTGGAGAATAGGATGTCAACGTGCTGGTCCATTCTCACAGGAGATTGGTATCTGATACCGTTTTGGTGGATTGTAACTTGACCTGCAACTCTCTTTGAGTCAGGTGCTGGTCTCACGAAAACGGCATCCAGTCTCTTTGGTCTACCACCTCTGTGCTCTACCAAATTGGCCTGGGCAACGACATCCGACATCGCTTTCTTCTCAGAGTCTCTCTTGACGGCGTCCTTCTTGAGATCAGTGATCTTCTTAAACACCTCAGCCAGTCTTTCGCCGTCTTTAGACCTGAAAGTGAAGGATCTCACAAACTGCTTGTCCGCACCCTCTTCATAAGGAATCTCTTCCTTGTTACTACCAGCACCACTAGCACCTGGAGAGTTGAAGTTGAGTCTCAGATAGGTGTAATCTCCTTCTTCGTTCTTAGAACCGTTTTTGTAGGCGTTGATGTGAAAAGGCACTGGACGGCCACAAATAGGAAGAATGATCGTCTGGTTCTTGCTATCAATGTGGATTCTAAGATCTCTCACGTTTGATGGAATCTGAGTTTCTCTGACATAAGACTCGTACCTCTTGAAGACAGCTTTCTTCTCAGAATCCCCGGTTGCGTCTTCTTTGGAAAACCTGGCCAAACCTTCCTTGAGTCTTCTAGCATGAAGCTCTTTTTGGATTTCCTTCTTCAACTGTTCCTGATCTTCATCCTGGTTCTTGGTCTCGGCTCTCAGCTTTGACTTTAATATTCTAGAACCTGTGGTTGGCTCAGGCTTTGGTTTGGTCTCCTTCTTCACCTCGCTCTTAACTTTGTTCTTTTCTGTCTCCTCGTCCTCCAAGTAGAACGCAACCTGGGACCTGGAAGTTGGAGAGTCAGTCAAAAGAATGGGGTCCGAGCCAGTGACTCTGACAGTATCCGCCAACATTAGGGCATATTCCTCACCACTTTCATCCTTGAGATTCTGGAACCCAAGCACAAGATTGACGGCTGCACCGTTTCTGATGACCCTTTCATTTTTGCCATTCAAAACACCAGTGGAATCTCTAAATTCCAGTCCAATTAACGAACCAATGTTCTTCAAGAAATTCTTCTCCAGGTCAGGCCTTTCCGAGTGAACAAAAGCGACGGTTTTGGAAAACAAGTCCTTACTTTTGATTCCATCACTGAGGAAAGAGTACACCTTCTTCTGCAACGAGAGTAAGAAGTCGTAATCCTTCTCCATCTGCTTCGAAGGACTGATCAAGAACGTTCTGGAAACGTTAGAACAGTACGATTTGTAACGCAAACCCAGCGAACAGATGATGACAGATCCCTGCAACTTCAAATCCGTAGACTCAGCAGAGAATCGAAGATCATATTTTCCATGAGATTGAACAATCGGCCTATAGCACCAATCCAAGAGTCCTAAATCAAAGTCTGATCCCAGTTTCTTCATGGATTTGTCAGTATCCCAGGCCTTAATGAATTTTTCATCATCAATTTTGTTCTCCAAGCGATCAGCCAACTTCGCATTTGTAATGTTCTGATCAGCATCTATGATAGTGCTCATCTCATCAGTGAAATAAGTCAACATGTTGACGGTTGTCCTGGAGGCAGTCCTAATCGCTTTATTCTCTTCGTCATCCTTCACTTCCAACGCTAACGATATTCCCACAGAGACATCCAAAAGCTCAAAATCTTCCTTGCTTTTGTTCCATATTGGGTTCCATTCATCGATGAACTTTCCCTCGTACTTGTCCTTGGAGATGACACCAACCTTGCTTCCAGATGTCTTGATCACGGTGATGAAATCTTCGAATAACTTCAAGTTATGATCAGCATCTTTAGTTCTTGCCAAAATTTCCAGACTGCCTGCAGGCAGTGCAGGCTTTAAAGGGTTCAAATGCTTTGCTTTTCCCACAGAGGTAAGGATCGTGATCTTATTCTTGGTGATGTACAAAGCAGTAGCAGGGAACTCATAGCCGAACAACCACGTGTGCAAAACCGTAGATTTCTGGTATGGGTTGGAATCGTCACCAGATCCAACAACAACGATAACACCATTGGTCCCACGGAACGATTCCTGACTCAGGTTCTTCTGCAACAGCTGGAGCCTTGTCTTAAACAGCTGGGAGTTCAGTTGGATGTCAGACATTTTGATAGGAGTAGTTGGGTCACAAAAACAACTGACTTTAACTCAATTCTATCACTCCTGGACAGGTAACTGGATGAATTCGCTCTGGTTCAAGACGACAACGGTGGCGAGGACAGGAAGCGTTTGAGCTGGTGGACTTTGTCAAACTTCGAATCGTGGACGCGTTGAGCGTGTGTATATCAATAAATAATTTGGTGGAGCACGTAATTGAGTTCTCAGTTAGGGACAGCGCTAATCGACCTGCACGGACAAGAAATCAAGCTCAAAAAGTATAAGTTTAGAGATATAAATTCATAGAAGCCATTAAAACCTACTTCATCCTGTTTCATCACCTTTCCGGCGCGTTCATAGCCCTAATCATTGGGTAGTGCGAGCACCTATTCTCCTCTTCACCCGATCGCAACTTGGCAGAAGGGGATCCTTCAAGTTTGGAGATGTGTCCATCAGTGTTATGTTCCACGAATAACCACACTTAAGCGCCTTTGAATCCAGTTTTTGTACAGTTTCGAAGCAACGGTTAAGACTGTCACAAACAATATGGCAGACAATATGGCGGAGGATTACTCCTACGATTACGAGTACCTCTTTAAAAGTGAGTTGAGATAAGGTTGGGGGCGGGACAAGAGGATCTCACAAGATTTATCAATACTAACAAATTTGCCTCTTTTTAGTCGTTTTGATCGGAGATTCAAGCGTTGGAAAATCCAATCTGCTGTCCAGATTCACGAGAGATGAGTTCAATCTCGAGTCACGGGCCACTATTGGAGTGGAATTCGCTACAAGAACTATAGATATCGATGGTAAGAGGGTCAAAGCACAGATCTGGGATACCGCTGGTCAAGAGCGTTATCGCGCAATCACGGCGGCTTACTACCGTGGAGCAGTTGGTGCTTTGGTGGTTTACGATATCTCCAACAGCGAGAGTTACGAGAGCGTCAGCAGATGGCTGAGAGAGATGAAGGACCACGCGGATGCAAATATAATCATAGAGCTGGTTGGCAATAAATCGGATCTGGACCATCTCCGGGCTGTTCCTACCGAAGAGGCAAAGAACTTTGCAACTGAAAACAGACTATTGTTCACCGAGACTTCTGCTTTGAATGCCGAGAACGTCGAGCTTTCCTTCCACCAACTGCTGAAGTCTATCTATGAGATGGTGTCGAAGCACAGATTCGATATGGACGATTATGGAGCTCAAAAGCAATCCACTTCCGGACCCACGATCACACTCACACCCACACCAAAAGACCAGAAAGTTTCGAACGGTTCGAATTGTTGTTAGAGGAAGTCGAAGCATTGAAAGAACAGGAGTGGGCCAACAGGTTGCAAGATCCATTCGCTATTGGACAATTACTAAGTTCTAGCTATTTAGTACGATGTTGATCAAGCGAAAGAAAGTGGAACTGGTTGCGTTCCAAACCTAACCCGGCCACATGAGTTCTACCATGACCATCTCCTTTTACTGCTCCATTATATCTTTAATCATAGCCTTTTTGTCATTTTTGGAGGTATCAGTCGATATTTCACAATTCGTAAGTAACCTATTGACCATTTCGTTGGCAGAAGTTCCGCAATTTCAAATTCCGATCCTCACTTGTTTGGCTAGAGAAACTATTTCTCCTCTTTCAATGGCTCTTTGAAATCCTCATCACCTTCTTCTTCATCATCATCTTCATTGGCGGCTCCATCACCCTTCTTGGCTTCCTCCTTCTTCAATTCCGCATCGACTTTGGAATAATCAATAACCTTACCCCTGGTTCTTCTACCAGTGGTGATGATGTTGGTGGTATCAATCTCCAGAAGATCGTCCTCATCCTCATCCTCATCTTCAATAACCAGCTTGTCATCATCAACATCTTCTTCTTCGTCCTCCTTGTCGCTGTCGTTTTCTGCAGGTGGGAGATCGTCGTCGTACTTCCTTCTGTGCTTTCTCTTCTTCTTTCCATCCTCGCCTTCCCTCTTGCGCTTCTCCTCTGGAACGGCACCTTTGGCCGTGGTCTCCTCCACAGAATCAATTGGCTTGGTGTCTTCTTTTGGGGTTGATTCCTCACTCATTGTGAAATTCAGAATATTAAACTGCTTCAGTCTGTACAGTAAGAGCAAACTGAAAGTTCAGGCCCGAATTCGTGGAGGACACGGGTCGTGTGCAAATCACAACAGACCCAGAGCTCAAAACTAAAACTAATTTTTGGTGCAACTGGCAGGTCTCCCTGTGAAACTTTGATCAAGCTTACCAACAACGTTGCGGCTCCATACACAGAAAATCATATCAATATAACCATGGCAATTGGAAGCATTCCCAAGAATGCCAAGTTGGTAAGTTATGTAAAAGGTCCCTCCTGGATGGGCTTTCTTCGATGGGCACTTCGCAAGACTAGTCTCCACTTTTACACTGAACTAGCATACTAACACAGTTTTCAGGCAACTCTCATAAACTACCGCGTCAGGGTTACTTCGCTAGACTCCAGACAGTTTATTGGTCAGTTAGTTTCGTTTGATAAACATATGAACCTGGTGCTATCTGAATGTGAAGAGTTTAGACTCACGAAGAAATCGCTTGGAGAGCTAAAGAAACTGCACAAAGAAGGCAAGATTGTCGATGAGACTGAGGCAATCCAGGAAGAGAAGAGAGCTCTTGGATTGATCATTTTGAGAGGTGAGCAGATAGTTTCCGTTGTTGTGGAAAGTGCACCCACAGCCAGTGCATTGGACCCCAGCGTTCGCGTTAAAAGTCTTAAGAAGGGCAAAGGAGTGGCCGTTCCCTTGAAGACAGATTCAGTGGGGGCCTCCAGTAGCTTATCTGCACCCATAAGAACAAATTTGGCTGGTTCAAGGGTGAGCAAACCGACGAGGGGTGGGTTCAGGAAGATTTAAGAAGGTCTGGAACTTATGGAGACAAGTAAAATCGGGAGGATTGCACTTAAACCAGCAGAGATTTGTTGAGATTCACTTGATTCTGTTGAAACTAGCTGGATGAGGCTCAGCAGGTTGCAATCAGCTCAGACATATCGATGATCTTCAAAGCCACACCAAATCGCTTTCACTTGCCAAACGCGCGCGGAATTTAACTCCAAATGCTCCTTTTAACTACTTCCGACTTACCCTCCGTTTTAGTACCATATCGGTTCAATCATGCTGAGATTGGGATGCCACCCAAATGGGGCAAGCCGGAACAATTAAGCTTCTGGTACCCATGGGGTTCTCCATCGGCTCACTGCGGGAAAATGAGGGTCCGGTACCGGTTCCCGGTTTCACCAGCCTACACCCCCTCCTGTGTAATATAGTAAACCTTTAATAACATGAACGACAAATAGTACCGTACTTTCTATGGGACAGTATATCATTATAATGGTTTAGTGGATCAACGCTAACGTTATCAGAGGTGGGACGGACTTCCATTCCGGTTATTTCCAGTTGTTTTTCCACTCCCCGGTCACATCATCTAGGCGGACTCTGCGTAACCAGTCTAAACGAACCAAGCCCCTCAGCCTCGAAAAGTGGAAGATATTGGATGTCCTTTACAACTAAACGATACCAGACAAGGCGAAGGTGTACATGTGGCTAAGTCGATCTACAAAATTTAGTAGCAAAAAGAGGATATTAAAAGAACGCGGTGTACAATGCTAACTCTCCGCCAAGTAGTGTGCCGATCCAATCCGGCAACTCAACAGAATGTACCGGTTTCCTTTCCATGCACCCTCTGCCTAAAAGATGCGCTGTCCCACAATCTTCTCCTCCTTCCTTTCTTTTTTGAAAGTTTTTCCGGGAGGTTTCATGCTTGCATCGCACACCCCTTACTCTTGAGGCTTTGAGAGTTTTTGTTCCCTCAAATTTTGACCCTTCACCAAGTTTAACAAGACAAAAGCTTTTTCAACGCATCGAATATACTGAATATTTCTGGGATATATATCGGATATTTTGAAATTAATTTCCTCAATACATTTCCTATTTCCTCAACCCACAGCTTGAACTCCAACAGCCCATTCTCATTGACTACGGACTTTCGCAACATGTCCATAACTCCTTCAATCGAGTCTGCGACTCAGGTTCGGATGGGTGGCGAAGCTGGTGATCCTGATTTGTCAGATTCTAACGGTTCGCCCCAGATAACAGTGATTGGGCCCACCTCCACCGATAGACCCTACAAGTGTTCTATGTGCGATAAAGCCTTTCACCGCTTAGAACACCAAACAAGACATCTGAGAACACACACAGGTGAGAGACCCCATCATTGCACGTTTCCAGGATGTCCAAAGAAATTTTCGCGGAGTGACGAATTAACAAGGCATTTGCGTATACATGCAAATCCTTCTGTGCGGAAATCTAGATCACGGGCAAATCTACAGCAGATGCAAGCACAGAGCCAGCAGATACAGGCTCAACAAATTCAGAACCAAGGCCAGCAGTTTCAGCCCTTACAGAATCAACAGTTCTCACAGGTGCAACAGGTCCAAGGTCAACAGAATCAACAGAACCAACAAGTTCAACAGCTCACCCACGTCATCCCAACCATGTACGATATTAACGGAAAACCCATCTATGCCCAGCCGGTTCCAGTTTATATCCTTCCGCAGGGTGCGTATGCTGCGCCGCCGGGGGCGATTCAGATGCCTTCCGGCTTCATGCCAGTTATGGGCCAGCAGCAGCAGCAGCAACAACAACAACAACATCAGCAGCAACAACAACAGCAACAACAACCGCAATTTCAGCATGCACCTCAAGCTCAACCTGACAAGAACATGTTTGCGCCATTTTCCATGACCAATACCCAACCACAGAGTCCTACAGTGGAAGTGCCCTATCACCAACAACCACAGCTGCAACAACAAAGAAGGCCCACGTTCCAAAGTGTAAAGTCCACACCCGCTTTGAATTCCTACTTCAGTCAGGAGTACTTGGTTTCACCCTCGTCTCTTTCGTCTCGTACGAATTCAACAACGTCGTTGCGTTCACTTGAAACTAACAACAGTTCCACTTCTAGCTTCGCAAGTTTTACTAACGGATTGAAATCGGTCAATCCCGGCTCGCCGTCTAATGGCTTGAAAGCGTTGTCCTCCCTTCAACGCATGACTCCGTTAAGAGTTTCACCTAGTGCGTCCAGTGTCAGGTTGCCCACTTTGACATCCAACAACAGTTCTTCGTCCACTCTAGACGGGACGCCGGTGGAGGAACAATCAAGGAAAAAGTCGAGACCAAACTCTCCCAAAGCGTTCACCAGTAGTTCTCTAGATCAAATCAATGGTCTCTTGTCAAAACATGTTATCAACACTTCAGGCTTGCCTCAGCAGCATTTACCTGCCAGTCAACAATCTCAGTCTCAGGTCCAATCCCCTCCTCACCACATGAACACAGCAGAGTCGATCAACAAGTCCATGGCAATTTTCAACATCACATCGCCGAACGAGACGCCTCTTTCCACCCCTTATCATTCGCCCACGCTGAAGGCGCAAGGCTCATCGGTAACGTTACCTCCTTTGAGACACTTACTGAGTGGGCTCGATAATCCTTCCGAGGAGAAGAAGGACGGTGTGGTCAGCATAGGGAGCTTGATGAATCAATGAAAGTTGACATCAAGGGATTAAGAAGATACAAACATGCGACGATTCTGAATGGGAGAACGCATAGATTTCTTGAAGATTCTCAAGAGCCTTTGGACGGATAATCGATCTGTGAATCTCCAATTCTCTGAATGCTTATCCGGATCCCTCCATGTGCGTTTTTTTTTATCTCTTGGCGGGTTTTTTTAGCTAATTACGGTTACATTATAGAATATGATATGAATATCTCAACTTGTAGAACTTCGACTCGCTACTTTGATCTAAGAAGCGTAGACCAGCCTAAAGGCCACACATTTGGAACTGGAAACGACTACAATTGCAATCTTCAGTCGAACATATGATCAATAGTAACGCGACAAACTAATAAAATTGACGCGTCCATGGGAAGCCCAAATTATGATGATAACGCAGAAATTGAAGGATGAAAATTCAGGTTCAGTTAAAGCCTCAAAATCTCTTCTGTGCGCCAGAGTGTGAGAAAAACTATAAAAGCGGAACAAACAAAGACAGAAGATATTCAATCACCTAAACGGTGTTCTTGATATCCTTTTCTTCACTTTCAATGGAGTTACCGACCTCGGTATCCTCGTGAACAACGTGCTCTTCCAAGAAGTGGTCAGCATTATCATCCTCGTCACTTTCCTCCGCAATGAACAAATTCAAGATCACTCCGATGAAACCAGTAACGGCAAATCCGGTTTCCATGACCAGCACAATGGCATCAAGGAAACCCTGCAGAGACTTGTTTCCACCAGAGTAGCCAAAGACGTAGTCGAACCAGGTGGGCACCAACGTGGCACCGAAACCTGGCAACAACGAGCAGGTAAGCACAAATCTGTCACGTCTGGTAAATGGAGTCGTGGAGATAATCTTAAGACCCGAAACTGCCACGGAAGTGAACAGGAAAGTGGTCATACCACCCAAGACGGCGTCAGGAATGGCTACCAGAGCAGCAGCAAACTTGGAGAAAATACCCATCACAATGAGGAAGAAACAACACCAGTAACCGACAGTTCTAGAAGCACACTTGGTGATAGAAATAACACCGTTGTTCTGCGCAAAAGTCGACATTGGAGTGAGTGTGCAGAGTGCAGAAAGGATACCGTTAATACCATCGGCCAAAACACCACCTTGGATTCTGGATTCGTAGATAGGTCCTTCCACCTCGACTCTAGAGACCTCAGAGGTGGCGGTGATATCACCAATAGCCTCCATCATCAAAACAATGTAGACTGCAAGCATGGGTAGCACCGCCGGTGCATATATTGTGAGTTTAAACGTATGCACCCACATGAAGTTGACTGCAGGAGCAATGTCGATGGAAGAGTGGTCGAAATATCCACATGCAGCGGCCACAATACAGCCAACGAGCAAACCAACAATAACGGCACATGATTTCATGATAGGAGAACCCCATTTCTCACAAAGGATAATGGTGAAGTAAACCAGAAATCCAAGACCAATGAATTGTGCAGAACCCCACACGAGCTCCTTGGGGTGCCCTGCAGTACTGCATGAGCCTGAAGTCATACAGCCAGAACCACCAGCCCAGTCCTCGAAACCAGACTGAATCAAAGAAACACCAATGAGCAAGACCACTGGACCAGTTACTAGAGGAGGGAACACTCTTTGCAAGATGGCAGGAGGCATGAATGAAAGCGCAATTTCCAGGAGACCACACACCGCAGCAGTTCCCAGAATAGCACCGTATCCGTCTGGGCATGGCAACTTAGTTCCGTCAGCGGCAACCGGACATTTACCCTGGGTGTACATTTGTGGAATAGCCTTGGAGACAATGGTAATGGTGGAAAATGAGGTACCAACCACGGACACCAGTCCGGTACCTATGTAGTATGGCGTCTTGTAGATGTGGAACCTGGTGATTTGTATCAGAGAGAGCAAACCACATGTAATCAAAGCAACACTCACAAGGTATTCCTCGAGTTCTGTGGAGAAATTAGCGGTGGATGCAATGATAATGGGGGGAGAAACCACACCGGCCAACATGGAGAGGGCATGCTGCAGACCCAGCAGGAAGCCCAGGGCCAATGGCATTTCGTCATTCAAACCAAAAAATGGCTGAACTTTCTCTTTTTTGGTAAAAAAAGGGATACTGGGTGTGAACAGATAGGCATAGTCATAGTCGCCAAGAACACCTTCTTTGGTGGTCCATTTCTTGAAGACCCTTCTTGGGACGGTCTTGAGTGCGGCAGTGTCAAGCATAGCTAGGAACTGAAAGTGCTGCGCCAAGTATAGACAATTGCTACCACTTCAAAGATGCGAAGAATAAGTTTATTGACCGTTGAAAAATAAATGGACACAGCGGTCAATATATATATCTGTGCAGATTTATCAGACCCAAGAGCAGCGCAGGAAAGACGTAAATGGCAAAAGGCTGCAAAAAATCTGCATATCGGAGGCAAGGCAATGAGCCCTTTCAGAGGACGGGTAACATCGGTTTGCAATGAAAATTGATGTATTTTGTCGGGAAAAATTACCTCAGTACTACAATAGTAGTTTCTGATTCATGGAAATCATTATTTTACACAAAATCAGAGCTGTTATCGCCAGATATTCACCTTTGTTGCTCGCCATAGCCGCCGTTCAGGGTAGGCTTTCGGCGGCTGCCAAACTGACTTACCCAATTGGGCCTCTGAGATAGAGATAAGGGGCCTTTCTTTTTTGGGGTGCTGAATAGATGTTAACGAATCGACGGGGACGTCCGTCGAGCGCAGATTTTAATTCTCCGTAAGCGCCAATTGTAATGGAGCGATGAAATATGGGTCTGATGAAATTTTTCAGAGGCTAAGTCTGAGCGAGAGCTCGCTCTTGGCGGATTTAAAAAGGCTAGTAGCACTTTGAATTTCACTTCCGTTTATTGAGACCAACTCTCGATCATGAGGCGGTTTTACCATATGACCGCGATAATTTGCAAAATGCTCATTTTACGCAGATATTTCCCCAATATTTTTTTTCAGATTGTTCGTAAAATCATTCCAGGATAAATTTTGAAGAAAATTCTATGAGAAGGCTCGGCTTATTTCAGATCACCTACTATTATTACCGCCTGATTATTTCTTGCTAACAAAAATTTCTCATTAACGCATTCGCCTGACATGATAACTGATCACGTTAAAAATCACGTTTAACCTTATAAAATATTTTGGAGGGAACGGCCTAAGCCTCAAAGCCGCTCCATGCACCAGGCGGGAAAGCGCATTAGGCCCTTACAAACACGCCGAACATTCGCCGCTCCCGATAGGGTCTTACTTGGTGATGATCTCGAGATAAATTCTCAATTTTTCCTTTTTCGAAATGTGCAGGCATTCAGCCGGTAACATCCTAACATCACTTGCCTTGGTTAGCATCCATATAGTGCGAGTTCATTTAGTGTAATGTACTCGCGGAACTATGCTGCGTTGGCGGACATCTCCACATTCCATGTTCGAAAAGCCGCTCCCGCTTCAAGATTTTCAGTTCCATGCGTAAACGAATGATTTCAAAATGATTGTAGAACGAACACAATAGGCATTTTTTGTTCCCTTTCTAATTAAAATACCTAAAATCGGACAACCTCTAAATGGACACTCCAGGCGCAGCTCTAGCGGACCCAACGATAAACCCTTATTACGAGACAGAATGAGATGTTTTGGATTTGCTTCTGACAACTGATAGCATGCATGTAAGTTTATGGCTTTAATTGTTATTTCAAAGAATGTGTGGAGCCTAGTTATTTGAGTCGTTATGATTCATGATCAAGACCATCCAGATCAGAGCCAAAAAGATTTCACCTAGATCTGACAACCAGCAAAAGTACATATCCGCATTGAAGTTAAGCTCTCGCTACATGCTATTATAAACCATAATCAAATGGCACAACTGAATCATTGCCAGGGACGACGTTCACCTATAAGGTGGCTCCACAATCTTGCTGCATGGCGGAGAAGGCCTTCGCCTTCAGATAGTGGTTTGCATGAGTGCACGACCTTTAGCTGTGGTCGTGGTATTACCGACAAACGTCTTAGAATTTATTTTCAATACACTGATAGTGTCGCAAGGTGATACTGACCAACAAGCTGCCGCAAAGCCCTTTTCGCACATATGAAGACATGCTATTATGAGCTTCTTGGAGTCTCGGAAACGTGCTCATCTACAGAGCTAAAAAAGGCGTACCGCTCCAAGGCTTTGCTGTACCATCCAGACAAGAATAGAGATAACATAGAAGAGGCTAATGAGAAGTTTACGGCAATTTCGCAGGCCTTTCAGATTCTCAATGATCCACAAGAGCGCGAATGGTATGACTCGCACAAAAATCAGATATTAAGAGAAGATGATGACAAGCCGGCAGGAGGCGAGCAGGATGTCTCAGAGTTCTACTATGGTTTGACCACAGATGACATACTGAAGTACTTTGACACCTCAATATATACTAAGGCCACATGGTTTGAATCGCTGGGCTTGCTTTTCACGAGAATTGCAGACGAAGAAGCTGAAAGCTGCAATACACAGAAGTTGAGTGCTCCTTCGTTCCCCAAGTTTGGATTGGCTTCTAGTGATTACCAAACGGAAGTCAAGGCGTTCTACAAGGCATGGTCATCTTTCCAGACTCAAAAGACGTTTGCATGGTATGACGAGTATAGATATTCTGCCCAACAAGACAGAAAGACTAGAAGACTCGTTGAAAAGGAGAATAAGAAACTCAGAGACCAGGCCAAGAAAGACTACAACGAAACGATACGACATCTCGTCTCCTTTGTCAAAAAGAGAGACCAAAGAGTGAAAGATGGTTTAAAACAGATGGAGGTGTCGAGACAGAAAAAACTAGCCAATAACGCTTCGAAGAAGTCCAAGAAGACATCCGCGCAGGAGCAGTTTGAGTCTCAGGATTGGCAGGAGAATGACGATTTGTATCGCGAAATAGAGCAGGCTTGGTTGGAGCAGGAGCTGTCACAACCAGTGGAGCAAGATGATGACGATTTTGAGCATTTCGAGTGCATAATCTGCAATAAATTCTTCAAATCGCAGTCCCAGTTCAAGGCCCATGAGAGTTCCAAAAAACACATCAAGGCGTTCAAGCAACTGCGGTATGAAATGAGAAGGGAGGGGATAGAACTGGGAATAGATACAAATGGATTTGTCGCTGAGGAAGAGGAGAGTGAGGAGTTTCTCACGGCTGACGAGGAAATTTCCCAAAAGGAAGACGAAAATGAGTATTTAAGTGGGGACGATTCAGGTGAAGGTGAGGACGACGAGGCTGAACTTGCGGAGACATCAAAAGATGATCAAGAGCAAGACGAAACAGACGATCTTTCTGAGCCTGTTTTTTCACAGGCAAATGGTGGTGACAAACTTCATCATCCCGATCAATCTACAGATGACCTTTCAGATGACTCACCAGAAACCCCCCAGTTTGACCAAGACGTTGACGAAGAGATTGACGACAATATCGACGATGACATAGACGAAGACTTGCTTGAAATCATAGAGTCGTTAAACCGAAAAGCAAAGATAGATGACGGCGAAGGGTCTGATGATGACTGGTCGAATAAGAAGTCCAAGAGCAAATCCAAGTCTAAGAAACCCCAGGAGGAGCCTGTACAAGCAAAAGGCAAAAATATTCCGAAGGAAATCTGCAATGTTTGTGGAACAACGTTTTTGTCGAGAAATCAGTTATTTCAACATGTGAATACCACGGGCCATGCGTTGGCTGGAGGAAAGTCGAAGAAGAAGTCAAAGAAGTCGAAGAAGTGAAGAAGTGAAGAAGTGAAGAAAGGATATGAAGAAAGTTATGAAAAGTGTTATAAGAGTTAGAAACCTCAGTCAAGAGTCTTGGTTTGAACTGCCAATTGCAAATGCTGAAAATTTTATCACTAGATATTATTATAACCACGGGAAATGCATATGAAAGCTGACTACCAGCAAAACATGGCCTGTCAACTAAATTGGATATATATATTAACTGGGCAACACCATCACTACCTCAATCCGGATTTTGAATTTTTCATCTTGGCAAGTATAGGCTCGCTGATTCCCATATTTTCCACTCCCAGACCCGAACCTTGAGTCCAACCCAACTTCTCCAACAACCGTCTACCGATATTCTCCTGACCAATGGCCGGAGCTCCATCTCCAACCACCTCACCCTCTTGGAGTCTGAGTTTGGAGGATTTGTTCTTGGTGCTGGTACTGGTGCCATTCCTCGAGCCTTTCGAAACGAGCTCCGATCTGAAGAATGTCACACGCTTTTGGAGATAGCTTCTGGCAGCATCATAGTCTGGTTCTGAGTTGTAGGTTTTGGCCTTCTTTATCAGCACAGCATATTTAGAGAGCCCCTGCCCAAAGATTCTGGTCTTGAGGTGGTATTCATTCGCAATCCACGTGATCATTTTCTGTGCGTGGTTGTTGAATGGAGGGAATTCAAGAGTCTGCCTTTCGTCGTCATTGAAGAACAGGTCGATTTCCTCGAGGATTTCCTCGATAGTGATCGCGGTGGGGTATAAAATGCTGAGATCGTACATACTGGTGCTCTTTTTGTTTTTCTTCTTTCCGATCTTCGAACGATTGCGAGCTTCGAAGGAAGCTTCCAGACTCTGGATCATGCTTGGATCTAAGTCCAACATAGAGGTATCCAGCCTCTTCTTTTTACCCTTTCCGCGAGTCTTGAGAGGCTCGTTGGAGTCCAGTTCATGATGAACAGCTCTGTTGAAGTTGAAATTCACGAGGTCCTGAAGACCTTCGTCATCTTCGCTTTCATCGTCCTCTGAAGTGTCTGAGAACGGGTAATCATATTCAGGCTCGGGATCAGACTGAGTCAGTTCTTTGGTCAAATGCTTGATGAAAGCCCCGAATCTCGTCTCATTGAATCCTTTCTCTATGAGCAGATCAGATAGATCCCAATGGTCAACCCATCTGAAGTCCAAGTCCCCGAATAACGGTCCACTTTGAACGAAATATCTGTTCCCAACCGGCGATTCTCTGATGTTCTCCACCTTGACACTGGTGAGATCAAAGTCTATAAAGTCCTCAGGAAGCAAACCATAGGCAGGTTCCGAGTCAGTTTCAGACGCAGAATCCATGTCTTGGTCTTGTGGTATGTTCTCTTTGTAGTAGTGGAACTCGTCGTCAATATCGTCATCAACATCTTCATCAAAGTCCTCATCCTCGTCCAAAAACTCAATGGCTTTGGGCTCCTTTGCAAACCTGAAGCTCGCTTTGCTCTTGGCTGGAAGCTCAATGTATGTTTCTCCAAGGTCAGTTTGAAGAGAGAAGTCAACTCCACCTACTCTTATCGAGCGTTTTTCTGTATCTCTTTCCCTTTTAACAACAACGGGCGTGGGTATATTCATGAGCTTTGGTGGTTCATTGGAAGGCAGTTTCATCTCAGAAACTGGTTTTCTGTTCTGAGAATGGTCTGGGTCTCCTTGGGTATCTATTTCAAAGGGGATCGTTTCGGAAGCGGAATCCGAGTCTGAGGTATGATTTGAGTCCAAAGAATCAAGACTCGCAAGATTGGTGTTGGAAGAGTCCTCAACTGTAGCGACTTCTTCGAATCCTTCGCCGCCAGAACCAACAACCATATCAACACCTGAGTCGCCCAAATCACCTGGATCGCTTTCAAAACCTTTTTCACTCTCATCTGCCTCTTCTTCCTCTTCCTCGTACAAAGACTCCTCTGACTCACTCTCAGAATCATAAAGAACAGCATCCAGGTCCTTGGATATGTCGGTAAAATCTTCAATGTTCTCATCAGTCTTTGCAACTTGATGAATTTTCATAGAAACAAACTCCTTCACTAACTTTGACGGATCATAAACTTCTTTTGCTAGCACAAAAGTGATAGGAGGCCTCTTTCGTATAGGACCCCTCATGCTGAGTTCCTCGTGATCCTGTGTGTACACCAGTTCCGAACCAAGTCCCATGTGCTTTCTCTCAAAACTGCGTGGATCTACTCTTCCGCCTCCGGGAATGAATATGTTATCATCAAAATCCATCAACTCAGGGTATTGGCCACCGTAGTTGCCCCTACTCCTGGCAAATCCTCCTCTGCTAGACCCTCCTCTTCCTCTACCGCGGCCTCTTCCGCGTGCACCGCCACGAGCTCCTCCACGAGACCCACTACGAGCTCCACCTCTATGTCTTCCCATTATGGTTTTATAGGCGTTGAGAATCCAGCTCTTGTATAAGATACACCGGGGTTGAGCCAGCCCTGTGTATGATGAAAAGTTGAGGCCCTAGCTTTATCTAGCCGTTATTAGTCAAAACACACGACCTTATGCCGTATCTTTGGGTTTGGGTCTCGTGCTTTCAGCTTAAATATGGTATGATGGGTTGAAAAAAAGCGGTTGATAAATAAAAAAAAGTTAGTTCTAACAGGAAATAAAACCATATGCCAAAAAATACTGATATTTTACGTAGTCACAGATGGAACCATGTTTCTCTTCACACTTTCCCTCATAGTGTCGCAACCAATGTATCTCTAATCAAAGTGCGAAAATCAAAAAGGTACACTGCTTGGTACCTACACGATCCCTTTGACGTGGTGCGGGATGTCGCCTCTTATCTGAATCCAGATTGAGCAAGTGATTATTTCCACATTTGCACTCTCGGCTTGGATCCAGGGTTCTGGCGCGAAACTAGCTGAACCGTATATATACTTGACGCGTTAACGCTGTTGATTGCCGGCTTTTCCAGCAATTTCGTGAGGACCCCACTCTTATCTGCAACCGTTAGGGCTGGGCTTGACAGACACGACAAGGATGTCGAGGATAAACAACTTTCACAAGGTGGTAGGGAGGTTATGGGACAACGATGCTCCTGTTGTGGACACGGAAAACGAGCTTATTGTGTTGGGTAAGCGATATGAACCCTATCAGGGCGGTGCCAACTTCGTGGAGGCGGACCCAGCGCAGCCTGAAGCAGCTCAAAAGCTCTATGATGACGATGATGATGAATTTAACGAAACGATCAAACCTCCGGGAGATGTGGGTTGCAATTCGCCGGAAGTCACGGCTTTTGACTCGCGAATCAGCGAGCTAAAGACCATGATCAGCCAGCTCATGACGCAGAATAAATCTAAACCCCCGGCCCAGGACAAGATATGGCCCGACGAGTTCATCCGCGATGTCGGAACTCGAATCTGGTTGACGTACCGAAGTGGATTTCCTGAAATTGCGCGAGCTGTGGATGGTCCTTCCAGCATCTCGTTTGGTTCTTTTCTTCGAGGCCAGGTTGATTTGAAAAGTAACGGCTTCACCAGCGATGCTGGATGGGGATGTATGATCAGGACCAGTCAGAGCTTGCTTGCAAATGCTTTGCTCACCTTGCACGTTGGTAGGGACTGGCGCTATGACTGCACTGTTCCTGAAACGAGTGTTAAGACGCGCGATAGCGCGATTCATGACAAGATTGTTTCCTGGTTTGTGGACGTTCCATCGGCCCCATTCTCCATCCACAACTTTGTGGCGCAGGGAGGCAAATGTTCTGGAAAGAAGCCTGGAGAATGGTTTGGTCCTTCTGCTGCATCCAAGTCGATTGAAGTTCTGTGCAACGAATTTCAGGAGGCTGGGCTGAAAGTGATAGCTGGAGAAGGTGATTTCTACGAGAACGAAATTCTTGAGACGGCCCTTGACGATGGAAAGTTTAAACCTATTCTACTTCTTGCTGGCGTCAGGCTGGGTATCCACGATGTGAACACTGTCTATTGGGATGCGTTGAAACAGGCTTTGAACTTGCCCCAATCCGTTGGTATAGCCGGTGGAAGACCTTCATCCTCGCATTACTTCTTTGGCTATCAGGGAAACTACGTTTTCTACTTGGACCCTCATTTGCCGCAAAAGGCTTTGACTGTTCCCAGCTCCGTTCCTGCTGTTGGTGTTGAAAGCGATGATGCTCTTCAATCCAGCAACTATCTGGAGGTGAATACCACTTTGGATATCAGGTCTGTACACACCACCCGGATAAGACAGCTGAGCCTGAATGAGATGGATCCTTCAATGCTGATTGGATTTCTCATCAAAGATCAGGAAGATTACGAGGCTTGGAAGCAGGCCATGACCACGGCCGAGCACAAGGTGATCTATGTGTATCCCAAGAGTGTCTCACAGAGTCTGATGAAGAAGAAATCGATGTCATTTGTGGGTATTCCTGGTGATACGGACGAGTTTGTGGATTTAGGTGCTGAATGCATGGATTTTGACGAATGCGAAGATGAAAATGTGGTGGTTGAGGCGGCGGAAGGATCGACTGCTGTTGCTGCTCAGCCGAGTAATGTGGAAGACTTGGGCGAGTCTACGAGAGAAGATTTGGTGAGACGGTTCTCCCAGCCTGTCGTGATAGAACGCAATGAAGTCGCAGGTATCAGTGATATTGGTCATAGTCCATCTGCACCCGGGATTCTTGAAGAGAGCCAGGACCAAGAAGATCCAGTAGAAAGTGAAGAAGCTGAATTGGTGGAAACTCGTGGCCATCTTCAAATAGGAACAGGTTCAGTTGAGCCAGACGAACTCTTATTTGACAAAGATACGTCGATAATCATGCAAGACGAGACTTACGAGGAAATCAGTCCTTCCACAGCTCTATCTGAGATTGAAGAGCCAATTGTGGTGGTTTTGGACGAAGGAAGTTCGCAAAATGAGATATGAGGATAAAATAAAAGAATCCTGAACCTTATAAACCAGAGAAAAGACTACACATTACTAAGTATGAAGAACGTTCCTCAGCCTCGCTATAATAAATGGTTCTAGTAAGCTCACACCAAGCAAGGTATTATTTCTATAGAACACATAGTAAATTGCATACAATCAGTCATAAGTAATACCCCTCAGGGGTTAGATATGCCAAGCCCTTTCCAAGTATACCTTACGATAGCCAACCAATTGACGTCGTGGTTTCGGGCTTATCTGCGCTATGACACATTTTAACTGTTCTCGGGTTCCGGCGGAACTGCGTATGTCCGCCGGGAAGAAGTTATTGTTTGGTCACCGAATTGAGACTTGGCACGCCGGTGGTGGACACTTAAGCTGGCACTAAGGCGTTGTTAATGGGTAGAATATTTGCAATTCCCAGGTAATTTTTGGACGTAGATGACATTGAAGCAATTGTTATGACCCAATTAGTAGCGGGGTAAATTCCGAAATTATTTGGGCTGTTTTGAAAGACTCTTCCAAAAACCTTTCACCATGCACGGCGTACCTACCGTGAAGCGGCTATATCACGAGTTTCGGAACCCTTCCGGGTCAGCATTAAACTAGAAATACCGGTAAACCAAAACTATTGAGGCAAGAACTTTGGCTCTATTGAGCGATGCTGTTAATTTACATGCATAGGTAAGCTCAGGGGATATTATTGCCTAAAGGCATCTTTGTCATTCTAGGGTCGCAACCACTGTATAATGAACCACAACCCACCAGAAAATGTGCTGAAAACCTTAAATTAAAAAAACCGACATCACAGTATCAACAAGTTCATGGATAGTTGAGGTCTTAGATTTGTACGTTAAGATAACGCTGTAGTCTATCATATCGCGTAAAGCTTCATGGGCTTGGAACTCGGCCGAGTTTATCCCGCCGGCATTGCGTCCCTCATCCCGCCGGAACCGGAACTAGATAAACATCGCGCAGCTGGCTATAAAGCGTGGGCGATATCCTCTCTGGTTTATCCACCTGAAGAAGACATACTCAGAGAAGCAGTGGAAAAGAAGGTGTTTAAGAAATCCAAGTTCAACGTCAGTATTAAGACAACTTCAAATCATTTCAGTCCTGGAAGATATACATACCTATAGTTGCCGAAAGCCTCACCAAGATTACATCTAAGACCCCAACATCTACAACATCTACAACATTCACAGTCATGACTCAACCCTTTCTACCACAAATCGCCTCACCAGCACTGCAATCCCTCAGGTTCACGGTCTACTATGGAACAATAGCCCATACACCCGAACTGGGACGCCTCGAAGTGCTTTATAATACAGCAGTGGGAGTAGACAAGGCCGGGCAAATAGCTTTCATTCAGCCGGAAACGGTGGATCCGGTTCAAGCTGCCACTTCATATGATTCGAGTCTTTCTGCGGAGAACATCGACGTGGTTGATATTTCTGGAAGCGAAAATCAGTTCTTCTTTCCAGGTTTTATCGATACTCACATCCATGCTCCACAGTTCCCAAATTGTGGAATCTTTGGCAATGCTACCTTGTTAGACTGGTTGGAGACTTACACCTTCCCCCTAGAGTCTTCGTTCAAGGACCTGGATATCGCTGCTGACATATACGCCAAGGTGGTTGAAAGGACCTTGGCCAATGGCACAACGGCTGCATCCTACTATGCTACGATTCACCCTCTGGCAACCAATTTACTGGCGGATATGGCCATGATGAAGGGACAAAGGGCCCTCATAGGCAAGTGTTGTATGAACCAAAATTCGCCGCAGCACTACATAGAGACCTTGGAGGAATGTCAGAAATCAACAAATCAAGTCCTGGAACACATCCACAGGAGAGACGCCAAAGGACTTTTGATCAAGCCAATTATCACACCCAGATTCGCTGGATCTTGTACTGAGGATTTGCTCAGGTGGTTGGGAGATTTACGTTCTAAAAATGATTACCATTGCCAGACACACTTGTCGGAGAACAAGGCTGAGATCGAGTGGACCATGAAGCTGTTCCCAGACTTCAAGAACTACACTGACATTTACGAGAAGACGAATCTGCTGGGTCATAAGACCATCCTGGCCCATTGCGTTCATCTCACAGATGAAGAGAGAGATGTGATTGCAAGCCATGGTTCTGGAATTTCACACTGTCCTACTTCCAACTCGTCGATCACGTCTGGCGAAGCACGGATCAGATGGCTGCTTGAGAGCGGTGTGAATGTTTCGCTGGGAACAGATTGCTCTGGTGGTTTCACTCCCTCCATTCTGAGTGTTGCTAGACAGGCCCATTTGGTTTCCAGACATTTGGTCATGAAGACCGAGGTCGAGGCAGAAAAACTGTCTTCAAACGATGTGTTGTATCTGGCCACTATGGGAGGTGCGAAGGCTCTAGACATGGCTGATTCTCTTGGTTCGTTTGCGGTTGGCAAGAAATGGGAATGTCAGATGATCGATCTCGCATGCGAAGGTTCTCCAGTTGATACATTCAAATACCAGGAGCCTCGTTGGGAGTCGAGTGAACGTGCAGAGGCCGAGCACAGGTTCCAGGATCTGATTGACAAATGGTTGTTCAACGGAGACGACAGGAACGTGAGACGGGTTTATGTTAATGGTAGGTGTGTTGTGAAGAAGTAAGAGGCTGCATTCGTCGGTTAAGGCTACACATCATTGCATTGTATAAGTTCATCAGTTTTGACTTTTTCAAGTCGCTATTTTATAGGTGTTATTTTGATTTTCCTGTCCTTTCATTATAATAGCAGTTCTGTAGGTGGACTCTTCCTGCAGCGTACTTTCTGAATCTTTCTAATTCAGGCACACGTTGTACAACGAGGGATGGTTCGGATTTTTCGACTGCCACGTAGCCAAAATACTCGTGACTCTATCAGCAAAAGGCTCGCTCGTCTCATCGTAATTCTTCAGCGAGTCTTGATACGCTTCGTTCAACATGTTCGCCAGCTCAAGGATAGCCTGCCCTCCCAGCAATGCACTCTGGTAGTCATCTCTTATTTCCACGTTTATCACGTGAACTATTTCACCAAATCCCTCGTCTGGATGAAAATAGTTTCTGGCCAAAAAATCCTCGATAACTGCGTCAAAACACCGTTCCTCGCATGTGAAAATCACGTTGAAATCCAAATCTCTCGGTAGGCCAGAACCTGGTGGAGTAGACGATCTAGACTTTGAATCGCCACCACTATTCGACGACGGTTTCGTTTGCCCCACATACGGCCAGCGTTCTGGGGCTCTCTTGATGTCTCTGTTGCGCTCAATCATCCTCAGTACTCCATTGGCCGTGTGCAATTTGGGATCCTGTGCAATCAGCTCTTTATATATTTGTTCATAAGGCGTTCCAAAGGGGAAAACATTGGGTTTATCAATTGAAGGTCCGGGCAGCCGGACTGCTGACCCGGTTCCGAAAGAGTGCACGTCGTAGCCAGCATCCTTCAACACCTTATGTGCTTCCATAGATCTAACAAAGTTAGTCATTCATAATTGGCCAATTAAAGTTCAACAAGGGCCGTTACTTACCTGTTCTGATTGGATGCACACACGGTGCAGAATTTCAGCGCAGAATCCATCTTTGATCTGGTTTTGGTTGCGATTTTGAAGGACAACAAGTCTTGTCTACGAGTAATCGAGTCTCAATTATGGGTATAGCTGATGAGAATACGTAGTGCACGACCCCAAAGTCAAAATACAGTTCTATCAAACCGATATTCAGGAAATTTGGGCTTGAGGGAACCATCACATAATTCAGATATTTGATGAATTTATCATTGGCTGGATATTCTGCATTGCATGTGCTACAGTGCTAATGATTCAGCACCATTACAGGCCACTCCAGGCATTTCAACTCAGAAGCTCCACATGAACCTTCAAAGCAGAAACGTAGCACGGAAGCGGAAGACTAGCCAACCACAACTGGGCACGAAAGGCTGAATCAAACAGATCAATCATGAAGTTACTATATTCGAATGGCATAGGTCATATCAACACCTGCAACGCAAGGTTGATATGAGGGGAAATCAAAAATTATGAAACCCACCCTTCTGTTTTTAGCAGAAGTTGGCAAACATTACAGCAACGGGAAATGCAATGTAAACTGTAACATCTGGTCACCGAGAATTCGTGAGCTCTGGTGACGCTTCAAGGTAAGTATGAAAAAAGAAGAGAAAAACAGATGAAAAGGTGGTGGGCGTCGAAGCCCTTATATACCTATGATACTTTGGGCCGGGTAATACCCCTGGGATGTACGGGTAACGGTTTAATGTAAGGTCTACGACAAAGGTCAAGTTGTGGTTTATCATCTATGATACAACACCGAGTTCTGAACCATTGAACTCCTAACTTTTTTTTGATTCACAGTTCTATAGCACTCCATTGAATCTGTGCAAACGTTGTTTCACCAATATTCCTAATGCTGAGATATCCGTGAAGTTCCTCGGCAGCCACACACGCAACACCACTGACTCTACCAAGAGACATGTTGTAGTTGGCCGAAGTGACGTATCCAATCATATTCTCAGGTCCCGGGTTGGTTTCTCCATTGCTAGAGTATACACGTGCATGTTTTTTGGGATTTCCCGTAGAAATCACCGTGAATTTGATCATTTTCACGGGAAGACGCCTGTTTCGCTTTGGGCAAACCTCCAGGTCTCTTGCCAGTTCGATTGGCAATTGTGCTATTTTCCTCGGTCTTCTTTTGAACACGCCCATGAAGAAGTTTGTCTCTTCTAGAAGTCCTTGAGGGTTTGCGATGATTCTTTTGTGTTCTTCATCTAGATCGACCTGGTCTTGATCGAAGTCTTTCTCTGCAGCTAGGTTGAGCCAGTAGTGGAGTTCTTGGTCTTTATCCATATCCGGTTCTAGAACCCTATTGAAATCCTGGGCACCAATTATCTCGATGTCATTTGATTCCTCGGTTTCACCAACTCTCTTGCCTCCTTCTGTGTCAAAATTACCGCGGTCCCCCGCCAGCTTTGACTTGAATGTCGCATCAAAGTCGGCAGATTCAATCAAAGACTCCACCAAGTGATTCAGAGGATTACTTCTGAGATTCAGGTGATCTTTCCCAAATACTGACAAATTGTTCCATGTGACCTCCTCGGTGTCGTCTATCCCAGCCGTCTCAAGCATGTTTAACCTGGAGGGTCTATCCGCAATATTAGGTGCGGTGTAGATCTTGCGCCAATTGTCTCTCAACCAGACCTTCAACTTCTTCTCACTATTGAAGAATGACGAAAGAACAAACGGCTGTGTTGGTTTGTCCGCGATGGAATCCTTCAGTCTGGAACTCAAATAGTCCACCAGTTTGTCGCCTTCTTTGGTATACTCTTTCAAATCTTTGACAACCAGGCGAAGAAACTTCAAAAACGTCCAATCAGAGCCAAATGGCGTGCCGTGTTCGCCTCTTAGCTCTCTGTCCTCATACACTCGAAACTGACTGTATTTCACTCTTTTGGCAGCAGGTTTCTTTACGTACTTGTCTTCTAGATCCATCGTATCCAAAAGTGATGAGTGCATTCCCTTGGGAGTGAAAGGGTAATCAGTCGGGAAATAAAGCATACCACGTTCAGTCAGCACCTGGTGATACTGTCTCAGTCCACCCACAAAAACATGCGGAACTTTGGTCAATTGGTGCCAGAAAGGCAAAACCCAAAACCAAGGTAAGATCAACCGGAATCCAATCTCGTGTCTGACCAACAAAACAGGGATGGTGGGGTCAGAAGATAATTTTGGAATGGTCCGTTCTGTATCTGCGTTAGCTCTTCTTCTGCCAAGGTCTTTCAACGATGGCTGGTTGGCATACGAGCTCACTCTTCCTTCCTTTGTCAACAGGCGCTTGACTATGTCGGCATCAACACCTTTGTTGTGTGACAATTCCAGAACGGCATCCAACATTTCGTCATTGGTTAATCGTGAATGATGTTTGGTGGGGTGCAAATATCTCCTTGGGTCCTCGCATTCGAGCGAGATAGCTGTTCCCACAGGGATAGTGTCGAGGTCTCTGACCTGCTGGATCTTGAAAAACAACCGAGATTGAGCACTGTTCTTGTTAGTTGTGTACAGAATAGATGCCACCGCGTTGAGAGCATTCGGTCCAACCAGATCAATGGAGCCTAAGGCATAGCGACAATCTTCCATCTCAAAGCAGAAGTTGTTGGTCTTTCTCATGACTCTCACCATTGTATAAACGACCTTGTAAAACGCGGGGTGCACCCGCACTGCCAAGTCTTCCTTCACTCTCAAAATTTCACCAGGACCGTTCATCTCTTGGCCTGTAAAGATATTTCCATACCAGGCTCTTCCATCTTTTAGTTTCGAATTGTGTGAAAGATATTCCAGCACCGCTTTCATCTCAGCCTTCGCAGTATTTCCAATGAATCTCAATACCATGGTTCCAGTGTAGGAGGTGTCCCAGACTACACATCCGTCTCTCACACTCTTTCTGTGAGTATTTCTGTGAGACTTCAAAGTCGGTGTTTGGGAAATGGCAAATCCCCATTTCTTCTCCATCTTAGCCCTTTTGGCATGCCATATATGTGTTGGCAGCCATGCAGCATCTCTTTGACGTTTGACGTACTTTATAGCATGTGGTTTGAATTTGGCAAGAGCAAACGCTGCCGAGTTATCAAACGAGCCCACCGAGTTATTCAAGGGTGATTGTGATGGCTTCAAGTCACGGATTTGGATAGATAACTGTTTCATCTGATTTCTGATCAGTGCCTTTCTAAACAGCATCGGCGAAACTATGGCCAACTGTCCTTTTCTCTTCAAATGCGTGGTGTACCTCAGCAGCTTCCGCATCCTTCGCATGAGATACAATTTGCGCGCTTTCGACAATCCCTTTTCTCTTTTGAGTAATATGCCTTTTATCTTTTTCGTATTTCCACCGGCCTTCACGTCGTCGTCTTTCTTTTCTTTCATTTCCCTCAAAGCTCGCGCTCTCATTCTTTTTGGAACGCGTTTGACATTATGACTGGCAGTGCGTCGTCTTAGTGACCTGGGTAAACTCTGGAAAGCTCTTTTGGAGGACCCACTCTTTGCCGCAGTCAAAGCCTTTTCCAGTCTCTGTAGATCATTTTGTGTCGATGACAGCAGTTTCGGCACGTGGAGCAGCGATTGAGTACGTTGGGTAGGAGAAGGTGTGGACCGTGTGCCCGCGGGCTGATAGAATAGATGCGAGGCAGACTTGTCCAATCTGGCCCTGAGAGACTTGGAGTTAATCTGGTTTGCAGGATTCTTCTTAATTGGAGCCATTCCTTACGTGTCCATGTCAATAGGGCAAAATTGATGATATGGAGTTGAACGGTTGGGGTGCGCCATATCAACAGGCCAAAAAATTTCACCTCATCTCGAGGGCTTGAGGTAAGCGCCAGCTTATGCATCATATTAAGCGCCCAAACAAACTGGACAAAATATTACTAGTTTTTTTGGTGGTAGTATAGTGGTTTAAAAAACTGATGATTCTAAATTCAAATAAATTAATCAAAAACGATTTTTAACAGCAAAAGGGCACTGGTATTGGCGGCTCACGCGGGCCGCTTTAAGGGTATATATGTGTTTCTGTACTTTCAATTCCAACGGTACCCTCTAGTAGCTGTTGCGTCTAGATCAAACCCAAGACAAAAGCTCCACCAATAACTCCGGCCAAACCTGGAACCAAGTTAGCGGCAGCGCCGGTGGACTGGGAGGTGACAACTTGATTAACTGAGGAGGAAGATGATTCAGCCGCAGAGGAGGTGGTTGCAACTGCTGCTGGCGTCAAGGAAACCGAGGACGTAGTCTCAGCAGAAGACGAGGAAGAAGGCTTGGACGATGACTTGGACTTGGACGAAGTGGAGGCGGCAAGAATCGACGACTTTGGCTTCTTGCTAGAAGAGGATGAAGACGATGAAGACGACGACTTCGAAGATGAAGAAGATGAAGAAGATGAAGATGAAGAGCTCGAGGAAGAAGTGGAAGTTGAAGATGAGCTTGAGCTGGAGCTGGAGCTGGAGCTTGAACTAGAGCTTGAACTAGAGCTTGAGCTAGAACTAGAACTAGAACTAGAACTGGAACTTGAACTTGAACTTGAACTTGAACTAGAGCTAGGAGTAGAGCTGGAACTGGAGCTGGAGCTGGAGCTTGAACTAGAGCTAGAACTAGAACTAGAACTAGAACTAGAAGAACTAGAGCTTGAGCTTGAGCTCGAACTGGAACTCGAGCTTGAAGAACTTGAAGAACTAGAAGTTGAGCTCTTTGAGCTTGAGCTCGAACTAGTGCTCACTTCAACTTCGGCATCCAAACCGGAGCAGATCGACTTGAAAGCAGACCAGGCAGTCGATTCAACATCGTCAGGACAGGTGGATTCCAGACAAGATTGGATAGAAGAAGACTCCTTCTTGCACACACAAGCAACTTGGTTCAAAGCAGTACAATCAGAAGAAGACTTCACGACAGAAGCAGCGCACGCCAACAAACATGCTGGTGGAGTGGCCACAGCTGATCCAGAAAGAGCGAGGACGATCGAGGCAGCGAGTGAAACGTCGAGAAACTTCATTATGGAAACAGAAGGATGACAACAGGAACAACAGCTGGTTTCGTTGTAGAGCTTTGTTGTTGACAACTGTAGTTAACAAAGAAAAGGAGGATGTCTGGTCAGATCAAAGAGTTTTCGAAAACAAACCAGTTTCGGTCGAGGCCCTGATGCGGGCATTCTCGAGCGGCATGGATAATTTCTAAATATAGTTCCAGCCTTTCCCGATCTGGAAGGTGCTACCTAATTGGGTTTTCGGTTGAAACACATTGTTGAGGCACTACTTTGAGACCAACACACCCCTTGGTTGAGACACTACCGTATATGGCCTCTCCTCCAACATCGTTCACCAAACCGCTCCAGAACAGGATTCTTCGCCCCCCGCCTAGCCGTTCGACCACAGGAGTTGCATGTCTATTCTGTCGACGATATCCGCTGCCGCTAAAAAGTCAAATCCACTGCTGGCTTACTCTTTGCTGCTGTTTCCGTCAACTGGTAAGTGCCAGGCTCGCATAAGTTGTTCCATCCCCACAGTGTTTGTTGGGAGGGCGAATTTTGGCTTACAAATGCAACTTTAGTGCATACTCGACTCTGGTATCTTATTAGAGGGTTTTGAGACTGTGATAACTAACTTTGGTCCTTGGGACTCCTTTTAGTCCGCTACTATTCCATCATGCCACAGTATAAAGTGATCACCGAGACAATAGACAAGCCCGATCTTGACGATCGCCACTACCGCGTGGTTGAGCTGTCAAACTCACTGCGGGCTCTTCTGATTCATGATCCTACTACAGATAAGGCTGCTGCTTCTCTGGATGTGAATGTGGGTGCTTTCCATGATCCTCATAACTTGCCTGGTCTGGCCCATTTCTGTGAGCACCTTTTGTTCATGGGAACCGAGAAGTATCCTCTGGAAAACGAGTATTCGTCGTTCCTATCAAAGAACTCCGGTTATTCCAACGCATATACTTCTTCGCAAGATACAAACTACTACTTTGAAGTCGGTTACGAACATCTGGATGGAGCCTTGGATCGGTTTGCTCAGTTCTTCATCTCTCCCTTGTTTGACAAGTCCTGCAAAGATCGTGAGATAAAAGCGGTTGATTCAGAGAACAAAAAGAATCTTCAAAATGACAATTGGAGGTTCCACCAGCTGGAGAAATCGTTGACCTCCACGAAGCACCCCTATAATGGATTCTCCACAGGTAACTATCAGACGCTGGGCGAGATTCCTGAAAAGAACGGCCTCGATGTGAGAGAGGAACTCATATCGTGGTACAACAGTCATTATTCTGCAAATTTGATGAGACTTGTGGTTTTGGGAAGAGAAGATCTGGATACTTTGACTGAGTGGACGGTGAAGAGGTTTTCCGACGTGAAAAACACAGATAAGCCCAGACCGTACTTTCCGGACCCGCCAATCACTTCAGAACAACTTTTGAAGTTGGTGAAGGCAAAGCCCGTTATGGAAACGAGGTCTTTGGAGCTCACGTTTACCGTTCCAGATGTCTCTAACAAATGGGAGTACGGGCCAGCAAGATACGCGTCACATTTGATTGGACATGAAGGTAAAGGTTCTCTCCTTTACCATTTCAAGACCAAGGGATGGGCCAATGGGCTCAGCGCCGGTGCTATGAGGATCTCAAAGGGGTACTCAGTTTTTGTGATAGAAATTGAACTTACCCCAGAAGGATTCAAGAACTATGAGACCGCCATTTTTGACTGCTTTGATTACATCAAGCTTTTGACTACTGAGCCTCCACAAGAGTGGATCTTCGAAGAGATGAAGCAAACTTCTAGTTTCAGGTTCAAGTTTCAGCAGAAAGGAGGAGCTGCTAACACTGTCTCGAAGCTTTCAGCAGCCATGCAAAAGGATGTCGATGTCCCTTATAAAAACCTGCTTAGTTCGGGCATCACGAGGAAGTGGGACGCAGATCTGATCAAAGACTACCTATCTCATTTCAACGCCTCCAACTTTAAAGTGTCACTCATTTCAAAGGAGTTTGGTTCAGAAGAATTGCCTTTACGTGAGAAATGGTACGGCACTGAGTACAATATCGAGCCAATTTCCCCGGAGATTCTGTCAAAGATTGCTGCTATTGGGAAACCATCTGGTAGATTCCAGCTTCTTACTCCAAACGAGTTTATTCCTACCAAGTTCGACATTGTTGGAACCAAGTCCACTAGTCCGGCTAAAGAGCCTTACCTTATCCAAAGTGATACCTTTTCCAAAACTTGGTTCAAACAGGATGACCAGTTCTTAGTGCCTAAGTCGCATATTTTTGTGAAGTTCAATCTTCCTGTCGCTACTCTTACGCCCTTTAATTCAGCCATGTCTTCTCTCTTCTTAGACCTATTAGAGGACGAACTGAACGAAATGTCGTATGAGGCTGATATCGTTGGTCTCTCCAAGTCTTTCAATGTTGCCAGAGATGGCATCTCTTTGGAGATCTCGGGTTATAACGACAAGATGGAAGTCTTGCTTCATAAGCTGATAGACGCATTTGTTAGCTTCAAGCCGACGGAAGAGAGGTTCAACATTCTGAAGGAGAGGTCCAAGAGGCTGATGAAGAACTTTGGATTTTCAACTCCATACTCCCAGATTGGACAACATACCTCATCTTTGATTAACGAAAGGGCGTGGTCCGTGGATGAGCAGCTTTCGTTTTACGAGTCCGATCTGTTCACCTACCAGAGACTGACAAACTTTGTTTCCACTTTGTTCGACCAATGTTTCAATGAAATTTTGATCGTGGGGAACTACTCCTTACCAAAAGCCAAGGAACTGGCTGCTCTCATCAACTCCAAGATCAAAGCGATATCAGCACCTCTTGCTCAATCGCAATACACCCGCGGGCGCTCACTGAAGCTCCCAGTGGGTCAGACCTTCCGCTTTGAAAAGATACTGGACGATCCAGCAAATATCAACTCTTGCATAGAATATTTCATCCAGCTGGGCGAAATTGCCTCTGAAAGACGGGCCAAGGTTTTAGTCGATCTTCTGGCCCAGGTAGCACACGAGCCATGCTTCAATAGGCTCAGAACCAAAGAGCAATTGGGTTACGTTGTTTTCAGCGGTGTCAGGGAAGCTAGAACTACCTTCGGTTTCAGAATCTTGATCCAATCGGAGAGGCCTTCTCCATATGTGGAGTCCAGGATCGATGCTTTCTTGCAGAGTTTGGTGGATTACATTGAAAGGATGGACGAGGCCGAATATGTGAAGCACGTTAACGGACTTGTTTCCAAGAAAACTCAAAAGCTCAAAAACTTGAAGGAGGAATTCTCGAGATTCTGGAACTCCATAGCAACTGGATTCTACGATTTCGACAAACGTGCTGCTGATGTCGAAATCTTGAAAACGATCACGAAAGCTGAGCTCTTGGAGTTCTACAAAACAAAGGTGTTGCAAAACAACGGGAAATTGGTGGTCCATCTGAATGCTCAGACTACCAGTGCTCTTTCGTGGACCAAGATAGCTCAATCTTCGATTATGAACTATATCGCTTTGAAAGAAGACGATCTGCCCAAGGATTTCACTCTAGGTCCCGAATTGGACAAGTTGATTACTTTGGTAGAAGACAAGTCTATAGACGATTTGCTCTCATTACATGAGTTCAGCGAGTTATTCCCAAAATCTGTGTCCCCCCAATTCTTCTCAGGCCTCACTGAGTACATCAAATCAAACATTGCCAACCCTATCCCCAAGTCTTATCCTAAGGGTGAGTTGATCACCGATTTAGGTGACTTCAAGTCTAAGATTCCATTGACCTCTGCTGCATATCCTCTTAGAAACCTGTCTGATTTTGAGCTGAAGCCTGAGATTGAGGCGAAACTTTAGACCTGCATTTCATAGAAAATAAAAAATGCCTTTAAGACAAACTCGTACAAAAACATTTATAGTTTAGAAACCCAGAAATCTGGAACTATCTAGTAAATATGCAAAAACCTGCTATTCAAGAATAACGCAAAAATCGTTATACGACCCTAATTGGGTAAGAATTGAGTGTATCACTCAATCCGTATCCGCGCGCCGCTTTTGGCAGCTGCTCTTATCTTTTCCCCCAGTTCCATACTTCTCTTCATTGCGAATGGCACTGAACGCTGGTTTAGTGCAATATAGCCAATTTCTGGCTATTGTCAAAAAATTTAGATGTTGCGTGCTGTACCACCCATCCCGATGACAGATGAGGAGATAACAGCGGGAACAGCAACGGGGGCCGGTTCCGAAACCGATCCTTTACTGGGAAGCGCTGGTGGAGAGGACAATTATGGTCGTACGCAGAGTTATGGGTCTCGTCTAAGAGGCAAGTGGCATATTTTGGTGTTGGTGTTATTTGTCGTGATAATATTGGGTGGTATCAATGTGTACCTCATATCCTCCTACATAGAGGACATGTACTTGGATGCGGCTATGTTTGATGTGGAAAAACTGGAAGTGGTTGAAATCACTAACAATGGAGCAAGGGTGAACTTCAAGGGTTCGTTAAGTTTTGATTATAACCAGATACATGGTCTTTACTACAAAACTGTGGGTGTGTCACTTGGATGGCTGCTAGGCTCAATAACGTCTATACCCTCAGAAAAGAGCTGCTTCATGTATGCGGGATTGGTGGGATCCAACAAGCATCATGTGTCCAAGATCCGACTGCCTCCTATTGAATTTTCGCTGAGACAGAGCGAGATTTCCCATCTTGATTTGGACATCATGGTGGAGGTGATACCGTTGGAGGTCTCTGTGTTGGTATCAGCGATGATGGAGAGGGCGTCACAGGGAGCAAAGGGCCTGGATTTGAATGTGGATCTTCTTGGAGAATCCCGTATTAAAGCTGGATGGTTATACGATTCATCCAGACTGGCTTTGAGCCGCCGGATATCTTTGCCTTTGAACATGGAGAATCTAGTAAGCGTTTCAGAGGTGACCGTTAGTGAACTGGAAGGTGGATTCAAATACAAAGTTGATGCTGAAGCTCTCATCAAAAAGACTATTTTCCCAGTTCGTATGGATGTTGGTACTCTGTATTGGGATATTAGTCTACCAGGATGTGAGACAGTTGATAAAGTGGGGCGGTTGACCACGCATTCGTTCGTCGTGGAGCCTTATAGTGACGTGAGTTTGCGGTTGAGCTCTACTGTCGGAAAGGTGTCCAAAGACCTCACTAAAATCTGCAGTAATGGTTCTTCTCCTCTGAGCTCGCTGGTGAATGATTTTCAAAATGGTAACACCGTCAAGGTCTTCTTATCAGGTGCAAAAATCCAGGATCCGGACATACCCAAGTGGCTTTCCGAGCTAGTGACCACACTCTTTGTTCCTATCGGTGTTGATTCTTCCATGGTGAACGTTGGTCTTGAAAAGCCGGAGGTACAGTCCATCGGTCTCAGCTCTGTTGGCATGAAGTTTGAAAAAGGGGTCCCCATTGTATCTGTTAGTTTGGTGGCAGGCGTTGAAATGCCACCACAACTTCAGGGAATTAAACATGTTAATGTCACCCAGATTCGCGGTTCAATTCAGTTAAGTACCAGAGAAGACTTGCTTGCAACTCTAGATATTGATGATTGGCAGTCGTCCAGCCTCAAGTTTGATAATGAAGTCAGAATGCTGAATGTTTCAACGGACATCAAGGAAACAGAGCTTTTCTTGAACGATACCTTCGTCGTTTCGGAACTTCTGCAGAATGTGATCTCAGGAGACCCAGTGAAGTTCGATGTGAACATGACTGCAGATGCAGTTGTTGATATGCCTCTTTTGCACACTGAATTCAACTGCGTGAATTTTGTCCAGAGCTTAGTGCTTCCAGCACTGCCTGTTGGAGAAGCGTTGGATGATCTCAAAGTGAAAATAGACCAGGTGTATCTGGTTGAGTCCACCAAGACATCCGCCGTACTTCTCATGGATCTGGAACTGGCCAATCTTTTTGGATTAGATTTCACTATTGGAGATCATATAATCGATATGAATCTTGAGTTTAACGGAACGAAGGTGGGACATATCTCCACAGAAGGTATCGTTCTGGCCAGTGAAGGTTTGTCGAATGTCACCACCTGGTTGCATCTGGACACGGCAGCTGCCAAACAAGGCTGTATCAAGACGGAAGAACTGGTCAGCGAGTACCTAAGCGGAAGCCGGCCTGCAATTACGGTCGTTGGTCACAGTGGCTCGTTTATTGACTCGCCGTCGTTGTCACAATCGGTAGACGGCGTGGGCATTGACATTCGATTGCCTGAGTTTGTCTACGAGCCTGAGGAGAAGATCAGCACAGTAGACTCAAATGAGTCAAAAGATATCACAATACAAGATGAACCCAGTGGCTTTATCATCAGCTCTACGATGCACATCATGACCTCCGAGATTGAGTTCACCGTCTTCAACCCTATAGTGAACAGCGAAGTCTTCATCAACATTCTCGAGGCGCGCGCCATGTACGAAGGAACAACACTAGGGTATATCAACAAGGAGCAGAGACTCTTGATTCCTCCAGGTCTTTACAAAACTCCCAGAATACCCATCACATATGCAGGTGGAATAGGAGGATCAATACTGAGGAAAGCCTTGAACGGCAATCTCAAAGTCGAGGCTACCGCCATTTTTAAGTTCAAACTGGACAAATTCAGACTAGATCTGATGTACCACGGATCGGGACTCTCTACAAACATTAGGTTATAACATAACAGGTGAAACAATTTTATACTCAAATGCATGCAGTATCCTAGACAGTATGCCCTGCAGACGTGCGTCTCCCAAACGGCCTCTCCATATGAAAATTTAATTTTTCACCTTCAGTTTCTTCCCTTTATTCCTCCTTTCTCCAATCAAAAAGTACAGGAGGTATTTGCCACGGCGGAATAATGTAAATTATCAAGTTATTACCGTTGCCATTTTCTAAAAGAAATGTTTTACGAATAACCTCCGAGATCAAACCATCCCAACTAGGAAGTTTGGACGCAGGCCTCAAATTGCGTCTGAATGTCGATTATTCTTTGGGAAACAGCTCTTTTTTCTTTAGTTGCTTTAGCTCACGTAATTTGCACTGCCACATGTAGATCGGATCATCTGTGATTTGTCATCCCATACTGTTGGCACGATTTTTCCGGCCGTCGGGATATCTGCAGTCAAAACGGTTCGGCTGCAGGGCATTGGTACACAGGTATTAGTAAACTGGCGTCAGCCGAGGTTAATCGCGAAATATGTCAAACATATAACATGGGTCAGAAACCCAAGATTGCAAACTTTCGCTAGAGAAACCTCAAATTTTATAGAACCCAACCGCATTCAACACAATGACTGCCATCGCTGAAAGCAACATGTTTAAGCCCATCAAAGTGGGTCCTGTTGAACTCTCCAACAGGATCGTGATGTTGCCAACAACAAGATTCAGAAACAGTCCGGAGCATGTTGCAACCGATGCCATGCAAAAATTGTACTCTGACAGGACCAGAGACGCTGGCTCTTTGGTGATCACCGAAGGTACCTTGATCAGCCCCAAGTACGGCATGTACCCTCAAGCTCCAGGATTATGGTCTGAGGTCCAGGCCGCTGCCTGGAAGAAGGTGGTCGATGCTGTTCACCAAAACGGCTCGTTTATTTGTTCGCAACTTTGGGCCTTGGGCAGAATTGCAGAGCCCGAGATTGCAAAGGCCGATAATCTGCCTCTGTACGGACCATCTGCTATCCATTATAGCGAAGAAGCGAAGGAGGCTGCCGAAAAGTCCGGCGTAGAATTGGTTGCCCTTTCCACTGAGGAAGTCGAGCAGATGATCCAGGAGTATGTCGTTGCTGCTGGACATGCTCTCGAGATAGCTGGTGCCGATATGGTGGAGGTCCACTCTGCCAATGGATATCTGCTTAACCAGTTTGTCGATGAAGTCTCCAACCAACGTACCGACAAGTACGGAGGATCCATAGAAAATAGAGCAAGAGTCGTGTTGGAGATCATTGATGCCATTGGTACCAAGTTCGGGTACGAGCGCGTTGGAGTCAGATTCACACCTTGGTCTACTTTCCAGGGTATGCCTGCTGGAGACGAGGCCAAGATCAGCCCAATTGTCACGTACGGCTATCTGCTCAGCGAGCTCGAGAGAAGAGCAGCCTCGGGGAAAAGACTGGCCTATGTCAGTACTACCGAGCCAAGAACTGAATGGTGGTTAGAAACAAAGGGAACCAGTTCTTTCCACAATGATTGGATGTATGACATCTGGAAGGGTGTTGTGATTCGTTCCGGTGCATACTTCATCGAGCCCTCTTACTCCACTGCGCTTAAGCACGTCAATGCCAATGACCGCACAATCATTGGAAGTTGCAGATCGTTTACCTCGAACCCAGATCTACGTACTCGTCTGCGCAAGGGCTTGGAGCTTACTCCATACGAGAGAAAGTACTTCTACGCCTACACCAATTACGGGTACAACACCTATGGCGACTACGGAACTGAAAAATTGGGTCCAGATTCCGAACAGGCTACCAAGCCATTGACCCCTCTTGCATAGATACACAAAACCTTATATATACTCATACATTGCTTAGAAATGTGGTTTGTAGATAACAGCAGGCTAATTATCCGTTTGCAGAAGTGCACTGCCTCATTTTGAGCCGCACGAAGATGAGCTGACGTGATCGGGTATGGAATTAGTAATTCACCCGATGGTATAAAGGTCCTTGCCGTGCCGGTATTTCCCTTCTTTCTGAATTTGGACCCAGCTGTCAAGACTTAGAGAAAATGACACAAGACAAACCAACAGCTCTTGCTGCTACGAATTTGTTCAAGCCAATCAAGGTGGGCAATGTTACCCTGAAAAATAGGCTGGTCCACACGCCAACCACCCGCAAGAGAAACACTGAATCGTTTGTCGCTACGGACCTGATGCTCCAGTACTACACAGATCGGGCGCAAAATAATGGTGGGCTCATAATTGCTGAAGCAACTTTCATTTCTCTTCAGGGTGGCCTCATGAGACGTGCTCCTGGGATCTGGAACAAGGACCAGACCAAGGCGTGGAAGAAGATTGTTGATGCTGTTCATGCTGAAGGCTCCTTCATGTCGTCCCAGTTCTGGCATCTGGGAAGAATGGGTGAGCCTGATGTGTTGAAGGAGTGGGGTCAAAAGTACATTGGTCCTTCTGCCGTTTACAGGAACGAGGAGAGCGAGAAGGCTGCCATCGATGCTGGGAATGAGCTCCTGGCCATGACCAAGGAGGATATCCAGCAACTGAAGGACGAATACATTAATGCTGCTGATAACGCTTTTGAGGCTGGCTTCGACTTCATTGAGGTTCATGCTGCTCATGGATATCTGTTTGACCAGTTTCTGAGAGAAGCCACCAATAAGAGAACTGACGAATATGGTGGTTCTATCGAAAACAGGGCGAGACTACTGCTTGAGATCTTGGACATGTTGATTGAAAAATATGGTGCTGAGCGTGTGGCTGTCAGACTTTCTCCCTATGTAAGAGGAATGTTGGGTCCGGAAGGACTTGTCTCTCACCCAATTGTGACATTCTCGTACGTATTCGACCAGTTGGAGAAGAGAGCGAAGGCAGGCAACAGACTGGGATATGTGTCCATTGTGGAACCCCGTGTCGACGGAAGTGTCAATGCCGTCAACAGATCTTCTTTGGAAAACAATGAGTGGATTTTTCAGATCTGGGAAGGTGTTGTGTTGAGGGCCGGTGCCTACCTTTCTGATGAAGGGTATCAGAACCTCGTTCATGATGTCGACCTGAATGATAGAACTCTCATTGGTGTTAGCAGATACTATACGTCCAATCCGGATCTGGTCGAGCGTCTTAAACAGGGTTATCCTTTGCAACCTTACAACAGACCTACGTTTTACACCTCAACTAATTATGGGTTCAACACCTGGAAGAAGTATGGCGAGACATGGAAGGACGATGCCGAATCAGAGGAGGCCAAGAGGCTTCCAGTCTCGCTGGTTTAGTCGGACGTTTCTCCTGATTGTTTGTGATTTGTGATTTAAAGAGAAACACGAGAGCATTTTTTTATGAATATTTACATGAATATTTACATGAATATTATTGCAATCGTTTATTTAGACTGAACTCGTAGAGAATGCTGTTTCATCCTGGTGCGTGTCGTGCTCTTGCTGAAAAGTTTTATGAGCCGCACGTGATGAGTGAGACCAACTCCGATGACGTTTGTCTGCCACGTTTCTTGCCAGATCAGTCTCTGCTCGATTACCTGAACTAATCACAGAACCTCCCGAGATGGACAACATACAGCAGCAGCTAGAAAGCGTCTTGGCTGTATTGAGACCTTATACTCACTTCATTCCCGAGGAACTTCGGATTTTGGGGGGAAAACTCATTGGTGATGAAGCCTTCGAGGTGTTGGTGATGGAGCTGGACCCATTCTCTCCAGAGGGAAACATACTGTTGAAGCCCGCTATTTCCAAAGTGTTAGGACTGGGGCTGATTGGAGGCTCCTCCATTGTCAAATTACCCCAAATATTATCAGTTATCAGGTCCAAGAGTGCTGAGGGTATCTCGCTTTTGACTACTCTGCTGGAATCATTCTGCTACCTCGTTTCTCTCTCCTCTAATTTCAGATCAGGGACGCCTTTTTTGGCTTTTGGTGAGGTCGCCTTCATGCTGGTTCAGAATTTATTTTTGGCAGTCTTACTGCTCGGCTTCGGTGGAAAATACAAACAATTTCAGTTCTTCTTCTCGGTGGTGTCCATTCTGCTTTACACGTTTCTGGCGCAGCCATCTGCTGACAAGCCCTTGGTGATAGGCAATAATCTGCTGAACTTTCTCCAGTCCATAGTCATTCCTCTTTCCGGGCTGAGTAAGATTCCGCAAGTTATCGAAATATTCAAGAGGAAATCTACGGGACAGTTGTCTTCAATAACTGTGCTAAGCAATCTGTTGGCCTCGGTCGCGCGAATCTTCACCACGCTGTCGTCTGGTGTGGCGGAAAACTCAATGTTGATTGGCTTTCTGGTCGCTGGCTTGGTTAATGTGGTGTTAGGGATTCAGTTGTTTGTTTATGGCTCCAACAAATCAGCATCGCCAAAGGTGAAGACCAGTTAGGTCCGTACATGCTGGTTCATTTTTGTCTGTTAGACCGTACTTTATATTTCCTATTATACATACAAAAAGGCTGAAATAGAACAATTCCGCATATCTCGTTGCATTCATAGAACTACTCCATTTTTGGAGAAGTTGCCTTTGAGTTCGGCGATTTGGCCCTCGCCGTAGGATGCTCGCTCAAATGAGGACTAGCCATGGCAGTCCCATTGTACTCCATAACCGTAGACAGTTTGAAGCTGTGACTGTCCACGAATCCGCGTCCAGCATCGCAAACCTGGATTGACTTGACCCATTCGGACTTCCAAATCTTGCTCACTCTCATTCTGTGGTTGGGATCCGGATTCAGGATGTTGTATAGGACGTATCTTCTGCTGTGTGGGAATTGGCCCTTTCCAAGAGACTCAATTGGGTCGAACTGACCGGCGCGAACGACAGCCGCTTCCTGTGTGTGAGAACTCGACTTCTTGTCGTAGTTGTAGAGAGCTCTGGTGTCCAGATACTTCGCATACAAGTCGTCAGACTTTTTGGCAACACTCCACACGTAACCTCCGTTGACCATTATCAGATATATGATACCTAGAGACCATACATCTGCGTATCTGGGATCGTATTCATTATCCGAAATATACTCTTCAGGAGCGACATATGGCTCAGAACCACAGGCACCTCTTGACTTTTGCACATCTGGTTCCCAGCTGGTCTTGAAAACCGCAGAGGTTCCAAAGTCAATGATCTTCAGTTGGCCGGCGGATGTCAGCAGTAGGTTCTCCACCTTCAAATCGTTATGAGAGATACCAACAGAGTGGAGATACGTGATTGCATTCAGGATCTGTTTGAAGAAACAGTCTGCCTCCACCATGCTCAGGCCCTCTCCACCCGTGGAATTGATCAGTGAATAGAGATCACCGCATGGCACAAACTCCATCACTTGCGAATATGTCAAAGTCTCCGGATCTATCATAAGGTCATAAGTGTTTATGACTGCCTGGTGAGTCAGAGAAGATGCTATCATGAACTCCGAAGTGACTCTGTTTCCAAAATGGTGCGGACTCTCATTTGCCCTCTGCTTCAAATGCTTGATCGCAAACACAGACTCAGACTTATCCGGGTTTATTTTCATGGCAAGCTTGACTGTTCCATAAGAGCCCTTACCAATAAGGCCCTTGATCTTGCCGTATTTTTTGCACAACGGAAGTCTGCCACCGGCGTTGTTCTCGATGTATTTATTCAGCTTTTCTGAATGCTCAATCTTGTCGAGCATTGAGTTGCAAAGCTTGAGTTGATCTGGTCCAATGATGGGTTCTATGTCCTCTTCAGAGTCGTAGTCATCCCCATCTGAACTATCATCACCAGAATCACCATCTTCATCTTCATTGTCGTCTTCATCCTCCAAATCCTCATAGTTCCATCTATAATTCTCAGGCTTGGACTTCATCACCATAAGTTGCTCTGAGTAAGAATCAGGGATTAGACTGATGGAGTTTTCAATGGATGCTTCTGGTGAAGAATCGTCTTTGGTCTTTTTCCAACCCCATATTCCTCCTCCAGTCCTTGCCAAATTCTTCTTCAGCTTGCAGTAATCATGATAATGTAGTGAAGTTCCCTCAAGATAAGAAATGATACACCCATCTCTCTTCATTGTCTTCACCGAGTTGGCTCGACCCAATCCCGAAAACGACGTGGAATGCTTAAGATTGTTGAAAAAAGCGTTGTGACTGTTGTAAGCCTCCAGCTGCGACATCGAGATTGTATTACTTCTTTTCAAAGAGACATCGTTGTCGAAGGGGGGTGGTGACGAGCTGTCCCTGGAATCAGAATCGTTGCCATGCCCCAGAAATTTGTGGACCAGTCTCGAGGACCTACCTCTAGATGCAGACCTGGATAGTTCACCCATGTTGGCACTCGACGCACTATGACTTTCCCTTTTCGATGTATTTCTACTCATTGCGGTTGCAATCGGAGCAGAGTTGGGGCTTTTTTGACTCCCGGAAGACTCCTCGTCCAATATGTCATCGAGATGGTTCTCCATAACTGCAGGCATCAGCTTGAGCTTATTCAAAGCACCGTTCAGATCAGAGTTGGAAGGAGATGTCTTCAATGGAGGAATTCTTTGAACCTGATCACCATCGCTGAAAGAGCTTGTGGAGTTGTTCTTGCTCCGCATCACTCCCAAGCCTGTAACCAAACATGGAGATGTTGGACCGACACCCGGTGAGCTGGCAGCAGACTTGTCTTCCGACGCAAACGATATTGCCGGAGAGCTTGGTACGTTCAATGGAGAAAGCTTTTTAGGATTGTCTAGAGGCTGCGATGGTATCTGTGTATGCGGTTGCGCCAGGTGATGAGAGTTTGGTGATGCTTTGTCATCGGCACTGGGTCTCCTGGAAGTAGCTTCCGCAGCATTAGGTTTTCTTCCACTGATATTCCGCACGGGAACCGGATATTGTGATGGGGAATAAGGATGAGAAGTCATTCCCGGATGCTCCACCTGGGATCGCAGTTTCTGGTCCAACTGCTGCTGCCTCAGCTTGTCCTGCTTCAATTGCTCCTGGGCCGAGGCATCTTGCTTCAAGCTGCTTGAACTCCCAAAAAACGATCTCCACTTCGATTTGGTTGAGTTCGATCTCGATCTGGGCTTGCCATGGCCGTTCTCTGTCTCCACAGTGGATCCATTCGAGGCTGAAGAGTGCAAAGAACTGGACTCATCGCGCATATCATAGTGATGCAAGTCGCTGCTCGAAGCAGACGACTTCGACGTGGACCTAAACAACGACATGATTCTTTCTGTGACAAATATGTCTCGAACGGCTGGCTGTATAAGTGCCTCTTTTTTTGGTAAAATGCCTCAATCTTTGCAGCACCCCAATATATTCACGAGCTTCGCACAAAAAATTGAACAACACCTTCCGACTCTGTGGTTAATTTCGTATGCAAAAATTGCCACGCAAAATTAAGCCGTGGCCAAAATCGCTTTAACCAGACTTCAAACGGAAGCGAGCCACACGCGAGACCTCCTAATGGGCGCTAACAAGACGCTTTTTGGTGTTTGGAATCTCACAACACCACAGGCAGTGCGAATAAACGCTTAAATGCAGTATCACAGAGGTCGTAACAAAAACCCTTTCTACCGAATATATTACTGCGCTTCAGATCTGAGTGTCGCTGGTGGGCTGAGTAGCCAACAAGGAGGAAGAAGCGGCAAAAAAAGTCGGTCAAGGGTCGTGTACCTGACTCAACTTAGGGTCAAGCGGTGACGGTATTTTCCATTTACACATTCGTAGGCAAGACATACCCAATTCATATTTACACTGATAGCTCTATTTGGACTGCTGCTGCTGGAGCTCCTGTTGCTGCTTCAAAACTTCCTCGGGGTTTGGAACGCCCTCGGTGAGTAACTTTCCGAGGGTCATGTTCTGCTCGGCCATTATCTGCTTCTCTCTCTCCTTCTCCTGTCTGAGGAGCTCTTCTCCGTGCTCCTTGAGGTAGTTGTACATGTTCAGGTAGTTTCTCTGGCCGTGTTCTCTGATGAGATCCAGAGGGAATGCAGCAGGTCTGGCAATCCCAAGGCCGAGGCTGAATCCGTTGCCTCCTTTGGCTTTCTGTTCAGCCTCAAACTGCTGGCGCAAAATCTTCTCTCTCTTGATGAACTCCTCTGGGATCTGGGTTTTGTCTGGGAACGAGTTCAAGATTGGTCTCACATCCTTCAAACGTGGGTTTGTGGCAAGATACTCCAAAAATGGGATCATCTGGACCAATTTGTCGTCTGGCTGGCCATCCCACTTCTCAACGGGAATGGCATTTTCAGGCTGCAAGGAGTAGGCATCTGAGTCAACATCAATAATGACGATTTTTCCCAGGTCTCTGTTCATCAAGCTCAAATCCTTAATGATCTTTCCATCCTTGTAACGGCACGCTTCGCGGAACAACGCGTGCGAGATGAAAGCGTGGTATGGGTCCAGCTTGGCGACAGTTCTCTCGCTGTATGCCATCGAAGTGGAGGAGAAAATCACAATTTCGTAGTACTGGGACAAGTATCCCAAAAAGTAGTCCAGACCGGGACGTTTTGCAGTTCTCCAGCCGTTCTTAGGAGACCATTCTGAGTGAATGAGCAAATCATCCAGGGTCAAGACCAAGGTAAGAGGTCTGCGGAACTCCTCAGCAGCTGGTGGAGGCAGCAAATCGTTGAATGCAGGTTCAGAGAAGATTCCCACCAAGTCTGAGAATCTCGTACTGAAACGCTTCCAAATCAAACCGGGAGTGTATCCGTTCTCTTCCGGCTTGTAGAAGGACTCTTCCGACTCCTCCCAGTCTCTAGACAGGTACGCGGCTCCACCAATAGATAGCGCCAAAACAGAGATGTAGAACATATTGGCTCTTTTCTCCATCTTCTTGTCGATAGACGACTGGCGTTTTGCCCTTTTTGGATCCTTGCTGTATCTCTGCTGTTTTTCTTCTGACTCTGAAGACTCAGACTCAGACTCTGACGTACTGCCCTCCTTTTTGATAGAATCAACATCTATGCCTGTTTGTGCCAACAAATCATCGTTCAGAATCGACTTGTATTCTTCCTTTTTATCCTCTGGCTTAGAGGAATAGAATCGGGCCAAGGAGACCGAGACCGTAGTTGCGTTCTTGACGGCAACCGACCTGGTCAATAGCGGAATTCCAGTCCTGGAAGCCCTGGAGGCCAAAGAAATGGAACTCCTGAGAATGCTCATTGGTGTTGGTTTTTTTGCCTATTTAAAGGTTTTTTGTGGGTTAGTTCTGGCTGGAAATAAAAGTTTTGAGATGTTACACTTCCGACGTTTTGCCCCAATTTTTCACTCTTCTCAAATGATAATAGCACTACGCTAACTTGGGGAAAGATTAAGGCTCGCAGATTTCGGACCTAGCAATACAATTGGGGTAATAAAGAATAGCTTATCAAATCCTGGAAGTTTACGAGGTTCTTTGAGGTTCTTTGAGGTCGCTTTTGGGTCTCAAATCTACAGTATTGGCAGAGAGCATCTCTACTGACATGCTTGCCTTACAGAATGTATCAGACTCTAGGTCATCACCATTTCATGGGTCATCCAGGCCCGAGGGCGGCGACCTCGAACAGCGATGGTTTTAAAGCTGATTCGAAAGGGAACCGATTGGAAACACCTTTCGTTTTGGTTCGTTCTTGGAGGACCCAGCATCCAGCGAAGGGTTAGATGGTGACGAACAAACTCCGGGGAGACGGTTTCAAAGACCCATGGTGCGACAAAGTTAATGCACTGATCCGAAATCAAATGACAGTTCAATTCTTAAACCCAACTGGTACCTGGTAAACATCCTTGATGAAATGAAGAAAGAGATATCGGTTGAAGAGCTTCGGCAAGATTTTTCAGCGTGGTGGGAGGATGATTGGAGGCCGGGTAACCCTGTTGAATTCGTGCGGCAGATAATTCTTATATAGTTGGCATAGTCCGATCAAAACTTACTATCCTACAACTCAGTGAGATACAACGGATATATTGATGACAATCGCAGTTTTTATGATCTGAATTTTTGTTGTGACAGAATGCCAGCCTTTCGTTTTGGGATTGTAAGCCAGTTCGGGGGGATTGACAGAGCAAGGGGAAGAACGCCGCAGTGCTCAGAAATCAAAAAAATGAAGGTTGCAATAGAAGAGTAAAAGATATCCGGAAAAAGCAGGTACAAAAAAAATTCCCCCGGTGGCAATTTGAGCCTTTGGTAGCCAATGAAAGCCGTCTGTGCTATCGCCTAAGCAGTCTAATTGAGCCGATTCAGGCGGCCTTGGCCAAACCGACAGCGTTCTTACCCAAGTCGTAGACAGAGTAGTATTTTCTCAAAAAAGCATCACCAATGATCGCCATTGGTCCAATTGGCGCTGGGATGTCCATTGGAGTGAACGCAGAAATACACGAACCTGAAACCTCCAGAGTGTAGTCGTAAGGAGTAATCGTGAAGTTGTAACCGGCAAAGGTGAAGGTCAGGTCTGGCAGAGAGTCTCTGGTATCACACTCAATGCTGTACTGACCAGACCAGCCTTTTTGGGCTCCGATCTCTGCGTTCAAAATCTCGGCAAGTCCGCTTGGGAGAGCAATTAGGGAGGTTCCAGTGTCAATGGCAGCACCAGTTCCCTCCAAACTAGCATACTCCTTTCCAAGGGCAACACCATCGAAGGCAACCTCCCAGTAAGCCTTTCTTCTGACTGGCAACCAGGTGATCTTGCCCTCATATTTGGAGTCATCGACACCTCCGAAGGTGGCCACTCCGCCGTCTTCTTCGGACTTGCTAACATCTCCAAGATAGAAGGCAAACTGAGGCTTGTCCAACAATCCCAATTCAATCGCATTGTAGATAGGAGGAACCACCTTGTCCACGGAGATGGTGTCGTAGGCGAGACCGAGAATACCGTCAAACTTGCCGAAAGCAAAAGCAAGACCGGGCTCGCTAGTAGCCTCTGCGAAATCTTGTTTTGGGATGATCAAGTCACCAATGGAAAGAGTGTCTTGAGAAACAAATCCTTCCAAAGAACCGGATCCGTATCTGATCGCAAATTCAGTGTTGTTGGGCTTGTAGGTAGACGATTGGTCGTGGTCGTACTTGGTGTGTAAGTAGCAAGCCAAGGAACTGCAGGAAGAACCTGGAACCCACAAATTCGAGGATCCAGTGTCCAAAATCACCTTGAAAGACTGTCCTGGAGTTCCGAGAGAGATCTCCGTGAAATACTGAGCATTGACGTAGTTAGTCAATGGAGCATCGTGACCAGCAAGGATCTCCACCTGCGGAATCACCTCCAAAAAGGGAACCTCGGCTCCAAGGGGTTGTTGCTTGTTCCACAGAGAAATGTACTTGTTCTTGAGCGAAGCAGTGTAGTCGCTGAATGCAACGTCTTTGAGGTGCTCAGTGACGGCATGCTTCTTGATAGGCGCAGAGAAGGTCTTAGCCTCCGCGGATGAGCCTAAGAGACACAACGCGGCAGACAAAAGGACTCCAAAGGACAGTTGCATGGTGATCAGTGTAGGAGTAGAGATGGATTGAAGGCGAAGCGGAATGCGAAAAGAGTAACCAAAAAAAGGAGAAATCCGTTGAAATCCTCCTGTCCTCCGGAGTAATACGGGGCAAACTGTAACAAGCAACTGTGTCAAAGCTCGCCACCTCTATCTGCCAATTCGGGACGGGTGCCTCAATCCGGCCTTAATATGGCCCAAAAAGGAAATTTCCCAACACAGGATAAGACCAGAAGAAATGATGTGGTGGACAACGCGAATATGATGAATATGGTGAATAAAAAAGGCAGAAAGTATCACAAAGTTATGAGAACGTACTCTAGCTTGATTTGAATTAATTTGGTTAGTTATTATTGGATGAACTGTTGGTACGCTTGGATGACCTGGAGGATGGCAGGTAAGGCTACAGCTTGATATGCAGGAGTACAAGTGGTGTAATAGAGGCCGATAAACGGGATTTTTAATCTTTTTGATGAGTTGTAGGATCCGGAACCAGCCAAGAGGCGAACTGGTAAGTGCATCCTGCTTATCCAGTGGGTAAATAATAACGGATATGGCTTAAAATGAATGTCTGGTGGGCACATACTAGATAGTGAGTGTATGAAATGACTGGTAATTATATCGAAGGTCTGAGGAAAATATCCAATAGTTGCTAGCCATGTTTAGGAATTCATGTATATATAGGCTTATCCCTAACGACCCGTAGATTAACCCTCACATTTACCACCATCTCTATCTACTCTTTATCTTTCAACAGATGATCATTATGACTAACGCTAAACACACAGAATGGCAATATATAAAATCAGCGAATGATAATTTAAACCAAAATAAAATCAGCTTCTTGCTTCAGTACCATGCCAGTTGCTCATTGCTCATTTCAAGCTTGATCCAGTTGGACATACAGTTCTGGTCGTCAAGAGAACCAGGACCGAAATCACCTGCAGAACAACCAGAGCACTTGTCAGACTTTGGACAGTTCTTGTAGGGTGAGTGCTCGTAGCCAATATCTCTAAACCAGTGCACCTTATCCTTATCCTCGAAGAGACCAATACCAACGGAATGGACTGGGGCATCTCCCCAACGCTCGTAGTAGAAACCACCATTTTCCTCCAGAGATTTGATCCAGCCACTGTAAGCCTCGCCTCTGTAAAAGTCCATATTGGCAATTTCAAAGTTAGACCAGAAGTGACACGTAGAGTAACCCTCCGTAGCGCGTGCGTGCCATGGGTTTTGCAAGTTCTCAGTCAACCACTTGAAAGCACCGTTAGGGTGGACGAACTGTGGGTTCTTCTTCACGTAATCCAAGGTCACAGGCCAAAGTGTTTCGACAGTTTGTGGAGCATCATAAAGAGAAATCACGAACCCATATGTCTTGTCGTTTTCTTCCATAAACTTGAATAAATCGTAGTCAATGTCACAAAAGTAATTGGTGCCAGGTTCGAATCTCCAGTACCATTTGAATTGCTTCAAGAAATCCAATTGGTAGAAATAGCCAGAGTTGAAACGGCACATGTTTCTGTACGATAATTTTCCCGCGTAGTTGATCTGTTGCTCCTCCATGATATCGATCTCGTGGAACAACTTGTCCATGTCGATATTGGCAGGTGGATCCCAGATTTCCTTGGGAATCACCACAAAGTTGCACTTGCCAGAGGTGGCAGCGTTCACAGATTGCTTGAATTTGGCTGAGAATTCCTGGTCGTTCACGAAAGTGTAAGGGTAGTGGAACTTGCTGTTCCAGTGCTCCTCAATCTGTCTGATGGTGTGAAGCAGTTGGTTGAGCTCTTCGTTCCTCACGAGAACCAACAGTGTGGCATTGGCACGATCGTAGTCGGCACCCTGAGCAGGGGCGCGCGCCAACGTGCCCTTCTTAGGCTCACTTATCTCCTTATCGAAAAAGTCGTGGTAAAATTCCATGTTGTCCTTGACAATCTCCGAACGTCTCTTATCGGAGGTCTGCTTGAAAGTGAGTGCATCCTCGATCTGGGGATACGTCAAGATCTCGTGATCGATGTTGGCATGACTGCCAGAGCCCTGCCACAGATTGGAGATTTTGTCTGTCAGTCCGTTGGACTGGCCAATGATGGTCTTGGACGTGTCTGTAATCACGTTGGAGTCGGTATAGAAAAACGACGCAGAGACTACCAGCAACGTGATACCGACAACTAAAACAGCAGACAGAACAATAAGTCTTGAGCCCGCGCGTGTCGGTCTGGAAACCACCTTGAAGAGTTTTTTATAATGGGACTCCATGGTTCAATTGATAACAGTACGCACGCCAGGCGAGACGGCAAAACTAGTGATTCAGTGAAAAATTGCAAACTCGTTGTAAAATCGAAATTCCACAACTGTCAATGGAAATGCAATCAACAGGGTAAAAACTAGCAAAAGTTCAGTTTTGAAGATAACCACGAAGAACCGAGAGGCTATAATAATCTCAGGCACACTCAACAATTAACAACTGAAACGAGCAGATAGGTCTATAAGGAGAATCAAGCTCAAGGACACCGGGTTCGGATCACGTTGGTGGTGTTGCTAACAAGAGGGGCAAGTAATTCTGAATCTGTTTCACGCGATTCTATGAAAAGGGGACGCCAACCGAAATGGATATTTAGACGCTTTAGACCTGCAAACGACTGTGGGTTCCAACTTCAGCGAGAGCGGCCAGGGTGTCAAATTTGGGGCTTTTTTGTGCTGAAAGTTTTTCACGCTGTGAAGAGACTTCGTCCTTGAGGTTTGCTTGTGGTATTAGAGAAGATGGAATTCTCAGTTGTACCGCCTCGATATTTTTTATAAGGGGCCAGGGGCACGATTTGGACAGTTGCAGATCACAGTCCCAAAGCCGAAGTGAGCAAACGGTCTAAAACGAGGTGGTCCCTGAGAAACTGGGACTCAAGCGCCGAGGGTATAACCATGGAATTAGTATGCGCACGTGGATGCTGGAAAGGTCGTGTGGAAGCCAGATGTGGGACTTGAATTTTAATTTTTCATATTCAGAGCGGGATTACAGAATTAAAGGGTCACAGCGATACGAGCCTCTTCATACTACGATGGCGCCTGAAGTCAGGAATTCAGACAAAAAGAACAGAAGACGGAGAAAGAAGAGAAGAACCGAGGACTTCTCGTCCGACTCAGACTCCTCGGACTCTGTGGATTCAGACACCAGTGTGAGGCACTCTGTAGTGGAGGACCAGCCAGCTGAAACAGCAGCACCGGAAAATGAGGCTGTTGTGGCAGATATTGACTCATTAGAGTTGCCCATATTATCCGATTCAACAAAGAGAGACCTCAACAGACTCAGACTGAGGCCTGTGCCTGGGTCGAGAGATCTGGATGCTAGGTCCATCGCCCAGTTGAATGCAGACCTTGGCGCTGATAAGGCTGTACTGAATGAATATCTCAAGCAAATCACTATAGCCTACGCTAACGATCTTGATGAGTTGAGATCCAAGCCAGATTTCAAGGGGGAAGCTTCTTTGAGTCTTCTGGTGAAACTACTCAAAGAGTCCGGCAACGTGTTTGACAAGGATACGCTTAAGGCGTTTGCCTAGTCTCCTTAGAACTACATAGCATAAAAAGAATAATTAATTTGGGATGGGATATATAACTGGTCCAATCATTGTAGAAATCCTGACAGTAGTCAGACGGATCCCAGAATGAAAATAGAAAATGATAACTTGAAGACGAACACCGTAGTGAAAACATTAACCAACTTTATAATATAGAAGGGGGGTCGGGCGCCGAAAGACAGGCCTCATAATCCGACGGGGCTTGACAACGTGAGATGTAAAACGACGTTTGAGTTGAGTTGTAGCCTTTGAGGTGACAAAAGGCTTCGATCTATGGCGTGCAACCAATGGACCTTGTGAGAATCTCAAACACTGCATCTCACATTTCCGCAAATAGGCCTATATCCGCCAGCTTAATTAAAGCCTGACAGATGTAGCGCCTTCCAATCCCCTTTGGATCTCTCTTCGCAGAAATCAGGAGTGGGTCTCACCGTAGGCCTTGCAGTACTTCAGCGCATCGTCAACAGCACAACTAACACTCTTGAACGTTCTGTAGTGCATCTCCGATGGGGTGTAGGAAACGATCTCCGCTAAGTTGTGTGCCACCTGGATATCCATAATATAGTTCAAGAGACCGCGAATATGAACGATAATAACATTCTGGTCAGCCTCCGACAGCGTGAGTCCAAGGAAGTCCTCGTATTTACCTTCCGAATCTCTGGAAACGACATCCCAGTAACTTAAAGAGTTTGGAATCAAAACATTTCTGATACCAAAGCATGATGGGTGTCCTGGCCCCTCCCATGATAGTACATCAATGTTGAAGTCCAGCGATCCCGAAATCAGTTGCAGGTAGAACTCATCGCCTTGCTTACTCAAAATCATCAGGTTTGGCCTGTACTGTCGGTCAGCACAACCACAATCGTCCAAGTGAGATCTGGCAAACCCAATCCACGATTGGGTACCCTCCGGCTGTGGAACCTCCTTTGGAATTGGCAAAAGATCGGTACCACCTCTCATATCACCTGTGTCTCCAAACGAGGAGTCGCCGGTGAACGACCTTTGACAAATACCGTAATCTAGCGAACACTCTAGAATTTCGAGTGGCGAGAACGAGTAGATGAAGTAGATGAAACCACGACTCCACTGGCAGGAGCGGGAATCTTTGTCGAAAAACGGAACCCAGTTCTTCTCTTTTTCCTCTGGAACGGTACCTTCGATTTGCAGCAGCAATAGCTTGTTGTTAGCAAATGGATACAGAATGTGAATGGCACGGAACAACTTGAAATCTTCAACCTTAAAGATGTTGTAGGCCTGTGTGTACATGTTGAAGATGATGATTGGCTCCTCTCTGCCATCATGGGTTTCCCTGAGAATGATTCTTGGATCCTCTGGACCGTAATACCGGTAAGTGAGTGAATAGAAAAATGGGAAGTCAAAGAATGTTGGGAACACCATGGGCTGATCCTCTCCTGTCTCATAGTTCTTGATAGTAAGTTGATGACCAATTAGCTCCTTCCAGTCCTTGTCATAGATCTGCACAGCCATAAAGTTGGCAGCAGCTCTGATCATGGAGCCTTCTCTTGAGTAGAAGACTCTCGATACAAGCAAGTGCACGTTATGCTCCTTCAACCAAACAGAACCACCAACGAATCTGAACCACTTCTTCTTGACGATCTCCTCGTCAGTCAAACCTGTGTTGTCACCTGAAGTGACGACGTCGTTGAACCCCGAATTTATCAGCTGGTCGCGAATAGACGCAATATTCAAGGGAAGTTCTTTCTTCTCTGTTACATGAACAATTCCGTGATGTCTAATATCAGAGCATGTCAAATCTGTGTAGTTTTCGTGGTGAAATTGGCTGTAAGAGATATCACTCAAGTATGAAGCCAGGTCCATGGGATAGTAGTCGGCATCCATAACCTTTGGTCCTATAGAAATTTCTGCTTCGGTTTTCTTGAACTTTCCATAGTGTCTTGGGTTGGCGCCGGGACCCTTCGAGGGGAGATTAGACTGGTAAATTGGAGAGGACTTGTGCAAAAGTGGCAACATAATCATGAAAAGAATACCGCACGCAACGAAAAGGGTGCTGGACTTCTTCCTTGACAGCATTGCTGGGACATTTGGAATGGATTTAGTGTAATCCATTTTTGCCAGCTATATGTCCCTGATTTGTTGTCTGGTTCAATCTCAAAAGGTTTTAAAGACGCGATCGGCAATCCAGGTGGAAGGGAGGTTTCTGGGTTAAATAGGCAAGATTCGGCACCAATAGCTCAATTCAAAACCCCAATATCAAACTGAGGATAATGGAACAAAGGTCACGAGAGAGTAGCCAGAGCCTAGTGAGAAAAAAAGGAAGAAAGGGAGAAGGTTGGGTGTTTTCCCTCGTGTGACAAAAATTGATCGGAATTTTAGGTAAGCGCTCCATCGGCGTTGCTGCAATGTCGATCTAAAATTCCCCGTTCCTGCCTAGGAGACCCTTAAAAAAATGCCAGATGACGCCCAACAGCAACTTCTAGGGTCCCTTCAATTAGACTTTTTAAATTTGCCTCTCAAGTTTTTGCTTTGACCAAAAGATGGAGATAAATTTTTTTGTGCGGTTTTCCCAGTAAATTTTAGGAGTGCTTTCAGCCCGGTAATCAAGCGGCTTGATGGGCACGCCATGTCACCCTCAGATAGGGACACTGATAAACGCCACAACATATTCCAGAAGCAACTCTTCAGTAAAGTAATCTGGTTTGCTTGAATGGAAGCGACAAATCGAACCAATTATCGCATCTCTGTCTTCTTCTGTACTGCACGGACCAAGGAGTATGTCGAAAACGTGAGCCAGGACAGGTTTGGCCAATACTCGTAGGACCTGAAAGCTCATATCCACGAGAATGTCCTTTATTTCCGGCCTGTTTTCAAGAAACATGTATCGCAAGAGATATGCCGTATCACGGTGGGCGATTTGATTCCTTGCTGTTATCAGAATACACTTGACGAAGTTAGCACAATCAACTGAAACAGTAGTGTCGTCGCACCGCAGTCCAAAGCGTGTTATTTGAACAGTGTGTTGCTTCAGTATTTCGATTAACTTGAGTGAAATCAACCCAGTCTCTGCTAATCTGCCTAGTAGCTTCCAGTTGGAGCCATTTCCATCACCAGTGACGAGACATAGCAGGATCTGGCCATCCTCGCCAGGCACAAGATAAGGTATTTCGTCAATCCTTTTAATTCTAGCGCTCAATTTGAGACTCTGACCGTTGTACGTTGAGCTTGTAGATGAGGAATCGATCTCTGAGTGTTGTGAATGTGCGGTTGTAGATAATCGCTTCAACTTGGACATGCCGGAACCGTAAGTGTAGCTGGCATAAATGTGTCCAACACCATGCGCGTCTCTGCCACCCCGAGTGGCTTTCTCATTGACGGTTGCAATTGTATCAGAACTCATCTCGTCGCAAATTATTGCACTTTTCTCATCTTTCTGGCCGTGGACAGCCATGGACAAGTCTTCTCTTTCAAGCCGTGGCTTGCCATTGGAATACGAAATCAAACGAAAATCGGATTCCAACGCCAAGCTGTCGTCTTTTTCAACACTGGCTGATTCTGTCTCGTCTCTGTAATTGCTCTTAAACCACAAAGAGAAAGCAATTGCAACGAGGAAGAAGAGCACTGAAGATGCTGTGATGGTGTAGCGAGGTGAATATTGCGATCTGAAGCTGAGAAGCTCCAAGAGGCCAGTATTTTTACCAAATATTGGATATTTGATTGAAAATAAGCTCCAAGGCTCTTCAATCGAACTTTCAACCGACAAAGGCTCTATACCCGTTAGTTTGTTTTGTTCAGATCACACAAGGAAATGTTGATGCTTACTATCAGACAACTTTATCCCGTTTGAATAGTTTCTACCATAAACCGTCATCAAACAGGTGCAAATTGCCCTGTAAATTTTTCCTGGGCTTGACATTTTGAAAAACAGTTGAGAGAAGAAAAGAGTACTACAATCAGCATAACACAACTTTGATGTTGTACAAATCGGAGCTTCCTGTTTTTGTCTCGGTTATGACACAATCGCTATTTCAGCTAACTATGTTATATGATGCCTTTTCGACTTCTAATTAATAAATATCCCTTTGATTCCTATGTTCTGTATTGCAAAATCATTTTAAACGTCATTTATTCAGAGGAATGGCACCAATTTTTCTTTTCTAGGAGGAAGGTTTCTCTCATACTTCGTTCCGCCTGGTCTGCAAGGTGGAATTATAGGATCTGGGTGGGCATATTCTTTCAGTAAAGCCTGAGCTTGGTCGAGCACAACCTGATGAAACTCTTGTTAGTATGATTTTTTGGTTATATGCAAGTTCAAAACATGTGCCACATACCTTCAGCTGATTTGGATCTTCAATGTGTTTGTTGGCCTCGAACCTGCCTCTGATTTCAGCAGCCTTCTTTCTGTAGAAATCCTTGCGGTTGATCCAATTCTGCGCGGTTCTCAAAGATTGGCGATATAACGATGACACCAGTTTCTTGTTGGCGAGTGAAAATGGAACTGGGGATGACATGTTGAGGTATGTGAAGAAATTTGTTGCTGACGTTCAAGTGATGTACGGTCCTGGTGCTGTTCAATGTATAAGGGGCAACTCCACAGACTCTGCTCAACTTTTTGTTCAACTCTTGACAATGTTAGCCAGTTTGATTCCTTGGATAAAGACTATCTAGAAGTCTACTGCAGAAGATGAATGGTTGAATAATCAAAATCTTTGATTGGCTCTGGTGGATTGTGCCGTGCACGTAGAAGTGGGGTCCCGACCAAATGAGGTAATCGTATCTAATTACACGCAAAAGAGCTCTATTAATTCAATTTATATTGTTGAATACTGTGTTTTCTCAGGAGTCAGTCCCGTATTTTTCGTAAAATGCGTCGTGGATTTTCAGCAGCAGTGGGTGGATGGATTGGTACGCCACGGCAGCACCCTTCTGCAGCGCTACCACGCTCTTACCATCGTGTTCGAACTTCTCGGTTCCCGCAAACAGTTCCTTCAAAAAGGTCGGGGCATGGGTAGTATCGGGGCTCGAAACATAGAACAGTGACTTGTTAGCATCCAAAAATGACCCCCGGTTCCTTAAGTCGACATCCACTGCCACCTTGACACGTTCAATCTTACCCGATTTCTTTTGGTCCTCTGACTTCCTGGTAATAATATACTCCAGCCTAAACCGCGACGAACCGTAGCAAAACACATCATGCATCAAGCATGGAATACCATTGATGGTGATTGGGGGTGTGCTATCATCTGTGAGAGAAGCTTTTTTGGCGAACAACTTCAGAAACTCAGCCTTTTTGGAGGTTATCTCTTGAATCGCTCTGGAAAGAGGTAGCGTAAGTTTGAGGTAAGTTATGAATCCATTCAATCCTCCTGGAGAGATAATCCCCGGCATATTCGCCATGCTCATTGCAGAGGAACTCCCATAAACCCTTGGAACGACGAATTGAGGCACTTTCAGAGACTCAGCAAGGAGAATGCGAAGATAGTCCCTTGCAAACTGATGAGGGTTCGAGTTCGGCATGTCAAAGAGCATTCTGGATCCATCTTCGGCATTTTTGTTGGCGAGTATTAATGATATGGACTCAGAAGCATCTTTTCCATACTGAAACGTCACCTCACTAAGGGAGATATCAAGCAGCTTGATGGTTTGGTCATTACCCACCAGCTTGAGTAAAGTGATCAACGCCGTAAGTTTGTTCAACACAGTCAACAAATCAGCAGTCAACGAAAGAGACCTGTTGTTTTCCACGCAGACCTTGGATTTTATACTGAAGACCAGCTCTTTCTGGTTAACCTCAATTGAAGTATTTTCGCTAAAATCCTGCTTGAAAACATCACCACTAGCCCCAGAAAATGGCGCGTAAAACCTTTGCTTTAATTCTCCAAGCAATATCATCTCCATTGTCCTTGTTTCAGAAGACATCTTCACCAAAAGAACCAAGTCTCCCCAGCAGTTCGGAACTTGACTCAAAGTGTTGTTATCTATAAACATCACAGGGGAATTGTCATCTTCGTTTTTTGGCTGTAAACCTTCAGGTAGGTAACTCTTCAGCTTTGAGTTATTGAAGAACTTGTCCACATTTGGATGGCGGAAGTCTAGTGTTACGATCTTGGCTCCCTTGTCAATGAGCTCCTCTTCGATGAGATGGCACAATAGTTTGGCAGCACTGATCCTTGAGAGTTCGACCAAACTGGAGTAATCGTAGTCTTGTTCGAGACGATACAATGATGCATGTTGATTCTGGCCACATTTGATTGACTCTGTCCAGTTGATGGACCATTGGCCCAGATTACTCTTGATTCTAGCGCACCACCAGTTCACCTGCCTGGAGAAACCCGATATTCCAACACACAAAAACCATCCAGCAGTCCACTCACGTCTTCTAAAGAATCGGATAGAATACAGCTGAGAGAAGAGGTGGGGTTCCTTGAGCTCAGCATAGCTGATGTTGAGTTTGGATACTTCAGCAGATGGTAATTTCACGACATCAACGTTTATCCATCCCGTGGCTGAAAGCATAGAGCCCAGCTCTTGTATCTGAGACTCCAGTCTGAACTTTAATAGCTTTAGAGACGATTCACTGAACTCTCCCGAATTGATACTATTTGCAGTATCCGTCATAAGTGGGGTGGGATCGTGGAAGTATCCTTTTCCTGAGAGTGCGTCCAAACTGTAAGTTGCAGTTTTTGTTGCGTTCAGATTGAACACAATCGAACAATTTCCGCCTTCTCTGTTTATAGACACCAGCTTCTCTGCATCTTCTATTCTGTCAGCAATGTCATCGTATATTTGCTGAATATTCAGCTCGGAGTGCCTTTTTGTGATTCTTCTTATCAAACGCTCCAGGTTTATCATTTCTCCGTCGTCATTATCTTCATCGCCGTCAAACTCATCAAAGCTTATGCCATGATCTGTGATTAGTTTCCCATCTTTCACCCACCTGAACGACAGATCGTTAGTTTGTTTGTTGATTCCGATCTCTATGGTGGATTTTTGCTTCGAACTGCTGGGCTTTTTCGCCCAGTACTTGATCACCACAAAGCACTTCTCGGCATTGTAGGTATGTGACAAATTTCCCTTCCATAACCCAATTCTCATAGCAACTAATTGTCTGTGGAGAAGGTATAACTTAAAAGTTGTAGCGAATCTGTGGAGCAGATCGTACAGGCCAAAGAGGCCTTCTTTTGCCAGTGCAGCGTTGGCCAACTTCTCGATTTTGGAGTGAGTGACTGCGGGCAGAGGTGTTGAGGCCTGAATAAGACTCCCATCTTTCAAAGCAAAGCTAAACTCGAAATCCACAAGGAAGAAAGGCGAGTCGTCAACCGAATCGTCCGCTATCGCAATGGAAGCCTGGAATGATTTATGTACATGGAACACCACGCGGCCATCTTCCACCTTGTAGTTCTGAAAAGCAGGAGGCAAGTCGTCCTCCAATGCCATGCGAGTCGATAGTGATACATTGAGGTTTCGCAGCGTCTTCAGAATCAGATAGGGGGACAAAGGCTTCTTGGACAGCAAACCGTGGGTCGGTAATTGAGGTCTCCCTGTCATCAAAACCTCTATAGCGGTGGTCAGGTCCGGATCGGGTAGCTTAGCACTCATCAATGAACTCTTGATGGTGGAAAGCTCAAATATCGAGTCCGCATACTTCTGGTTCTGTCCCCTCAGCCACACGAACACATCGATCAGCTTCCCAATGTCCTTGGACGCCCGTGCCCACTTGCACAGCACATACAAACGCACGAAATTTTGCCGGATCCCCACCAGCAGATCTAGAAACGCCTTCTTCTTGGCGTTGTCGTTTTTCGCCTTGGATTGCAGAGTATGTATCAAAGTCTGCAGTTCCTGGAACGAGTGCTGGGAGTATCTCGCCAGTATGTCGGATAAAGGCGTAACGTTCACCTCGACGTGCGGAAGCTCTGGAGGATTGTCCATTGTGTCACGCAAATCAATTTACCCCAGTGAAAACGCGATTTTATTGGACTCCCAGCTGGGTCTTGGTGTGATAAGCTGAATGTCTTGTTTTCTGAGCATTCTCCAGAGCTCTGCTAATGTGGTCAGAAGATGAGCTTGCACGCCCTTTATTTCCCCGGCAAACACTACCAAGTAGGCTCGACTTTACTTGTTGGTCTCAATTAAGTTACCACAAGCTTCTTGTTGTTTTTGAGTTGAGCGTCCATAAATACAATACAGTTGTTGCTCTAAACAGGTGATTTGTCTCATTTATTTCTTTTATCCATTGTGGTTTTGTGAGTCTATTGTTTCCACCAATTGCACCTAGCCCCACTGGATGTGCTTAGCCTTCAACACACCATATTCACGCCAGGCTGAAACAGCTTAAGAAATGGACTCTACCAGAGAAAATCCACTCGTTGCACAATTTCAAGCCAAAGATTCTGCGTTTGATCAGCGACACCGTGAAGACGAGGATTCATCAGATGCTATGACTGCCCCACATAACCTTGCTATAAACACAACTACGCCGAGCCGGCCGAGACTGGGTCTGGCCAACGTGGGAAGGAGCAATGAGGCCAGTGTATATAGGGTTGGTGATTTTGAGAGTTTTGAGGGATTTAGCCGTGATTTTCGCGGTGGAGATGGCGATGTTAGTAGTGGTGTCAGTGGTAACGGTGCTGGTACTGAGCCTACAAGCCACAATGTCGACCCTTCCAAGCAAAATCCTCTTCAAAATCCTCTTCAAACCCCTCCACAACCAAGTCAGGCCTTTTTCCAATCGCTTACTTCCCCAATGAGGTCCCCGGGCTTTGCCGGTCAAATACATGAGCTGTCACCTTATCAGTATAACATCCCCCATCATATCCAGGATGTGACCAACTTACCCTCGCCTGCTGCAGTTTCCATGCGAGATGACACATTGCACTATGCAAAACCAAGGAGCCACAAGAAAATGGGTCCAAGTGTGACTGAACGGATTGTTTCTGAGTATGACTCCAGCCGTATTCTACAGCCTGCTCCTTCATTCAAGTCGGGTGCGAGAATTGTATCCACTCCCCTGGCTACGTACACGGAGGCTGAGCCTGAAGAAATCAACAGAGATCATACGCCGAATCGGACAGAACAAGGCAGGTATTACAAGGCGTACGATAGGACAACTTCAGCGCTGATCACCTGGAAGTCGATTGAAGAGATTGGCCGCGGTTCATATAGTGTTGTATCGCTGGCAGAGCCTGTGGAAAGCCCAATTGGAGTGCCTGTTGGATTTGTTGCCGCTGTGAAAGTTTCCAGACCATCAGAAACGGAAGACTCTTTGCGATCGCGGGTGGAAAGGGGACTCATCAGAGAGTTTGAATTGTTACAAGAGATCCGTCATCCGTGCATAGTTGAGCTTCTGGGCTCCCGAGTCGAATCAGAGGAAGTCATAATGGTAATGACCTACTATCCTGGAGGAAATCTTTTCTCGTTTGCGTCCGAGTACCGACCTCTGATCACTTCCGAACACGTGAAGGCCATATTCTCTAACGTGGTTTCAGCCGTCAACTATCTGCACGAAAACAGCATTGTTCATCGTGATATTAAGCTGGAGAACATTCTTCTGCGAATTGAACCTAGAAAATTGGCGGCAATGGGTGCCCAGGAGCTGGAGCGCACCAAACAGCTGGTTGTCCTGACGGATTTCGGCCTTTCCAAGAAGATCGACCCTAAAAACCCGTTGATGAGAACGCGATGCGGATCGGAGTACTACGTGAGTCCAGAACTACTCATGGGGCTCCCTTATGACGGAAGACAGAACGATGTGTGGGCCCTGGGGGTGTTACTGTATGCCCTGGTCGAGGGCAGGTCGCCGTTTGACCCTCTTCCCGTCAACCCAAACAGCCGCGTCTCCCAGTCTTCGAGAAGAGCAGTTCCCAAACTGGCCCACCGAATCGCACTAATAGCCTGGGACTGGTTCTATTTCGCTGACGACAAGTTGTCTCAAATGCACGCTTCAGAGGCGCATGAATGGCAATGTGCTAGGGACATAGTCACAAGCTGTCTATGCCGTCGTGAAAAACGCAACACCATCCGCGATATCTACGAAAATCCCTGGTTCACCAAATATAGGTGTTGAATAATTTACTAATCGTATGTCATAATGTATTTATATTTAATTTATAATGCCCGGTTTCACTGGAGTTACACCTCTATCTTGCCCGGAATTACCACCGGATTTTTCACCCGGAGCCAGTTAACCATCATCACATGTCATGCATGCAAAGGCCTGCACTTTTTTCTGGGGCTTTTGCCGGGGCCGTCCACGGCAAAACTTTCTTTGAGTTGTTTATCAAGGACTTTTGGTTGGGTCCAATTGTCATCTAGGTTTATTGTTAATTGACAGAATCGCTCGAATGCGATCGTTACGCCGGATTCTCTCGCCTAGTTCTGACATCGAGGAGAGGCATGCTAGAGGTCGTAACGACGGGGCCAAGTCGCCAAATCGGGTGTCCTCGTTTCTAAACAGCTTCCGAAAGACGCCTAGTCCGGGACTTTCTGGCGACCACGCGACTCATAGAGGTCTTTCTAGAAGGTCCACCCTCAAATCGCACGAAGATCATGAGGTTAGTGAAGAGGCTCCTATAAAGACCCCTGTGCCGGTTGCGCTTAACCGGCTGAGTCTGGCTGCTGGATCAGATGACGATAATGAGGCCGAAGAAAGTCACCAAACAAACAACGATTCGGTATCTGATGGCGATCCAGAGAATTATGACGCGCTCCAAGGAGACGCTGATCTTTCCAAAACAATGAGCCGTCAATATGCTTCCTCTCTAATCGGAGGTTCGTCCGTGGTGCACGTGGATGATGAAGCCATAGAGTCTGACGAGGAAACGGAAATACCGACTGAATTGAAGAAAGTAGAGTCTCTGAAAGCACCCGAAAATGCTGAGGAACACAAAATTTTCTCGTTTGCCATGCCCTTTGGTGGAAACCTCTCTTCTGGTATACAGCTTCCGAGCCTGAGGTTCCCATTTTCGGATAGTAATGATGACGATAACGCGCTCAAAGATGTGATCAAGGATAAACTGAGACGCCAGGAGTCTATCTCGAGTTTTGAGGAGAAGTTTCTGTTCAAGGAGGTGAAATTCGGCACGGACCCATCACGGTTTGATGCTATCAAAAGGGCAGTGCTACCGGTGTCGTTGAGGCATGAAATTAAACACTTTTTGTCTGATACAGAACGGCCCAGATATGAGACAGTATTTGACGAGATTGCTGGTGATGTGTTGATCTTGGGTGGTTACAGAGGAAGCATTCTGCGTGACAATTTCACGAAACGCAGGGTGTGGGTTCCCGTGGTCAAGGCTGGGCTGAATCTGAAGAAGATTAATCTTCTGGTAGGTCCTAGTGATGAAGATGAGCTCAGAGCTCACGAGACTGTATATGCTGATGGTATTCTTTCTCATGTGGGACCCATTGACATATCCAGAAGACTCATGAAAAAGCTTGACAACGGTAAGGTCACACTCCATGACTTTGGCTATGACTGGAGATTGTCATGTGACTTGAATGGAGAGAAACTGTACAAGACGTTGAAGAATATCAACAGAAAAAATGGTAATAAGGGCGTGTTGGTAATTGGGCATTCCATGGGGGGATTGGTAGCCCATTATGCCATGCAGAAAGACCCAACGTTAATCAGAGGTCTGGTCTATGTGGGTGTTCCTTTTGAGTGTCCAAACGTCTTAGGGCCCATTAGATGGGGCGATAACGTGCTGTTTTCCACAAAAGTTCTCACTGCTGAGGCCAACTTTTTTTTCAGATCAAGTTTTGTGTTCCTGCCTGAAGATGGTCGAATCTTCACAGATAAAGCAACTGGCAAAAGAATTGACCTCGATTTCTACGACCCAGATGTCTGGGTTGAATATAACTTATCGCCGTTGGTTTCTCAAAAGAGAAAGGACGCAATGGTCAAACGAAAGTCAGGGGAGGAGAGTGCTCAATCTCACTCCACGAAAAGTACGCTCGTCAGAGGTTTGACATCGCCTATTCAACCTTCCTTTGAAAAGGTCAAATCTCTGGAGATCATCAACTCCATACCATTGGTCCACGGCATGAATTCGAACTCGAACTCCAACGATACAGTCTTACCTGACGTTGACGAGAATTTCCATGCGACATTTGAGGAGTCCTACGACTACCTTAGCAGAACTCTTGAGAGAACGAGAAAGTTTCATCAGTTTCTCAAACACGACTCCTCCAAGAAATACCCTCCGCTTGCGTTGGTGTACAGTTATAGCGTTCCATCAGTGCGCGAATCGTTGGTAGATGGGGTGAAACGATTGAAAGAAGGAGATTTCTTCCATTTCGCCTATGGTCCTGGTGATGGTGTTATTCATCAGAAGTGGCTCATGCCGGAGCCATATGGCTTTTCGTTGGTGGGAAAGCATTCATCTACCTATGGTCATGTGAGTCTCATGAGTGATCTGAAAGCCATGGGACAAGCCTTGATATCGATTGTTGATGCTGAGAAAAATTGAGTGTGATACTGTGACCATGGCGTTTATAATGAATTACGAAATTAGTTATAACTCGATGTACTATACCCGTTCGACATTTCCCCGCGCATCCGCCAGCTAAACTATAGGAGGTTTTCCTTCTGGTTTACTAATATAGCTCAAATATAACAGGTGAAACATCAACATTAGGTATATGTTGCTCAAATCACTAGGCAGCGACGAGTACAGCTTTAACCAAAAGCTGGATCTGCCGACACACGAATGATTCAAAACAAATTCTGAAGAAAACATCCGAGATAGTTTAGTGGCTAGAATCCCCGCTTGTCGCGCGGGGGACCGGGGTTCAATTCCCCGTCTCGGAGTTCTTATTTTTTTTAGATATACTGTTGATCAGCCTGTGAGAAGCTCTCAGTAAAAAAATTTTAATCAGTCAACAACTTGTATGCGACATGTTTTGTAAGTTACTTAATTTTTGAGGCTAAGATGGGAAATATGGCACTAGATAATTTGGCAACTTTTTTGTAAAAAATAGAATATTTCAATAAACCGGCTAGTCAAGAAAATGGCAGAATACGGGTCAGAAGGGGGTGCTGGTTTGCAGCAGGTATTATTTAAGCACACTAAATTAAATGCATGAGAGCTACTGCAGTTATAGTTCAAAAAAGTCTAAAAAGGGTTAAATTACAAGATTAGCAAATTTGAAATAATTTTAGTAATATTGAAACATATCCTTCAAAGACGAAAGAAATGCAAATGGTGCGCTGTATCATGGGAAACCCGAGAGATGCACAGAGAATCTATAAATAGTGTAGTAGAACACACTCAAGTGTTGGCTCAAGTGATGGCAAGAAGACTGCAAACGGAAACAACGGTATTTGGACCTCCAAAAAGGTGCAGAAAATTTGATTGCATGGCAACCATGTAGAATTGTCTTTTTTGATCTTTTTGTGCAATTTTTGTAGTCCTTGGTTTGCCTCTATTGAGGAGTCCTTTCGGAACGTAAGCGTGAGAATGCATAGGCGTCACATGGACAGCCGTTCATCATGTAAATCAAATAAATGGAAGAAGCAACAAGAAAATGAATAAGAAAAACGCGTGGAGTACTCCGAAACCAAATGATGAATCAAGAAAATGGAGGAAGGCTTTTTGTCACATCTGAAGATGATAAGCAGCACCGAGCCGAGATGATCCTGCAAGACGACTGCGAATAGGTGATTTCCGAGAAAATGATAAAAGTCGAGAAGTGAACCCAGAGGATGGTGTTGACCAAAACGAACCGTTCAGCAATGGAAAGATGAACCAATGCGATAGAAATGAAAGCGTGAGAAACGGTTGCCAACTGGTGTTTTTTGAGTGAATGATGGAACCAAGAAACGAAGGAGTCGTTGAAAACGCAGAGACAATGTTGAGTAGAGTGTTCTTTCTGAACATAACGTACAACTGTCCGAGCTGCAATGAGATCTGATTAGATCTAGAAGAAAAGGGCAGAGATAAAGACCAAAGCTCCAAGAAGGGCTCCTGAGGCTGGCGACTTGAAGGCGGCACCTGCGGAAAGAGTTGAAACTGCGGCAGCAGACGAGGAAGCAGACGAAGTAGCTGAGCTAGCCTCTGCACTAGAAGTGGACTCTGCGGACACAGTCTTTTTAGAAAAGGTACTCTTAGAGCCGCCAGTTACAACAGTTGCAGTAGCCTCAACACTGCTGGTGACCTCTACAGTAGAGGCTGAGGCAGATGGAGATTCGGAGGTGACCGTCAAAGTAGTTCCACGGGAGTTCAAGAAGGAGACTTCCTCAGTTGATGTTGCAGAAACGGTGACAGCCTTCGTTGGAGTGACCTCGGCATAAGTCACAGTGTTCTCCTTCAGTTTGTGAACAGTAAGAGGACAGAAAGTGGTGTAGACGATGACGATGTCTTCAGAGGTGGTTGTAACCTCGGTGACACCAGTAGTCTTGGAAACATCAGCAGCGTCCTCATAAACCGTGGTAGTACCGGCAGTAACCGTGACTGTGTCAGTATAGGTCACCACGACGATGTTGGTGGGGGTAGGTTGAACGTAGACAGTAGTGGTGTACGTGTAAACCGACAGAGGACAGTAAGTGGTGTAAACGGTAACGATGTCCTCAATGGTTGTAGTGACCTCGTCGTAACCGGTCGTTACTGGCCCAGCAGTGCACTTACCATCAGCACACGAGGTAATCGTCAAAGTAGTAGTTCCAGCTGGAGTGGCAGTCACAGTGATAGTCTTAACGTCGGTGACAGTTGGTCCAACCCATGGAGTGTACGTCTTAGTGTGCGGCTTGCCTGTAAGAGGACAGTAGGTGGTGTAAGTGGTGAACACTCCACCTGGAGCTGTCTCGGTAACAGTGGTGACACCGGTTGGAACCGTTATCTCCGAGCACGCACCACCTGGACAGGAAGTGATGGTGACGATTGTGGTTGATGGGGTTTCTGTAGTGACCACGGTAATAGTTGAGGACGCACTTGGAATTGAGGGCACACTTGGAGTTGAGGGCACGCTTGGAATTGTAGAAGAAGACTTAGAAGTAGTAGTAGCGCCACTTGTAATAGCGGAACTAGATGATTCCTCAACTTTTGCCACAGCGCTCAACTCATACGTCACAATCTCTCTCTTAAACAGCTTGGAAACCTCACCATAGTAAACGGTCAAGGTGAACGCACCGAGGAAAGCAGTGGCACCTTCAACAGTAGAAGTGGCTGGGATAGTAATCTCCAAATCCTCGTCTTCGTAACCGTAAATTTCAATATCGGTAAAAGTGGACGAGCCATCGTTGACCAAGTCAAGGTCCTCGCTGATCGACAAGTCCGAGGTGTTGAAGAGGTAGTTGGTGGAAGAAACACCGACAACGGTAATCTCTGTGTATGGACCAAGACTTGCTGGGACAGTAATAACCCAGACTGGATTTCCATCCTCAACATAACCAACAATTGTGGGAGTGGGTGGATTATTTGGTACGGAAACGTTGGAATAAGTGAATCCAGGGGGAGGAGCAGCTCTTGCAAAGCCTGCAAAAAAAGACAGGACTGCAAGCAGACCGAAGAATCCCGTTTGTCTCAGCATTTCAAGATGCAGTTTATGAGAAAGGGAATGCCTGGGGGTATGATGGGTTGTAGGGTGAGGAAAGGAAGAAGAGAAGGGAAAAAAGCAGTTCAAAAAGGGGTACGACTTTCTGTATATACTCTAGCTGCAAAAGGACTGAACTCTACGTTGCGACCATCTTCTCTCGAAATGTGTATTTGCTTCAGTTGAAAGGGGTGACGACACGGCAAAGAAGTCGGTTCGTGTGGCATATACATGCAAGTCTTCCGCATGAGTACTAAAACGAGTACACGTTTATGCTGTTTTATCACCTCATTTTCACTTTAGATCTCTTTTTGGGTGTGTTTACATGCATGTACATGCACGATGTGATGCACTGCAGATCTTAATTTTGTCACCACACGCTTTACCAGCGATTTTAGCGCGATATATTTGCTTGAATTAAGCAGAAAAAATTAGACGTACATATGGTTAAGACCGGTGACGAGTATAAACCTGAGTCTAAAAACAAGTCTTATTTGAAAAAATCTGCCAAAGCCTTCGCTCTATTCGGGAGAAGGTTTTGTAAGAAAAACGAACGCGGTTGACGTAGAATGTGTATCTTTTGTTTATGCGTCCACGTCGAAAGTCCAAACACGGTTTGCCACGAATATTCCGACATGTGGAACGGCTGCCCATGATGGGGTTTAATCAATATGATCGATATGCATCAGCCATCGCGATGGCTATTGGAAAGTTTCATGAAAGGAAGGGGGGACCGTGAAATGTGTGCGTTGTGCGCGTTTAGTGGTTCGCACACGTAAAGAGATCAATAGTGCGATTTGCTTAAACCATAATTTAGAGTAAACACGACTCATCGAAACGAGCATTACCCTACTTCTTCACCTCACAAATGGTTCGTGCGCCCTCAACTCCTGCATTGGGAAATCTTTTACGGGCGCACCTAAAAGGGCAAGTAAATCCACTACTGGGCCAAGACGCCTGGTCACCGGCCCTATGTGAGACCCATTACAGGCCTCGTTTGCAATGGGGAAAGGTAAGATTTTTCCTCAAAACCTTTCAAATCTAGATCAAATATGACCCAGACAATGCGTATATGGTTACTACCGTCTATCAGCCCCAGTCCCCGCAACTTTCAGCTTTTCCAGCGACCTTTCCAACGTCTCACGATCTTGGAAACTTTCCAATTGAGTAGTACACTCCAGAGATAAGGACTGATGGAGCCGGATTCGTAAGGCCTAACAAGACAAGACCGGGAATTGTCTCCAGCCGTAGTTGCACCGAAGCGATGACTGTGTGGTGAAACTGGGATCCATCTGATCAGTGCGCGTGGTTTCAATTAAGCTGCTGAGGCTAGAACTATATCGTGAGCTTCCACGCATTAGAAACAAAAATTGTGCTTGTTCTCGGGTACCACTGAGCACAACGTCGCCAGACGATGAGTGCTGTTGAGTCGGTCATGCCTCCGGACGAGCCCCGGAGAAAACGAAGGAAATACAGCAGAAACGGGTGTCGTGAATGCAAGAGACGAAAGCTAAAATGTGATGAGGGAAAACCCAGTTGCTGGCAATGCGAGCATCTCAACAAGGAGTGCACTTATGTGAAGGTGATCAAGTTTGATAAGTCGAGAAGTTTCACAGTAACTAATGAAAGCTCAGAGGGAATTCTTTCTGTGAACGAGGATTTGACAGTTGGATCAGGAGTAGCGATGTCGCAAAATCCTAGCCTACAGGAATCCTCCAAAGGAGCTGCACCCAAATCGCGAGTGCATAATAGCAGACCTGCCATGGTCAATGTGCCGAGGTCAGAAAGCTCAGCAGGCTCACCTCCAGTGAAACAGCCGATTTTTCTGCCCAGGACTTCCAATACCGACCAGTTCGTACCTGAACCATCTACTTTTCAGTACAACTCGTTGGACGTGGACACTGCTCTCTTCAACGATGCTTCGTTACTAATCAACGACCTCAACGATTTAATCTACATGAACATGCCATATCCCGGTGGGACAGGTGTGGCTGGGTCCACACAGTCTGATTCGTCGCTTTCCCCAGCAAGTTACTCGGTCCATTCTGTTGAAGAACTGGCCAACTCAGAATACGTCAAGAGTCTTACACAGACCTTGCAGAACGACTTCGGCGGAGCTTCCGCAGCAGCAACTCCAATTGGAAACTTCAATGGCCAAATTGGAGGCCCTGGCATGGATTCATTCTACAAAGCAAGCAACGCCAAGAATGGGTTCTACCCAGAAACATATCAGTACTCGCATAGATCTCCAGCAGTCGACATATCCACTCCAATGGGACCACCAAGAACGCCTAATTACACGACGGAGAACGAAGCCTCCAGTGCTGTTCAACTTGAAAGGGATATGGATCTGAAATTGAGAAAAGTATTGGCAGCATTTCCCAAGTCGGCACTGCCAAAGGGATCCCCCGATAGTTGGGAGTATCTGGTCACTTTGAACAATTCCATCTCGCCAAACGATCTTGTTGCTCTTGCAAACTATTTTGAATGGTCTACCTCGTCATCTCACATACATTACATGAAGATATTCATCACAAAGATCCACATGAATTGTTTGCCGTTCACCACTTCCTTTCTGCATAACTCCTTCATCAACTGCTTTCTTCTCCAGGCCAAAAGATCACCACATTTGTTGTTTGCAATGTTGGCTATGGCAGCAAGATATGAATATTATCAGTGTACCCATGCTGACCAGGATCCAAACATGCTTCTTAAAAACAGAAAGGAAGCCAAGTTTCACAACAAGATTCGTTCCTATTATCTCTCTTCGTGTTTGAAGGCACTGGATTCAATCCTGGATGATAAGGAACAGATTTTGCAAAATGTGGAGAGTTTGTTGCTCACCATCTTGATTCTGGCTTCAGATTACTCTGCCTCAAGAGGTTCACAATGGAGAGCACATCTAAGAGGTGCCAAGGACCTCCTGATCAAGTACTGTCGTTTCAAGCCGATGATCCTGGACCTGGCGATTGCCAAAGTGTGGTTCTACTCCATGGAATCTTTAGCAGGGTTGACAGTTCCATCAGGTGGAACAATTCATGGGTTTGATGAACTGGGAGAGTTCTTAGAGATGGGTGCTTATGGAAGCGTTGGCCACACCTTGAGGTATTATGGAATAGCTATAGATGGTCACCATGTCGGGGAACTTGGGGCCTATATCGACAATTCGAGCAGACCAAATACCGCATATAATATCTATCTCGGTTTCAATGACGATGTCATAGATATCATCAGAGAGTTGATCTTGGTGATCGAGTCAACCAGATGGATTGAGGAGAACAAAAAGGACCCCACTGCCATTCCCCATCCTTTTGTGAAGGAGAGGATTAATTCAAAAGGACAAGCAACCAGCACCCATATTCTCAATATAATGCAGCTCATATTGAAGGCGCGCAGTTTCGAGATTGTGACTAATGTGTCTCCATACAGAGTACCCTTGACCTCCAACTGCCACCCTCACTTCAACGGACCCAAGAACGCCCACGTGCCACCATCACTGCTTCTTCACAGAACCCACCCAAAGATGAGGAGTGAAAATGAGTCAGAAAACTGGTTTTCCTGGTACGATCTGTCACAGCAACTATACATTGACGCTTCGTATCTGAGATTATTGGTTTCCAAGAACACTTTTGGCCACTCCATCGACAACCCCTTGGTGCAAGATGTGGTTACAAGGATGCTGGAGGGGTTATCTTCCATGGTAAAGTTTGATAATGAGGCCATCAGCAAGGCGGACGAGACCAGACTAAACGCACATTATAATGGCAAGGAACAACTAGACAGCAGCCCGTTTACCGAATGCGGTGACAAAACTAATGGCACGCCATCTGCAGATGCACAGGATCTTGAAAAAGATGACAAACATGATGAAGACTCGTCTTTGTCAGAAGATGAGCCCATGTCGCCTTCTGTTAAGTTGGAGGAGGGACCCACGAAGAGCGGAGTGGAGTTCATGGCCGGCGAGGAGATGGACGACGAAGAGGACGAGTCCAAGCTGAACATCGTGAAAGAAGCGTCCCTTTCGAGTCACCCCAACAGAAACAAGATGCTAAATTTCGACAAGTACATGTACTATCAGTTCGACAACCGTATCATCATGATCCACTGGCCTCTATTCGTGTGTGGCTTGTGCTGTGTCAAGGCTCAGGATAAGGCTATAATAGAATGTTGCTTCAAGGCATTCATAAGACTTGGTGTTGGAAGCGGAGAGATAACTTTGAGGAAGCTGAAGAAGCTCTGGAGACAACAGAAGAAAGGCCTTGTGAAAAGAACTCACGATGTGTTCGTTGATGATAAGGATTCGTTACCATTTACATGAAGTGTCAGCATACTTAATAATAGTACAATGCGGTATAGTATACAAATGATCAATCTATTCACAGAAAGGCGTCTAGTCTACAAGCTCTTTCGTCCTGGCATTGTCCTTCTCCTCGGCCCAAAATCTCCTTCCTTCCATCATCTCTTCAAAATCGCTCTGTTTGGATAGTCTTTCAAGAACCTGCTCCTCTTCCTCGACAGAAAGACCTTGGATGTCCGGGGGAATTTCACTCATACTCACACTAGGAGCTCCACCAAGATACCTAATGCTTTCCAGCAACTGTATCCTCAGGTTTTCGAGGTACTTCTTCGTGTTCTTGTTATCGATTCTATCACCCAGGTTGGGATGCAGCGAATAGTCCGGCTGGAAAAAGGACCTGAATGGCAGCTGGTCAGGCAGTCTTGATTGGAGCTTCACATCCGTCATGACACTTGTCTCATAGCACCATAGTCTACTCACATTTCTGGGTGTATATCCGCCTCCTCCCAGTACCAACAACGGAATTCCAAACGTCTTGATGAACTTCACGCATTCACCGTGGGCCTTGATGTTCAGATTGAAAACTCCCAGTCTATCTCCTCCCAGCGAATCTGCTCCACATTGCTGGACAATACACGTCGGCTGAAACGAATTTATCAGCGGCTCCATCACCGACTTGAATAGGCGGATGTAAGACTCGTCGTCTATACCGTCTCTCAAGGGCACATTCAGCGCGAAATGCTTGCCCTTGCCCACACCAGTCTCGTCATAGTTCCCTGTTCCCGGGAAGAATTCACCATTGTATTTGTGGAAACTCACAGTCATCACACGGTCCGTTAGATAGAAGGCATCCTGTACTCCATCCCCGTGGTGAATGTCTATGTCTATGTATAGCACCCTCGGATGGACTCGCAAAAGGTTCAGAATCGACAGAACAATATCGTTCACGTAACAAAAACCACTTGGTTCGTATTTCTTCGCATGGTGCAGCCCTCCCGACCAATTAATGGCAATATCACTCGTACCTGCTATGAGTTTCCTGGAGGCATCCAAAGAGGCACCTGCGTAGATGGTGGAATAGTCGTACATTCCATCAAAAACGGGACAGTCGTCTCCAATATTGAACTTTTTGAGCAAGTTTGTATATTTTGCAGCATTGTCCGGCGTAACAGTCTGCAGGAAATTCACGTAATCCTCCGCATGGAACTCCAAAAGCTCTTCTTTTGTAGCCCTTCTGGTCTTGTAGAGATCCATTCGTTCGTGAAGCTTATATGCCACTACCAGATGGTCCGTAAGCATCAATCTAAAGGGCTTCATTGGATGTCTCACTCCATAATGATACTGTGGAACCTCTGGGTTGTAATGGTACGAGACATGAGGATTGAATGATGAGTTGAAGTTCGAGGCAATAGGTTCATACAAGGGCGTATGCTTTTGGGTCTTGGAGTCTGAGTAGAAAGTCACCCCGGCATCAAAGCCGCCGTAATCAGAGGGCATTTCCTTGCGTGGTTCGAGAGAAGTGATGGTTCCCTTATGGGTTTTAATGAAAAGAGCGTACGAGAGGCTAGCTTCAGCGGTTTTGTAGATTTCGTGTCTTACTCAAAAAACGAACATGCTGCATGCATACAGGCCTTTGTTAAGCTTCTACTACTTGTAACCACAATTAATCCTCAATTCCTAATAATCATTAAATAAAGCAAAAGCAAACCCGTGTCACACTATCGGGAGCGAATTGAACCGATCCGCAAACATCTCCTCGAACCTCTCTTTGCCGTACACAAACTTACCCATGGCGGACCTCAAGAACTCGGCCACGATGGTCGACTCCCAATACTCTTCATTAACCATATTGAACTTGTTCGCGAGAACCAGAACCATCAGAGCTAGAAGAAGAGGAAACCAGAAGAAAAGCAACCTTTTATCGGTCGAGACCGGTTTTCTGGCCGATGTGCTGAGAAGATTGTAGATCATGTCATCCTTGGAAGCATCCTCGATTGAAGAATCCAATGTCTCGGAAGAAACGAGTTCGCTCAAACCTTCCATGGAGACTGTGTCCTCCGTTTTAGGTGCACCACCAAATAGTGACTTGAACGAGGCACCCTGTGGGAATAAATCATCGTAAGTGGGTAGATCTTCCTCCACCTCTTCATCCACTTCTTGATCACCCTGACTAGCTGGCTGCTTGAAAGCCTTGGTCATGGTCTTCCACAATCTCGAGCTCATCGCAATTTTGTTGACAGGCTGAGGCTTGAAGTCCTCGACTGTAGCGTTCATAGGCGATGGGGAAGCCTCTTCGGTGACTGAAACATCGTCCGAAGAGTAATCGCTCAGATTGTTTTCCTCATCTGCGAACTCACTATCGTCATCATAACCGTCTTCATCGTATGGATCCACTGAGACTTCCGAGTCGAGGTCACTTTCTCTTCCACTTGCCGACCGGTTCTCGGCATCTTGAATCATCCTAGACACGTGCCATCTCATACCATTATCGTTTTCGCTCGAGAACAATGAACCAACTGAATCGTTGGACATGCGTCTGTTGAGTTCCCTGAACTGGCGATCTTCGGAGTCTTCTGTTTCATTTTCAGACACAGGACAGTAATATCCGAGCAAATCCAGAACATTGGAGTCTGCTATGTCTCTGATGGTGACGTGAGGACTCAGCTTCGTCGTCAGCTTGGCCTTACACTTTATCAACACCTTGATGATCTCGCGTTGACCATTGAGCAAAGCCAAGTGCAGTGGAGTCAAATCATTTCCATCTCTGTAATCCACTCTGGATCCACGGTTGATCAAGAACAATACCAATTGATAATAACCCTTCATCGAAGCCAAATGCAAAAGAGTCTGGCCCTCAGTGGTACAGATTGCCCAGTTTGGAGTTGCAACTGGCGAGTTAGGAAGATCAATCAGTGCCAAAAATTTCAGCAAAACTTCTTCTTCTCCCAAGTTGGACTGCGAGAGCTTCTGAACAGCGGTGGTTGCCTGTTCAAGCCATTCATCATTGACACTTTCCTGAGGTGCAACAGAACCACCGGCATCTGCAGCAGTGGTAGAAACAGGGGAGCTATTAGCAGAGTTACTGTTTCCAATGATTCTCTTAGCGATGTTCTTGGCATCCTCTAGTTTACCGTTCATCTTCAACCCCACGATTTGCAGTGCAAGCTCAATCAACTGTCTGTCGGTATCATCCAAGTAGGTAAAGATCTGTTGAGGAGTAGCACCGCTCAGCGCCAATTCTCTATCTAGAGATGAGGTGTCTTCAGCTTCTTCCAAGACATCAGCCCTGGTACCGTCCTCATTTTCTTCTGAGAAGGTCACCAAAACTTGACCAGCCTGGGAAGCAGGCGGCAGGTATGTTACCATGGTGGATTCAGACCAACAGTGTGTGGCTAGTGCCATGTTTGCTCCAAACTTTACCGTCAAACCGGGACGGAAGTTGCATCCGAGCAGTGTCACTTCGATTCCACCTCTGATTGGACCCTGAGCAGGAATGATCCTTTGAATTGCTGGGGCATCAGTTGCTGTTGATTGCTGGACCGATTGTGGCACCGAGGTGCTAACCTGTCTTCTCTGTTTACTGGCAAAGGACGCGGAAGAAAGACCGGTAACCGAGGTGCTGCGATCTGGAGTAGTTGTAAAGACGCTGGTCGATGAGCTAAATTGGAGGTGTGGAGAGAGGGCATCACTGGAAGTCGGCGAGATAGGCTCCTTGCGAGAGACCGAGGTATTCGCACCGCTGGAAGACACAGAATCGTTTCTGATGGCCCGTTGCTGAGACACACTGTCATAGTAAGTTCCGGTCGACTCAGGAGACCACGGTCTCTTCTGCCTTTTGCTAGGCCGCACCATTCCGTTGCTCTGTGGCATCTCCGATGTGGAAGATTCGTCAATAGACGTAGGCGACAGAGGGCGTGACTCGGTGGCTTGCTTCGAAGCGAACTTGTCCTTTCCAGAAGAGCTGTTGTACTGTTTGTCAGAGACATTGGTCGAGCCTTTCGAGCCAACGGCCTTCTTGCGATCCATGATCATCACCGAATTGGAGAAAGTTCTTCCAAGAACTTCACCTTTGTAATTTTTGAGAACAAACAACAGCCTGAATCCATCAGGTTCAGAGTGGTGACGACAGTAGCAGATGATACGAGACATTATTTCGATGGACTTCTCGCTTGGAACATCTGAGGCTTCATAACCTGTAGGGCGAGGAAAGGAGATAATCTCCTTGCAATTGAAGATCACAGCCCTCTTTGGCTCGCTCACGGACCAATTCAGACCATCCTCAATGTTCCCGGTCTTCCTCCTTCCGGCTCTTTTCATCTCACGTCTCAAGCATCTCACACAAGCATTGCAGCCCTTGAGGCCCTGTGGTACATAATCTGGAGTTCCCGCGGTTGAATCTGGAGTCATGCCCTCGTAGGTGGCACCTGATGATGTCACATAAGTGTCGAGATACAGAAGATGCGGCTGCATACTCTCTGGAACCGGCGCACTCAAACAAAGCTTGGATTTGGCAATGGTGTCGCTTGGGAGATGAATCAGAAATTGTGGCGGAGCAGGCGAAACTGTGAGACGTAACTTTATCTGAGTCTCAACTCTGGAATATGAAGGAAAATCACTGATGTTCAGTTGATACGGCAGCGACTCCTCGTCCACGGCGAAATACTCAGGTGGAATCGAAGCTGTGAGCTCCGAAGCGAAATCGAGGCCATTTTCTGGTGATAACGAGTTGGGCTTGGTAGCGCCAAACTTCAGCTTCATCAGCTCGTTTCGCGATTGTTCGTACAGCGCAAACTCCTCTGACTGCATGCCACCACGATCAACGGTGTTGGCTTTTCTGTTCTCGTTGTATTCCTGTTCATTTGAATCGTCGTTCTTGAACACCTGCAATAAATCGAACCCGGGGTGCGAGATCTCCGGCGTTATGGGCTCCTCGTGCTGGTTAATCCCACTATTGCTAGAGTTTATATCATCTTCCTCTCCCGGTATCCCGAGCATAGCATCGTCCTCTATGTACGAGTTGAAAGGGTACTCGCCTTTGACGGAGCCAAACATGTCGTTTTCGGTCTGAGGGGCGGGGAAAGTATCAAATACCCCATCCCCTTCACCAGACTGGACATTCTGAGAGAGAGACTCATAGAACCTCGAATCCAAAAATTCATCTAGAAGTTCATCTTCTTCCTTCACATTCGATGGGGCTAGTTGTTCCGGGAATATCCCGTCAAACGCCTGAACGTTCGTCATGGCCAAAACTTGTGGTTTGACGGTTCAGCGTTGAGTGGAACGTCTCTATAGGCGTGGAGGAACTTGCTTGAAACCAGCTGTCTCCAGACAACTAGGATCTTACCTGTATCACAAAAAAATCACCAAAGATATAGCCCTTGAATAACTCGCCTGAAATCACAATCCACAACGAAATAAGCGTGCTGGTTACTTTGTGTCTAACCAAGGCGCCCAAGGGACAAAAAAAAGCGAGAAAATCAACCTTTGTGTTCAAACGCAGGAACAAGGCGTTTAATCTAGAGATTGGGGCAATAAATGAGCTAAGATTGGCTTTTTCCAAAGATAATCTGTAGAACAAAGGAAAAATAAATAGACGTGAAACCGCTCGCCTTCGTGGTTGTTGCTTTGATGCTGTTGGCAAAGCTTAAGTGACGGAAGTGGACTACGACTCAAGCGGAAATGCGGGTAGTGTACCGCCTTGAAACTGACTCCTTCCGAGACGTGTCAAGTTGAAAGCCTGAGAACTGGTGATCTATTATGTTGAGCTGGTATGTTGACTCCAGTTTATGTCAGCTGATGGACTCAACTACTACACGTCATTCGCCCAACTGTTGAGCCACTTCCACCGGTGTTGCCACTGTCCTGAACAGGGCTGTGAAGCCCAACAATGACATGGCCTCCACTGCCCGCGAATTCGGGACAAAGGGAAGCGAATCCCGAACAAGCAAACAATTTAGTGTACCGCACAATGTTAAAAATTATTTTTTTTCTATATGAGAAGATAAGGCTGAAAAGTCTTGTTAGGTACTAGTTGACTTTGACTTTGACCAGGCAAAATAACAGGCATGACAGAACAAGTCCAGTTTAGAATAATAGTCGGCTCTTACGAGCACAACTTATTATGCCTTTCGTTGATTCTCCCTACTGGCCAGAACACATCCGAAGCAGTCTTCCAGCCGATTTTCCATTTCCAGGCACATTCGCTCAGCATCAAGGCCATTGACGTTGCCAAGAGATACCTAGTGACCGGTTCAAATGACGAACATATCAAGATCTACGATCTACAGAAGAGAAAGGAGCTGGGAACGCTTCTTGAACACAACGGTACCATCACCGTGCTGAGGTTCTCGAAGGAGAATAGAGGACTAGAGAAAGAAGAGGAGGACTCTGAAAAACGTGTTGTTCACAAGGACGGCAAATGGCTTCTTTCTGCTTCTGAAGACGGCAGAATTGTGATTTGGGGTACCAAAGACTGGGAGAAGTTTGGAGTGTTGAAGGGACACACTAAGAGAATCAACGACCTTTCGATCCATCCCACCGGAAGAATTGCCGTGAGTGTTTCTGATGACATGACCGTGAGACTATGGAATCTCATGACTGCGAAGAAGGCCTCTGTGTTGAAGCTGAAGGGTAGAGACACTCTTGGCCAGGCAGGCGAGTTTGTGAGGTTTTCCGCTGATGGTGAGCACTTTGTGGTTGGTTTGCTGAATAAGATCTTTTTCTATGAGACGAGGCAAGCCAAGATCTTGAAGACGTTCAACTTCACCAAGAGTCTGATGCGCATGGACCTTGAGGTGGTGAATGGGATTGAGTATCTTATCACTGCCCACAATGACGGAACCGTACAGTTCTTCAAATTCGCGATTGATGATCTCAAGGAGGAGCCTGATTTCAAGCTCCAGGGCCATGCGACCAGAGTGAAAGACTTTAGCATTTATCACAGTGGAAACAACTCTTATCTGGTATCTGTTTCGTCTGATGGAAAGATCGTGGTGTGGGATCTACAGACCAAAGAGCAAGTTGCAGTCTATGACTCTGGTGAAAGATTGAACGTGTGTTGCGTTGTCGAAGAGAGTGTGGAGAAGCCCGAGACCATGAGAAAGCTTGTGGAGCAAGCTGATACCAATTACAGCGAACATGAGAGCGATTACGAGAGCGATGGAGAGCGTCTGAAGGAGATGATGAAATCAAAGAAGAGTAAGAAGAGCAAGAAGGGAAAGAAGAAGCGCGATAAGCAGATTACAGTGGAGATCAAATAGCAAGCCAACGACGAGAGTGATCGAGTGGATAAACTAAGTACAGTGCAATCCGAATGAGATTCTAATAGTGGATCACAGACAAGTTGCAGTATAATTCAGATGAATATGAACAGATCAATGAATATTATTCGAATGAGATGAAAGAACACTGGGGATATCAATGAGTATCAGATCAAGATTATTCTGGGTCAACCATCAAGTTATCACCGTATCCAGCCGCTTAAATAGACTGCAACTTGATGTCATCACCTTTGTAAATTGTCTGGGTAGCCTCCCATTTTTCACCAGGCTTCAACTCCACAAAGTCGTGAACATGGCCAGGCTCGATACACAGCATATTGTGGTAACCTGACTTGGGCTCGAAATCGCCCATTCCACCCGACTTGGCGATCCATGGATTCCAGACAACCACATCAGGAAGATTTTCTCTCCTTACATTGTGCACCACTTTCCCAAGTTCAATTACCTGTAAGAGCTTTTCGGTGCTGACCTCCTTGTAGATACGGTCGGTTTCTTCGGAGAAGGTGATGGCAGGGGCCTTTTCCTCGTATGTCTCCTTCAACAATTGATCGTAGCAAGTTTCTCCGGGCAAATTGTTGACCAAAGTATCCTCGATCTCGTTGATGCCCAGGTAAGTGTGGAAAAGCCAGTTGAACTTCCATGCGTGCTTATCGGTGTTCTCAACCTCGATCTTGGTGCTGAGCGAATCTGGCTTGAGTTCAACCGAAAAAATCAGGGTGAAATCATTATCACCATTGTCCCACTTGGAGTATACTTCTTTGTTAGCCTCGGCCGGACTGAGGGCAAATTGGACAGTCAATGGCTCGGACTTAGTGACGCCCAAGAACTCCCAGGTGGAGTTTCTGGCGAATCCGTGCTGTGGAAGATCGGCAAAACCTTCTGCTGAAGATTTACCGAAAACTGGGAAGACCAATGGAATTCCACCTCTCACGGGCTTGGAACCATCCAGCTTGGCAGCAGTGGAAGTCCAAAGCTGTTCTTTACCAGCAATCGTCCATGAGATGACCGTTGCTCCGTATTTGAGAATTTCCACCTTGGCGGAGGGCAGTGATAGAACCACTGTGGAACCTGTATCTTCAGCAGACATAGTGGAATGGATAGTAGGAGTTTTGAGGGGCTTGGGCTAAAGACAAAGGAGCAATGCAACGTCAATCAATCCGCAACAGGTCGATCAATTGAAAGGTGGAGTCGTGTAGACGAATAGCCTCGTCGCTTATATAAGCGAGCCTAAAGAGCCGGCGAGCCGATTTTGACCGCTTAATCTTTGCATGGAATGAAGAAACCTTGGTGAGAATGGACCGTAGCAATAATTGTAAAGAAAAAAATTCTAAGCTTTAAACCATCAGAGCAAGTCAACCCCAGACCCTGATGACGGTATACAGAATGCCAGATAAGCACGTCAAAAACCAGTCAGTAATCCTTTCAACCGAGATGCGGTGAGATGGATCCCGGCACCAGTCCAGCCGCGAGTATGGAGAAAGCGCTACACCGTGAATTTTTGCAAATCCAACCGGCATAAATAAACCAAAAATGAGTAAATTAGAATTGTAGATCCTGAGTGCATTTTCTGAGACTTTTCGCACGAAAAAACCACCACTTTTGCCCGAATACCACTGCCCAACAAACGCTGTTAGCTTCCCCAGGCGAATGGTCAAAGGGGAACGAGCCCGCTTAACAGTAAGAGCTGATCCATAGACCCGCCCGTGCCCAAATCCCGGGGCTTCCAGTATTATATATCCATGTGAATTTATTGGTTATACAAATTGGTATAAAATAGTTGAATTATCACTCAAAAATAAATAAAATTTACCCAGATTGCCATATTTTCACGTTACCTTCCTAAACGAAGCACCTCGGGCCTTACCGTGTCTGAGCCAAAGTCCCATCGAAATTTGTTGGTTACATCGTCGAGTTGGGTGATTGCTCCATACTGCCATCCTCACCAACAAAACTTGTGTTTCACGGAATTGACCTATTTAGTGTGGTTTTGCTCCAATTTTTGAGGTGAGTAAAATTTGGGCTTTAGCCGTATGGCTCAGCTGAAAATGCGGCAATATTTGCCGATTTCACAGCACAAGGCCTTTGTCACGTAAAAGTGCTAGAATGCTAACAAGACAAATCAGATGACCGTTACACAAACGAAAGACCACGCGGTTGTTCACGAGGCAAACGGTGTCACGGCCCGTCCAACGCCTTCCACTTTCTATGAAAGACAACCAAATGCCTCCATCAACCAGATCGAGGACTACTACAAGATGTACAAGCAGTCGATCGAGGAACCAGATGCCTTCTTTGGACCCAAGGCCAAGGAGTTCTTGTCATGGGATAGAGACTTCACCAAGGTCCAGAGTGGGTCTCTGGAGCACGGAGACTCGGCCTGGTTTGTGGGCGGTGAACTTAACGCGTGTTACAACTGTGTTGACAGACACGCCTTTGCTACGCCAGACAAACCAGCCGTCATCTTCGAGGCTGACGACGAGTCTGAGTCTAAAACTTTGACTTTTGCCGAGCTGTTGAGAGAGGTTTCCAAGGTTGCTGCTGTGTTGAAGAGCTGGGGAATCAAGAAGGGTGACACGGTTGCGATCTACTTGCCAATGACTGCTGAAGCTCTGATTGCCATGTTGGCCGTGGTTAGATTGGGTGCCATACACTCTGTTATTTTTGCCGGTTTCTCTGCCGGTTCTATCAGAGATAGAATCCAAGATGCTGAGTGTAAGGCGGTTATCACCTGTGACCAGGGAAAGAGAGGTGGTAGGTCCATCCAGACAAAGAAGATCGTGGATGAGGGTTTGAAGCAGACCCCATCTGTCCAGAAAGTCTTGGTCTACAAGAGAACCGGCGGTGACGTTGAGATGACCGAAGGAAGAGATTTCTGGTGGCAGGAAGAGTGTGACAAGTTCAGTGGCTACCTGCCTCCTGTTTCTGTCAACTCCGAGGACCCACTGTTCATGCTGTACACATCTGGATCCACCGGTTCTCCAAAGGGTGTTGTTCACAGCACTGCTGGTTACTTGCTGGGTGCAGCTTTGACCACTAGGTATGTTTTTGATGTTCAGTCTGAGGATGTCCTGTTCACCGCAGGTGATGTGGGTTGGATCACTGGCCACTCGTACGCTTTGTACGGTCCATTGACCCTGGGTGTTCCAACCATTGTTTTTGAAGGTACTCCCGCTTATCCAGATTACGGAAGGTTCTGGAAGATTATAGAAAAGTACAAGGCTACCCACTTCTATGTTGCCCCTACTGCCTTGAGGCTGTTGAAGAAGGCCGGTGAAGACGAGATCGCCAAGTACGACCTGAGTTCTCTGAGAACCCTCGGTTCTGTTGGTGAGCCAATTGCCGCCGAGCTCTGGGAGTGGTATGACCAGAAGATCGGTAAAGGTTTGTGTCACATCTCTGACACATACTGGCAAACCGAGTCTGGATCCCACTTGATCGCCCCATTGGCAGGCGCTGTTCCAACCAAACCAGGTTCTGCCACTGTTCCATTTTTCGGAATCGACGCCGCAATTATCGACCCAGTTACTGGAAAGGAGCTGGAAGGTAATGACGTTGAAGGTGTGCTTGCTGTCAAGTCAGCATGGCCATCCATGGCCAGATCAGTCTGGAAAAACCATTCCAGATTCATGGAAACATACCTCAAGCCTTACCCAGGTTACTACTTCACAGGTGACGGTGCGGGAAGAGACCATGATGGCTACTATTGGATCAGAGGAAGAGTTGACGATGTTGTTAACGTCAGTGGACACAGATTATCCACTTCTGAGATCGAGTCTGTTCTCTTGGAGAACCAAGCTGTTGCCGAGGCTGCTGTTGTCGGTATTTCCGACGAATTGACCGGTCAGGCTGTCATTGCATTTGTTGCATTGAAGACTGCTTCCGATGACATCGAGGCCTTGAGAAAAGCTCTGGTCTTGCACGTCAGATCCATCATTGGTCCATTTGCCGCTCCAAAGTCCGTTATTATCGTGGACGACTTGCCAAAGACCAGATCAGGTAAGATCATGAGAAGAGTGCTTAGAAAGATCACCTCAGATGAAGCCGAGCAATTGGGTGACATGTCCACTCTGTCGAACCCATCTTCAGTCGAGTCTATAATCAAGGCTGTGGATGTCCAGTTCTTCAGGAGATAGCGCTACGTTTCCTAAGTCGTGCTTTTGTCGGTAATCACACTGCCTTACTTAATATCCTAGTCAGTTGATATTCATACAGTTGTAACAATAGATTGATACAGTTCACTGTAAAACCTGAAAAAATGCTGAAAAGTGGCATGAGAGGTCGGGTGCGGCTCAAAGGTAGTGCATATATCCAAAAAAAGGCTCAATATCCCCAAGTGGCGACGTGAACTGCTTGGAGGTCAGTTTGGATACGTGCTCTATATCACATCTGCTGAGCTCTTCGATTGATCATCTCAAAATGTCATCTCTCGAGGAATTGACAAGCAAATTAACAACCGCATTTGATGGTAAAGATTACCAGAAGTGCGACCTGCTGTTGCCAGCCATCAAGATCGAGCTGATCAAAAACAACCTACTCGTTCCAACAGACCCAGACCATGTCAACCCCAACGATTTGTTGGTGACCAGATCAATTCTGGAGGTTGGTGCCATTGTCTCGATTAACCTCTTGAACACCGCAAATTTCAACTCGTTTTTTTCGCAGCTTAAGTTGTTTTATGGCCTTAGCCAATTGCCAACCTCCAACAACAGAAACAAGCTTGTCGCTCTGTACCTCTTGTTGCTGCTATCTCAGGGAGACTTGGCCTCTTTTCACATTGAGTTAGAGCAATTTGTGAATGAAAAAATGACTGTTGATGAGTTGGAGCAGGACAGATTCCTCTCCGTGCCAATCAAGATTGAGAAGTGGCTCATCGATGGGGACTGTTCCAAGGTGTACGAGATATTATCACAGCAATCCACAAAGTTCCCATGTGAAGAGTTCCACCTTTTCAAGAACAACCTAATTGACGCAGTGCGCACAGAGATTGCGAGGAACATGGAGTCCACCTACGGATCGTTGCCTATAGCAAACTGCAAGCTGTTGTTGTTCATGCAGGATTTGACTTTGAACGATTTGGAGAACTTCATAGCCGAGAGAGGCTGGGCTTTGACTAATGGCGTTGTTCAGTTCAAGCCAGTTGGCCAGAGTGTTCCGGATGGGTTGAGCAACGAGGATGGTGAGAAGACCATCATCAACAATGTGCTAGGGTATGCGAGGGAGATGGAGACAATCATTTGAAATAGAGCAAGTGCACTGGTTAAGCTGGCCCCAGCTGGTCTAGGTGTTTAGAATCATTAATGATCAAGAGTCTTGGATCTCAAGCTGTAGCGAAGAGAGTACAGCACACTCAATTAATGTAAAAATAAAGTTATACAACTTCCAGCCATAAATCAAGTCAAAAAATCCCAGAACCTGAATCAAATATCTTACGACAGTATTTCGGAAAGAGTGTTAATGTAGTCATTACCGGTTAGTATGGGCTATTTTTCAACTCGCGATGGGGTCGCAACTCTCAACTCTCAACTCTCACCTGATGTGATGACACACGTCCAAAACTAACCTAACTGTCTTTTTGAGGTTCAATCCCAGGACTGGCGATGAAGTTTGCAGTCAAACTGGTGACAATTTTTGTCTTGATAAAATCAATTGAAGTAGTCGTTCTATCTCAAGTGGCTACCCAATTCGACACCTCCACTGCATTACACCTTGAGAAGACACCTGCCATACTCAGTGACAAGCATGAGTTTGTGCTGGATTTGCAACATTTCAGGCTCAACAAACTGCTCATTACTTATATAACAAACACTGTTGAGAGGCTGGTCAGTTGGGATGCTGTCTATTTTGTGGATTTCTTCAAATCGGGCACGGTTGATTACGAACAACATTGGGTATTTGGCCCAGCCTGGTGGAGACTGGTTCATGTGGTGGGAACGCGTTTGACCTCTAATTATTACTGGGTTATTATTATTGGGTTTCTAATAACTGGAATATGTCATTTCGGAACCTCGGTGATGGTCTACTTTTTAACAAAGAGTATTTTTCAGGATGAACAAATGGGCCAGCGAGCAGCTCTGCTGAGTGTATTATCTCCTGCAGGCGTATTTCTCACCAGTCCGTACAGCGAGTCGCTGTGTTCATTCCTGACAATGTGTGGCTTATTTCTACATGAGCAATCATTCGACCGTGCCACGTTAACCGTGAAGTCAAAAGTTTTCTATCTTTTCAGTGGAGTTCTGTTTGGTATCAGTCTCACCGTTAGATCCAATGCCTTACTACTGGGTGCCATCTTCGCCTATGATTTCGCCATTTTGGCTTACAGCAAACTGTTCCTGTTGTCACTAGTACCACTGGCTTCGGGGGCTCTCACGGGATCTTTTTTCGTATGGTTGAATTACTTGCCCTACAAGGAGCTCTGCCCTGAGCGTGGAGAATGGTGCGACAGTGCGATCCCCAGCTTGATGCTCTATGCTCAAGCCCACCACTGGAACAATGGATTCCTGAAATATTGGACTCCAAACAATATTCCAAACTTCTTGTTTGCTCTTCCCACAATATATCTCTTCAGTGCCTCGCTATGGGAATTTAGATCAGAGAAGAGGATCCAGAGTACCGTGATAGTATCGCTGCTGTTTTTGGTGCTGAACGTCACATCATGGAATGTCCAGATTATCACAAGGATATCCTCGTTCTTGCCAATAGGCTACTGGTACCTTGCTCAGGAACACAAACAGGTTTCCAGGACAAGATGGGTAACTTGGAGCGTTATCTGGATCATCGTTCAGACTGGCCTGTTTGGTATGTTTTTACCACCCGCCTAAAACGTAAACAAATGTATCCTAGCACTACTATATTTACAATGTAAAAAAAAATGAAAAGTGATGCGATTATTTATGGATTTTCCAAAGTCAAAACACGCAAAACCCCAATGGAGGGAAGAATTGCTCGTGTCGTTATCGAAGGGAGCCTTTAACCGCATTAGGTAACTTTTACCATGTCTTATCAGACGTATTTAAGGCAAAAAATCCCACCAGTTATACAATTTTAAAGCCCGCTTATTAAGACATTTAGAACCTCAAAAGGAGTTCTGTTTGCTCAGATCTACATTTTCTTTGTTGACTAGCACAGATTATCCCGAGAAAATGGTTGTTAGCGCTCTGATATCGGAGTTCTCCTCCCTATGTGAGGGACTGGGACTGAGCTCTAGCAAGTTACTGATGATTCTGGCTCTGTTGATCACGGCCGGATATTCGGCGGCGAAGCTCATATCAAAACCGAAAAAACTGATACCAGTACCACCAGAGAAGGCCAACAACAAAAACAGAAAGTACGGCCACTGGACGCCGGAAATTTTCGAGCTTCCTGAGCCAGAAGAGTATAAGGACTGGTCCATAACCGAAACCAGGCCCGTTCCATACAGAGCATTCAAGCATACTTATTACATCACTATGGGTATAAGAGCAATGGAGTGGGATAAGTGGATTGAACTGGACAACGAATGGCCAAAATACCATAACAGAAAGTTGCAGAGAATCAAGGAGAAAGGCGCTGAACTGTATGGTACTCTGCCCGAGGCTTATCCTGCTGCCATGGAACTGCTGGCCGAGTTCAAGAGATTTCTTCCAGCTAGATATCCCAAATTGTTCAAGAGAACCGAAGTTGGGATTGACAATCTGGTCACAGGAGAAAGCTTTGATTTCACCGAGCCTTTGAAGGAGGACCCCATGCTGATGGCTGCAAAGATGACGCAAGATGATCTGGCTATCATGATCGAGAACGAAAACGGTGAGTATGTGCTAAAGGGTGGAGCTATCATGCTTGCAGGATTCTGGAGACTCAGAGACAAGATTAACCTGCCCTTATCTGCTATACATACCACAGGCGATGTTCCTAAATACAATGAGAAACTCAAGTCCGGTATGGAAAAGTTTTTTATCAGACAGACACCTGAAAAGCCCATTGTGAGGAACAACTATTTCCTACAAACTGACGACGATTTGGCCTGGTCAAAGTCCATTGGTGACGAAGACAATGAGGTTGTTGGATGGTATACTGCCACGCCAGCTTCTGACATCAATAAGGTTTACTTCCGTTCGGAAAGACAATCACTACGTCGTCTGCCTATTACAGGAGCAACCATTTTTACCATCCGCACATATTTTTTGCCAGTAGTTGAGCTGTGCAAAGAGCCTTATGTTCCCAGAAGACTACTGAACGGAATTCTTTCGTGGACAGATGTTGTTCAGGAATACAGAGGCTACACCAAGTTCAAGGATGTTCTGCTGCCATATTTGGAGGAGCGTGCAGAAGAGCAGGAGGCTATGGGTTACACGAATGACACAGAGCCCGATACTTATCCTATGTGATTATAGGTGTATAAATTCGGAATGTTTTAAGCAGAATACGTCTGAAAGATGTTGGGAAAATATTATTCACAAACAGTTTGTAAAAGGGTGGTCTTGGTTGGGGTCGTGGTTGACGTCCGGGGCCCCGCGCTTTTGATCTGCAGAATGCAGCGAATACAGCAGCAAACCAAACAAATAATGTGATACAAATTTACGGTACAAAATTTTAATCTGAAACTTATAGATTCATTGGTATATTAAAACCTAAACCCAAATAGCAAGCTAGACATTATACAAAACACTTTGTAAGTCGAAAATTGAAAAAACCCAGACGTAGACCCCCAAAACCATATCGCATGTTTCAAAAATTAGGATCTCTCACCTCTCAGTCTTCTGGCCAATTGAATGTCCTTCTTCTGAATGGTAACTCTCTTGGCGTGAATGGCACACAAGTTGGTGTCCTCAAACAGGGAGACCAAGTAGGCCTCAACAGACTCCTGCAAAGCACCGATGGCAGAAGATTGGAATCTGAGGTCGGTCTTGAAGTCTTGGGCGATTTCTCTGACCAATCTTTGGAATGGCAACTTTCTGATCAAAAGCTCAGTCGACTTTTGGAATCTTCTGATTTCTCTCAGGGCAACAGTACCTGGCTTATATCTGTGAGGCTTCTTGACACCACCGGTAGATGGAGCGGATTTTCTGGCAGCCTTAGAAGCGAGTTGCTTTCTTGGGGCCTTACCACCAGTAGACTTTCTTGCTGTTTGCTTTGTTCTGGCCATTTTGGATAATGTGCTGATAAGTGGTAAAGAAAGGGGGACAACAACAACTTTGGCAGGCGAGATGGGCAGTTTATATTTTTACGGAAAGTAGGTGGCAAGACCAGATGGCGGAAAAGTTGGGTAAATTTCATCACAAGCTAAGCGCCCTCATTGGTCAATGTAGTTTTGGATCTGGTGGGGCTAGGTAGTGCTGGTGTTAACACACAGTATGCGTAATCGTGATACCCAAAGACCGCGATCTAGACGTTCTGATTGGCCCAAACTTACGTTTTAATTGTGGTTTGCGATTTTTGGCATTCGGTACCGTAACTTTGGGGTTCATTGGACAGGGTTGGCCCAAGCCCCAAGCCCCTGAATTCGTCAAATTTGCCGTCTTGTCAACATTAACCTGGAACACTGTTTATCTGTTATATATATTGCGGTTTTCCTCCTATTCCAGGTCAAAATCTCAGTTTCTATCTCATCGATAAGGTTTCACACTTTTTGTTTCAACTTCATCAAATAATATATCATCATGTCTGGTAGAGGTAAAGGTGGAAAAGGTCTAGGAAAGGGTGGTGCCAAGCGTCACAGAAAGATCCTCAGAGACAACATCCAAGGTATCACAAAGCCAGCTATCAGAAGATTGGCAAGAAGAGGTGGTGTCAAGCGTATCTCTGCTTTGATCTACGAAGAAGTGAGAGCTGTCTTGAAGTCCTTTTTGGACTCTGTCATCAGAGACGCTGTTACCTACACTGAGCATGCTAAGAGAAAGACTGTTACTTCTCTGGATGTCGTTTACGCTTTGAAGAGACAAGGCAGAACTTTGTACGGTTTCGGTGGTTAGTCGCTTTTATATTTTGGGAAAGATTTTTGCTTCTGTTTGAAAGATTGTAGCGACTTTGTTTCGGCATGGTCTCATAATATGCTATCAACACGTCAATGTATCACGTGCTTCTTGATTAGTTGTGTACACTACGCAATGACTAATATACCAGGAGATACCGGCTTCCAGAATGTTCCGCACACAACCTTCCCGGACTTAGTGTGTCATCTTGAGCCCCTTGTTTGCCACCATTTATTGGAAAGTGATCTGACTTTCTTCTATTCTCTTCCCTCCCTTTTTTTGATTTATCTATCGAATTATCTATTACAATGGCGTCGCAACTGGCTTCTTTTCCAAATCTCAGGAGAACCCTGACCGATGTCATGGAGGACGAGTTATACCCAATCCCATCTCACTCTAAACCCCTTTCACCATTGCTGTCAAACATGTTTCCCAACATACCTGAATATGATCACAACAACTCAACTACCTCAGTTCATCAATACCCTGAGTACTCTGACCAGACATATCCCTTCCAGACATATGCAAACCCGGACCTTTACACAACGTTTCCCAACTACCAGTTTCAGCAGATGCTGATGACTAAGAACCAAGAGTCCTCCAAGCTATACCATCCAGAACCATCGACTTTTGCTCCTATAGAGGCGCATTTGAAGCTTCCTGAAGAGCTGATGAACGACTCCAAGCTATACGATACAAATGAGGCCGGTGTGCCCATGTTTGTGTTTCCTAAGGATGGCGTGATGTCCATGGACCACGACTATATGAGCCTGGTCCCGGACGAGGTGCTGGACGAAGAACTATCGGACGATGACGACGAGTACTTATCCGATGATGATGACGAAGGTTACTCTGAGATACAGATGCCGGAGAGCAATGATGACATGACCGACTACCAGCCAAGCACGACTCACACGAAACATAACAATGCCAACAAGGGCAGCTCGCATAACAGCAGTCATGACAATAATAGCGAAGACATGGATATCTCTGACTATGAGAGTAGTTCACGCAATGTGACAGCGACCGACCATGATTCGACGCATAACGGCTTCGGTTCGGAACATCAGTGCAGGCTGACTATTTCTTCCACGGGAAAGCCGTGTTTGAAGCAATTTTCGAGGCCGTACGATCTGATAAGACATCAGGAGACTATCCACGCTGAGCGCAAGAAGATCTTCAGGTGTATGATTTGTGAAGAAGAGGCTCTAAAGCGTTTACAGAACAATGTCAACGACGGTGAGCATGCCTCAAACAAGACGTTTTCCAGAGGCGATGCTTTGTCGAGGCATATCAGAGTCAAACATGGCCTGGTCGGCAATGCGGCTACCGAGGCGATCAAATATGCTAAGGACAATGCTGAATTTGTGTAACTGCGCTCAGTTACACTAAGGATACTGTTGGATTGTCTAGTTGCTGCCAGAATCGGTTGAAGGTGAGAATAGAGTCCAATAGCAGAAAATTGCTTGGACTTTTCTCATTTTCCCATTATTTTATTATCATTTATTATTATGACCCAGAGTTTGAGCTTTGGAATGGGTTTCCAAGCTCGCTTTTTTAGAGACAAACTTTCAAGTTGTCTCGACTTGACCTATAAATATTTAACCAATAATAACCCTTCATCTAATTCAAATTAGCCCATAAGTAGAAGTCCTGTTCTGATTTTGAAGAAGCTGTTTTTCTGCGCTAGAGCATAATGTATGTGTATTTGATTTACAGATGGACCATCCAGCTAACCCTCCGTTAGATTAAAGCACTGAGATTCTATTCCCGTGCCGTACATTTTGCTTCTCATGACTTAGGAAATTCCATTTCGATTTCCATTTCAATTTCGATGAAAACGAATATACATAAAAACATTTAAACCGAAGCCGTTTGTGCCAATAAAGAACATATCTGTTCTGCCTTAGCAGGGTATTCTGCCATTTCATTAACGGGCAACCAGCAGATCCATTACTGGGACGTGTCATAGAGTTCACAACATGATAAAGTACTGATACCAATACGAATAGAACGTTAAAGATGGATCCTTTCAGCGATACAGGAGGTAGGTCTAGATCATGAAATCGTTGATGCTCAGGATTACTAATAAATTTGTGCAGATCTATACCAGATAAAACAGCAGTTTTTCTGTGGTCAGTACGACTTGGTCGTCAAGCATGGCCTTGATTCCTTCTCTGCAGAATCCCACTACAAAGCCACCGAGTATGTGGTCAGATCGCATTTCGCGTTGGAATCTATTGATGATGCTTTGAAGATAATCAAGGAAGATGAGACAGAAGGAGAGGATGCTGAAAAACTGAAATTCTTGGCCAAGTATGCCACTTACCTCAAATCCAGGACCGGTGGTGAGAGCTCGGACATTGACGAATATATTGAGAACTTTGCAAACCTAGAGATTGTGGCTGTTTTGGGTTCAGTTTATCTGATCAATCTTGGGAAATTGAACCAGGCATTGGAGTTGCTATCGGGGATCGAGGCTTCCTTGGAAACCATCGCACTCACTGTTCAAATCAGAATCCTTACAGGCAAACTGGAATTGGCTCAGAAGGAGTTGAGCTACGCAAAGAAGTGGGCTCAGGACGATATTGTATTCAACTTCGCGGAGGCTTGGGCAAATCTTTCGGTCGGAAGCCTCAACAACTTGCAATCTGCCTTCTACTTCTTCGAGGAGATCGCCCAGGGAAACACATCGTTCAAGGGACTTGTGAGCTTGCTGGGTTTGAATCTGCAACTCCACCATTTTGTGGAGTCCAAGGAGGTGCTTAATCAGCTAGAACAGCTAGCGCAGACTTCGCAGACCGAGGAGTCTCTTGCTGGGGACTACCTTGCCAACAAAGTGAGCTACGATGCCATCACGGGTGAGGCGGACTTTGAACAGACTGTCACTGAGTTGAGGGAGGTTGCTCCTTCTCATCAATTCGTTGTGGATTACGATGATAAATTGGCTACGTTCGATGGAATTGTGGCCAAGTATGCTGAGCAGATCGAGGCCTAAGATGGGTGATTAGTATCTCTAATTGAATATGCACTATTTGATCTCGTAGACTATATCGTCGCCAAAGAACTGAAAGAAGTCTCCAATCACCTTTAAATCAATATTTATCTTCTCATCGCTCAACAGCTGTTTGAACTCTCTTAACGTGTCCTGGATCTCAGTATCGTTGAGCAGCCGTAGTTTCTGGTTCAAAGAAAGATCCACTGGATTAGAGGCAAATCCCTTAGATAAAAGAAGCGTAGAGGTCTTCATCATGGCCTCGTATAATTTTGGATTTTTGTTTATCTTGTAGTACAGTTCGATGGCATTTTTGTGTGAATCTGTTGTTATCGAGGCGTACCTCCTGTAGGATTGTCTGAAAGTGTTGAATGCTGGTCTAAACATGGAGTATGTGTAATCGAGAGTAGGTGATTTGCTGTGGTGAGAGCGCCACGGTCGAATATGCTATCGGGAACGTGATGGCTGATAAACTGGTATATCTGGTTTCAAAATGAAAGCCTGATGATGATTTCGGAATCTCCACGAACGAGATGACAAAGTTGAGCTCTTGGAATGGGAATCTTGAAGTGTGATTAAGGGTGGTGAGGTTGATTTTGGAGGGCTCCGATGAGCAATGCCTGATATGGTGTTAGGCACGAACTTGGATTATGGAAATGGGGGTTAGGACGAGATCATGAGACAAACACTGTAAGAGCTTTTCGCTTCAAGTTTTGAAGCTGGAATTGAAAATTTTGGTGAACTCTATCAGCAATTGAAAAAAAAAATTACACCGTTTTGCAGTCACATTGTTCAGAGCAGCTCTCTCTCGCTGCTGTATGCAAATGAAGCAAATACCACCATTCCCCCCATACACCTTGAAACCAAGTTCATATCAACGGCGAAAATGGCATTGAGTAGCTAAAACTTTGTATTTCGTATCTGATCTCAAACATCCATTAAACGCGTATTCGCTTCAACAACAGAGTATCCTATTTTGGACCCTACTGGGCCATTCTGGGCCGGTCAGGTGACCGGAAATTACTCCCCCCACGAGACGTTTGACAGAGGATATGATTAGGCATATACAACCATACTCTTCTTGAAGTCAACCCACTCTTTTGTTTTTTTACTCTGTTTTCCCAATTATAGATAAAATTCAAGGAATTTTACAAAAAGCTGTTTTGTTTTGTTTTATTTCACAGTTATAAACATACATGGAGTACACCATTATACTACTGAGACATGGTCAATCGGAGTGGAATAGAGATGACCTCTTCTGTGGATGGGTGGATATACCTCTTAGCGATAAGGGAAAGCAACAAGCAAGAGATTCTGCAAGACTGATAGCGGAGTCTGGGCTTGACCCTAAGTGCGTATTTACCTCCAAGTTGACCAGATCATGTCAGACTGCGAACATCATACTAGAACAGTTGCATAGAGAGTATCTGGACGTATACAGGTCGTGGACTTTGAACGAAAGGCACTATGGTACTCTGCAGGGAAGGTCAAAGAGTGACGTGTTACAAGAATTGGGAAAGGATCGATACATGTTCATAAGACGGGCCTTCAAAGGGTGCCCCCCTCTGATCAATCCCGAGTCGCAGTACGCGGCAATTGAGGATTCTAGGTACGAAGGAGTCCCGCACGAGTCTCTACCCCTAGGAGAATCATTGGAAATGGTTACTGAGCGATTGTTGCCATATTTCGAGTCAACTATTGAAGGCGTGCTGAAGGAACAGAAGACTGTCCTGATAGCCACCCATGGATCGATCATGAGGGCTTTGGTGAAACATCTGTATGGGATCAGCGAATACGATATTAGTGAGATTAACATACCAAACGGGATACCCATGGTTATTCGGTTGGACGAGTCTTTCAAGGTGATCGGAGATTATACGTATCTAGATCCCGAAGTGGCTCGTGTTGAGGCCGAAAAAGTGGCAAGACAAGGGTTCAAAAACCACAGTTGAGATGCAAGGAATTACATAAAAGGGACAACTCATAAGAAAAAAGAAAATTTAAGATTAAGCAACCATAACGAGTTCACGTTTAACACCGTCTGATCTAAGTGAAAAGTCGTTCTCCCACCAATATCCAAATCGGGCGGAGGACCAAGTTGAGCGCATTTAACTTAATCTAAAAAACATCCGCCACACCGGATGTCAAGGGAAGGCCACTCGCGGTTCATACCGGCCAGAATAATAGAGGACATAACCAAGTACACTATAGAGGGTTATCATGGCTACTTCAGAGACGCCCATGACTTGGGAGGTTCTCAAAGAAGTACTCCAAACAAACGACATAGCCAAGCTGTACCGTTCGCCAGAGTCTTTGGAGAAGTATCGAAGACGGAAACAGCAGCTGGCCGAGGCCAACGTGTCTGTTCACTACAATCTATTGGTAAACCAGTTACACTGGGCAGAGCCAAGTCCTGGTGGTGAACTTAAGGGAGTGAAGTTGGATGTGAAGGCCACAGATCCAAGGTTATTCGCAAATGAAGACGATATCTTGATACTAGAGAACGAGTTCCCTTACAATTTTGAAAAGGGAATGAAGCACCTGGTGGTTTGGACGAAAAACTTCATAGAGCCGGACCCACACTCGGCCTTGGGAGACATATCACCAGAGACAAGATCCATAATTGGGCTGTACGTGAAAAAGACATTCGTGGATTGGTTGGGATATCCCCAGGAAAACATATTATGGTTCAGAAACTGGTCTGCGTTGCAATCGGTAAAGTCTATTGCTCATATCCATGTAGTGATCAAAGACTTTGACGAGTCAGATCTGGAAAAGATCGTGGGTACCGGAGGCCAGCCTCTCAACTATGAAGAGGATTTCACATCTCCTAGGCTATGAATGGAGACTACACTAGAATTTAATACATATTTATAAGTGTCACCATCATTTTACAGGAACCTGAAATCACGTGAATATTGTTGTTGTTGTGGTTGTTGTTTGTAAACAGAGCCCATTTGCCCCAATTGTTATTCCAGCAATTAGGAGCGAGTCTGCGGTCATAAATACCCGATGCGGCTGCATAAAGATAAGGCCAAGAGATAAGAAGCAATTGCTAATTAATCCTTTAATTCCACGCTCTTTCCTACCCCTTTCTTTCGTTATTTATTTCATTTTTTTGGAGAACATGGTTGGGAATTTATTGAACTTGGGCATAAATATTCCCCACAACCATTTTGGTCATGGTGGTAAATTTCTGGCGATTTCCATCCCTGTTCTAACTCTGTCTGGTACCTTTTTGGTGCCCTTGTTGATGCAGAAATGGTATGGAATAGACGATCTGGAGCTGTTTCTGAACACTCGCCAAAAGTCAGGTTTGAAGCGGTTTTTTCGCAGATATTACAATATGGTGACTAGTCTAAAGGCTTCCTGGTTTGGAAGAAAGATTTTGCGATACAAGCCAGAATATGGTGGCCGGGTCAAAGAGCTCATTATCTATCCCATCAAGTCCATATCCCAGGGTCTTCATGTGAAATCATGGGAGATCAGTGCTCATAGTGTGAAATATGACAGGCAATATGCGTTGGTGATGCGTAACCCTAAGTTGCCTGATCAATGGGTTGTTCAGAACCATCTTCAACAGACCAAGCTGGGCATTGTGAGGATTGAGTTTATCCGGAACGAGCAGTCTGAGGAACTAGATGGTACTTTTGTTTTCACTTACCCTCTGAAACATGAGTCTGGACCAGACTTTGTTGGAAAGTCTTTCTCTTTGCCTGCTAAGGTTACTCCTGAATACTTGAGATCGGTTACGGGAACTGACGAGGAAAACCTGCCAATCAGGATTTGGCTCAAAGACATGATGACCATCGACATTACTGCCGCATTACCCAAAGACTTCGCCGAGGAGCTGGAACTGCCAGCGGAGACAAGACTGGTTTATTCTTTAAGCGGCAAGAGTGTAGATGCTAATGCTCCCCCAAAGCTTGAAGATACGGCTAAGAGGATGACCCTATTCCAAGATTACTACCCAGCGTTGATGATAACTAAGGAAGATGTGGATGATTTGCAGCAAAAAATTCGCAATGCCGGATCAGACTTTCAAATTTCGTCTTCGAGTTTTCGTGCAAATATTGTCTTGGAAGATACCCCCAGGGCTTTTGATACAGATATGTGGTATCTATTCAATATCATTCATACAGACCCCGAGACGAAGGAGGAGACCAAGAGATTATGGAGGGGAAGTTTGAAATGTATGAGGTGCAATATTCCGAATGTCTCGCTTAAGACGGGGGAACTCGATCCAAAATCTGTGCCAACGAAATTGATGTCCAGGTATAGGAGAGTGGATGAAGGTGTTCCGTTTATCTCTTGCTTCGGCATTTACGTGACGCAGTACGATTCGGGCTATACCATTACAGCTGGGGACAGGGTTGAAATAGTGCAGAGAAAGTCACAGTTTGTGGATGACAATCCATTTGTTCTGCCTAAGGGGCAGAAGAAGAAGCCTGGTGATTGGGATTTAGGTGACATTCCTCAGAATTGAAGTCGCGAAGTAGGTAGAGGCGAGAGAGTTTGAGATGCCTTTTCAAGCAAAATCTGGCTTGATCAATTTTTCACCAACACTTTTATTATTTATTTATTACGAGACACAAAGTTATTTTACTAGACCTAGGCATTGTATTTTAGTTCATAAGGTGTATGACCATGATGTAGTAGACCCCACTATTGGTTTGTGCAACCTTCCTGGTTATAAGAGACGGCGAGAATTGTTTCCTACATGATCTCCAACCCTAAAACAGAGTAAGTCAGCTTGGCCACCTCCTGAATGTGGAGTACAAAGCAAAGATAGAACGAGAACGAACCGAATATGAGGCATGGATATCGAGCTTAAAGGGCTTTAGTCTCCTAAAGGTCTTTGCCTAATTAGGATATGAGTCTTCGGTCATTATTACCTAATACGGATGAAGAGATGAGTACCATTCGGCATCGGGTTTTTATTCTTCAGCCTGTCATTTCTCTTCACTCTTTCCTACCTTGGTGAGTATGATTGGGAAATTATTGAACTTGGGCATAAATATGCCTCGTGGTCATAGTGGTATGGTCGTAGCAATTTCCATCCCCGTTTTAGCTCTCTCTGGTACGTTTCTGGTGCCTTTGTTGATGCAAAGATGGTATGGAATAGACGATCTAGAATCGTATTTGAATTCCCACAAAAAGTCAGGTTTGAAGCAATTTTTTCGCAAATATTACAATATGGTGACTAGTTTAAAGGCCTCATGGATGGGAAAACATGTATTACGTTTCAAGCCGGAACACGGTGGCCAGGTGAAAGAACTCATTATCTACCCCATAAAGTCCATATCCCAAGGCCTTCATGTAAAGTCGTGGGAGGTTAGTGCTCATGGTCTGAAATTCGATAGACAATTCATGTTGGTGAGACAAAATCCCAAGCAACTAGATCAATGGGTTGTGATGAACCATACTCAACAGTCTAAGCTGGGCATAGTGAAGATTGAGTTCATCCGAAACGAGCAGTCTGAGGAACTAGATGGTACCTTTGTTTTCACTTACCCTCTGAAACACGAATCTGCGCCTGAATTTGTTGGAAAGTCCTTCGCGTTGCCTGCGAATGTGACTTCAGAATATTTAAAGTCGATCACGGGAACTGACCAGGAGCACTTTCCAATAAGACTATGGTTGAAAGACATGAATGCCATCGACCTTTCGGCTGCATTGCCCGAAGACTTCGTTGAGCAGCTGGAATTGCCACCAGAGACTAAATTAGTTTACTCTATGAGTGGTAAAAGTGTGGATATTAATGCGCCTCTAAAATTTGAGGATATAACGACAAAAAGAATGACCCTATTTCATGACTACTACCCAGCCTTGATGCTCTCTGAGGAAGATATCGAAGATTTGCAGCAAAAGATCTACTCGGCAGGATCAAAATTCAAAGTTGCGCCAGTGAGTTTTCGTCCAAATATTGTTCTGGAAAATACTCCAAAAGCTTTCGACTCGGATACATGGTATCAATTCAATATCGTCCACACGGACCCCGAGACGAAGCTACAGACGAGGCGACTATGGAGAGCGAGCCTCAAATGTTTGAGGTGTAATTTGCCAAATATTGATTTAAGGACTGGAGAATTTGATCCCAAGGCTCTTGTGACCAAATTGATGGCCAAATATAGAAGGGTGGATGAAGGAAGCCCGTATGTCTCTTGCTTTGGTATCTATGTGACGCAATTCGATTCCGGCTATACCATTTCGGCCGGGGACAAGATTGAAATACTGCAGAGGAAGTCCCAGTATGTGGAGGAAAATCCTTTTGTTCCGTCGACGGTGCAGAAGAAAAGGCTAGCTAGTGACTAGACAAGTTTAGAGATAGGCTGTGGTTGAGAAGCGAAAGAACTGGTATCGAAACCGGGGACCGAAACAGTGTAGTAAGCAGAAATTGAAGGGCTTGAGAAAAAGACCTGAGCACGAGTTGGGAAATAATTTTCCTACTTGAATCAATTCTAGTCCACTCAAACTAGATCTCACACAGATAGAATGGTAATAACCTGGATATAGAGTATTGATATGGAGTCTGCATATCGATCATGAAAGGTAGTGCAAGGTATAAACCCTTGCTCAAAACCTTTTGGGCTATGTGTAGCATAGCATTGTGCTTTTCTTTATCTCAAGCGAATTACAATTTGCTTTCTACAAGAAATGGCAGAAGATTCCAGGGAAGACAAAATCGTCTCGGAGAAGGAGGAAATCGAAACAATCGTTGCTTCCGAAAACCCCGTTGAGGCTGGTGATGTCGAAGAGGCAGGAACAACAGAGCCAGAACAAGACAAGACAGAAGAAGCCCCTGGGGAAATAATACAGACCGAGTCCAAGGTCGAATCCAGTGCTGAGAAGAATGGAGGTGATGAATTGGTATTTACAAATCGCAAGCGGGCTAGGGAGGAAAGCGATGAAGAGGAGGAGGCTGACTCGGATTCATCGCCCGAGGAAACTACCAAAAAGCAAAAGATAGAGGCTGAATCCGCTGAAACAGAGAAAGAGGCGGTAATTGAAGAGAAAGAGTCCACGAATAAGGTTATTGAAAAGTTTGCTAAAGAAGAGACTGTTGAGGCAACAGCCATTGACGAGAAGTCAACAAAGCCTGAAAAACCAGCAGAACCAGAAAAGCCTAAGTTCGTGTTTGGGTCCAGATCAACATTCGGTGCCAGGCCCCAGTTCACATTGTTCCAGAATAAACCAGAGGAGAAAGACAAAGCGGATGTTCCTGCTGAGACGAAAGTAGCACCCTCTACATTCAGTGGTACAGCTTCCGTGTTTGGGTCTAAGTCCGTGTTCGGAAACGCGTTCCAAGCTGCTATTAACAAAGAATCTATTTTCAAAGCCCCAGAGGCCACAGAAGAAGCAAAGACCGTGAGTACGGTACCCGCTCCATCAAATGGGGGAACATTCCAGAAGATCCATCTCGAAAAACAAGCTGTTGTTTCCGGGGAAGAGAACGAAAAGTCGGTTTTTTCTGTGAGAGCCAAGCTCTACTTCTTGGACTTAACGAACGTTGAAATCGGGTGGAAAGAAAAGGGTGTTGGCCAGTTGAAAGTCAACCAGTTGGAAACTGCAACAGAGACTTACACCTCCAGAATCTTGATGAGACAGGATGCCATATTCAAGCTGATTCTGAACTGTCCTTTGTCAAAGGACATCAAAGTGTTCAAAGGCCTCGACTCTTCGCTCTCTCGGGAGAAGTTTGTGAGGATTCAGGCCTTCGAGAATGGCAAACCTGTGCAGTATGCTGCTAAGGTAAAGTCCAGCGAGGATTCGCAAGCTTTGTACGATACGATCATAGATCTAATCCCCAAGTGACGTTAATATGTTTCTATCATATCTTCAAAAATGCAATAGTACAAACAGTAGAGCCCTGGATCCCTCCAAACTGAAAGGTTGGATAGTTCACCTTATCCCACACCTCGTATAAGCCGTCTGTAGTCATGATCGAGATGAGCTCTTCTGTGGTAAAGTTACAACTCGTGATGAGTGCAATGCCTCCTTTTTTCAACAGAGGTGCAACACATTTCGGATACACCAGATGTCCTCTTTTCGTATTGTTTTCATAAAGATCCTCGCTCAATGCTATGGCGTCCAAGGTGCCTTTATCCAGCAAGATGTCAAACTCACCAGAACTAGCTCGTATTTCCTCAAAGAAAGGGTGATCAGGACTCAAAATATCACACTGAGAGAACGTCACATTTTCAAAGTCCTCAGCAGTTGCAACTTTCGTGGCAAATTCAACAGACCGCTCTGAATAGTCCACTCCCACTAGTGGGCCTTCGAACCCTTCATTGCGAAGCTCAAAGAGGAGATGTCCGTTGCCTGTACCCAAATCACAGATCCGACTAGAATCCGAGATTGCTTCCAGCTCTCCAATCTTATCAGATAAAAACTGAATCATTTTGGCCTCTGCGTCAGAATCATCGAACCAACATTCGCCGGTATCCTCAGGGTTCGACTCGAAGTTAGACTTCTCTTTAGCGTAGAAGTCATCCCAGCTAAAAACGATTGTCAGCATCCTGTTTCTCGAAAGGTACAAATATGTTACTCACTATTGCTTAGTTCCCAACTTGGAAGTGTTTAAGTTAATTGATGTCATAGTAACCAATAGTCCAATAAGGGAATGAAAGTTGGTGTGATAATATTTCGAGGTTGAAAAATCCTTAAGGCTGGAGATGCGATGAGGGTTACCGCATTCGGAAATGACCTTGAAATTCTCCATGAAATACAATAATTCTACTCATATTCAAGTCTCGTAAAGTTTTTATTCCTTATTAAATTATTTTAGATCATTTTCCTGATTGTATCCGGTATCAGACTTCATTAACCCCTGATCACCAAGTCGTCGGGAATCCCGGCGTACTCGTCGTAGTTCATGGCCAGGTTGATGTTTTGCAAACACTGGGTACTAGCACCCTTCAGCAAGTTGTCGATTGTTGCTACAATAACGACTCTGTCTTGCTTGGAGTTGACTGCAAAAGCACCCACCACAACACCGTGCTTTCCACTAATGTCTTTCACTAATGGAGCCTCGCCAGATATGGTGATCAATTGCTCACCGGAGTATCTCTCCTGGTAAATGTTTCTAATATCCCTCGAGGTGAGTTTCTTGTTCAGGGGAATGGAAATGGTGTGGGTAATACCCTGGAACCATTGTGCAACGTGTGGCATGAAGGCAACCTCCACTCCTAACTGAGAGGAGATCTCTTTCTCGTGAACGTGGTCAGTCAGAGAGTATGGAATCAGGTTATCGCTCAGGAACACAGGGTCGTTCTTAATCGAAGGCTTGGTTCCGGCACCCGAGTAGCCGGAAACACCAAAGATGGAAGGAGTACCGCTTATGTACTCGGTCAAAGGCTTAATGGCTACCTGGGCAGCAGTAGCGTAACAGCCTGGGTTAGAGATTTTGGTAGCAGAGGCAATCTTGGTACGGTCGTTCAACTCCGGCAAACCGTAAACCCATTCGCCGGTGGTATCGAATCTGTAGTCGGCACTCAGGTCAATGATCTTGGATTTGCCGTTCTTGACGGAGTCGATGGCATCCACAAATGGTTTGCAAACACCGTTGGGCAATGCCATGACCCACACGTCAACCTTACCGTCAATCTCCAGTTTCTTAATGTCCTCAATTTGAAGGTTCGAGTAAACGATATCGGCTTTGTTGTAACCTTGCAATTTCTGACCTTGCAATTCTCTCGAAGAAACATGCGACAATTCCAAGTATGGGTGCTTGTCAATCATGGCAATCAGGTTTTGACCAGTGTAACCACGGGCACCAATGAGAGCAACCTTAGACTTCTGGTGGTTCTTACCCTCTTTGATTGGAGGGTTTGGGTTGGTCGAATAGAATCTTCTGGCAGTGGAAAACGAGCGTGCCTGTTGAGAAGACTTGAACACCTTGGACTCAGCAGGCTTAACCAGAGAGACCTTTTGGGCAAAACTGGCAATCAACTCAGAAACAGCGTCAGCAGACTTCAGGCCGTACCAGAACAAAATGTGCCCGTTTTTAGCATAAGAACCTTCAGATTTGGAGAAGTACCAGGCAGTGTTAGGATCATCTTCTCTAACAACCCATTGCAGAGCTGGGAAGTCCTTCTTGATGGAGGTGAAAATGTTGTCGGTGACATTGTTCAACCAGCCAGTCTTACTAGCCAGGAATCTGTCGACCTTTGGAACAGAGGTAGCTTCATCTTCCAAGATAATGGCCAAAACTTCCAATGGCTCATCACCATAAGCCTTGAAGTTCTCAGACTCCAATTTCTTGAGATAAGAGGCAACAGAAGTTTTTCCAGAAGAGATATCCTGGTCACGGTTCAAAGCGTTTCTAAGCAAATCTGGTTGTTGGAATTCACCGAGAGAAGATCTGGTGATCAACTTGTATCCACGTCTGATCAAAGTTCCAGCTCCACTGTCAGTGAAAAGTTCCTTTTGAAGGTCGTTGACATCGATGATGGCCACAGAAGAGGATCTTGGAAGATGCATCAGCAACTCCTTGATCTCCTTGATCTTAAGCTTGGTACCGTATTTGACCCAGCTCTCCTTCATCAGGTCTTCATACTCTTCATCCAGGTTGATAACAGAGACTTTCTCCCCTGTGTTTCCGTTAATGATTCCACCCTTCTCGTTCAAGTACACAATCTTCAATGGCTCGAAGACCCTGGCAAGCTCACCAGCAGCCACATCGGCATTGACGTTCAAAATCTGGCCAGATGGAGTCTCGGCCAACGAGGTCAAAATGGGCAATGCACCGGCCGCAATTGAGGCCTCAACAGGAGCTTTGTTCACAGAAGTGACATTACCAACCAATTTGTACTTTTCCTTGTCCAAGTACTCAGCACCGAAGACACCGGCGGTGATTGGTCTAGCATGAACACCCATCTTCTCCAAAGCAGTAACAAGTTTCAAATTCTGTTCCAAGAAACATTTGCGAACAACAGACATAGTTTTTTCGTCGGTGATTCTGATTCCGTCGGAGTAGTCAGGCTCAACACCTTCGGCCTCTAGCAATTCGTTGATCTGAGGACCGGTTCCGTGGAGCACAATGGGGTACAGACCAACGTGATACAGGAACGCCAAACAAGAGGCTAATTCGGGCAACTGTTGGGTGATGATGGCACCACCCACCTTAATGACAGCGAACTGTTGTTGAGAAACCGACGTGAAGTAGTTCAGGTATTGTTCCACCTCTCTTTTGGAGCCAATGTTGTTCAAGAGCTGAATAACAGTGGATCTGGTGGAATACACACGATTGTGCTGGAGCTTGAAAGAGTGAGTTGAGGACTTGGCCAGAGTCGATTTCAACATTTGGCTTGTTGCCAGAGTCTGCGGAACGAGGGCCGTAGTAGCCTTTCTCAGATTCGTCAAAATCATGGCTTTAAACAAGGATGAAGGACAAAGAAATTGTTTTCAACCTTTCAGAGACAAAGTATCTTCTGGGAATAAAAGGTGACACAGTGAGGGAAGTCAGAGTCAAAGAGGAAAGGAATGAAAAATTTTGAAAGTGTCATCTAGCATGACTGGAGAAAAACCTATAGCCGCACACGTGACCTGATGCATTCTTTTGGCCAAATCTCGAAATGGGGCGGCTTAGCAGGGAGAAACGGGTCAAAATTGTTGCTCGACAAATAGTTTTGCTATTTATTACTTGTGGGTGAATTTTCAATTTTGAAAACCAAAAATTTGTCGACTTTTGCTCTCTTTACACCAGCTCTCTTTGGCTCGATATCCAATCAACTGCCATGAACACCGCGCTAGAGTGAAGAGTTACCGAATTAAGGTATTTGGTAGAAACACATCGTTATGGAGCATTTTGGCTTCGATACACGTCCTTCTAAGAAGCTCTTTATTTCCAGAGAGAGAGAAAGAGAAAGAGAGGCGACTTTGAGGTCACTGCTGATCTAGTGAGATTTTCAGACACAGAAAGATGCAAGACAAATTAAACTATTTTCCAGGTGAGTGAGGCTTTATGGACTTTGGAACTTTGTGGAATATGTGGAATATGTGCTAACAGTCAGTTACAGACCTTGAGGATACGAGCTCGTAAGTAGTTGAACCCACAAGGGGATCTTCAATGCGAATTGTAACTAACATTACTCTCAGTGCGTTATCAGAGCAACAGCTAGCGGTTCTGGAACAGCAGGTAAAATCCGAGGAACCCAATCCCTCTATCCAGTCCCAGTTCAATTACGCATGGGCGCTGATCAAGTCTTTTGATAGAGAGGATAACAAGCATGGCATTGACATACTGACTGACATATTCAAAAATGTGCCCAAGAGAAGACGGGAGTGTCTTTATTACTTGAGTTTGGGATGTTACAAAATAGACGAGCTCCAGGATTCCAAGAGGTATATCGAGGCTTTGCTCTCACACGAGCCTGACAATCTGCAAGCCATTAGGCTGAAGAAGGCCGTGGAAGATAAATTGTCGAAGGACGGTTTGATAGGCGTGGCCATTCTGGGAGGGGCTGTTGCGATTGGGGCTGCTGCTTTGACTACTATTTTGTCTTTGGGCAGGAAAAAGCGCTGAGATTCTAGTACTTTAGAATGCGTGGGATTTTATGTTTTTTGGTATGGTTTGCGGAAAGAGGTTGTGAGTCATTGTATGCATCCGTCTTGATTTCTTTCAGAGAATAGTGGTTATGAGGTATAATTCTATATTTGAAAATGCTTCCTGATCACAGCATTTGTGGACGGTAGTTCTCATGATTGTTTCCCATCTTCAGTTGTCGGCTGATATTCCTGCTTCTCTTACGATCAGCGTTCCTGTTGCTGCTTGTATTTTCTTTGGTGAGAAACCTTTCTGTGGCCAGTTCCTGTGCCGAAGGATGGGCCAGTGCAACGGTCTTTTCAGAATCAGGTATGTCTCTGGGAAGTCTTGGGTTCTGCCTGTAATATCTCGACATGGATCTGTGTCCCAGAACCAGCCCCGATGGGAGTTCCAGTTCTATTCCATTATCCCTAATTTGCACCAGTGTATAACCGGAGTCATCATCATACTCTGAATCATTATCGTCGGAATCATCTGATTCGCTTTCATGGACTAGGGTAGTATCAGCATCCTCACTTTCCACCGCAAACGAAACAGATTTTGCAGATCTCGTCGACTTCTTGGGTGGCTTTTCAACATCTTTCAAAGAACTGAAATCGTAGAATTGGCCGAAAAAACTCCTGTCTTGTTTCGTTTCATAGGGTATGCGACAATGGCCTTTAGCAATAGCATGCTGCCTCGTACTTTGAGTGCCTTTTCCCAGAAATCCACACGTAATACACTCGAAATCCACTAAAACTTTGGTGGATAGGTATGTGAGTAACCCTTCAACATCGCTGAGATATGACCTTTCTGGAATATACAAGCCATGGTGTTTGAACATATGAGTGATATTACGTTCCAGTTCCTTGCTTTCCCTCCCACAGTAAATACACGAAGTCAAGCTAACCTCTGGTTCAGCCTCTGGTTCTGAGCCAGAGTCAATCTCTGATTCTGATTCGTGGAAGGCATCAGACTCAGATATCAACTCGTAGTCTGTTGAGTACATTGCCTCGCTCATGGTTTCGTAGGCAGACTCCGTTTGGTCAGAAATGACTCTGGTCAGATCAACTGGCTGGCCTAGCGAAAATCGAGATAATTCCGTCGCAACGCTCGACGCAGGACTCTGATCACGTATATCTATCAGAACGTCATCATGAACCCTTCCTCGTAGTCGTTGCTGCCTTCTGAGGTCCTTCTTTGTGATCTGTCTGTTACCACCACTTCCCCTTCTCTTCTGGTGCACATGGAACCCAAACTCGTCCTCATTGGTGCTTGACGTATCATTTGTTTTCATGAAAAACTTTGTCGCAAAAACATCCGAAGAGACCGGTGCCAGTTCTGCCACCCTGCGCTTCAAATTGTACCTGTGCCATTCCGTCTTCATGTGCATTCGCTGCAGATCCGCAGTCACGAACTTGATCATACAAGAATTGCACGTGAATGCAGACACGCCTGGCTGTTGGACTCTGGGAGTAAATTCCATGCTTTATGGTCAAATTTTTTTTGTCAAAGCTTGGAAGTCAGAGTAAGTTAATGCTGATTGTGCTGTTGGAAAATGCATCCACGCCATTTCGCGCATTGCTCATTGCGGGCTCAAGACTAATTAGTAAGAGCACTATAATAAATATGGTAATCAGACGATCTACGAAACCATTCGTAATTAGGGCAAGAAATTGGATTCTGGATGTTAGATTGATTAATTGAGGGTGTGAAATAATAAATGAATTAATATACCAAAAAATGAGCATTTCCATCAAATGAATACTTTCTCAAGTGTGAAATTGGTGTCTACGCTCTAAAAGTAAGAATTCTGAGAAATTTGCAAAAAAACAAAAATCGAGTTGAATGAGTTTAATATATAGAGCTTAACTGATGGTAAAACGACATTGTTAGTACCCAAATAGAATAAAATATATAATTTAGCTTATCCGTTTTCATAATAGAGTAATATATAGCGCATCCTGCGCTTCATCCGAATTTGTGTAGCTATAGATAGGTAATAGCTAACAGTTAATGCATAATAGCAAATAGCAAATAGCAAATACATGAAGTCGTATAATTTAGAAAAACCTTCCCAAATGAGAATCTATTCCAGATGGTCATGGTATGCAAATGATCCATAGCTTCCCCTGTTTGTATGCAAAGACAGTAATGGAGAATCACCATGATGCTGTGTCTGGTGATTCTTCTGTCTTGAAAAATGATTAATGTGTGCGTTTTCATCGGCCGAAGAGCCGAATTGGATATCGTCATCGTCATCACCAATGATGACGGTAGCAGACTCTGCCCATTTCTTCATGGCTTTGTGAGTTGTTTGATTTTTGAGACTTGAGAGGTTGTCGGCAGCGATAGGCACCGACGCTTTATTGCGGGGTCCCATCAGATCCTCTATGAGAAAGTCAATTGGAGATAGCGGTGTGAGCTCAGAAAGCTTTCTGGCATGTTTTGGGGACAAGATCACGATCGGTTTGCAGTCTAGTGTAGAAGAACTGGCAATCGACATAGCAATCTTATTCTGCACTTTGGAAGACATCTTTTTGTGTATCATGATAGGAGCTCTCTTTCCTGCTATAGGAGAAGGAGAAGTAACTAGCTTTCCAGAGCGACTCCCGTGATTGACTTGACGACCATAATCCCACGAGTACCATTGAAAGAGGACTATAAGGTCGAATATCACCGTTCCAATGGAGCCTGCTAGATAGCTCAATTCCTGAGTCCAGAACTGGTTGGATACCTCTCCTCCAACGAGCGCACCCTCCGAAGTGCAGAGCGAGATCGAATATAGAAGGTTGCCTGAAATAGCAGCCATGAACAGATTTATAGAAATACCCCTTGTTGAATGCAGCTTGTGGTTGGTGATGATCTGTGGAATGCGTGATGAAAGATATAGGAACGTGCAGGCCCAAGCAAGCAGCTTGGCAACACCCTGTCTATCCATGTTTCCCAATAAGTGGAAAAAAAAGGAAATTATCTGATCAAAGGCAGATTGTCTGGTTGGTTCAGATTGGGTGGGTATGGGCAAACCGTTGGCTTTGCTGAAACCCAATATGAAACTGGAACTGATGAGCTTCCCAAAACTAGACGGATTGACATTCATCTGCCCACCAGCTGCCGCCGGTATATCTGCTGGAATATGTTCGATAGGTACAGCAGATGGTGTTATGTTAACATTATCGGAGTTTGGCGCCGCTGACTGCCTTGGCTGGCGTGTCGTCAGTCGCTCTCTCAGTGCAGTCTTGGGACTTCTCACATCCTTCATCCTCTGGCTCCGTTTCAGTCTTCTGGAATGGTCTTTGGATTTTTCATATACGCGACTGTAATAATAGTACTGACCTGCCAGCACTCCATCAATGATAATGTAATAGCCGCTCAAAAGTGTCTGGAAAGGCAAGGCGTTGGACATCAGGCAACTGGTGAAATTGAGCAGGTCGCCCATGAACCAGCAGCCAAGAAAAGCCAGCGATAGCCCTTCTACAGACTTGTCTCTATAATTCTTGATCACCTGGGGTAGCTGAGCAAATAGCCAAGCTATTATCGAAAGATAACCTGCTACCTGCGAAACAGGTTTTAGGGCAGCAATCAGGCTGGATCGGTCCATGTCTATGGCACAGCTACCTGTGAGCACGTAGATTATCTTGATGAAAAGCTTGAGTTCTTGACAAAAGTCACTCGGCGATTCTTGATTCCAGTCGTCCGACCTCAAAACCATACTAAAAAGTCCATAAAACGCGCAAACCCTGCTTTTTAAAGAACAATGATGTCAAAGTTTTTCAGCTAAGACAGCACCGAAACAGCATCGTCACCGGCCATTTTCGGGGCACCGTAACCTCAGATAAGATACGGGTAGTACCGTTTTGGGACAGTGAATGGAGAAATTTTTGCAAAACAAGTATTCGGAGGTCATGATTATATTCGGAGGTCTGAGGTACGATTCATAAATATTTCAGCAAATTTAAGGTAATTTGAACAGTTCTTTTTGGATTATGTCAATTTGGCAGCATTGTCTAATGTGGGTCATATCGTCGTGATTCGTAAGTGATACATATGGCTATTATTCACTTAGCATAATTGGTGAACCTTTTCTTTTTGAGAGAGACATCTAGTTACGGTGGAGATCATTCAGTCTTTTCATACTCAACAAAACTCTTCCCCCAGTAGCAGATGATACCCTTCAATCTGCCTTCATTATAGATGTTAGACACCTTACACTTGCCTGTGTCCCCCAACACTTCCCTCGTTACCTTCGACAAAATATCTAGGTCGGTATTGCGGGGTAGAAACAGTGCCACGTTCGCGGTGATCTCGAACATACTTTGCAATAACTCTTTCAAAGGCAATGGCTGGAGTTTGTTCGGATTGAAACTTTTGTGAGCGAGATATCCAGTCCCACCCCAAGGTGGGGACGCGAATGCCACATCCACCTTTTGTCTCTTGAGTTCCTCAACTGCCTCCTTGCTCGGCGAGCTCCAGTCAGATTGCCATAAATCGTAGCACGAAGGATCCACTTTGTACACAAGGGCATTCGCTCTGGTGCACATCAGACTTGACTCGTTATAATCGATGCCAATGACTCGGTCGAAGTATCTCGCAAATTGGATGAGGTTCCCGCCCGCACCACAAAACAGGTCCAGCACCAGTTTGGCATCAGGGTAGCAATGCTTGATGAACTTGGCGACGAAAATCGCAATGTCTTCGGGTGTCACCGAGAACCACATCTCTTTGGTCAGGAACACACCTTCATCAAACCTGTGAAACAGCGAATATCTGTTGAGCCAGTATTTCTTGAGATTTTTCGGTATGCTCTCAATCTTGTTGGATAGAATCAGACTGTCATCATCCATTTTTTCAATGCAATACCAAACTCAGAACAATCTGCTGCTATACGCAAAAAACTATCTGATACAGGAAAGATGGAATAAAGCTTGAGAAAGAATTTGTCAGTCACGTGACTGATTTTTCACTTATCAGATAAGCCACATATCGGGGGAACATGTACTCAATACTTTTCCGAGCCAACATTCACTGCAGACTTGAAATAATAGTATGACTACAAATGTCTATGCTGGAATTGATATCGGCTCAGCTTCAGTTAGGGCTGCTACACTAGATGAACATGGCACACTTTTGACGGTTGCCGAGCATGGCATAAACAAAGTTGAATATGCCAATGCTCCCGGCTTTGTTACCCAGGATGCCTTTGAAATCTGGAAAGCTGTCAAATTTTGCCTCAAATCCGCAGTTGAAGAATTGAAGGCGCAAATACCAGACTTCCAAGTGGACGGTATTAGCTGTGCTGCTACATGTTCGCTGGTAGTGATGAAACTATCTAGCTCTGGAACGGATCTACTTGAACCATACTCTGTTGCCCCAGACAAGAGCAACCCCAGCTCCAACGTGGTTATGTGGATGGATAAACGGGGCAATTATTCTGAGACATTGGGTTTCAGCCACCCCAGGTTGGGTGGTGCTTTCAACCCAGAGATGGCTATCCCGAAGATTTGCAGTATAATTGAAAGTGCAGGAGACATACAAGTATCCAAGTTGAGGTTCTTTGACCTTCACGACTTCATTTCATTTATGCTATGCACTAATAACAGAATTGAGACCGAGGGATTTAGTTTCGACTATCACCACCTCGATGACAATGAGATCGGCATGGGAATCGATGGCTCATTAAAAGGTTTTTCCAAAGAGCTTCTAGCCAGCTTTGGGTTGAAGTGTATTGCTGCAAATGACTTTCAAATGGTTGGACGTGTAGAAAAGAGACTGAAACACAAAGAACACTTACCCATTCCTTATGCTGGTTGCCGAATTGGGAAGGTCAATCCTGATCTGGCTCAAGAAATCGGAATTCGCTCAACTGAAAAGTCTCATGAGACATATGTTGGTCACGGCGTCATAGATAGCTATGGAGGATGGCTATCCACAAGCGCAGCTTTTCCGGTGCAGGATGGACTAGCCTCGGTTGTGGCAGGTACCTCCACTTGCGTTATCATGACTCGATCTGACTCAAAATCGATTGAAGTTGGACCAAAAGATGGACTCTGGGGTCCATTTCTGGAGTTGGATAAGGGATTGGGGGTATATGAGGGAGGTCAGGCGGCAGCTGGTCTTCTGATTGATCAAATAATAAAATGCCATCCCGCGTACCCAGAGCTACAGTCTATAATGGCCTCACATAATACAAATGCTTTTCAAGCTTTGGAGTACGTTATTGAGCATTACTCGACACTCCACAAAAACAACTTCCATTATCTGACAAGAAACATGTTCTTGTATGGTGATGTGGCTGGAAATCGGACCCCATTGAACGATCCTCAAATGACTGGCAGCTTCATCGGAATGGGAACCGACAACACACTCTTTGACCTTGCGAGTCGGTACATAACTGGCCTTGAATTTTTGGCTTTGCAGCTTTGGGATATTATGCGCAACTTTGAAGTGGAAAAGGTGGTGGTTTCGGGTTCTTTTGCAAAGAACAGAAGGTACCTTGGTCTTCTCGCTATAATTGGGAAATCAATTGGCCACTTCAGTGTATTTGAAAGTCACCATTCGAAGCATGAAGTCGCAAGGGGAGCTGCTTTACTTGGAAGGTGTGCTTCTCTGTCTTGCAATAGCATTGGAGAGTCATTGATTAGCCTCATGAAAGCTGATAAGACAATTGCATTCCCAGTGGAAGAGGTGGAGAGCTGGGAACAGACTGCCAGGATTCTGAGAGCCAAATACGAAATCATGTTGAACATGATGGAGTCACAACGAACTTATAGACATATGATTGCATCATCGTTAGAAAACCCTTTTTAGACAGTGACTTTTGGCTTGCATGAGCAGCAGTTCATGATCTAAGATGAGTTGATATTGATAAGTCCAATTTCTGACTTTTGTCGTTCGTTGCGGCTAACCCTGTAGTAATGATCGGTGAACTGGGCAGCCTTCATATGCGTCAGGAACTTCTCATCATGAGTAATGACTATAAGCTGGAAGTTGTTTTGAGACTGCCTGTTTTCAATGAGCTGGTTCAGCGACCGGGCAAGACTCTCGATATTTGGTTCGTCCAAATTGGTAGTAGGCTCATCAAGGGCAATTATACCACAGTTTACGCCAAAAGACTCAGCCAGAGCCAGTCTTATGATGATACTGGCCAAGACCTTCTGGCCGGCTGAACATCTGCCTCTCATATCAAGCTCAGTGTCCTGCTTAACCATAACCACGCGGTAATTGTACGACCGTCCAGCAGACTTCACCTGTGAGGATGCCATGTCACTCTTAATGAGAATGGTATCCACATCCGTACCGCTGTACGTCTTTTTCCACAGCTCGTCGATGATCTTGTTGATTTCCTTCATCTTTAGACTGTGGTACTTCATGACAGCATTATCCAGAGCCTTGGAGTAAATTGTGATATCGTTTGAGAGCAGCATTTTGGTCTGTAGCCTCGTGAACTCTTCTTTGTGTCTTTCTCCAATCTTGTTGTAGTCGCGTTCGAGCTCATTTCTCAGCAATTGCGCGTTTTTCTGCATTTGACTCACCTCACCAATTTTCTGGGAATGAACTGACTTCAAGTCAGAAAACTTTTGTCTCAGAACTTCACTCTTTTTGACGTACTCGTCTCTCATTACCAACGCGTTTTGTGTATCGAGCTTCTCTAGTCGGGATTCAGTGGCTGCAATCTGTTTTCTTATGGACCGAAGGTCTAGGTTGAGCCTTAAGTTTCTTTTCAGGTTGTCTGTTTCTGACAAATCACGCTCCATGGTTCTCGTGAGGGAATCACAATCTGAGATTTCATGATTAAGACGAGCGATTGTCGACTTCGTATCAGCAATCTTGCTCTGGCAATTTTGCAGTCGCAGGATGTCGTGCTCCTCATATTGCATTATGGCGGCTTTTAAATTGTGCCACTCATTCAGCTTCGCAGATAATTTGGAAAGTTCTGCCTTCAATTCATTCAACTCCAAAGTCTTTTTTCTCGTGAATGCTTCTTGTTCATCTGATGCCGCTATGAGAGCCTCTTTGAGTTCTTTTTGCTTGGTTTCGCTGACGGCAACAGTCTCAGTATACTCTCGAATTTTGAGGACATTTTCTTCCACAATCTTTCTCAGATTGACCGACTGTAGAGATTTTCTCTCTAGCTCACTGATCACCAGACGCTTGTCGCTGACTTCCTTTTCGAGAGCTGATTGAGCATTTTGAACTCTTTCTTTAGTATACAACAGGTCTTTGAGCTCCTCACGTAGTGCTTTGCACTCGTACATCTTGGTTCTTCTCAGAGACTCCAACTCCTCGATTGTTTCAGATTGTAAGCCGCTTGAAGACATCTGCTCCTTGACAGCGTGGAGCTCATTTTCTTTTTGATTAATATCGGTCATCAACCTGTTCATCTGACCAACTGCCTCGCGAAGATGTTCCATATCCAATAGCGCATTTGTCGCATCTTTCAATTCCAGCTCACTTCGATGAAGTTCAGAAGTTTTCTTGTTCAGGGCATCTTCAGCAGCTTTGATTTCTGTTTTCATGCGGTCCGTCGTTTCACTCATTATCCGAACTTCAGAAACATCTGCTGAAATAGAACGTAGATTTGCTAGTTCAGTTCTGATTTCCTCTATTTGACTTTTCATGATTATCGCCTTGAGACCTTCTCCTGCTTTGGCCAGAGTCTCTAAAATTGTGTCGAAGATTGCCTCAGTGTCGAATCCCCTTCTACACGTTGGACATATGCGATCGGCTTTAGTCTTTCTAATGGCCCCTTCGTTGATTCTGAGAGCAGCTTTTGCACTTTCATAAACCTCCATAGCTTGATCATACTCCACTTGTCTGTCTTCAAGAATTTTAGAGAAATTTGGCAACTCTTCCTTCGTAATGAACTTGAAAACAAATCTCTGACTGTCACGGGTCTTCGATTGATAGTCTTTCAGTTCTGTTGTCAAACGGCTGTACTCGTCCTGGATCTTTGTATTCTCTCTTGCTATCTGCTCGTGAGTGTTTAGCACGTTATCCTTCCTACTTTTCAAACCTTCAAAGGCAGTTTCCCACTGCTCTTTGCATGCGGAAGCTTCTAAATCATGGCCAGTTCTCAGTTTGAATAAGTCTGCATTTTCATCTTTCAAAGCTTGAATCATCGCTATATCTGATTGTTTTGACTCATTCAGCAGCTCAACTTTGGCCATCACTGCTCCGTGCATACTCGCTTGGGATATGCTTTTGTTGAGGCTTTCAATAGATGATTCAGCATCCAAAATAGTCAATTCTCTTTGCTCGATGGATTTGGCAAGCACATCAGCCTTGTTATTTGATTTTGATGCAGTCAGCTTCTCAAGAAGCTTTTCCAAAAGTGCCTTCTCCACAACCAACTTTGTGGTGTTAACCTCCATTCCTTCTATGGCCCTCGTCATGGACTGGTTTTTTGTAGTCAATGAACTTATGTCAGCCTTCATGTACTTCGCATGCTCAGCCTCTGTTGATACCTGGTCTCTTAGTTGACGTATTTCATGCTGCAGTTTCTCGTTTTGCTGTTCATACTTGGGCTCTTCAGTCTTGATATACTTTGACAAATCTTCAACCTTTTTTTCGAAGTTTATCTCAAAACCCTGGTCACCAAGTTCCCCGTCGAATTGGTGCTGTATTTGCAATCTTTTTTCAAGGTTACTCTGGTATTGCGTAGTGAGCGTGACAAGTTCACCTTCTTCTCGGACTAGTCCATTCAGACGCCGCTGTTCTGTCTGCAATTTGGAGTTCAAGGACTCTAGTGCTGCCCGTGTTTGCTCTAACTCCTTGTTTTTCTGAGACAAAGTCTCTGTGAAGTTCCCCAAACTCTCCTCCAGCTTTGCATCAGAATCTGTGAGAACGGTAATCGACGCCTCCAATCTATCTTCTTGCTCACGCAAACTTGTGAGACGTTGCTTCAAAGAATCTAGCTCGCTCAGAACCTTTTCGAAATCCTGGTTTGAACTGAAAAGTCTTTCTGCCTCTGCATCCAGCACCTGTAGCTCGTTGCTCATCTGCTCAATTTCAGAGTTGTACTGGAGAATGGTATTCTCCACAGCCGCAAGTGTGTTCTTCTTCTCAGAAGCCCTTTTTTTGTCATTAGAAAGATGGCCCACGTTGTTATTTAGCAATTTGATATCCAATGCCATATCCTTGTTAATGGCCTTGAAGTTATCAAGCACTTTGATGAACTTCACGGAGTCAAAAATCTCATCAAATCTCTTTTTCAACACCGAGGCTTCAGAGATTGGCCAAAGGGAATCGTCCTGGTGACAGAATATCACGTAATTCAGAATGGCCTTGGATGTACCCAGAAGGTTGGGCAATAGCTGCTCAACTTCGTTGGCCTTTTGACTAACTGTCGTTCTTTCACCTTTGTTTATAGCAACCAATTGGTTCTCCAGAGTTTTGAATGTGGAAGAATTGTTAGATTTAAGTACCAACTGGAGTGATTTGCTGAGAATCATGTTCTTATCGTTGCAGCTAACGAAGGCAAGCTTGATTTGGCCTTTCACCTCTCGATCTCCTAGGATCTTGGGATCATGAATGAAAGCCCCGCCTTTGGAATTTGGTGGCAAATCTCCAGTGGTAGCATACTTCAAACACTCAATAATAGTGGTCTTTCCGGACCCGTTTTGGCCCACAATTAGCGTCAACGGCTTGTTGAACTGGATCGTCTCCGCAGACTGGGGATCAAACGAGCGAATTCCCTGGATGGAGAGCTTGTAGATACTCGACCTGGCAGAACAAAAAAAATGGTTAGTCATCACATTACACGCGTAAATATCTTCAAAACGCACTCACATATGTACAATTTGGACCAGAGCCAGTCTCTAGTTGGTAAGACATTAACATATGTTGTAGAAGCTCTTAGTCTTTAGGGCCCATCGGGGGACTTGCGTGTCTGACACAAAAGCTCTTTGTCAAAATTTGGACCTGTTGAAGATGGCTGTTGTATGTACTCTTGATGACTTAAAGCTCACTTAAACCAGCTGACCAGTTGCTGATTGAAGGTGTTTATGCTCAGAAGCTTCATTAGAAAAATGTCCTCTTCTATTTCTCAGCCCACGTGGGTGCAGCCGGTTACCGCCAACAAGGATTTGCAGTCTACGCTGAAGTTGTACAACTCTCTGACTCGTGCCAAGGTTCCATTCATACCCAAGGATGTGAATGAAGTGACTTGGTATAGTTGTGGACCTACTGTGTACGATTCGAGTCATATGGGTCATGCCAGAAATTACGTCACTATTGATATCAACAGAAGAATATTGCAGGACTACTTTGGCTACAACGTGACCTTTGTCCAGAATGTGACTGACATTGACGATAAAATTATCATCAAAGGAAGACATGAGTATTTGTTCCAGCAATTTTCGTCCAGTCATACTGAAATCGATTCTGAGCTTGTTTCGGAGGCCAGGGAGTCTTGGACCTCCTACGTCCAGAAAAACCTGCCAGGATACGACTTTGCAGTGGGATTTCCAGAGTGGACCAAAACCCTTGACCTGTCCAAAGCTGCTCAGGAAAATCCTAAGACCCCTATGTATGTAAAGGCAGCTTCTGCGGCTTTGGTTCAAATCAACGCGCCAACTACCATTGAAGAGTTTCTGGCAGCCACCAAAGACGTGATTGTACCCTCTTTGGACAAAAAGTTCGGATCAACAGTGACTGATCCAGAGGTGTTCCGCAAGCTCTCAGCGTTCTGGGAGAATGAATACAACAAGGATATGGCCAAGCTGAACGTAATTCCTCCTACTGTCACCACCAGGGTGTCTGAGTACGTTCCTGAAATCGTGGAGTTTGTGAGCAAGATTATTAATTCCGGCTATGCTTATTCTACTTCGGATGGATCTGTCTACTTCAACACTGCCAAGTTTGACAAGGCTCCAAACCACGATTATGCAAAACTGCAGCCATGGAACAAGGGAGATTTAGATCTGATTGAAGACGGTGAGGGCTCTTTATCGCTCTCTACTCAGGGAAAGATTAGTCCTGCTGATTTTGCGCTCTGGAAGTCATCCAAGCCAGGTGAACCATCCTGGGATTCACCATGGGGCCAGGGTCGTCCTGGATGGCACATCGAATGTTCTGTGATGGCGTCTGATTTCGTTGGAGAAACGATGGATATACACTCCGGTGGTATAGATTTGGCTTTTCCTCACCACGATAACGAACTGGCCCAATCTGAAGCCTGTTTTGATTGCAAGCAATGGGTGAACTACTTCCTGCACACCGGTCACCTGCACATCGAGGGTCAGAAAATGAGTAAATCTTTGAAGAACTTCATCACCATTGAAGAAGCTCTCAACAAGTATTCGGCCAGGCAATTGAGATTGTGTTTTGCCTTGGTTCAATGGAACAACCAATTGGACTTCAAGGAGAGTTTGCTGAATGAGGTGAAAGCCATTGAGTCGACACTGAGTAAATTTTTCCAGAATGTCAGGGCTTTGAACTCGGATTACACCCACATGGTTTCGGAGGGACAGATAATCTCGAAGAAGTTGGGTCTCAAGGAGAGGGAGCTACTTACTGAACTCCAGAAGACCCGTGTTGCTGTTAATTCTGCTTTCTGCGATAACCTTTCTACACCCGTTGCGCTGAGATCTCTGTTGGAGTTGGTTCAGTCCGTGAACAACTACATCCAGTCCGCTGGTGTGGAGCTGAGAATAGAGCCTATTATCCAGGCAGCAAACTACATCACCAGGATTCTTGGTGTCGTCGGCTTCCAGTCCAGATCTGATAGTCTAGGCTGGGAGGACTCATCTTCCACCGGATCTGAAGGATCGAGAGAAGAAGTTGCCATGCCGTTTGTAAAGGTTCTTTCTACGTTCCGTGACTTGGTTAGATCTTCAGCTATAGAAAAGCAGGACTACAAGGTGTTTTTGGATGCTACCGACAGGATCCGTGACAAGGACTTGTTGGATTTGGGTGTTGCTCTGGATGACAGAAACAACCAGGCGGCTCTGATCAAGTTCCTGTCTGCGCAAGAGCAGGAAGAGTTGACTAAGCAACAAGAGGAAAAGGAGAAGATTGCACAGGCCAAGCTGGCCAAGAAGGTGGAACAGCTGAAGCTCAAAGAACAGCAGCAGAAGCAGCGAATGGAGAAGGCCAAGCAGGTTCCCTCTGAGATGTTTAAAACAGGTGAGTACCAAGGATTGTATTCGGAATGGGACTCCGAAGGTTTGCCTGTAAAGGCAGCAGATGGTACAGAGGTGACGAAGAGTGCCAGGAAGAAGTTGGTCAAGTTGTTTGAGCAGCAGAAAAAGCTTCATGAAGAGTATTTGAGTCTTCAAGACTAGATGTACGATGGAGTATGAAGAGGGTTATTTTAACCAATATATGATCAATTTGAGTCTAATTTGAGTCTAATTTAAGTAGTTGAACACCATTTTATGTCTCGCATATTTCTCCAGATTTTGCACAGCCTCACGCTGATGTAATTATGTAAGTGATGAGGGCTGGTGAACGAAAGATTGTTAGTTTGTTATTGATATACCCGGCCAAAAAGAGTGCTAGAATATTCTCTGGAGTACTCCAGACCAAGTATTGCTGTTTTTTTTGTCTTATTTTATTCGCAAAGGTTCAAGTATTTATTTTTCAGTCAAATCGCAGAAATAGACGCGTGAACCATGTCAGGCCTACAACCTCATGTGATGAACCCTATTGAGGAGTCCGACTCCGAGCTGTCTTCACTTTCCTCGGATTCTGAGATCAACATCGACCAGGGAGTCAGAGCATATACTGCCAAGTCCTATCGTCGGAAAAGTTCGGATGGGAAAGGAAGCAGCTCGAGTGTGGAGCGACAACGTACGGAGTCATCCCTGGGAAACATATCCGTAGACTCTGCTAAGGCCTCGAGTATTAAGTCATCCAAAAGCTCAGGAGGAGTGAGTCCTCTCGGAGAATCACCTGTTTTGTTTGGGCCAGGTCGACAGTCCTCATTCACTGATCAGGCCTCGCCAAAAAGATTGAGGAAAAGGACATTAACCCAGGAGTCTACGAACTGGCTGCGAAGAAAGAGCACGGCCCTTGATCCACTACAGATAGGGGAAAATGGAGCTGGTTTAGCCAAGACGTACTCGCGAGTCGATGGAGACAAATTGGTTTCCGATAAGTTATTTGGGCTGGATCTGATGGGAGGAAAGAAGAATGACGAAGAGGCAGCCGGTGCGACAGCTGATGCTCCTGGTGGTCCTCGTGATTACGGTGATCTGGATTCTATTCCAAGTGACGATATGGTGGAGATGAAAAGCGAAAACGGAACTCTCTCAAGAATCGCCACGTTAAGAAAAACTGCCACAGAGGCCTTCGAGCGCAAAATAGGGTTTCTTAACCCGGAGTTCCAGAAATTCAAGTTGATATTGAAATTCGTCAGGGTGTATCTCATAATCGGCCTTTTTGTCATGGGTCTGTTTTCTCTATACTGGGGGTCTCTATATGGAAGACAAACGCGAACACACAACATGAAGGTCTTGTGTGTTTTGGAGGACGAATCAAGCGCGAACTATATCTCTAATTGCTTCAACTCGACCGTTCATAACGCTACGTTGGCCCCAAAAGCTGGGTGGGAGTTGGTAAACGAATCTCAGCTTATGGAAAGACATCCCTTCAACACCTCAGAGCGGTCTGTGTACGAGCAATTGGAAGTATTGGTCCATAACCAGGACTATTGGGGCGCCATATACATCCACCAGAATGCCTCGGTAAACTTCCGCAATGCCATTTTGACGGGAAACTCCAGCTTCAACCCTTCAGCCCTTATAGACATTTTGTTTGAAACTGGAAGGGACATCTTGATCATGCAATCTGTTCTGGTGACAAGCATACGATTGGTGGAAAAACAGTTCCTGGTGTTGGCCACAGAGCAGATATACAAACCGATCATAGCCGGATTGAACGAAACCGCATTGCTTTCCACGATGAGAGACACAGCATTGCTCACCACGCCAATTGAGTTCACATACAATGATTTGAGACCGATGGGGCCTCCAGTGGTCCAGGCACCGCAACAGATGGGAATCGTGTATCTGCATATTCTGTCCTTCTTCCAGTTCAACTTCTTTCTTCCGGTGCATACTGAGGTGGCCAAGAAGGTGAAAAGTGGCAGTTTCTTGGTGTACAGATTGCTGTCTTCGCAGCTGTCCTATCTGGTACTTTCGCTCTTCTACTGCATCGTGCAATTGTGCTTCCAAATCCCGCTCAACAGATCGTATGAACATGGTTTCGCTGTGTTGTGGATGGTGACGTATCTCACCATGGGAGCCATCGGCGGAGCCAACGAGAATATGGCGCTTTTGTGTCTGTCCACACGGCCTCCGTATCTCGGTGTTTGGATGCTGTTCTGGGTGATCTGGAACGTGGCGCCAACGTACTCGGCCATGGCATTGACTCCGCATTTCTACCGATACGGCTATGCATTCCCAATGCACAACGGCTCGGAGCTGGTGAAGGTGGTGTTGTTCGATACCACGCGAGAGCAGATGGGCCGCAACATCGGCATTCTGGTGGCGTGGATCATCTTGATGAACGCGCTCCTTCCCTTCACTGTCAAGTATTTCCTCTACCGTCAAGACAAGAAGTGATGGGACATTATGCATTGTCTCGCGTGCGTCTGCAGAAGCTAAAACTCCGTGGTAGTGCACTACACAATATATCCCGTTTGTCCGTTCCGTCCCGCGACTCCGAGGCATTTTTGTTTAATTCGCGCGTGCCATGCGTCTTTGATTTAGCCGGCTCCGTTTTTGCCCGGCTGCAACCCACCCCACAAAGAGACCTCGGACTTTTGCAACTTTGGCGCATTGACCAAGTGGGCGGGCGTCAAAGAAGCGGGATACGGCACACGGAGTTTTTTTCCTTCTGTTCTTCTTCTGAGCAATTGTTTTAATCCCTGTTTTATTTCCTTGTTGTCTTACTGCTCTCGTTTTTATTCTTTGCCCCTCGTTACCATGCCGGATCACGCGCATAAACTGCTGATACCCCCACTCATACACACCACACCAATCACCTCATTCTCACTCGTTTCCGAGGTTAGATCGACCGAGAACTCAGCAACCAGCCCGTTTGACCTCTTGATACAAACCGCCACCCGCCAATGGGATTTGAACTCGCGCTTGACCACGCCGGGCTATTCGAAGCCCGTTCTCAAGGATGTGACGCCGCCCAGTATACTTCTTCCACCGCTTGGAAGGGTGTCCGAGTCTTCGGTTCCTTTAGTTCCTGTTGCGGAAACCTACAAGAGCGTGACTTCCAGCTTTTTTCCCAATGAAGCCAGGACCGTATTCGCTAGTGAACCTAGATCTTCGTCGCCAACTTTTGGAGCCGTTGTGCCAAAAGAGTCTGACGGTGCCGTTGCGCCCGGTGTGCCTGCTGTGAACACCGACTACGAAACAGCAAAGCCGGTCGCCGAAACTGTCCTAGCTTCGTTTTCTGCAAGGTCGCAAAGACAGAGGACCGGCCCCAGCTGTCATGCCTGTAGATCGCGAAAAATCAAATGTGATGCGCAGATGATTGTGATTTCGGCCTCTTCGGCGAACGACCCTGTGGAGCCAGAATCCTTAATATCACCTTCGAGGGATGAGACAAGTATTGATTCATGGATCGACGGATGCCAGTTACTTGGAGAGTCGAAGGAGAGCAACGAATGGTTGATTTTCCGTGTTGAGCCCATATCGTCTGAGTCCTTCTACTCCGAAGAATTCAAATCCGCCGAGCAAGAAATTATTCTGATCAAGTTCAAGAAGTGCACTGCGTGCGCCAAGAAGAATTGCAGCTGTTTTTTCGATAAAGGCTTCAACAGGTTGGATGTTGAGCGTTTCAAGCAGAGTGAGCCCGAGACAATTACTCCAGCCCCCAAGACGGAGAAGCCAGAAATGGCTTCCCGCAAGAGAAGAAATACAGATGAAAATCTGAGTTCTAACAGGAGTGACCCGGGTGGCCAGAGAAGAAGCTCGTGCAACGGATGTCGATCGCGGAAGATCAAATGTGTCAAGAGGTCTTCTGAGTCGAAGTGTGTTCATTGTCTGAGGCGTGACATAGAGTGTGCTATGCCGTGACTGTTGAGTGGTTTCGTTAATTTTTTTTTATCTTTTTTATTGGTAGCAGTCTGGCGTTTATAGAAGCATTGATTATTGACCGTCTGAATGGAATATATTCAGATTAGGCAGGATAGGAAGGAATAAGTGTGTAGAGGGTATGGAACAGAGATTATAGAGAGTACTGAGGAGTATATGTATTTAGACAATATCCTCAAGAAAATAAACTGAAGACAGTAAAGTCACCAGCATATACATAATAAGCTGTTTGCTATTGAAACAACATCTTTAAAACCAAGTACTTGTTTTAAATAACAATTTCACGTAGGCTTTCTTCTTTCCTTAGCATTCTCACTGTGTTTCCTACGAATTTTCTCCAGAACAAAAATACATGACTCTCTAAAATATATAATCAAAATCCACAATAATTTATGCAACTAATATAGCAATTCCGAGTTTACATTCCGAACATCAGGAAGCAACCAGCAATCACTGTAGACAACCAGCTTGGGTTGATGTGGCCGGAATCACCCTTCGATGATGACGAAGTTGTAGTTGTCGAGGAGGCAGCCGAGATGGTCAGGAGAGTATCCACCTTTTCAGTACCTTTAATCCAGGAATCCAGGTCAGTCACGGAGATGGAAGAGTTAAATGAGGTTGAGTTTGACAAAAACACAGTTGCCGCACCGTCAGAACCAAATACAACACCTCCCGACATCTTGGAGCCGGGAGTTCTCTCCAAGTATCCTTGGATCGGAATTCCAGTTCCAATATCCCAGATTCCCTGGAAATCGTGGATGGTGGAGTAAAATCTAGATGATTCAGTGGAGTTCATCACCTCGAAGATGTCAAACTCTCCACATCCAGAACTCCAGCACGAGCAGGAAGAGTTGATTGGATATTGAGCAGTCCTGGGAATCTGAGCATTCAGCAACCATATGGCAGGCATGTTGTAACTTGTGGTGTTTTCGTCTGTAGTGGTGTCATCTGGAGCCTCAAACTCAAAAAGAAACATTTTGGTGGTGCCGTAGAAACCATGGAACGCTGGAATACCCGACCTGTACACACCACAATCGTTACTGAGTCCGGAATCTTCACAACTGATGTTGGAGAAAATGGCATACTCTTCGTCAGAGTAAACCATATTGTCTTTCTCCAAAATGGTAGAGTCCGAAGTCTCCGTCAAACCAGTCTCATCAACATAACCAAGGGCCTTACCAAGACACGTCTTATTGGTACCAACATTTCCCATAAATGTAACGTTTTCAGCAGTCTGAGAACTGGAGTCGTAGTAGGCTAGTCTGCTCCAATCCTTGGAGGAGGAAGAATCGGAACGCTCGTAATTTTCACTGACATAGTAGGCGAACTTGTGAAGAGAAAGAGGTCCTCTTATGTGAACGGAAAGCTCCTCGTTAAGTGGAGCATTGGTACCACTAAAAGAGACTCTGTCATCACTGACCTCACAGGCACAGTAATTGTCTTCGGTAGCATCCTTCATCGAACTAACCACTTGGTAAGTGCCTGCAAATCCAAAATTCTCAAACTCCAGAACGCTGTACTCCGAGGACCATGTACTTTCGGCCTTGGAACTAGACGAGGATTTGGAAGCGCTACTCTTTGCCAAAGCTGACGACGCAAAAAGAAGTGTAGACAAGTATTGCAATCTCATGGTGCTAGTTGGTTGTGTGGTCTATAGTCTTCCAGATATTAAACGAGGTGATGAAACAGTGTGATCGACTTGAAAAAACCAGCAGCGAAGGAATAGTAGCTTGGTAAGCTGATAATCTAGCAAGAAACAAGTTGTAGCGAGATGCACCTAAATGTTTTAAGAACTGGGAATATATAAACAACTAGAAGTCAGAAAGACACCCAGGAGCGCCTCAAATAGAAACAGGCGATGGGTATGCTAAGCCTTGCAGGCAAAACTCTTCACGCGCGCGTTACAATGCGTCGGGATTCCAAAAGGGGAATTAGATTGTTTGTGCGAATTTCAGCGAAGCAATTTGCGGGGTGTTCAAAAGGTTATAAAGTATATCTGGATGTGAAAATAAATTTGCAAAAACTACCAAGGATTGTGAGTTAGTTTTCCAACGTCGATCAAGATCTCTAACGGTGAAGCGCGCGGTTATGAAACGAGAAAACGGTCTTCGGTGTCTCGGGCTGCACTAGCGAGGTTACTCCGGTGAAATTGTAGACCCTGCGATAATTTACTCAGCCTCAAGCAAGACGCGCTTGTTTTTGGCGTCAAGTTTGAAAACTTGAAGTGTAACGAAGATTTTTTTAGCCGCACTCGTAATTATAGCGAGAAAAGCAAAGAATCTGTTTTGGGTGGGGGAAAGTCGGAGGTGAAAACGAGATCTTGCCTCAGCAATAAAGCGATTCAAGGGTATACAATTTTAAGCTTGCCTTTTTCCCGTAGTTTTGCCGGTATACTCTCAACTTCCAGCGGCTAATTGTAGCTCTCAGTCCTTAATAGCGCTGCTCGCTCAACGAGCCAATAATGATGTATACTCAAGGGCTCAAGCTAGGAGGTTCCCGAAACAAGGGCTCCTGTCTAGTAAGTCCGAACTCTGTATTTATTAAGTGCGTTTTTTATTTCATCACTGTTTTGTTGGATCTAAGGTTCGGCGCTTGACTACTTCCCAAAAGGGTAACACATCGGGGGGTATCAATGCCAAAGCTGCAAAGTCATTATCACTCACAATAACAGCTCCTATTCTCGTGCAATCTACTCAGTCTCCGACTGCCTTGAAGAAAGGCCTGTGATTGAGATCTAAAACCACAAACGAAATGCGGTGGGTCCAATTGCTTTGCCTTTTTTCGCTATCGCTGCGAATTGCAAGCGCCTGGGGCGTGAAACCCAAGGTGAAATATAGCACTTTTGAAAATCTTCCCAAGGACCTGATCTTCTTCGAGGATTCAACAGTATGTCTCCAATTCAAAGCTGAGATATCGAAATGTTTACTAACAGATTCTTCGCCCTTGATGAGAGTGGTCATTGACTGCTCTAACTCATAGGTGAAAAATCAATAGAATGTGATCTACCACGATCATGGCTCGGAGGATCATGTATTTTTCTCAACAAACTCTGGGGAAACATTTACGCCTTTGAAAGACCTAAAACTAGAGGGTGATATCATTCAGATTGTTGTTCATCCTTTTGAGAAGACGAGAGCCTATATCCTTACAAACTCAATTACCCACTATCAGACAGAGGACTCGGGAGTCACCTGGACTAGCTTCAAAACTCCCGAAATACCAGGCGAAGACTCTATACCGTCATTGCGCTCCAGAGAGGGCCCTCTCATGTTTAATTCCCGCAGAACAGATAACCTGCTTTTTGCCGGCTCCTGCGCGAAGCCAGACGATGAATGGCCCTGTGAGCGAACATACTATAACTCCGTTGACGGAGGTGCTAGTTTCAACGTGATGACTCTGGCACATTCCTGTATTTTTGCTGCGAGTGCACAAAATCTCAGCTTCAAAGATTCTGACGAAAAGGCCGCAAATGCTGTTCTGTGCGCCGCTTCTACGCCTCAAGAGAAGGACGGACTGGCGTTGGTTCTTTCGTATGACTTCTTTGATAAAGAGCCGAACTTTGTGTTTGTAGATGGAGGAATTGTTACCGGGGTGAGCATACTTGGGTCATCTGATCATTATATTCTTGCTGTGGGATCGCACATGGTGGAAAGTGGGAGCTTTGCCTATTTGTCATACGATGCCAGGACTTGGACGAAGATCGAAATTCCGCATCTCCCTGAAGCCAGTTTTGAGGACAGTCTTGTACCCCAAATTCCCCAAATTTTACAGAGCTCAGAAGGAACATTGCTGATTAGTGTTAACGATGGAGGAGACGCGGTGTCACTTTATGGAACCAGTCAAGGTAGCACTGAGGGCTCCTACCTGTACTTCAAACCCAGACTGGAGAAACTAAGTTTCACAATCCTGAATGGCTTTTCTTTGCACTATGAGTCAATTGAAGCTCTCAGTGGTGTGGCCATTGCAAACACAGAAAAAGGGAGTACTATGATCACTCTCGACAATGGTATAAGATGGGAACGTCCTACTCTGAAAAATTGTGATAAATCCGGTGCACATTGCTTTGTGAACCTCTACTTCAGTTTTCCAGAAAATCAGTTGTTTACCAAGCCAAGAATGTTTTCAACGAAAATCCCCGGTTTGCTCTTGGGAGTTGGTAGTGTTGGTGAGACTTTAAAGGAGATTGAGGATTGCGACACTTTTGTCTCCTGGGATGCCGGTTTAACCTGGACCAAAACGCTGGATGGTCCTCATCTTTTTGAGGTTGGAGATTCTGGAGCAGTGATAGTTGCTATTACCGAACTTGATAACGAGGGAGTAGTGAAGTTTTCGCTAGATTTTGGTCAGACGTGGTCCGAGATTAAGCTGCAACACAAGTTGAGACCAGAATATATCACCACCACTGTGGATTCAACCTCGTCGAGTTTCCTTATAGTTGGACATGAAGTAGAAGGCAGCAACAAGATTTTGACTGTTTTCCTGGATTTTGAAAAGGCCTACAAATCCAACTGCAAAGCTCGTGATTTCGAGACTTGGTATCTATGGAATGCAGATTCCAAGCCGGTCTGCATGAACGGTCACAAATGGGCATTCCAGAGAAGAAAAACAGATGCAAAATGTTCAGTTAAAAGACTTTTCAAAGAGCCTGAACTTATTGAAGAAAATTGTCCATGCGAGATTTCTGATTATGAGTGTGCTTTTGGATTCCACACCAACTCTGAAGGTGATCAATGTGTGGCTGATATTATGGACTCATCCCCCAAAGCCCCAGCTGGTTGCGAAAATGATGAAAAAACCCACATGGTTCCGTCTGGGTTCGTTCTTACCCAAGCCAACAAATGTGACCCCAAGAGCGGACTCGATCTGCTGAAACCTGTTGAAGCCAAATGTCCCACTTATTCGGATGGGACTGATGAGCATAAGGTACCAGCCCCAGCAGTTGGTGATGGGTCTTCTAATCCAGATGAAAAGGAAGGGAACCCTGAAAATGCCGAGGATGGGAATGACGACGGAAAGGTCAAGACATTGTTTTACACGTTCAAGGGAAAAACCAGGGAGTACATTTATTTGAGAAGTGACAATGCCGACCCAGCAAATTCTGACGAAACCGTGATTGTACTGACTGACAGCAACGATGCATATGTCTCCCATGACCAGGGTTCAACCTGGGAACAGGTAGCACCTGGTGAAGAGATTTTGGCAGTCTTTTTGAATCCTTCTTTTGCTGATGATGTCTTTCTTCTTGCAGCTAGTGGTAAGCTTATCTATTCGCTTGATAGAGGAGACAACTGGAAGTCATTCAAGCTTCCATCCATGCCCAAATACGGCCCATCTCCACTGGTATTTCACCCACTCGAACGCTCGACATTATTGTTTCTTGGACAGGAAAATTGTGAAACTTCATCTTCCAAGGATTGCCATTCGACTTTGTATATTACTAAGTCGTATGGCCAATTGTGGACTCCAATAGAGGAGAATATTGAGTCGTGCATTTTCCCTGGATTTTGGGGATCCTCAAAATCCGATAACACAATTGTGTGTGAAAAATCTGGAGATGACAAAAAGATCCCGTCATCGCTGGTCGTGACTACTGACAACTTTAGCTCGCAAAAGGAGCTTTTGACTGGTGTTGTAGGGTTTGCTGAGGTTTCTAGGTACCTTGTATCGGCTGTGGTTGACGATAACTCGTTGACTCTCATGGTATCCGCGGACGGGTCTGACTTTGACCCGGCAGAGTTCCCTGTGAGGTTCAATATCGACAAATCGCAGGCCTATACAACCCTTTCTGACACGGACGATGCAATCCTAGTACATGTGACGACTAATACCAAGCCAGGTGCGGAGTTTGGAACACTTCTGAAGTCAAACAACCTGGGATATTTTTACTCTGTGTCTCTGGACTATGTGAATAGAGACTCTGCTGGATATGTGGATTATGAGAGAATGCCAGGAATCGAGGGAGTTCTCGTTGTTAATACAGTTTCCAATCCAGCCAAGGTTAAGAAGGGAGCAAAGAAGGCCCTCAGGACCATGATCACACACAACGATGGTGGAAGATGGCGCTATCTCCAGCCTCCTGAAACAGAGCTTGACGCCGGTGGAGTATGTTCTGGTAAATCTCTGGAAGAATGCTCGCTTAATTTGCACGGATTTACTGAGAGATCGGACCTCAGAGACACCTTCTCCTCGGAGAGTGCCTTGGGAATGATGATTGGAGTTGGAAACGTGGGAGAAAAATTAACTCCGTATCACGAGGGAAATACTTATATGACCATTGATGCTGGTATCACCTGGAAACAGATCAAAAAGGGCGTATACATGTGGGAATATGGAGACCATGGATCCGTGATTGTCTTGGTGAATGGCAAGGACACCACTGATACCCTTTCCTATTCTATTGATAGAGGAATGACGTGGGTTGATTACAAGTTTTCCAACCAAAAAGTGAAAGTCCAGGATATATCCACTATACCGTCAGATATGTCGTTGAAAGTTTTGTTGTTCACCAAGGTTACTATTGATTCGGGCGAAAAGACTCGGATTTTTCAGTTGAACTTTGAGAAGCTCTTTGATAGAGAGTGTTCAGGCAAAGATGAAGACTTCGAGCTGTGGTCTCTCAACCCGCCTTTTCAAAATGGCAACTGTCTACTTGGAACGGATGCCAGCTATAAGAGAAAGAAAACGGGAAGAATGTGTTACGTTGGGAAAGACATGGTAGAGAGTTCGGCTTCTTCAATCTGTGAGTGTTCCGCCGAGGATTTTGAATGCTCCTTCGGCTATCACCCAGATGGAGAAGGGAATTGCGTTGAGGATGAAAAGATCTCGAGTTCTGATGTTTGTTTCGACGACGATATAATATCGTACACACCGGGTGCGCCTTATAGAAAGATTCCATCGTCGAAGTGCGAAGGAGGTCTGAAACTCGACCAATCAGTGACGATACGATGTCCACACGGGTCTGTTTCAGGATCTTTCATCATGGCATTTGTGTTATTCATGGTCATTGTCTTGGTCCTCGGAGCATTGGTTTATGCTGTGTTCGTTTACCAGCACTACCGCAAGACTTACGGGGTAATTAGACTCGACGATGACGGCACTTTCGATTTTGAGAATCACGGTGTGTTTGAAAACGCCAATGCCGTAATAGCTTCGGGAATTATTGCTGGAGTGGCTCACGCCGTGCAATTTGCACATAAGACCCGTGATCAGATTGGTCTCTGGTTGGGCATGCTGGTGAATAGAGTCACCGGAAGAGATTACCAGTTTGTGAACTCTTTTGAGGGTTTAGGCAGTGCTTACGTAGTGGCGGACGATTATGATGACGATTTGTTTGGTGATACCTTTGGAGACGATGCCACCGAACTTGAGCACGAGTTGAGTGACGACGAAGACGGGGATCTCGCCAACTTTCGCAGGTAATTTAATTTTTTTTACAAGCTGTTTTTAGATATTAATGATACAAACCAAAAATTAAAGCCGCATAAATCATGGCGATTTCAGTTTCTTTGCTGAGGTCTCCTCAACATCGTCTTCAATGGGCCTCTTCGGAGCACCATCATCTTCGTCCTCGCTGAGATCAAGTTCGTCACTGGAGGAAACCTCCTCGTCATCGTCAGCATCCTCCAGATCCGCAGACATGGCATCTGTGTAGTACTTGACTGAGTCAGGGAATATGTCGTCAATTATTAGCCTGGTGAGGTCTTCGCCTGATCTGAATTCCTTTCCTGGTCTCATTCCAGTCCACGAGAACCATGCAAAGAAGGATTTCATTCCCTGCCTGTAATTCTTCTTGTCTTCTTTTGTGGAAATCAAGCCCTTTCGCTTTATTTTCAGTGGGTTGATCTTGTCGTAGGAACTAGGCCACTCAATGGACACGGGTGTGGAAATCAGCCTTGGCTTACCTGTATCTGGATCATTGATCTCTTGGAACTGCTTAGTGACAATTTGATCAGCAAACTTCACTTTATCCGAAGAAGAAAACTCGAAGGTAATGTCAAATTTCCTGGTGTTGTCTCCTTCAGAATCGTTGATTTTCCATTGCACATGAATATTTTTGATATACTCAATGTATCGTAGATCGTCAGTTTGCAGGTACTCTGAAAAGTCTTCATGTTGGGCCAGAACGACGTACCAGAAGTTTGGTATTTGCTTTAAAAGGTCACGCCTGCTCTCATACAGAGCCTGGGTTTTTTTGATTCTGTAGTTTTCAACGTCTTTTTCCACGGCCTCCATGTCTGTTTCGTTGGCTGAAAGCTCCAGAAACACCCTTTCGAGTTGTTTGCTAAGTCCCAGGTGTTAGTCTTTTGCCAGAGTTTAAATGTACGATTTCGTACTTACTCCTCATGAATCTCTAGGTCCACTTTATCAATCGCCATTTTTGAAGGAAAATCAACGTGTTTCGAGCTTACAATGCGAACGAATTAGTGAGAATAATTTCAATAGCGGAAGCAAAATACACAATGTAAAGGTTGTGTTAAAACCAAAAACACGCCGCGTAATTGGGAATGCATGGTCTACTGCATGGTCTTCCAATCTGTCCTGCAGTTTGGTCACTTTGTTATCGGACGAATAAATTAACAGTAGAATAAAAAACATAGAATATAGCCTAGGCCTCTGGACTCGAAAGCCTCGATTTGATGGCTTTAATTTCATCTTTGGCGGATCTCATCGACGTGACGATAGCTATTTCCTCGTCCTCTCCAATTGGATCACCCTCGTGATACTCGGATGGCTCTTCAAGGTTACTGCGAGGACCCTTGAAGATCTTTCGCCCGTAGGCAAAATAATAAATCCAAGCCAAGATCATGACACCAGGCGTGATCACGACAGTGTAGTTCATAGTGTCCTTGGTGACGACAGAGTCTGCAGGGAACATCACCAATATTATAACGAACACGATGAACACTATAGAGCTCCAGCCAATGATAGGGGAGAGTCTATCACCCAGATAAAAGTTGCCTGGAACGAACTTGGAGCGCCCGGAAGTTAATCTCAGGAAAATTGGGGTACCCCACGAGAAGTAGTTACCTGCAATGTACAACGAGAAAAGAGCGTTAGCGGCAGTGGTTCCGATCAAACACAAACAGCCCATAATCAAGGCCAGAATTCCACCGTAGAAAACGGCCCTAATAGGAGTGGATAGTTTTTTGTTCACGACCTTCACGAAGGAGCAGAAAGGCAATCCGTTGTCTCTGGCAAATGCCCAGATCTGTCTGGAGATAGCCGTCAAAATGGAGGCACCCATCAACCACTGACAAAAAGCAATGAGGGACATAAAAGCAATAGCCCAGTTCTTTCCCAGGGCATTGTAGATGATCTGGGCAATTGGAGATCCAAACTCGGAGTGGATAATGGCAGAAACATCCGGTCCCATACAGGCTGCAAGGACGATACAGATAAAAAATCCAAGGGAGTAGCACGCCGTAATGGAGCCAATAATTCCGATAGGAACAGACCTGGTGGCATTTCTGGCCTCTTCAGACATATGCACACACGAGTCGAATGCTCCAATTGTCCACACAGAAGGCATGATACCACACAACATCCAGTTCCAGCCCTTATTCCAATCGGGAGAGAAATTCTCGTTATTGCCGAAAATGAATTTTCCATCATTGAATGGAACACCATTTTTGGCACAGCCGATTGGGACAGCAATGAAGAATAACACAATTAGACCAAGGTTGCAGCAGATCGAGAATGTCTGTAACCTGGAGACGAAGTTGGAGGCGAAACACGTCACGGCGATATGGGAAACCACACACGCTGCATACACACCATAAGTTTTGCCGCTGGTAATGACGAAATCACCATCCTTCTGAAGGACCACCGCAGCAAGAACTTCACCTGCAAACCCATAGTCCACAGAACAGAGAGCACCCACAAGAGCAACCGAGTTTGTGTTACCAACGATATAAGAGATAGGAATCTTCCACTTTTCCGGCGCATAGAAATGAGACCAGTAGTAGAGACCACCTGACGTTGGAATTGCGGAGCCTAGTTCAGCCATCGATATTCCGATCAGCAGTACACCGAAGGAGGCCAGGAACCAACCCCACGTGAGAGAAGTAGCACCAGCAGAGAGAGCAGTTGCCAAAACGGACTGAGAGCTGTGTTAGTTATATGTCTGGATGGGAATTGTATGTTCTGATCTCGCGCAGGGATATATGAAAAAATGAGCCCGATCCAAGCACAAAACCGTTATTTTGAAGTTTTCACTTACCGCAATCGAAGGAAGAAGTCCCATTATAGAGAAAGCCACACCGAAAACCTGAAGAGTTGAAAAACGTCTTTTTAATTCGGCTTTGTAACCGATTTCTGCCAACAATTCATTGTCTGAATGGGCATGAAGAGCGTCAATGTTTCCAGGTGCGATGTCATGATACCTGGAGTAGGTCACCTTGATGTCAAGTTTATCGTCAGCCATGTTGGAAAAAACTGAAGTGATTAGAGAGGCTAATAACACAAACCACTTTTCAAAGATAATCAAGCTACGGCCGAGTTCTTATAAGTCTGCATAATGGCAGATAATTAAATTGGCTTTATCTATCTGATTTTCTAACGGCATCAGCTGCAGGCATGTTGATTTGTTACATCGGCCCGCGGCAATCCAAATTCTGTAATCTGCCATTTTCAGGCTTCCTGTGGATCGCAGCGTTTACCCGGCAGTAGGCGGTTTAAAATTGCATAGATTGTGACCTCAAGGAATTTTTCGGGTAGCCTGAGGTCACGATAAGGGCGAACATCAGTCACAAGCGCGGTGTCTTCAGGGGCGGACTTTTCTTTTAATTGGCTGCAAGAAGACGGCTTATCGAGTCCTGCTTATCGAGCCCTGCATACCGTTACAGCGGCTGTCATCTGTCAAAAGTGGGAGATCTCCCGGTTCTCTCGGTAGCGATTATTAAGAGAGGGGAGCCCTGTTTTCGACTGTGAACAAAGTCTGCATTTCAAAAACACAAGCACCCGATTATTGTTCTCAATTTTCTTATTGAATTTTCGTTGAAATTAGGCATGTTACAGCGACCCGTAACTTCGGGCGCAGAGCGGCTTGCTTTTGGGCGCAGGCGGCATTCTCGAGAAAAGTTAAGAGTGCAACCCTTCTAAGAAGGTGATTCCGCTGAGTGTTCTGAGTTGCCCTTTTAGGATTGATACAGTACCGCATATGATCCCAATCACCACCCAGCCATACCATATGGTCACAGCGGTACAATAGTAGATTATATTTAAGGTTAATGAAGATTTCGGATTGTGTGAGCTCCATTGTTTTAAATAATTGGCAAGTTTCGGCATTACACCAGGAAGGCGGCCCGGAAACCGGAGACGGCTTTATCGCCCAGCTATTCAGCCTGAGACTTAATGATCTATCAATTATCTGGGACCACCTCTTGTTGAAACAAAGGTTGGAGCCTTGAACGGAACTTTCAGAGTTGCTACCTTGACTGCCTTGGTAGATGCAGGGTATCCCATAGCGTCCAGCTCCAATTTGGTGGCATTCTTGGAGGTACATCCCAAGTACTTGAATAACTGTTGCAGCTTCGAAGGCTTCAAAGATAATTCTTGGGCCATTGGACCCATGTCGACATAAAAGTCGTCCAAATGCAAGACTAAAACCAGAATGTGGAGCAGCAATTTATCCTCGTGATCGGGGTCAATGGTGAAGGCCTTATCCTTGGGCTTGCCGAACTCACCTCTTCTGTTGACAGTAAATCTCGCAATCACACTGTCTAGTATAACCTCGGGTGGATTTTGCAATTTGAGTCTGAGGTTCTCCTTGGAGTTGGCCCTCATGTTGTTGTAGGTACCCATCAGCACAGACAAGTAGTACAAAATCTGGAATTTTTCCTTTCTCTTTGATGTGGAGCTGTCAAACTTCTCCAATTTCTTCTGGAGATATCTCGAACGCTGGTGCGCAAGTAGTTGAATTTGCACTTTTGGATCGTCCTGCTTAATAATCTCGTCAACACGTATGGCAGGCCACTCTTTCTTTGGAATGACAGACGTGAGAGGATACACATCAACCACATTTGTAGCTTCCTCGTCGAAACGAGGGATTGGACTATCCTTCAAAAGGTTCGACTTCACCTCCTCAGGAGTAGGAATATGCGCTGTGCTGGTTGCGATCTTCTCGTAGATGAAGCTGGAGTCGCTCTGGAGTGATGTGGAGTCAATTCTATTTCTCTCCTGGTCCAAAATAGCCTTTCTCGCCTTCTTTGTTCCAAACTCTTCACCCAGTGCATTTCTCTTTGTAGCATATCTCACATTCGCCTGCTTAATATCTGGTATCTTCTTGGCTTTACTGGCCTTAGAAGAGACCGTTGACACCAACATCGAGGATTTGTAGAATTCAATCGATTTAGAAGTTGGATCATAAACGCCCACCACATAGTCATTATTGATATCCTCCTTGGTGGATCCGTCGTAATCCAGAGCCTCATTTTCACCATGTAACACTAGCTTCGATGCGTCTTGCTTGTTCCTGTACAGTTGGAACGATGTGTCTGAAGGAATAGTCAGTCCGTTGAAAAAACTGCCCACCACCACGGAAGGCTCAGGGTTGTATGCGCCCACCTTGAGCTCTACCGCAGGCTTTTCAGTCTTCTTATTGTCTGGCATCTGCGTATATATTGGGTTTACAGTTCAGAGTCTGAATAAGATTTCATCATCACTTGAAAAAAAAAATTACCACATGTGGGCGTGTGGTAATCAAATTACTGTTTTTGGCAGATGCCTAAGACTTGAAGCCTTTCTCATGAAACTTTTGACAAGACTCAAAGGTTGAAATTCTTCTTGATTCTCCGTTTGGTGGCTTGTTTTTAGCTTAAATGCTTAGTCCTGCACATGACCCCAAGAAAATCATACTATGAAGTCCTGGGAGTGACAAAAGAGGCAACTTTGCCTGAGATACGAAAGGGATACAGGACGGCCTTATTAGCATCCCATCCAGACAAGAAGTTCACAAGCAGCGGTTCCGGTCAGTTGCAGAGTGACATCTCGGTCATTCAAGATGCGTACAAAGTGCTCTCTGATTCAGAAATGAGGCTGGAGTACGACAACGATTTGCAAAGTGTGTTGGAGCTCAATCATAAGATCGAGCTGCTGGGTGAGGCTCTAGAGGTGATGACCCTTGATGAGTTCGAGGAGGTGGAGATTAATGGAGAGATCGAATGGTGCAAAGACTGTCCCAGATGTACTCAAAAGCACAGCTTTGTTCTGTCTGGTGACCATTTGGAGGCAGGTATGAGTTATAATAACCAGAACGATGAAGACCTCAGTTATGAAATCGTGATACAGTGCAGTTCGTGCAGTCTGTGGTTGAAGGTGAAGTATTATGATTTGGAAGGGGAAGATGGCGAAGAATTGTGAAAGCAATGGAGAAGAGCGGGGAATTAATTTGGATGATTTTTGGGTGTTCTTTTCGGGTTAAGCAGTGGCGAGGTGAGTGTACCATACTTTATAAACTAACATAGTGCAGCATATCTGGCTGGATGAACCTAATTTATTAATGATCTAGACCTGGGCATATGGTATCCGATATGGAATAAACCAATGCAAAATCCTGTCCATGATGAATACAGTGATTTATCCATTGGATACCAGAACGCGTAATGTTTTGCTTATAATCCCCAGTGTACAATAGCACGATCTCGTGGGGCCCAGTGTCCAATGCTATTCTTGGCATGAACGAGCTCTTTCACGCTACTCCTAATTTTACTTATTCAACCAGTACAAAGACTGAAACGTTATATGTGATAGCGTTTGCCCAGCTGAAGCCCTGTCTATTTTTCGACTGAATTTGCTCGGCGCATTATGCCGAAAACTCCTGCTTTTCTGTACATCACTCTAAACATCACTCAAAGACCCTGCACACACCACACTTTGTAGGATGACTTCAGCCGACGAATTCTCTGCAAATTTGAGCCAGAGCCAATTTGCATATTCTTCAATAAAATAGCTCGGTGTCCTCAATTTAAGTAGTCTAATATATTTTTCGAATTTATTGACACCCATTTCTAGACCCCGTGTCCCTTTTCGGGCCGGTTTTTCTGCGCATAGCCACATACATAATGCCCTACGCTGCGTAATCCAATGAGAGCGTGGAGAGCCTTTATCAAAACGCCATCTTATTGGTCCGCGCTTGTAGTACTGGGCATTCTCGCTGGGGCTGTCCACTCGGGCAATAATGCCTAACGGTCTGCGAATATTAAAAGTCATTGGGCGGCGTTCACTGTCACGGCCATATGCTCACCTAGACACCGGACCGGCCTGACAGGAATAGCACGACTTTTCAAACGTCTTCCAAGGAGAGCCCACACGGGCACCTTGACGGCTCCCAGGTCTGAAACTGCGTCAAGGGCCGAGCTACCATATCAGCAACACATCCTCTATCTGATAAGGACAACAAATATAAGGAATATTATTTGCTCAGACAACCAAATCCCGCTTGGCCAACTTGGCACAATTCTCGAGCCCCACACGCAGGAAAAAGAAAAGAAAAAGTCCTGTTCACCTGCTGCAGGTGCCAAGTTTAACAGTTGGATTTTTCTCGTATGAATTAAAAACAGCGTTGAGAGAACCTGGACTTGTCTTCTTTTTAGTGTTCACTTGTTTCGCAGACGATTTGAACGCTCTGGTACTTGGTCCGCTAATTTAGGATCGTTTTTCTGGCATATTAGTATCTGTTCTCCGAGGACCTGCAAGCAGATTGGGAACAGCTTACAAGGAAACTTACTTGGTTCTGTTGAGCTTTTTCTTTGTTATCTGAGAGGAAATTCGATAAAGTACCATAAAAGAGGAAAAAAATTAGCATCAACATTATCATCAATATCATCACCTTTAAAATGCTCAATTTGACTAAAAGAGCGGCTTGGGCTGAACAAGCGGGCTACGATGAGGCTCAGATCGCCATGCTGGCAGTGGGTTCAGCTATGGTTCTTTTCATGTGTCCAGGACTGGCATATCTATACTCAGGATTGGCGAGACGGAAGTCTGCACTTCACATGGTTTGGATAGTAATGGCAGCGTGTCTGGTGGCCATATTTCAGTGGTACTTCTGGGGCTACTCATTGGCCTTCAGTGGAACAGCTACGAATAAGTTTATCGGTAATCTCCACAACTTTGGATACCAGAACTTGGAAAGAGATGCAGGTGGATATCCCGAGATGCTTTTTGCGAACTTTCAGGGGATGTTCTTGTGTGTGACTGTGTGCATCGTGGTTGGGTGTATTGCCGAAAGAGGGCGAGTGTTCCCATGCTTGGTGTTCTGTTTCATGTGGGCTACCTTGGTGTACTGTCCTGTGGCGTGTTGGGTTTGGAACACGAATGGCTGGGCCTACAAGTGGGGAGTATTAGATTATGCAGGTGGAGGACCAGTTGAAATTTTATCTGGATTTTCAGCGTTTGTCTACAGCGCTGTTTTGGGGAGGAGAAATGAGACCATGATGGTCAACTTTAGACCTCATAATGTCTCCATGGTCACCATTGGTACTTCTTTCCTTTGGTTTGGCTGGTTGGGATTCAATGGGTTTTCGTGTTTGACTCCTTCTCTCAAAGTTCCATACTCAATTATGAACTCTAACTTGTGCGCCGCGTTTGGCGGATTGACTTGGTGTATTTTGGATTGGAGGATCGAGCGCAAATGGTCCACTGTTGGCCTATGCTCAGGTATCATTTGTGGTCTTGTGGCGGCGACTCCAACGTCCGGAATAATTCCATTATGGGCAAGTGTCATTCTTGGAGTGTTCACCAGCATTGTGTGTAATTTCAGCACCAAAATCAAGTTCTGGTTAAGGGTGGATGATAGCATGGATGTGATGGCAGAGCACGGAATGGCTGGTGTGATTGGACTGCTCTTCAACGGAATCTTCGGAAGTTCTGCTGTTATTGGTTACGACGGTGTGACAGAGCACGGTGGTGGTTGGATTGACCACAATTGGAAGCAATTGTACATCCAGGTTGCCTACATTGCCGCGTGTGTCGGTTACTCTTGCGTGGTGACTGCTATTATCTGCTTAGTTTTGAACCGCATCCCAGGCTGCAATCTGAGAGCCCCTTCAGATGGCGAGGAAAGAGGCATGGACGAAGACCAGATCGGCGAATTTGCCTACGATTATGTCGAGGTCAGAAGAGACTTTCTTTCATGGGGTGAGACCAAGAACGCATTGAGCGTTAATGGCGAGGAACCCGAGCCTCTACTAGGCGCAGGCTATCACGAGTCAGCGTTAGCCGGCGAACAGACTCACGAGACCGATAAGACGCGTGGCGGGAGCGACCACGAGAAGGACGGGGAGCAGTAGACAAAGATGGTAGGAAAAACGCTAGTTCATGATTTTATAGAAATCCTACGTTAATGAGAACGAATACGCAGTTAGCTCCATTTAGAATTTTTCAACCCCACTTTTTGGGGTGCACAGCCCAATTATTGGCGAGCACGTGATGGAGACCAACAATTTTTTCGGCAGAGCACGCCATCGATCCATTGGAAGAGAGATCTGGAGGAAATGGCGTATCCCCTTGTTAACTGTTTGACTACTTGGTTCTTTCTTCCAACAAGCTAAATTCATCAATTTTAAGCCCAATCCTCCAAAATGGCCCCTCCAGCATTCTCTGACATTGCCAAAGAGACCAACGACGTCCTTGGTCGTGACTTTTTCCACCTGGCCCCAGTCTCCGTCGACTTCAAGTCGGTGGCTCCTAACGGCGTTGCCTTCACCACCAAGGGAAAGACCGCCAACGGTAAGACCTCGGCCAGCTTGGAGGCCAAGTACTCCGACAAGCCTACCGGAGTTACCGTGACCCAAGGCTGGAACACTGCCAACGCCTTGGACACCAAGTTCGAGGTTGTCGACGCTCTTTCTCCAGGCTTGAAGTCTGAGCTCTCCACCTCTATTGTGCCAGGCGGAAAGAAGGATGCCAAGCTCAACTTGTACTTCTCTCAGCCAATCGTGAACGCACGTGCTTTTGTCGATTTGCTTAAGGGTCCAGTTTTCAACGGTGACATCACCGTTGGCCAAGATGGATTCACCACCGGTGTTTCGCTTGCCTACGATGTTAAGTCCGCGGTCTTGACTAACTACTCTGCTGGTATCGGTTACAAGGCCCCAGTCTACGCCATCTCCTTGATTGCCTCCAACAACTTGCAGTTGTTCTCTGCTGGCTACTACCACAAGGTTTCGCCAACCGTTGAGGTTGGTGCCAAGGGTACCTACGACTCCAAGAAGGCCACTGCTCCAAACCCAGTTGCCATTGAGATTGCTACTAAGTACCAATTGGACCCATCTGCCTTTTTCAAGGTCAAGGTCGCTGACTCTGGTGTTGCCTCTTTGGCCTACTCCCAGAACTTGAGACCAGGTGTCAAGCTGGGTCTTGGTGCTGCCATCGACACTTTGAAGTTGAGTGAGTCTGCCCACAAGTTTGGTTTGTCTTTGTCTTTCTCTGCCTAGAGGAAAGGAGAGACACCACTGAACAAAACGACCACGTCAAGATTGATTAGACTTTAGTGAGACTATGTATCTCGTAACAGTATCGTTGTTCTTCCATTATAGTACACATTGTGATTGGCATATGATGGTATAGCCAGAAGTTATAGAATGGCGTTATACCTAACGCATAGCAGTCAAACACAGTTCTGATCTGGTGATTGGACATAAATCTCATAACCTTGCTTCTTAGTCTAGCACCTAACTGATCATACAGACACACATTTCGCTTCACACCTCTTGGTCATAATTACCTTATCAACATTTTTGTCATATCCTCACAAAACCTGGGATCTTCTGCGGATCAATTCTCAATACCGGCTTGAATATCTCCACAAACTCCAAATCACCTTCTCCCTTTTCACCAGCAAACTTACCGTATTCGTCGAATATTCCGCTCATACACCAGCCCTGTAGCAATTTCCTCATCAATCCCACAAAAACGCCAACTCTGTGCTTTCCCTTGTTCGAATGTATCAATATGGGGTAGTTATCAACGTTGGCAATCAGGTTCAAGGCAGAGACCAACGAGTTCTCGTCGTTGTACATAAATGGTTCCACGCTTGGCTTCATTTTCAGATATTTGAAAGAAACTTCCTGGTCCTTGATCCACCTGTAATAATCATAGTTATCTGTCTTGTCGCCCAAATATATTATAGTCTTCAACTTCAAGGTACTGAGAAACTGGAAGTTGTTCGGCTGTGGATGACCAGATCTGTAAATGCCGTCTTCAACAATTGCAAAGTTGATTGGCGGAACATAATGGGGTCGTTTGTTGAGTATCTTCAGCGAAGTGTAATTTCCCCCGTTGTTGGCGAGGTTCTCTCCCTGTTCCGTGTAACTGGGTGCTAGGGGAATTTGGCGAGTTACCTCAGGGTCATTTGAAAAACTGCTTGATTGCAGTTGACGAAGTTGGTGTTTGGCTTCGTCATATTGTCTCAGCTGCTGAATGATCTGGTCCCCTTGAGAAAACATGGTGAGAAAGAGCAAAGCAGCAGGCTGGAGATGCTGTTACAGACTTTAGACTAAGCTTTGTGCACTTCTCCCCGAGTCTGGCGATAAAGAAGTGCGCCGATTAATCCGGTCAAAAGAGGTACAGGTGCATAATGATGCTAGAGATCTAATTAGAGGTGCTAGAAGAATAAATCTTGTAAAGAATTAAGGGATCTCAGGTCTAGTACCTTCTCTCTCTATTGCGAACAAGACCGGAATCAGAATTTCTCAGTGTCGATTTTTTTGGAATAATGAAAAACTCCGGGTTTACGACTGTCTCTACTGCAGACTATATGCATGCAGGTTAGTCCAGCACCAAGAGGTCTCTATTTTTGACGATCCAGGACTTGACGGCATCTTCAAAACCGATTATTTCTTTCTCGGTTAGTACCACCATCAAAGAAACCATACCCCTGAGGGCAATCCAGTAACCCTCCTGAAGCATACTGAACCACAGCAGGTGATACAACTCGGTAATGTCATTGTCTGAATCTCTGGCTGAATTGAATTTGCCGTCAGTGGTAAAGTGGAAGTTCATAACTGATCCGTATCCAGTCACAGTCATCTTGGTTCCCTCGCATGCCTTTTGCAGTGACTTTCTCAGCTGGGTTCCTCTTTCATTCAGCTTATCAGCCGCATCCAGAGTGAGTACCTTTTTCAGCCCAGCACACCCGGCTGCAAGAGCAAGCGTATTGTTGTTAAAAGTACCAGAATGAGGAATAGCATGACCCGTAGAAGGATCAAACAACCGCAGAATGTCTGATCTTCCGCCAAATGCTCCGAAAGTCAGTCCACCTCCAAGGTACTTTCCTAAACTCACCAGATCTGGTTTCAGGGAATAGACCTTCTGGAGACCACCAGACGAAAGCCTAGAAGTCATGACCTCATCGAGGATAAAAAGAATATTCTTCTCTTTGCATTTGGTCTCAATATTTTTCAAAAACTCCGGGTTTGCCGAAATTGCGCCTCCTGCTCCTTGCATTCCTTCAACGAGTACTGCAGCGATATCATCGGATGAATCAATAACTGAGTTGAAACTGGCAATGTCATTATATTCGGCAAGAAGAAAATTTTCGTGCTCAATATTTGTCGAGGGATTTCCGTGACCAAACGACATTTGTCCTCCGTGGTAACCGCCATAGAAAACAACCAGCTTGTTCTTACCAGTGAAAGCCTTGGCCACTACCATCAAGTTGATGTTGGCCTCAGACCCCGAGTTGCAAAAACGAATTTTCTGGACAGCTGGAAATCTTTTTTTGATCTCGAGGGCCAGTTCATTCTCGTACTTGTTGTTTCCTCCGAGGGAAATTCCTGATTGGTCGAATGTATCTATTATGGCTTTCCTGATAACCGGATGGGAGTGACCATACAGCCCAGCAGTCATTTCGCCCACCATATCTGTGTAGACATGACCATCCAGATCTTCAACCTGCGATCCGAACCCCTTGGCTAAAAACAGCGGGAATGGTTCATTATATAACACAGAACGAGTATTACCACCTGGTAAGTTCTCCGCAGCTTCAAGATGAGATCTCTGGGATTTCTTGTTAGCCTCAATATAACGCTCCGTGGCCGCAGCAAGCGCTGAACTGACGTTCACAGTAGCTTCTTGAACGGGTGACATCCTACAGAGTTGGAAGAGAACTCATGAGAGGCTAAAGATGACGAGAAGTACGCCAAAGACTTTTAAAGAGGGAGCTTTGTGCTGGTAACGCAATCCTACTTATCCCATCGGAAAAGCCGATGGCGGCATTTTCAAGCCTCACCACCCTTTTTGGTAACTCTCTCCCCTGGATATTTGGGATAGGTCAGATAACTGAACATTATTCAGATACTGATTTTGACATTATTTTCGTCCAATCATGCACTTATTCCTGAAAGCTCAAGGTGTTGTTGAAGAGTCATGAGCTCCGAGCTTCGGAGCCAGTAGCCCCTATCTGCAATTTCGGAGATCCCGTATCCCCCACCGTATAGGGGTCGTGCCCGGGATTTTGCGATAAGCTACCATCCTGTGATCATACATATGAGTGCGATAATTTTGCAGAGCCGTTTTCTCTGAAGAGTTTTATTCAAGCTGAGTATTCGCATCCAAAAAAGCCATGGTTTCCCCTATTATTGTACCACCACCAATCAACCAGATCAACCCCAAATATGTGGAGGCTGGTATGGAACCCAAATTCGTTGAGCTCTACAACAAGTACAATGTGGGCAGGCTAGCTACTCACCAGGTTCCAATTGAAGAATACAGAAAGGATCCTATGAAGTACACCATTGCGTATGGAAGAGAAACCGTTGCTTTTGACGGAAAAACCGAAGACCTCAAGGTCCCTGTGGAAGGAGGAGAAATTATCGTTAGATACTATGTTCCAAAGGAGGCTCTAGATGACCCCAAACCTAGACCAACCTTCATCGACTTCCATGGTGGAGGATGGGTATTTGGAGGCCTCGGAACCGACGATGATTACTGTAAACGTGTTTGCAACGAAACAGGTGCAATTGCGTTTAACGTGGACTACAGACTAGCTCCAGAGTTTCCGTTCCCAACTCCGTTAACTGATTGCTGGGATGCCTTCAACTATATCATTGACCGTGCCGACAAGTTCAAGGTTGACAAGTCCAGAGTGGCTGTGGGTGGTTGTTCTGCTGGAGGCCATTTGTCAGCTGTCATTGCGCACAAGGCCAGAGATGTTGGAATCAAAATCTGCTACCAAGTCTTGGGAGTTCCGTGCTGTGATGCCACTGCTGTTACTCCAGACGGGAGTAAGGTAGCTCCAGGTTGTCCATATCCTAGTTGGACTGAAAACTACGACAACCCCTCGCTGCACTTTGACAGAATGTCATGGTTCTACCTGCACTTCCTGGGATCTCCAAGACCTGCTAAGTATGACAATGATCCTGAGGTTAATGTCATTCAATCTACCAACTTCAAAGACCTTGCTCCTGCCATCATCGTAACTGCCGAGTTTGATGTTCTGCGCGACGAAGGTGAGCAATATGGTAAACTGCTCCAAGACAATGGAGTTGAGTGCGAAGTGGTCAGAATGCCTGGAACTGTTCATCCATTCATGTTAATGGATGATTTTCTTGAAAGTGGTAAGACGTACAATAGGATTACCATCGCAGGTTTGAAGAAGGCTTTTGCATGAAGCTTAGAAAGTGCAATTTGGAATCTTACTAAGCAATCCCTATATATATTTGACAAAACTCAATGTAGTGCCTGGAAATAATGTGAGGAACAAAGCGTAGTACAAGGAGAGTTCCCAGTTGGCCCGTTTTGCCCTTATCTCTGGCGTTATGAGCCCTAGCCCTCGCTTCGCCTTGCCCCACATCCTCTTTATCGAATTTCCAACCTACTCTTTATCTGATACCTACCTACTGGTTGTCGGATTATAAATGTCACGAATCTACGCCCTTTAGAGGGTAGAACAAATCCCAAGATGTTAAAGTCGTCAAGAATCTCCGTCATAAAACATGGTTTCAGCATTGAATATTCCTCCTCCCATTAATCAAATGGACGAGAAGTTTCGGATTGCAATTGAACCCGAATATGTGGAGCTGTACGACAAGTACCACGTGGGACGGCTGGCATATTATGAGGTTCCAATAGAGATCCACCGCAAAGACCCACTGAAGCATGCAATTATGTATGGCAAAGAGATCGTTAAGTTTGATGGATACACGGAGGACTTGAAGATTCCTGTTGAGGGTGGTGAGATCTTGGTTAGGTATTACCGTCCGAGAGATGCCTTGGAAGACGAGACACCCAGACCAGCTCTTGTCGATTTCCATGGAGGCGGCTTGGTATTTGGAGATATTGATAGTGATGATAATTACTGCAAGCGTGTTTGCCGCGAAACAGGCGCGGTCGTGTTTAATGTTGATTACAGACTAGCGCCCGAGTTTCCATATCCTGTTCCACTAAACGACTCCTGGGAAGCTTTGCAACACATTGTTGGTAATGCTGAAAAATATGGAATAGACAAATCCAAAGTTGCCATTGTTGGAAGTTCTTCTGGTGGCAATCTAGCTGCAGCTCTTGCCCACAGAGCCAGAGATGCTGGAATTAAAATCTGCTACCAGATCCTGTGCGTTCCTGTCTGTGATGCCACTGCAGTCACACATGATTGGACTGCCGTAGCAGAGGACTGCCCCTATCCTAGTTGGAAGGAGAACTACAACAGTCCAGACTTGTCGTTCCAGTTCATGTCATGGTTATATCAATACTCTTTGGGAAACCCAAGACCCGCAAAGTATGACTCCAATCCCGAACTCAATGTGGTTCAGTCAACAAATTTCAAGGCCCTTGCTTCTGCCATCATTTTTACAGCAGAATATGACATTCTGCGAGACGAGGCAGAACTCTATGGAAAAAAGCTGCTCGAAAATGGTGTGGACTGCGAGGTCATCCGAATGGCTGGTGCCATCCACTCTTTCATGGACATAGATGATTTTCTAGAGACTGGAAAGGAGTATAACCGGATCACCATAGATAGGTTGAAGAAGGCCTTTGCATGAACTAAAAAGGTGATTATAAGCGTGTGCACCCTTAAGAAATTAGATAGAACTGCCTGTTTAGAGAAGGCTCGCGGTTTTTCTTCGCTACACTGACATCTACACTTTTGCAAAAGATTTCCAAAACCCTTACCTGCTGTGAATAAAATAAAAACAATAAGAGACTCCTAGCCAATCAAAGCTCGAACGCACGAAAGCCCATATGAGAAAGTATTCGACTCCCCCTTTTGTTTAGCTGGATCTGTAGGTATATGCGTATATGCGTATGGCCTGCAGGCATGGGTCCCTGGGTCGTCCGCATCTCAAATCAAAGTATTTGGTTCCCAGACACTACCTTGTCTTGTTATCACGCATGTACCACTTCACCACTTCATTTCCCACAAACCCCCTCATGACTGTGCGAGAGATGACGACGAGGAGACAGCGAAGGTCGGCTTTGGCGTGCGAATTTTGCAGGTAGGTAGACAGTTTTGGTTTAGGAAGATATTGGGACGACAAATAACCAAAAAAGGAAACGTAAGACGAAGTGCTCAGGAAGCTGGCCTGCTTGTCAGTTATGCTCTTTGAGAAAAATTGACTGTGTATACGAAGCAAATGCCGTTCAGGTGGTTCTGAGATCTGGTGAAGATAGTGCTATGAAAAATTCGGATACGGTGGATGGGGTTGATGGAACGCCGCTGGTCTTTCCAGACATCCTCAAGGATAAAGCCACCATCTTACAAGCTGTTCGGGTATTTTTTGATTTGTATGGGAAAATTCCTTTTTTCTTCTTTAGACGCCACGAATTTTATAAGGACCTGGAAAACGGCAAGATTGAGCAACCCGTTTCGATGGCTATAGTGACGGTCGTGGCCAGATTCATGCCTACTTTGTTTTCGAAGCACGAGGGGAACATTGAAGCGAGCGAATATTATGCTCAGATTACCGAAAAGATTCTCCTGTTTTCAAACACTCCCACGCTTTCAAATATTCAGGCTAGGCTGATATTCTGCTTCCATCTGATGGGACATGGAAGAGAATACAGCAGTTGGCTACATCTGGGAACTGCTATCCGAATGGCTCAGATTTTGCGACTTCAGAGTATTGACGGCGATGAGCAGGTGGTTAGTGGGTTGGGATGGGGTGTTCTCAACTCCAGACAAAGCAATAGTGTCATTGATGACCATTCTATAGACCTGGAAACGAAGAGAAGGACATTCTGGTGTTGTTTTCTCCTGGACAGAATACTCAGTAACGGCAGAGACCGGCCGGTTTCGATTCCTGTCGAGTCTATTCATACAAACTTTCCGTGTTCTGAAACGGAATTCCTATATCCCACGGGGAACCATATCAGTCGAAACTTCTCCTTCAAGACCAAGTCTGCCGGATCGCTACTGGGACAACTCATGCTGGTCATTGAGATATTCGGAAGAATATTAGCTTGGCAGGGTCTTGGGGGTCGCATGTTGGACAGAGTCGTTCCATGGGATCCTTCTATGCCTGTTTCTGCAATGGATTCAGATTTGGAGGAATGGCACAATAACCTGCCCTTCCACTACAAGTTTACCAAGGAAAATTTGTTCTCGCAAGCCCAGCTGTCAGAAAGTCGACTGTGGGTGGTTACCATGATGTTTTATTTCCAGGCAAAGTGTTATTTGCATCGTGAGTACTATCCTTTCCTTCCTCCGCCTGGGTTTGATCCTGCTAATGGACCAGTGGATGGCCCTGAGTTGGTTGTCCTAGATACCTCTGATGATGTTCCGCTGAAGGCGAGAGAGTTCTGGAAATATTCATCTGTTGCAGCTCTTGAGTCTGCCCACAATATATCTGCTCTATTTCAGTATCTTGTGGTTAATGACGATCAACCCTACTGTCTCCCTTTCCTCGGCATCTGCTTGCAGACGGCAGACACAATTCATTCCATGTATTCGCATTTCACATGGCCTGTATGTGACGGAGATCATGACAAAGAAAAAAAACTTCTCATGCGCGATGTTGTATCTATGGTTAAATTTGAGCAGTTCTGGCCATTGGCTGCGTTGTGGCTGAGAGCCATCAGAAAATACTATGCCGTTACTGGGGTGGCTGCTCGGAAAGACGGTGATCCTTCAGTGTGGATGAATGGTTTTGTCAAAGACCAAACCATGAACTTTATCAGGGAGATGAACATAGAGCACCATGACGATCCTGTTCCAGAAGATCTTGATATTTTTACGGAAATCTCTAACCACTGGGGTAGGCTCAGCGCTGATATTCCTGATGACGATGACAAGAGTCTCCGCATTAACTTTGCAATCCAGAGGTCTCGGGCCAGTGACCAGAATGATCATTAATGCGATATCAGACTCTTGCCCGTTTTGGCTAAATACACACGAGAGTGCACTGTCAAATCATCATTACTACCCCCAGTGACAGGTTCACTGGATAAGCCTTGAAAGTTTGCAGACACTTCAAGTTGGTGCCATTGGCAGGCATTGAAGATCAGTCGAGCCGGTCTGCCGTGGTATTTGAATTTCTTGTTACCAAGTGCTTTTGCGACTTTTTAATCGATGTCTGATCTACCGAGAATCGGGATCACCCATTGATCAGAGTCAAGCACCTGGAGGAATTGCGGGAACTGATTAACAGCCCAGAAGAATGTATATGGCTATTGATGCATTTCAACTAATCATTTGCATTGCATTGCATCCTTACCGACTCCTTTTATTTTAGTCTACAATTGCCAACAATGCACTTTGTTTCTGCCAGCGCCCGGTTAGATTCGGAGGGTAAAAAAATCGCCGATTAGAGGAAGTACTAGGCGTTCCGACGCGATTGAAAAGAACGCCTTACTTTTGATTGTTATGATGAGCGAGCTTAGCTATGTGTCCAATGCGCTGCGATGAAACGGAAGATGACTTTGCAGGTCTATACCATACGGTAGATTTTCCGTAGTGATTTTTTATGTAGACCCTTCCCCAATTCAGTATGTGTACAGTTTTTAACCTATGGAACGTTGGGATAAGACAGGGACCTCAATGTTACCCCCTCCAATAAAGTGCGGCGCACGATTCATTTTTTGACCTTCTGGAAAAGCGCTGCATGTACTCTGAGATTGTCCGTGTTCAGTACTAATCCGATTGAAAAAAATCTGCCTCAAATGTGTTTCAACCAATCAGTCTCTTATCGATTTCGTCTGATCTTTAGCTGCATCAATGGTGGTGCCGAATCATTGACTGAACCATGCTTATCAGCGATGCTCCCTGGAGAAAAAGATAAGGAATTTCCTCATCGGGCAATCCATCAAGCCGTTGACATCACTCCCGGATGGGGCATTTGAATTTACTAGTCACGCTGGCAGACCAATTTTGAGCCAGCATTGGTTAGAATCTGGATCTATCCTTGCTACTAAAATCCTAATGGCCATTTAAATTTGTCGCGATTGATAAGAGATTAGGGATTTGCTGTAGCTGCATCGTCCTTTAGCTGGTGTTTGGTTTAGCGAGAAGGGGATTTACAGTGCCCATGAGTCCCGGCCCGGCTTATGCCAATTACACACGCTTTACACCAAACTGTAGATAGTCTGTAAAAACTGTACAAACTATACGCTTCCCTGAGATGTTTCGTATACCCCAGATACCCCCTGAGAGAGTATCTTCAAGGATTGCGCCTGATGCCTGTCACTATTCCGCGAATGAACTGCATCAGCATCATTGGCCGCTATAACAATCGTTTCTGGCTTCAAGAGATCAATTCTTATTAAACAACTATCAACCAATCACCAATTCAGAACTACGTCGTTCTCAGTTCCCTTTGAACTTTAGGCATCAGTCGTGGCACAAAACCATAATGTCTTATCAGCAGCGGCACAGAAAATAAGATAACGTTTTTCCCCATCGGGAAATTGCGCATACACTGCGCTAGTGCCTGCCAGATCAGGAATTGATATGCAACTAGTATGAAGTTCAAGCAGCTATAGATATAAGCAATCCTTGATTAAGATTTTCCCAGGGTTTTGATGATTCAATTTGAGTACTTAAGCCGCAGAAATCTCTTCCGCGAGGTTGATTCACTGTAGCAGCCACTCAAGGATAAGATCACGACAAATGTCCATTGAGAAAACCAAATTTGAAGTAAGCGTTGATGCAGAGGTCGGGTCCATCAGCTCCCCAGAGGCTCATGGTGAGACTGATAAGCTTAGAGTGCAGTTCAGCACGCTTTCGTTGATCAGTTTAGGGTTTGGAATTGCATGTACATGGGCTGGATATGGTTCGTCGGTGGGAGCCACCTACCTTTATGGAGGTGCACCGGCAGTGGTGTGGACCCTTCCTATTGCTTGTTTGTATTTAGGTCTGGTTGCTGTGGGGATGGCAGAGCTAGCATCGGCTTATCCATCTTCAGGGGGTCAGTACCATTGGACTTATATGGTTTCCCCAGACAATTGCAAGGTGTTCCTATCCTATCTGTGTGGATGGATGATGACCGTGGCTTCCTGGTTTGCTGGATGCTCTTTGTCGCAGATCTGCGCAGGTTATACGTTCAATATGGCTTCGGTGGGAAATCCTGATTTTGCTGCTACTCAATGGCAACTTTATCTTCTTTATGTGCTGTACTACTTCATGGCAACCGCGGTAAACGTCTTCGCATCCAAGTGGCTGTCTCATGTGAACAACGTGATCATGGCCTGCTCAATCATAGGCTTACTTGTCTCGTTCCTGGCCATCCTGATCTGCCACAAAGCTGGTTTCAGATCCAATGACTTTGTTTGGACCGACTATGTCAACTCCACTGGTTGGAGTTCGGATGGTTTGGCCTTCTTACTGGCTATTGGAAATGCTTGTTTCAGTCTTTTGGGTGCAGATGGAGCATCTCACTTGACAGATGAGATTGACCAGCCCGCTAAGAAAGTTCCAATTGCAATGATTGTTCCGTCGTTCATGGGCTTCATCACTGCATGGCCTTTCTGCATAGCGTTCGCATATGTCACCAAAGATCTTGCTTCGGTCATGAACTCGAGCTTCCCAATTACTGAAGTTTACTATACTGCCACTGGAAATGCCTCTCTAACCATTTTCATCGCGTTCATGAACATGATCTCCATGTTTGGGGGACTCATAGGTTCCCTCCAGGCATTTTCAAGGTCTACTGCTGCTCTAGCAAGAGACGGAGGAATGCCTTTCCCGCATTTCTTTGGAAGGGTAAACTCAACTTGGAGAGTTCCAATCAACGCAATGTTTCTAGAAGGTGCCTTCGTTGTTCTATACGGTCTTGCTCAGTTGGGCTCCTCTGTCGCCTTCTCTGCAGCCGTGAACTCCCTGTGTCTTTTCCTGATGATCTCGTACTGCTTTCCACAGGCGATTTTGCTCGTCAGAGGAAGAAGTATTCTTCCTGAAAGATACCTGGATCTCGGATTTTATTTCGGATACTTTGTGAACGCCACTTCGGTGGTTCTCACAGCCTTATTTGGAGTCTTGTTCTGCTATCCCTCTTACAAGGACATCACTCTCCAGAACATGAACTGGGTTTCTGTTACGGCTGTCGGAGTGATAGTCATTCTTATGGTAGGGTGGTTTTGCGGCTTGAATAAGACATTCAAAGGACCTGCTGTCGACCTTGAAAAAATCAAGTTTCTCCGCGAGGAAGGTGTGCTTTTAAAATAGTATATTTTCAAGTTTTCATTTACCAAGACTCATATCAGTCTCATTGCGTATCTCGTGTACTTTGAGGATCCTCAAAAAGATCCTATCGGATAATAGGAATAATCACCCACTTTTGCTGCGGGCTTTTTATTCAAGCCTTTTATGTCCATCCATCTATCTCACCCTTTTATATCACTCAGCAACGACGAAATCATCCTTAGCCTCTCGTTTGACAAATGGCAAAATCCATTGATGAGCGGCGTACTAATTTCACTCCCGGAATTGTCGTATATCTTGATTCCGGGTCCATATACTTCACTGTAATTCATCATCAAGAATTGGAAGATTTTGAGGTAGAATTTCGTCACCTCCGAATGGTTCCAACATAAGTAGTATGGACGTTTGATCAGGTATTGTTTCGACCATTTTACTCCACCTTTGACAATACCAAGCAGTCTTTTCGTGATAATTTTGGCTTCCTCTTTGTGGTCTTCGTCCAGGGATTCGTTTTCTCTATGTATACTCCGCAGCAAAAATGATGCTATCAAAATGCTTGCTTTTGTTGCAAAGTTTACGATCTGAGGGGCGATAATGAACTCTGCATTCTTCAATTGTAGTATGCTGTTGAGGGACGAAAGTTGTTCCAAAAGCTTGAATGCAGAGACTGCGGCCTGTAAGGTTTTCATGGCATATTTTTCGAATAGTAAAAAACTCCCTTTGGATTCAAAGTGCAGTGTCAGGTGAAAGTACAGAGCTCCAAGGAAATTCTTGGTCATAATGAATCTCCGCAATGACTCCAGCTTGCCGTTTCTCAAGTCAAGCGAATCATCAGGATGACAAACTAGATGATCGATGCTGAACTCCCCCAGATCTGCATCAAGTTTGTCGAGCATGAAGATGATATCAAGAAGATTGACATTTGGCTCCATGAAGTTGAAAACCTTCCTCAAGATATTTCCAATTGATATTCGCAGCATATGGTCCAGTTCGTATTGGATGGAGTGGCTAGGATTGAGTGTGGGCAATTTGGTATCATATTCATCCTCGCGGACAATCAAAGAGCAACCACATTCAGCAGCTTGGTCCAAGTCCAAGGTTAGTATATAAATCCATATTCTTCTTCTCCCATCTAGGTTCTCTTCGTTTAGTCCCAAACTCTCGAGGAAACTTCCATCTCTATGAAGGCCGAGCAGCTTTGCAAGAAACACAATTTCGGCAATTTCGGCCTGATGATCATAGCTCACCGTCGTAATACCGAGAACAGGCGAAAGTTTCTTGTAAATGTTTATATAAACCAACAGCTGAAGAAGCTCCAGCGCAGGCCTTCTCGCGAGCCTCAGCTGATAGTAGCACTGATAGGCTATCATTTCTAAGTCCTTTTTTGAGGGATTTTCCAGAATAAACCTTTCCTTATCAGTCGGGTGGGTATGCAACTGTATGGACGTAAATGTCAGCTTTATGAGAATGAACAAAGTTCCGACTGTTGCTAGATCCATACGATTTGTAATCGTGAAGTTCTTCTGCAGCATTAGTCTAGCAACCTTCTTTCTAAAGTCTGATTCAATAAGATACGGCATATACGGAAACAAATCCGTGAAGAAACAATCTAACAAAGCTTCCAGAACCTCAGGCGAGGGAATGACAACTCTGATATCGTTGATAAGACCAAACTCCGTATTTTGCATGTTATCGTGCAGTATCAATTCACCCCGCTTGGGCCGTGGCTTCTTGTAATTCGAGTTACCCGGAAGAGTCGATTTCTTGTAAGGCCTCAAGTCTTCTATACCGGTTTCTGTGAAATATCTCTGTTCGAAATCCGCTCTCAGGTCTTCGCGAAGAACCTGTTCTTCCTCTGTGGGAAGGTTGCGTTTTCGCTGCAAACCTTCGGAGTGAGGAAAATCCTCCTTCATCTTCATCTTCTCACGGTCAATTCCAGTGGCAAATCTGTGGAAATTATCGTTTCTCAACACTGAAATACACGAAAATGGATTGTAACAGATCGAGGTGTTTAGAGGGTCAATGGGATCGTAACCATTGCACAGATTAATGGTTTCAAAGGGCTCCAATAGCTCAAACTCTAGCAAGTCAAACATGATGACCCAAGCGAGTACCTGAAACTATTATTCGAAAAAAAATAAGTTTTGTCTTGTCTGGTACTGAGCAAACTTGACGAAGTGAATGAGTCCACAAAGACTGTTCAATGTGGGGTTTCGAATGCTCCAGCGTGTAAGACTCAATTGATCTCGTGATCCCGATGTGATTTTTCAAGATTTTGAGCTGCTTTTGGAACACTGTGCGTGAACCGATTGGCAAACTGGCGTGACAGAGAGTGGTGAGATGCGCGTGAGTACAATAATATGGTCTTGGACTCAAAGAACAATAGAATTGACATAATGACAGATAGGTGTTGTATTAGGGACGGTCTTGTACTGTAGGCTGCCCCGTCGGATTATAAGGATAGAGACCGGCCACTTGGGATTAACGCTTCTGGGTACAATGGTATACGAACTACCCGGACGACGAAGTACGCGTGAAAAATCGGTACAGGTCAATTTTACTATCAAATTGCACAGTAACGGGTGATCAGAATACACGCGGCTTATATATTTTCTAGTTTCCTACGCGCTCTGCCAGAGAGCGGCCACCCATTCAGTAGTTTCTGGACCATCGCATCGCCCCATGGGCTCCAAGGGCCCAGAGGCCTTCCCCATCGGCATTTCCGATCGATAAGACCTCCCAGATAGGAAATAAGGGCACGTCCGATTTGGCCATACCGATAACCTCAGGCTATATAAATTATATGTCTGTCCAAGACATTTGTAGGTTTTCACCAGTTTCTAACTAACCTTTCGCCTATTTCTTTATACAGCAAATGGCAAATCTCAAGTTCCTGAGCCCCCATGGCTCCTTTTTCGCCAATGGAGTGGCCGCTCTGGTTTTGTTTTTGACTGTCGGTGTCTATTCCACTATCACTGCCTTAGGAGCGGCGGGTGGTAAACCCACCTCGAACGATATGAATCATATCACTTCTTCCGCACTGTACGCCACATTCACTGTTACGGGTTATTTTGGAGGAACCGTTACCAATCTCATAGGTCCAAAATACCAGCTTGCCTTTGGTGCTTTTGGCTACCCTTTTTACGTCAGCTCTCTATGGTACTACTACAAGAAGTCTGTGATGGCTTACCCAATTGTGGGTGGAGTAGTTCTTGGGCTCTGTGCTGGTCAACTATGGTCTGCTTCATGCTACGTATTTCTGTTCTATGCTGAGGAGCATCGCAAGGGTCTTTACTATGGTATACAGAAGACCATGATTGCTTTTGGAAACTTCATTTCATCCTGTATCGTGCTTGGGATCAACTACCACAAGTCCAAAGCTGGTGGTGTACCTACTGCAATCTTTGCAGTATTTTTTGTACTTGATATGCTTGGAGTAGCTGTTGCTTTTCTCTTGAAGAATCCTAAGGACATCATCAGAAGCAGCGGTGAGCGTTTAGCAAAGTTCAAGGTTCAAGGTACTATGGAAAGTATCAAAGGCACTTTGCTTCTTACAAAAAAACCTCAGACCTTGTTTACGCTTATGCCTCTGATTGTTGCCGAGTTCCCATTGGTGCTGCAACCAACCATTTCGAGTTACTTCCTCAACCTCAGATCCCGTTCAGTCGTCTCCGTTATTGTGGCAGCCTTGAACATGGTGTTCGCATCTGCTCTTTCTCAGGTGTTGGATCTGAAATACGTGACTAGACCTACCCGTGCAAAGATAGGGTTTGCAATTGTTGCATGTTTTGTCATTGGAGGTTACATGGGCGAAGGCATATGGCTTTACCATACGCTCCCATCTACTCAGCCTGAGTCTGTTCCGGCTTACGACTTCACAAGCAGCTCATTCGGCGGGTTCATGATCTGTTACATTTTGCTTAGTTGCTCGACTATCATATATCCGGTTTACCTGGGATGGCTTGTTGGGACATACTCAAATGACCCCACTATTACTTCATACTACGCGGGGTTCATTCGTTCGATGTCTGCTTGTGGTGCAGCTATTGCATTTGGTATGGCTGCTGCCAACACTATCAGCATTCGCAAACAGTACATCATTCACTGTTCAGTCTCTATCTTCTCCTTGATTCCATTGCTCTATTGTGCCGTCAAGTATGTAACAGAAACAAACTATGGCAAGGAGGAGAATGTCATCATTCCAGAACATTGGGTCAAGGCACTTGGAGTGGAGGCGGAAGGTGATGTATCTCCCGACACTGCTAGCATGGTTCAAGTAGAAATGTCGAATGAAGAGAAGGCTTAATTTCGGATAAAGCGCCTTTGATAACTGATTCCTTTTTACTTTGATTTTTTTGATTTAGTTCTGTTCTTTAAAGATATTAGTGTATGTAATTTCTGGTGTAGGCAGCTAGTGCTTCGGGTAATTACATTTGGCTAACACACCACTATCCCAGAGATAAGAACAAATACCTACCCTGGTTGACATCAGACATTGGCGCTGATAGTGCTGACTCTTTTGGAAAAGATTTGGATAATGTCCTTCTGTTCTTTCAGGCCAATGTCCCTGCCGATCCCAACGCACCAGCCTCACTGAATTTTCGGATCTAAAAATGCCTGCCAGTTTTATCCTTATTTGTTACCCCTTCAATCGTATCAATATTTTTCTTTCCTTATTTCCCCAAAAGTACTCTTGTTTTGATGTTGATCACCCGATTTTTTTTCGTTGTCTCCTGCATAGAATCCATTTCTGCCTTATCGGGATACGGATTGCATGTATCGAGCCTTTCGGATATTCCGATGCCTCTTTCGTCCCGCGCATATGTGGGTGTTCAAGCACATTACATTGAGAGACGCCAAAATTTAGCTGACGATATTCTTTTCTGTGGTAACAAGCAGTGACAAATCATGTCTACAACGACCACAACCAATGCTCATATTCTCAAGACCACCGCCACCGACCATGTTAACACAGGCAGAGTTGCGCCTGAGGTATTCAAGCGAGCCCAAGATAAGATCTATGGTATCAAGCATGAAGATTGGAGAGATGATTTCATCGGAGACGGATATGTCGTGGTGAAATCTGTTATTTCAGCCGAGAAAGCCGAAAGTTACAGAAAGAGAATGTTCGAATATTTGAAATCACACAATTCCAATTTCGATATCAACGATAGATCTACCTGGGTCGAACAAAACCTGCCGGTTCACACTGACCACAACATCTATTACAATTATGGATGCAGCCACGAGGATTTTTTGTGGGATCTGAGGACTGAGCCAGGTGTAATCGGACCGTTCTCAAAGCTCTGGGATACCGAGGATTTGCTAGTATCTTTTGATGGCTTTAACGTGAGTTTTCCCAACCGTCCTGACCGCGTTGGCGCTAGTCCTGCGTGGCCTCACGTTGACCAATCGCCTTTGAAGGAAGGATTGCAATGTGCTCAGGGAATAGTTTCGTTATCAAGATCTGGGCCTGAGGATGGAAGTTTGGTTGTACTTAAAGGTTCTCATAATCTGATAGCAAAATTTTTTAATGAAGAGGTGAAGCGGGAAACCTGGTCCGAGGCGGACGTCTACCGTTTTACCCCAGAAGAGTATAATTGGTTCTTGAAACATGGATGCGAGATGGTAAAGCTTGAGGTAGAACCTGGCGATTTGATTCTTTGGGACTCAAGAACGATCCATTGGGGAGCGGAACCAAACTCTGAGAGTGATGTCATCAGAAGTGTTGTGTATGCGTCGTATACACCAGTCAATTTTGCTACTGTAGATACTCTAAAGTTGAAATCTGAGTTTTTCAGCCAATGGATGGGGACTTCGCATTGGGCACATGATAATCTCAGACCTCGGAGACAGATCCCAAGATTTGCGGATGGAACTCCTGATCCAAGAAACCGTGCAGAACCGTTGAGAAAGCCAGAAATGAATGATACAATCTTGAGGTTTGCCGGGGTAATTCCATACTAGATAAGAGAGCTAGGAGAGTAGATACCGGTATGATAATTAGTTAGCTATTGATATTTACCAAAATCGTGTGACGATGTATGAAGGAATTTATTATAGTATACACAATGCGCTACACTCAGTGCAATATGCCCAAATGTGGTTGAACATATTCTGTAAACACATAAGATGCTGCAAAGATATTGTATCAAAGTAATACTCAAACATTATGTTCAACTATGCTGGCTCATTCTGTCTTCAAAACCTTTTCCGATTCAAGAAAAGTGTCCTTCCACATAAAAGCTATTAGCAAAGTAGATGCTAAATGGACAACGTCTTTGAAAGACCTGGCTTGTTCAGGATTAAAACTCAATTCTGAATAATATAGGTAATTACCAGCGATTTGAAGCACAAATGGCAATGGAACCATTAATCCCGTTGCCAGGAATTTGTTTGCAGTTGACGTTCTTTCCTGTAAAAGCAATCCAAAATATGTTTTGACCGAGAAGTAGGAACAAAAGATGAAACACACCAGATATTGGAGCAGCGAGAGTGAAAACATTACTAATATGATGGCCGGCTTCTCATAATCAAGATACCCATAGTCCACAGCTATCAATAAGTGTGTGATAATACTAAAGATGGTCACCCACCTGATAAACCAAAGAAATCGCTGCTTTTTTGAAGTTGAAGTGAAACAATAACCCGAAAACATCAGCAAAACATTGTAGAAGTACCCGTTATAGTAGAGACCTTTCAAAAGAAGGTGAAAACCAAGTCCAGTGATACTCGTATTGTTGGGATCATCCATGTTCAACTGGTAAAGAATGGCAGCTAATAGAAAGTAATACAAAAAGTTTTGAAAGATGTACGTCAGGATCCGGACTTGAATTTCTCGATTCGCAAGTGTGCGTTTTGGATGACCAATAGTCTGTAAGTCGATGCTGGAATCCCTGTTCTTGAAAAGGGCATAATGACTGTACAAGAAAGAACCGATGACGTATATGAAGCTAATTGCGAGACAATTGTGCATAAACTTGTAATCTTTTCTGCTCAGTTCACCATGAGATTCCCGAAATGTGATTTCGACTTCGACAAACGCATTCTCTTTCGGATGATTGAGGAACGCTACGATGCAGTAGTTTCCCGGGGTTTCAAGAGGATGCTTACCAATGACGTTTTTGGGAGAAAGTGTGAACGACGAAATCAAAGAATGATTCAGATTTTTGGAAAGTATTTTATCCAAATCGTATTGTTCGGTATCAAAATCAGGAGGCGTAATAGGGTCAGTGAGAGACAAATGTTGTAATTTCTCGTCAGATGCTAGCGAAACGAACAACTTTATCTCTTTGTCGAGTTTGACAATCTTATAATCCTGTGCTGAGAGAATCAAGATATCAATGTCCCAAGGTATCTCATGGCCATCTGCTTCCTCCTCAATGTAATCCACCTTACCAACTTTGAGCTCAACCACTTGCTGAACTTGCTTTGAAAGAAAAAGGTAAGGAAAGTCCAAGCTTGAAATCTCAAAACTTATCATCTTCGTTCTATTTCGCGATAGAGCAACCCCATGACGAGTAGCACTGACGAGTATGCACATTAGCAGCATGTGTATCACACATCCCGTGAATCTACGCATTAAATGCGATTTCTCAAATAATGCCGCCAATAGTGAGAGATGCTTGCCAAGACGCAACACTATTGTGCACCAGGGGGTTATCTATGCAACGCTGCGACCGAAGATGATGCACAATATGCACGTGACTCAACCATGCGGAAGAGCGTGAAAACTGAGAAGGGGCCACTTGAGGTCGAAACTGCATGTTTTTCTATGACGTCAATCTCGAATAACTATATTTATTGAATTGCCTGACTTTGAGTAATCATGTCATGTGAGCTGCATGAGGATCTCTGTGTAAAGTCAAGCAAAAGTAGTTTCTTTTGTGTAAAAATAAGCGGCTTAGACGACAGGCATCTCTGCATGCAGAAAATAAACTGAGCCCGTAGGGACATTAGTCCACATCTCGCGAGAGACCAGTGGCTGTATCCATGACCGTCTTGGGCAGCGTCTTCGATCTTCCATGGCCGATAAGAAGGCAATAAATTAACCAGTGAATCATATTGTTACCTTCGCACGGGTGATTTTCGCTTCTTTTTGGTACTTTTGATTTTTGCGTGTGCAATGCAAATGTATATCGCTTTCTTCGTTAAGTACCCCCTTACTCGGAATATCAAGTCCAACAACCAAATTGGATAGCGCCTCCCAATACAAATTATAGCCATCATATGAGGCTTCAGCGGTTGCTAATTGTGGTGCTGTGCACTTTGGCGTCATCTGTCGTTGCTGAAAAAGTACTCGTGACAAACGAGTCACCTCGGTTCTGCACAGGCATGTACAGTAAGCAAGACTGGGATGGTGATATCGAACCTCACATCGAAGTGGATTTACAAGATTTCAAATTGGGCAATAACAACGTGCAATCCGTTTCTATCGTCATATTTGAATATAACGATGTGGATGCATTGGGAGTGAGTGTTTCCGATCTTTCACTCCCAAAGATGAACTATGTGTGCTCGGAAGAGCTCGTTGCCAAAGGGTTATGTGACACTAGTGAACTGTATCAGTTCATTGTTAACAAGAACGTCACTCCAAAGTCCGAGATATTGTCCGACGCGCTTATCATTTATGGTGATAATGGCTTGCATTACCCGATTTCAAAAACAGGCTACTACTGCGTAGCATGTTCTTCTCCACTTGATTTGGGAAAATCGCAGAACAAATTCATAGTTCAGGTAAACTTCCAGAATTCCTATGGAAATTTGCCTGCAGCAGAAATCCCCAAGCTGAAGTTTTATGGCCTGCTGGCTGTTCTGTATGCGGTCAGTCTGTCTGTATACCTGTTCCAAATGTTCATCCACAGATCTGAGCTTCTCAAGTTACAGAAATGCCTTGCAGGGGTTTTTGTGTTCTTGACGGTCGAAACCATCTTCACATGGTCTTTTTATGCCTCCCTTAATGAAAACAAAATGTCTGTATTGCACCCATCTACAGATGGTGTTATGCTTCACAAGGTGTTCGTATCTTCTTTGAGTGCGCTCAAGGTACCGCTTGCACTTGGGCTGTTGGTTCTCATCGCTCTTGATTTCAACCCTATATATTCTGAGATCATACAAGATGACCGAGAGTTTTGGGGATCTTTTTTTCTTAATGGTTTTTGTTGCTTCGGGTTTGGCATGGTTTTTACTCTGTTGTCATTCTTCTCCGTATCCCAGCCACCCTCAGGTCCCTTTGGTGCTTACAACGACCAAGACTACACGGTGGGATTGTGGATTACAGGTATCGAGTGTACTTTTAATTATATGGCCGCTTACTACTTTGCTTTCGAATGTCTCTCGAAAACCCAGAAGGTGTTGGCGGAAAACAAACTGCACGCGAAACTGAAGCTTTACCAGATGTTTTTCTGGTTTCTATGTGTATCTGTGCTGCTGCTGATTTCTGCTACAGTGCTCTTATTCATTTTGAAGAGCGCCAACTTACTTACCGAATTTAGGACCCTCAGGAGCCAGTTTGATTTCTTGTCCTCTTGTCTTTTTTTTATTATGTTCATCAGTGTCGCCTTCATGTTTAGACCCAGCCATAAATTATATATTTTGAGCTGCAGCGATAAGGATATTGGAGATGAATTCTTTGAGGAACCATATGTTGGGGTTGATAGCGGCGATTTTGAATTGGATGATCTGGCCGGAGAGGAGAGTGCTAGATTGGTCGGTTCTTCCGAAAACCCATATGACGGTGAGCGAGAACTTGATTCAAATAACCAACCTCATAATGGCGGGAATGATGAAAAAATTTCGCCTCCTCCTAGTTATGGTGAACTCAAACATGTCGAATCAGAGTTCGGACGGAGATCTTTTTAGCATAGTTATTACACAGCTCAACACGAGAAAATTCCGGTTTTAATCATGCATGCAAGAAATTGCAGTTATATGCCAACCCACCCTTTTGTCGTATTGAGATATTAAAGATATACAGAGAAATGTAATGCAGACGTACCATGTTCCCTAAATCTATGCTCTGATCTAGCTGAGCTTTTCCTTCGACTAACCACTTTCGGAGAAACATTTCATTTATCTTCATCGGGCAATAAAAAATTACACTTCCCATGTTTGGATCATTCGGCCTTCACAATCCGACGGGGGCCCCCCGTCGGATTATACTAGATAAGAGAGCTGGGACAGTGAATACCGGTATGATTATGTTAGCTATTGATATCCATTAAAAACGTGTGACGATATATGAAGAGATATAATATAGTATAAACAATGCGCTACACTCAGTGCAATATGCCCAAATGTGGTTGAACATATTCTGTAAACACATAAGATGCTGCAAAGATATTGTATCAAAGTAATACTCAAACATTATGTTCAACTATGCTGGCTCATTCTGTCTTCAAAACCTTTTCCGATTCAAGAAAAGTGTCCTTCCACATAAAAGCTATTAGCAAAGTAGATGCTAAATGGACAACGTCTCTGAAAGACCTGGCTTGTTCAGAATTAAAACTCAATTCTGAATAATATAGGTAATTACCAGCGATTTGAAGCACAAATGGCAATGGAACCGTTAATCCCGTTGCCAGGAATTTGTTTGCAGTTGACGTTCTTACCTGTAAAAGCAATCCAAAATATGTTTTGACCGAGAAGCAGGAACAAAAGATGAAACACACCAGATATTGAAGCAGCGAGAGTGAAATCATTACTAAATTGATGGCCGGCTTCTTAGAATCAAAATACCCATAGTCCACAGCTATCAATAAGTGGGTGATAACACCAAAGATGGTCACCCACCTGATAAACCAAAGAAATCGCTGCTTTTTTGACGCTGAAGTGAAAGAATAACCCGAAAACATCAGCAAAATATTGTAGAAGTACCCGTTCAGATAGAGCTTTTCCAAAAAAAAGTAAATACCAGCTCCAGTGATACTCGTATTGTTGGGATCATCCATGTTCAACTGGTAAAGGATGGCAGCTGATAGAAAGTAATACAAAAAATTTTGAAACATGTGCGCCAGGATCCGGAGTTGAATCTCTCGGTTTTCTATTGTGCGTTTTGGATGGCCAGTGATCTGTGAGTCGATGCTGGAATTTCTTTTCTTGGAAATGGCATAATGACTGTACAAGAAAGAACTGATGACGTATATGAAGCTAATTGCGAAACAATTGTGCATATGCTTGTATTCTTTTTGGCTAAGTTCACCATGAGAATCCCGAAATGTGATGTGAACATTTGCATGTGCAACCTCTTTCGGATGATTGACGGATGCTACGATGCAATAGTTTCCTGGCGGCCCAATCAGATGCTTACCAATGACGTTTTGGGAAGAAAGTGTGAACGATGAAATCAAAGAATGGTTCAGGTTGTTGGTAAGTATTTCATCCAAATCGTATTGTTCCGTATTGGAATCAGGAGCCGTAATAGGGTCCGTGAGAGAAAAATGTGCAGATTTCTCGCCAGATCCCAGCGAAATAAACAATTCTATCTCTTTGTCGAGTTTGACGATCTTAAAATCCTGTGCTGAGAGAATCAAGATATCAATGTCCCAAGGTATCTCATGGCCATCTGCTTCCTCCTCAATGTAATCCACCTTACCAACTTCGAGCTCAACCACATGCTGAAGTTTCTTTGAAAGAAAATGGTAAGGAAAGTTCAAGCTAGAAATCTCGAAACTTATCATCGTTCTATTTGGCATTAGAGCAAACCCACGAAAAGTAGCCCTGACAAGTATGCACATTAGCAGCATGTGTATCACACATCCCGTTAATCTACGCATTAAATGCGATTTCCTATATAATGCCGCCAGTAGTGAGAGATGCTTGCCAAGACAAAATACAAGGGGTATTTATGCGATGCTGCGACTGATGCTGTAAGCTGCACGTGACTCCTGCATGCGAAAGAGCGTGAAGGTTAGCAAGGGATAGTTTGCCGACGCGGCATCTTGGTTTTATCAATGTCGAATAACCAAATCCATTGAGTTGCCCCACCTTGTATACTCATGTTGGGTGAGCTACCTGAATATCCCTGAGTGAAGTCAACTGAAAGTCGTGTATTTTGTGTAATAATAAGCGGCTTAGACGGCAGGCATCTCTGCATGCAGAAAATAAAATGAGTCCCTCGCGAAATGAGTCCACAAGCAGTAGCTATATCCTAAGCTGTCTTGATCTGCGTTTCTGGTGTCCAATGGCGGATATGAAGGCAATAAATTAACCAGTGAACCATATTGTTACCTTCGCACGGGTGATTTTCGCTTCTTTTTGGTACTTTTGATTTTTGCGTGTGCAATGCAAATGTATATCGCTTTCTTCGTTAAGTACCCCCTTACTCGGAATATCAAGTCTGACAGCCGAATTTTATAACGCTTCCCAATACGTTTAATATCCGCCATATGAGGCCTCACCGATTGCTAATCCTGGTGCTGTGCACTTTGGCTTCATCTATCCTTGCTGAAAAGGTACTCGTGACGAACAAGTCACTTCGGTTCTGCACAGGCATGTACAGTAAACGAGACTGGGATGGCGATATCGAACCTCACATCGAAGTGGATTTACAATATTTCAAGTTAGGCAATAACAATGTGCAATCCGTTTCTATCGTCATATTTGAATATAACGATGTGGATGCATTGGGAGTGAGTGTTTCTGATCTTTCACTCCCAAAGACCAACTATTTGTGCTCGGAAGAGCTCGTTGCCAAAGGGTTATGTGACACTAGTGAGCTGTATCAGTTCATCGTCAACAAAAACGTCACTCCCAAGGCCGAAATATTGACCAGCTTTCTTACCAGTTATGGTGATAACGGCTTGCGGTACAATATTTCGAAAACAGGCTACTACTGCGTAGCATGTTCTTCTCCACTTGATTTGGGAAAATCGCAGAACGAATTCATAGTTCAGGTAAACTTCCAGAATTCCTATGGAAATTTGCCTGCAGCAGAAATCCCCAAGCTGAAGTTTTATGGCCTGCTGGCTGTTCTGTATGCGGTCAGTCTGTCTGTATACCTGTTCCAAATGTTCATCCACAGATCTGAGCTTCTCAAGTTACAGAAATGCCTTGCAGGGTTTTTTGTGTTCTTTACGGTGGAAAGCATCTTAACATGGTTTTTTTATGCTTTCCTTAATGAAGACAAAATGTCCTTATTACACCCAGTTTCTGGTGATGTTGTGGCGTACAAGTTGTTCGTGTCTTTTTTGAGTGCGCTCAAGGTACCGCTTGCACTTTGGCTGTTGGTTCTCATCACTGCTGGTTACGACCTCGTGTATTCTAAGATCATCCCAAAACATGAAGATGATCTAGTTGTGTCCTTTTTTGTTGGCTTCTGTTACTTCTTTTTTGGCTTAGGGTTTACTCTGTTGTCATTCTACAACACCGTATCCCAGCCACCATCAGGTCCCTTTGGGGCTTACAACGATTCAGCCGCTGGGGTGGGGTTATGGTTTACAGGTATCCTGTGTGCTTGTTTTTATATGATCATTCTCCACTTTGCTTTCAAAAGTCTTTCGAATACCCAGAAGGTGTTGGCGGAAAGCAAACAGCGCACAAAGTTAAAGTTGTACCAGAATTTTTTCTGGTTTCTATGTATATCTGTGTTGCTGCTGATTTTTGCTACAGTTCTCTTAATCGCGTTGCAGATCGGCAACTCATTCACCGAATTCAGGAATCTTCGCAGCCTCTTCGATTTGTTGTCCTCTTGTATTTTCGTTGTTGTGTTCATCGGTGTCGTCTTCATGTTCAGACCCAGCCATGAATTATATCTGCTGAGCTGCAGCGGCAAGGATATTGAGAATGAGTTTCCTGAGGAGCCATCTGTTGGGGTTGATAGCGGCGATTTTGAATTGGATGATCTGGCCGGAGAGGAGAGTGCTAGATTGGTCGGTTCTTCCGAAAACCCATATGACGGTGAGCGAGAACTTGATTCAAATAACCAACCTCATAATGGCGGGAATGATGAAAAAATTTCGCCTCCTCCTAGTTATGGTGAACTTGAACACGACGAATCCGAGAACGAACGGAGATCTTCTTAGTACATTTATTATACATCTTTACACGAAAAAGCCACCTTGAAATATGCATGGAAGTAATGATAGTAATATGCCACTCTTCCCTTTCTTTCATAATAAGATATTGAAGATATACAGAGAGATATAATGCAGATGCACTATGTGCCATAAATCTATGCTCTGATCCAGCTGAGCTTTTTCCTTCGACTCAACCACTTCTGGAGAAACGCTTCATTTATCTTCATTGGTCAATAAATGATTACAATTCCCATGTTTGGACTATTCGGCCTTCACAACCTTTCCTGAATCAACAACGGTGTCCTTCCACAAAACTGCTGTCAGAAGAGTGGCTAATAAGTGAATACTGTGTCTGAAATTTCTGGAGTTTTTGATACTCAAAACAAGGTCTGATAGGGAGGGGAAAGAAAGAGTGTGCCTGTCTGATCTGAAGCGTTTCATACTCCAAGCGACCTCTGATAGGAACGAGGGATAATGGGGGCATATGAATCCATCGTACACAATTGGAGAGAGAATCAGTACTGCTGTTGCCATAAATCTGTTGGCAGCTGAACTCCTTCCGTGTAAACGCAATTCAGAATACGTTCTGACTGAGAAGTAGAGAAAATAGAAAAAGAAGACCAAGAGTTTCACGTTGGAAAAAAGATCCCCTATCTCTCCCCAACCATCGTGATATGTAAGCATATACGCGGAAACTGAGCCCTGCATAACATTTCCAATTACCGCCTCCCTTATAGACAGAAGAAGTTGTTCATTGGTTCTCAGTGAACTCAAAAGATGGCCCGATGTCATTGACAATAGGCTGCTCAAGGCAGAGCAAAAACAAACTGCGGCCAGGATCTGAATCCCAAATCTCAAAAACATATCCGTAAAGCTGGAGCCATCAAGTTCCATCTGGTACAACCGAATAGCTGCTAAAAGGGAGGATAAAGATTTGCGAAACATGTACATTGGAATTTGTGGATTACTTGGTCTCGAAGCGAAAAGAAAGCCCAATGACATCAACACCAAATTGTACAAGACCCAGTTACTGAGAACGGTGGCCAAGATGCGACTCGCAAATCTTAGAAAAGTTCCCATAAAGCCAGGATTGTAAGGGTCATCCATGTTCAATTTGTAAAAATGGCTAGTAGCCAAAAAGTAATATAAGGAGTTTCCAAACATGTATATCAGGATCCGAAGTTGAATTGTCCCCGCTTGGAAACTGTGTTTTGTGTTTGCACTCGTGTGATTTTCATCGCTCTGATTTATAACTTTGTAAAAGACATAGTAACAGTACAAGAGGGAACTGACGAAGTAGATGATGCTGAGCATAAAATAAAAGTGCATGTACTTGTAGTCCTCTCTGCTCAATTCACCATGAGGATCTCGAAACGTGATACCAACATTTGCCACTGTGTCGTTGTGAGGGAAGTTGAAGGATGCAATGATGCAGTAAGTCCCAGGGGATTCAAAAGGATGTTGAACTATGTCGTTTTCAGGAGAAAGCTTGAAGGATGAAATCAACGATTGGTTCAGATTTTTGGTCAGGACTTCATCCAGGCTAAATTGCTCAATGTCAGGATGGACAGTTATGTCGCTAACATATATAGAATTCCAACTCATACCATCGGTATCGCTTGGTAACCTAAAGTCGTTTCTTACATCTCTGTCGAGTTTGATGATCTTCAAGTCGTCTTCGGTTAAAATCAACATATCAATTTCCCAAGGAGGCAAATCTCCGCTCTTATATTGTTCTTCGTCTTCTTTTTCTTTTTTCAGATTGTAAAATTTAACCTCTATGACTTGTTGGGCATGCTGTGAGTGGAAAAACGCAGGAAAGTTGTAGCTCGAAACTTCACGAAATATCTTCACTGACTTATTTGGCATGAGGGTAGCACCATGCCGAAATGCACTAACGAGTGTACACATGAATAGCAGATGTGCCAGACATCTTTTGAATCCAAGCATTGAGTGTAGTTTTCCGAATGATGCTACAATATCTGAAAGGATGCTTGCCAAGGCTAAAGACAATTGAGAACCAAGAGCTATTTATGCGATGCAGCGACAGCAGATGCGGCAAAGCTGCACGTGACTCCTACATGCAAAAGAGCGTGAAAGAGGGTAAAGGATCACTTGCCGTTAAAATTTGCTGAAAACCACTGCATTTTGGTATTGTCAAAAAAGATAAAAATCCCATCGAATTGCCTGACTTTGAATACACATATCGTGTGAGCTACATCCGGATCTCTGTGTGAAGTCAGTTGAATAATAAGCGGCTTAGACGACAGGCATGCAGAAAATAAAATGAGTCGGTGGGGACATTAGTCCACATCTCGCAAGAGAGCAGTGGCTATTTCCGTTATCGTCTTGACCTGCATTTCTGGTGTCCAATGGCGGATAAGAGGGCAATAAAGTAACAAGTAAATCATGTTGTTAACCTCGCACGGGTGGTATTCACAGCGTTTTGGTACTTTTAGTTTTTGCGTGTGCAATGCAAATGTACATCAAGACATGAACATTTGATTAACATCTGCATGCTTTTTCGATGAGAACCCCCCCTTACTCGGAATATCAAGTCCAACAACCAAATTAGATAGCGCCCTCCAATACAAATAGTAACCATATGAAGCTTTACCAATCGTTATGCATGATGCCGTGCTTTGTGGGAACATTGTTTCTTGCTGATAAGGTGCTGCAGAGGAGGTTTTCGCCTCTGATCAGCACAGGAATCGTGACGGCTTGTGTTTATATGGGCAGTCTCTACTATGTTTTTGCAACTGTTTTGGAAATGCAGAAGGAGTTGACGGGCAAACAGCGCGCAAATTTCAAGCTGTACCAGATTTTTTTCCGGATTGTATGTTTTATGTTTTTGCTGCATATTTCTATTACGGTAATCCTTTTTCGTGTTGAAGATGAGCCACTCATTCACCGATTTCAGGGACCTTGGAAGCCTCTTCGATTGGTTGTCTGTATTCTCCCTTTCGTTGTCATCTTCATGTTCAGATCCCCTCTGGGCCGCTTTCTGAGCTGCAGCGGCAATGATATTGAGAATGAGTTTCCTGAAGAGTCATCTGTTGGGTCTGGTGGCGACGATCTTAAATTTGATGATCTGGCCGGAATGGAGAGT